TGCCATGCTCCGGATCGTGTCTGGATGTTTGTCGCCAAGCATTTCTCGCTGTAGGCCAATGACTTCGTTACACTTCCCCTCGGCCTTCGCGTACTTCCCAAGTCTAACGTTACTCGCACTCACGTAAAAGAGAAGATGCGATGTGACTTTGTCCGTCATACTGTCTCGAAACTCTAACGCTTTCTCCGCATGCGGCAAATACCTCTCCCAGATGACCCTGTTATTATTTGTCGGGAAAGGGAATACTTCGTCGAGTCGATGTATCACTACTCTGGCAATTTCCCCCCCCAACTCTTTCTTGTATAACCAGCCTCGCATTGCCAATGAGACTAGTCTGTGCATGTCGTATGAAACTTCATCTAGCCGTTCACCGATGAATGCGTACCCTTTTAGCGTGCCAATTGCCTCCAAAACCTTCCGCTCCTGGTGATTTGGCGGTAGGAGAGATTTTGGAATGTTCTTCTCCGCAAGAAATGACATGAATTTGAGGTATTCGGCAGCGAGCCGATCGTCCCGAGAGATGTGGAGGAACGAAATTAACCAAGTCCTTGCAACCGGATTTTGACTGGTTTTATAGCGATGTCGATCCTTGAAATCTTCACTTAGAAGCCCGATAGCCTCCTCTTCGCTCGACTGATATAACCCGAAGTACCTTTTGGTCGACATCCCATTTTTAGCCATGAAGGCCGCAGCCTGTCGTATAGCTAGAGGCAGGTAGGCGAGGAATTCGAGTAGCCTTGTCGTGCTCTCTGTATCGGCGACTTGATGCTCCACTAGGTCCGTCATCAACAGCTCGAGCGCTTCGTCCTTGTTCATTTCCTCTACGACGATTACGTTCCTGTTTCGGATATCAAGTTCTCCTATGACTTTGTGATTCCGCGTTGTAAACAGGATCGAACCTTTCTGGCTACGTGGGAGATACTCCGCAATATCGGTATCGCCGGAGAGGAGTTTAAGGTCGTCAACATTGTCGATAATCAGGAGCCAGGTTCCGGCGCCATCTTCGCTTAGGGCTTTCCGAACGAGTTCCTTGATATCTGCCTCATCCTCATTGATCCCCGGAAGTTTGAGCTTTTGGCCGATCTCGCGGTAGGCATTCTCAAAACTGGCAGGATCTACTGCGGGAACCCAGAAGATAGAGCAGTCGGGGTGCTGATCGCGGACCCGGAAGGCAGCTTCAATGGCAAGTTGTGTCTTCCCAATCCCACCGAGGCCTTCGATGGCTATCCATTGGCAGTTGTCCTCGTCTGCTGCAGGGGGGATTTTCTCGAGGAGCTGTGCAATAATCGACTGTCGTCCGACGAAGTACTTGTTCTTTCCGAACGGGACGGTGAAGTGGCCCTGGGTGGGGTTTTCTGGGACTATTGGGATTTAATATCGGGGTACAGTATAATTAAAAGCTACATACTATGAGATGCCAGATCCTCGGTAGTATAGCGAAAGCTTGGGATAGTCCCTTGGTTAGGTGGCCGTTCTAGCAGCCGAGCCGGACCCTGTGAGCTTCCTGCGCCGCTTGAACGGCAACTAGAAAGCTGAATGTGTCTGTTCGAGCCCTCTTTGCGGACAACCTTCGATGCTAGTAATGCCTTGACTACTCCGTCGACTTGTTTAGATATTGCGTGTTGCCTAAGATATTCGGTCGTGACAGTGCGCACTGTGGGCAAGTCTTTCCACTCTTCCAACCCTACGTGCGGGAGGCCACGATCGACACTGAAGCGGAAATACATATCTTTAACGTCTTGAAATCGCCTGTGTATCTTTTCCGCCGTCGTGTCCGACTCCGTAGCCATTTTCTTGAGTGCATTGATTAGCTTTATTGGGCTCGTTTTTGGCGAGTCTGGAAAGGTGATGACGCTGGCGACGCCGGTTCCAACACTAACGACGCAGGCCACCTTCCGCCCAGGAAAGATGCGCTTCGCCTCCTCCAACACTTGTTCGACTGGGTTGTTGTAGCCTAGCCCGCCATCCACGAACGTCTCCTGCTCGCCGTCATAGCCTATGGCGATGGGTTCGAAGTACGAAGGTGCCGCCGAGGTTGCGCGGCACGCCTGCCAGATCGTGCAGTCGAACGAAGCGTTTTCGCGCACCTTGTAAGTCCTGAACAACCGAGGCCCGGCTCGAGCCTTGACGTCTTGTTGTGGCACGGCGCAGACAAACCTGGACGGGTTAGCTGTTCGCCGGAAAAGAAACTCCGAATGCATACACTTTACAGCTACCATCTTTGTCCAACATTCTCTCTTCGCGGCGACCATTCCCAAGAAGCCGCTTTACCGCCTCGTTTAGCTTCTGGCCTTCAAACGTGCTCGCCTTGAGGTATCTCGGAATGGAGAAGACTTCCTCCGCAATGCGGACATATTCCCTCCTGGCCTCTGGCACCGATAGGCGCAAACGGCCCACCAACAACGCAATCAGGCTATAGCATGAGCAGTATTAGTTGCGACCTCGACAAGCTAACGCGATAGTGACCTTACCCTCCTGTGGATGTGCCGCCAATGAGGTCAAAGAAATCCGCAGGGAGTAGATCTCGGTCTGCGTCAAGGTCGTATTTGATCCGGTCCATAATCTCCTCGAGGACAACGAGCTCGGAGAGCCCGCGGATACCCCCGCCATCTGCACGGCTGTCAGAGAGCACGACTGTGAGTTTAATCCATAAGCTTACCCAAGGCTAACAGGCATAGTGGCCTGTCGTCCATTTTCCAGTTCTCTGCAGTCAGCAATGAGACGACAGTTGCTTTCGTAGAATTCGAAGTCTTGTTAAATGCCGACTGTGAAGTTGGAGCAGAATGCCGCGATTTGAGGACGAAGGTAGGGCCCTCTAGCTGATTTAATCCTCGATGTCGAGGTTGTCTGTGTGACTGCTAGAGATATGCGGCTTCGTCACATATCACATCTTGCCTTCCGCTGTTAGACAAAGCGGAATCTTAATGGTAGATCCCAACCCTAGCAGACTGGCCAATCCAAAGCTGTATCTTTGCATTGGGCTACGCCACAATTTCAGCCTTGCATACCAAACACAGGAATTGTAGCCTTGCGCTATTTTAAGCTGTATCGGCTCCAGCAACGAACGGGAGACCCTGCTCATCGAACCATTCAGCCAATCGATGCCTCTGTTTTCGCGCTCGTGTACGCCGTAGTTTCAACCTTGAGAGGGATGCACTGAGTCTTGTCCAACTGGCAAAGTCGAGGCTGGATGGTCCTAAAGTCCTGTTACCCTGCAATGAAAACCTAATTAACTAAATTGTTGAAACGTTATAAAAACAACTCGTCTCTGTCATGATGGAGTCGCTCCAGCGACTAGCACAATCCCTGACCGGAAGGGATCATGCGGATACGAACTGCGGCACGCAAATCGGAGCTAAAAATGGGAATATTGAGAACAACTTCTAACCCTACCTAGCAGGTCCCTGTTCCTTTCCGTAGCTATCCTGCTGCTAATATTAGTCCACTAAGGAAAGCGTATCGCGACCAAGTTAACTTAAACGATAGTATCGCGGAGGTGCCAATATAGTCAGCAGGGAACATTTCACCCCTCTTTATAGCCCACGCGAAATAAGACTCTCACTTCTCGCAATATCAAGGCCGGTTTGTTCCCATGTAACCCGGATAGGGTGCCCCGAGATATCCAGAAGCTGCCTGCTGGATTGACCATTCGACAACCGATGTGTTACCAGGATATTACTGTAAGAAGGAACGAGCGAGTCGTGCTGCGAAAACAGCTGCAGGGACTCCAGAAAAACGGGTCAGAAGCGTAAAAGCACTGCGCCAGCGGGAACAAAGCCAAAAAGCCACGGAGGAGCGAAGTGGAAACTGCTAAGAACGACATTGCCGTAGGAGGGATGGCGAATTACTGCTCTTTCTTCCACCGCGAAGATGAAACCCTTTGATACTGGCCAGAAGGGCAGGCGCTCGCATTGTGATCCTTTGCCGTAGAGGATAAGTTTAGCATTCATCAGGATTTGGGGCAAAGACGTATAATCAAACATTATTCTAAGTCGATTGTATGACGTCTTCCAGCATTCGCTACTGTATACACATCTCATTAGCTGTGGTAGGAAGTGGTGATATTGCTGGGGCTGGTTCTTCGTTCGTCTACACAGGAATCCGTGATGTTGCTGGGCTGAGACGCTCGTTCCTGAATATAGGGAAGCCGCAAGAATCACCCAAGAGCGTTAGTCTGCCAAGCCCAAGCTTAGGGAGATTCACATGGCAACTTGGTAATTTACAATGAAATATTTGTGTCGTAATCACGTGATGTATAGATCGCAGAATGCGGAAGTTTAACCTAACGCAAGTACCGACCTACGTGGTGGAAATATTTATAATCGCTTCCAACACAACGTATGCTGCAGACAGAGAATCCTTAACATGATAATAGGATTTGTGTGGCTTTGATTTATTTGTTCATGTCCTTTACAAAAGGAAAATCGATGATGGTGGCGTTATATCATAGAAATATCGTTGCGGAGTCTAATGCTCATATCACGCTCTCTATAGAAAATCAATCATCTATCAGCCAAGCTACTGTAATTTTAAGGTAGACACGATCAAGGATAATGGCAAGTGGTCTAAGAGTACAGTTTCCAATAATTATAAGAATTTCAGTGCGTCTGGAGACTCTAAGTTAGATTGAAGTCAAAGTACCTTGAGTTCGTTCCAGCATGGCGGGTGTTCCATCACGTAGGGGGGGAGGTTAGTCAAGAAAGTGCTTAACCGACCTGGGAATCCAGAAATAGCAAGACTAGGAAGCACAAGAATATTAATCATTCATAGCGGAGGAAGATGACTGAGCGGTCCGTCAAGAATGATAAAGTTAAAACAGGGCCAAGAATATGGCATGGGTCGGTCGAAATAGCTTCCCAGAGCACCTTGTTCAGGGTCAATTTACTATGTAGTTTCCGGTTGTCGTCCGAACTGCGATACCAACCAGATCCGCAGATTGGTGCTAGTCCATACCTTGGCATTATTATTTATGCCAAGGTATGGACTAGCGGAAATTGGCAAATATTTCCACCAATAAGTGGAGACCAGAATCCCACATCCCTGCCACTGGGAAGCTATGGCTACCCTAGCGGGAGGGTAAGTGGCTCATACAAATTGATCGCGAGTCTACGGTACAGGTACTTGGGGCATATAGGAAATCACTGCTAGCCATAGAGTATATGGTACAATAAGCATGAATTTAAAGACTGGCTCTAGAGGACGGCAATTCATTATGACTAGCTTTTCCTGCTCAATCATTTATCACTCCTCCCAAACACCAACTTCCGTCAACTTCCAGCGCTCTCGTCAAGCTAATACACACTCCACAGTATGGAAATAAGGATATCCACCTTCCCATTGCATACTTAAGCCGACTTCCTGATAAGTTTCAACTGGAGGTACGCATCCCTTTTCGAGTTCAACTTTTCTCCCAAAGGCGGTTGCTCCTCCCCAGCCCAATCCAAGTTCCAATCGTTTCCAATACAATGGGCGAGTGAACCTATTAATAATGCAATCATTCTGAACCCAAAACCGGTCGATGAAGCTGGACATTCAAAGTTTCCAGCCCCAAAGGGCATGAATCCTGCTTCCAATTCAATCTTCTTGAGCTTCCTTTCCACATTTCCCTCTTCGTTGAACATCTGCCAGAGCTCCGGTCTAAAACGAAATGGATCATCCGAAAAGACTGCCATGTTATGATGACATCGTTCGACGTCAGCCACCATTTTGCCCTCTGCTTGACCGTCGATGTCGGTGAAGTCTCGATAAATATGACGGGTAGGAGGATACAGCCGCAAGGTTTCCTTCACAATATCTTTGGCAGATGGATGTCCAGACCGACGATCCTGGAAATCGGCTCTAGAAAGATCTTGGCGCATGCGCTCCAAAGTTTGGAGCCAAATTTGTTGGTCAGGGGCATCGCGAAACTTGACCTCCAGCAAGCCGCGCAAAACGACTCGCCACATAGTCTCGTAAGCAGGGAGGATTTTGTTAAAGGGATTCGTTGCCTTATTAAGGGGGTCATGTTTCCCCTGATCTTGAAGCACTTTACGCAGAGCCTGGTACATCTCCACCTCATTCCCCCACTCCGAGTTGTTTTCCTCTTTTGATGTAATCCATATCTCGTTGGTTCTTCGGGCGAGCAGCCTGATGGCGTCTTGAGCTGATTCGCTTTCGATATGATCCGTCTCGTCTGCGAAAAACATGCGGAATACGATCTTGAGGGTAGAGAACTGGATCAATGATGCCAAATATACCTTATCGCCATGTTTATGAAGCTCAGCGGCAACATAACTCTGACAAAGATCGCGGATTTGGCCCATGTCTTGCCAGTCGTACTTCTTCATCACTTTAACTGCCGACCTTTTAAACTCGCTGTAAATCTTAGGATCATCTGTTGTGAATGAGTTCTGAATCCCAAATGATTGAACTAGTCGTTTATTCGGTTGCATTCTAGCCGCAAGGCGGTTATCCCTTCCGAAGTCATTGCAAGTAATGATGCCGCGTGTGCGGTTGACCAAGCCGTTCGAATCTTGGTGATTGAGTGGTGTAGCCATTTTTGCGTAATTTCATGTTATTCTCCGTAAATGGTTTTCAAAAACTAAAGAATAACTTTCAAATTTATTTACAGATGACTTCTAAACTCACTTTATACCAGCAAGTCTGATGACAGGCCAACGATGACCAGATATGTATTGAATCAAACAATCTACGATTGATTTGCTTCAATGACCACTTGTCTAGTTAAGACGGATAGCTTCAATGACCCCTTGTCTAGTTAAGACGGATAGTGACAAACTGAAATCTTCTGGCAAACAGCTTGACATACAAAGAGACGCTAAGTTGATAAACACATATTGAGATGCTGACTCACAATCATTCGTCACTTATACACAACACAACGAAAGAGGACCAGAAAGCCCCAAACGGCACTTCCAGTGCTGAACGACATGAAATCACGCAAACGGCACTTCCAGTGCTGAACGACATGAAATCACGCAAACTGTCCTGGAGAAGCTCCGAAATGGCAACTTAAAGTAATTAGCCTGTTGGATCGATCAATGATTAAATTAGATATTAGCAGAGCCTCAAAAAAACCGTAGACGGTTCTCTAGATGATGTCACATGAAATACTATCTCTTTGTTTCACTGACATAGACACTGACTTGAGAGGATATCTGAAAGCTTGTATTTCAATGGAACTGGAAATGAGGAAAATGATTCCTATTTTCAGAAACCTGCCAAATAGGAACCCAAATTTAGTACCCATGTTCTCAAGCAAGGTTCTAATATTTCCAGAACTTTTTTAATACTAGCGTGCAGGTATTTCTTGGCAGGATTTTGTTAGGGTAAAACGTGCTTACGACGGGGGCAGGTTGTTATTTTCTCACCAATAACCGATGATCTGGCCTCTGGACTTGACACACAAAATACGCGATCACGTGTGAATATGCTGGGTGGCTGGACAATCGACAGCTCCGCCGTAAAGCGCGTTGTTCCAATGTTCTTACATTTCTCCCGAACTTATTTGCGATAAAACGAAGCTCATAAGAAGAAATTACTGATGGCCTCCGAAGGTAATTCTTGGCGGCAGTCCAAACCGGCGAATTTGCTCAGTTTGCTGACCTACTATCCGGTATGGGGCACTCTCTTGTCATATTTATGCCTGGCCGACTTCTTGGTGCTGTTCCAAGTGAGCAAAGGAATCCGCCGCAAGCTCAAGGACAACCTAGGACGGAAATGCTTGAACATTGACATCCTACTGAGCAACTTCGTAACCCACCCTGATATATTCCGATCTCAGCTAGGAAAGCACGATGCCTTGATCTCAGGAGGGTTCGCCCTTAATTTCTTCGAGTTGAGCCGTTGGACAGTACTAAATATGGACGTTTTCGTCCCATCTGGGGTCCACGCGACTGAGTTCACAGACTACATATGCAAACATGAGGGTTATAAGGCAAGCGAGGAATACAGCCAGGAAGCTGAGACAGTAAGGAACTTGTTCTGTTAAAGGATCTAGTGTGAATATTGAATCATTGCTGACTCTGTTATGCAGGGTCGAGGTCATTTCAACTTCAACAGTGGCAAGCGGCCCGGCAAAACCCTTCGAGTAACAGTGACAGATGGGCCCCCAATTCAAACTATTCTTGATTCCTCGTACACAACAGCGAGCATCAATTTCATCACATGGAATAAGGCGTACTCGATCTTCCCTATACAAACCGTTATCCATCACAAACTCTATGCACTTAAGCCTATGGATGAGGACTTTGGCTCAGTCCTGAATGAGCTGAGCAATCAAGGCTGGACGACTCGAGATATCATATGGCCGGAATTAGCTGCGGATGCTCAGTCCCATGAAATTAGTGGCTATCGCCGAGTCGGTGATCAATCCACTTTGGTTATCCTGCTGCATACCTATAACGTCCAGAAAGCATCGACACCGGATTCCGTGACCGAGTATGCTCAGTTTGAAGTCTCTACAAACTCTGTACCACCATTCTTTGAACAGGACCGCTTGCCGAATACACAGATTCAATTGCAGCGGTTAGTATCACCTGCTTTGCGCTATGAATACACGTTTGGCAAAAGTTCATGGCATGATTTTGTGTCCAAAAGACTACAACGCTGGGCCTGGGTCGAGCTGTATAAACTGGAACCGGGAAAGCGTCCCTTACAGTTCACGGATGGCATTCCGCACTACTTTAATATTTCCTTTCTACAAGACTTTCAGACGCCGGAGACTTGGGACTACGCTGATGATCAAATTCCCGCATGGTATCTAGAATGGGAGCAAATTACGATAGACAGATCAGACAGAAAGGGTCGAAGCCGACATCAAGGTCGTCATATCTTGTAACCGAACGTAGCACATTCACGTCGCGCTTTAGCAGAGGTAACGAATTACGCGCCCTGAGGTATATGCTAAGCCGTAAGCAGAATGAGAGTAGGTTTCGTCAGTGTAAGGGTCTCACTGTAGGGAATCTCCAATCGTGAGGCAAACATTGAATTGTTGCTATGAAGGAGGAATCTATCTAAAGTGTGCGAGGCGTTATGTCCTGATGCTGCACAGCAAACGGGCCACAAGGCATCCAGGTCCGCGGACCTCTGATCCATCACAGTCAGAGTTGGTACACTGTTATAGAGAGATTAGGGTTTCACGTTGTTTGGAGAACCATCTTGAGCGCCTGGGGCTTTCTGGCTCCGTTCTTAGACTGCGGCTGAGTGTTTGTGGGAGAATGTAGGACCAGGTTTGTGGGAAGAGTGGTCGTAGGGGAGGAGTGGTCGTGGGAGAGCAAGAGGCAGTGAGAATAGGATCGTGGGGATAGGTAGAGCGTTCGAACTGATATGTGCTGGCAAGACGTCACTCACCACACACTTGGGCGGAAACATTTTCGCCCATGCTCAACAGGATGTGGCGACTTACTCCAACCATAACATCATTTCAGCTATTATGCAGAATCACGTTACTACCTCTTTGCGGCTGTCGATCCAATAGTCCTGCATTATAACATCATTCAAGAAAGAACACACGGATAATCGACGGAGAGTAGGTCCTGCTGACACTGATACTTCTATTGGATTATTATCAATTGAGACCCCTCCCCACAAGAGTGTAGCGCCCGAGCTCAGGCGAGCCCAATATGCCCCCTTCTCCTCTCAGGAGAATCCTGGGGGAAGCAATGGCACCCCCCCCCGAACCCCCCGCTATCACCACGTCGAGGGCTGGACGCCAGCTCAGGATGTCCGCGAGGGCCAAAGCCAGAGCCGCCGAGACAGAAGGGCTAGACGAACTGCCTCAACGCGAGGCTGCGAGAAGCCAGGAGGGAAGCCCGGAAGCGAGCGAAGCGAACATCACCCGAGTCCTCCAAAGCGCTCTTACGGCGATCGACCGGAAGATCGACACGCGGATGAACGAACTAATAGATGAGAACCGTCTATTGTCCGGAAAGCTCGTAGATGCGACGGGCAAGCTCCATATCATGGAAAACCTCTTTGAGGACATGAAACGGACTATAGAAAAGCTAGAATGCCAGATAGCGAGCTTATCTGTCGCATCGAGCCCGCAACCTAGCGTGCAGGCGAGATCGTACGCAGCAGTCACTGCACCCGGATCGAAAAGCCAGTCGAGTGCACCGTCATTGCTGTCGCCGTCCATCGCCGTCACCCCACCAGACTCATCCCCCGGACTTCGCCCTATCCCCGACCATATCGTGGGTAGTGTGCCTACCATAAGGACGTCCTCGGTAAGACGAGCCCAACACCGCCCGCCGATGGTCAGCCTCAACCTGACGGATACACGTTATGGGTCATCCTCGCCCGGCGCGCTTAAGGAAGTAATGAACAAGGCTCTACAAAGTGTTACCGAGACAAAGAACTGCAAATGCGTAGCGGTGACAAACCGTCGTCTAGATAATGTCGGGTTCGCCCTCCGATCACAAGAAGAAGCCGACGCCGTCGTAGCAGCAGCTCCATGGACCAACGAACCAACCCTCCGGGACGCTAAGCTGGCGATAAGAGAGGAACACAAAGTTAAGGTGACGGGAGTCGACAAGCTGGTAGTTGGTGACCCCGAAGCTGGAAAGCGAATTAAAGCCGATATTGTGAAGAGTATCAATGTCGAAAATGGCGCCCAGATCCAAGGCATGCGGATACTCAGCCGCCCCTCCGCCCATCCCCGGATTCAACTTGTGGTATTCTGTAAATCCCAAGACGAGAAAGAACGCCTCCTTAACCAAGGGTTTATCTCGATTGAAGGGGAATACGCACCGATTGAGGAGTTCTTCGATTCGCCACGCAGCAGGCGATGCTTCAGATGCCACGGACTTAACCACAACGCGGCGGATTGCACTATAGAAGTAGGCACTGGAAGCGTCTCCCAAGTTGAACCTGATGAACAGTAAACCCCTCAAAGTACTACAAGCCAATATGAGGAAGATGCCGGAAGCGCAACACGCGCTCCTAAACGACGACGCACTCCGAGACATCGGCGTTATACTAATCCAGGAACCATCCTGCTTTATCGCGAACGACGGCCGCATAATAGCGGCCCCGACCATGCACTCAGCCTTTCAACAGTTCCTCCCAAGCAAGAATCACGAGGAGCTAAGGTATCCGGTCAGGTCCCTTATCTACGCAAGTCATCAGCTACGCCCAAGACAGATAGCGGTCCCGTCGCCGGACATTACCGCAATCGAGGTGGAATTCGACGGGCGAAACGTACTCTTTATCTCGGTCTATATACAGCAGGACAACACAATAAGCGACAGTGAGACCACTGTCCAATCGGCGCTAGGTTTGATCGAACCGGTACTCGCGAGGCTCCCTACCCACGATGTCCTCGTTGCGGGTGATTTTAACCGCCACGATCAACTATGGGGTGGAGACTCAGTCATGACCAACGAAGGGGAGGCTATCGTCCAGTTTATGCATGAACGCGGACTTCAACTTACCCTCCCAAGGGGTACCCCTACGCATAACTCGGGCACGACAATCGACCTTACGATGGTATCTAGCCGTCTCTACGACGACCTACTCCGATGCTCCATTTGGCCAGTCGAATATGGATCCGACCATAGAGCGATCGAAACCCACTTCGACCTTAACCTGTACGATAGCACAGATGAGCCGAGAAGGCTATTCCGAAAAACGAATTGGACGAAGGTAGCAAAGAACACTAGAGAAGGACTGAAAGGGTTGCAAATCCCACCGAATAAAAAGATCTTAAGGGAGGGAATCGATAAGTTTAGCACCCAGCTGGTCCAGATCGTCTCAGACGCGGTCCTCCGGGACACCCCGGTCGCCCGACCATCTGCGTTTTCGAAGAGGTGGTGGACACTAGACCTCACCAACCTTAGAAACGCGTACACAAGGGCCAGGAACGAAGCGGCGGCAACGCGCCGGGCCAGAACCCCTAATGACCGCCTCGAGGCGAGGTCCAAAGAGGCGAGGAAGACGTTCCACGACGCAACCAGGAGGCAACGGAGGACCTGCTGGAAAGAGTTCCTTAACGATAACGACAACGTCTGGAAAGCTGCGAAGTTCCTCCATCCAGCCCAGTCTAGCGCGTTTGGAAGGATCTCGGCCCTCCAAACTAATAACGAGCTGGCAACGACTGACCAGGCAATATCGAAGGAACTCCTCACCCAGTTCTTCGGTCAATCGGCAGACGCCCCGGAACCCCCGGCAACAGAGAACGGGCGACAACACCCCTGGGAAGAAATCACCAAGGAGGAAGTACGCGCAGCGGTCTATAGAGCCAAGCCGTTCAAGGCACCAGGGCCGGACGGGCTCCCGCCGATAGTCTGGCAGAGGCTTTGGCCCGAAGTAGGCGACCACATATATGTGCTCCTCCAGGCGTCCGTCCGAGAATCGTACCTCCCGGAACAATGGAAGATCGCACGGATCGTCCCGCTCCGTAAGCCAGGCAAGCCAGACTACACCCTAGCAAAGGCGTACAGGCCTATCTCCTTACTTACTACGCTAAGTAAGGCGCTAGAGTCAGTACTAGCCGAACGCCTGTCCTTCCTTGACGAGAAGTACGGGATCCTCCCTAAGGCCCACTTCGGGGCGAGGAAACAGAGGTCGACAATTGACGCCCTCCAGCTAGTTACAGAACAAAGTCTACCAGGCATGGAAACAGAAGAAGGTTCTCTCATTAATTAGCTTCGACGTGAAGGGTGCCTTCAACGGGGTCAACAGAACGGTGCTATGCCAGAGACTCAGGGAACGAGGGATCCCGCCAGAGATTGTACGGTGGGTCCACGAATTCTGTGGCAATCGGAAGGCGTCGATCATGGTCAACGGCACAGAGTCGGAAGTTATGGACATCGACCACCCCGGGTTACCACAGGGGTCGCCGCTCTCACCCATCCTCTTCCTCTTCTACAACGCAAACCTCGTCGCAGGGAGGATGGTGGACCAGTCGGGAACCATGGCCTTCGTGGACGACTTCACGGCGTGGGTTACCGGCCCAAACATGGGAAGTAATATCCGACGAATCCAGAGTCAGGTCCTACCGAAGGTTGAAAAATGGAGCCAGGATAGCGGGGCACTGTTCGAACCGGATAAGACCCAATTTATCCACTTCACGAAGCGTTTAAGACAGGACGAGGACGAGCTCCAGCCACTGGTATTTATGGGTCGCGACGTACCGCCGGCCTCAGAGGTCAAACTCCTGGGGGTAGTAATAGACCAGAAACTTGGGTTTCAATCCCACGCGAGGAGGGCGGCCAAACGAGGCGAAAAAGCGGCTATGGCACTCCAGAGGTTGAAGGGGCTCACCCCGAAGGCAGTCAGGCAGATATTTACAGCGACGGTCGCGCCAACCACCGACTATGGTGCTCCGATCTGGTTCCCAGGCTCCGCAGGGACAGTAGCCCGTCATATCGAGAGGGCCACCAAACTGGGGGCGAGCGCAATCACGGCCATCTTCAGGTCCGCGGCGTACGACGTGGTAACTGCCGAGGCCGGGATCGAATCAGTCCAGGATAGGCTCTACGAACTAACGAGGAAACACTGGATTAAGATGCATACGAAACCACCGAACCACTATAGCTGGCGACTTATCCGACGCCTGCACAAAACTGAAAGGCATAGGTCACCTCTAGAAGCTACAGCGGAGATCCTCCAACACGTCAAACTAGATACGCTCGAGAAGGTAGAGGCGTTTGTTAAGCCGCCATGGCAAGACCCACCTTGCGTTGTGATCAACGAGGAGGCGATTGCAATCGGGAAGGCCACCCAGCTCGGCCTTAGAACCATTTTCACCGATGGATCATGTCGGAACGGCCTAGCGGGTATCGGGATCTATGCCCCGAATATCCCACGTCTCCGTAAAGCTCGCACAATAGGAATAACACCAGGCGTCGATGCCCTTTATACAGAACTGGCCGCCATCTCGGAAGCCATCTCGGAAGCAGCCGTTAATATCCCCGCACTAGGCCTCGGCCTCGACCACTGTTATATCTTATCGGACTGTAAAAGAGCCCTCGATACGATCAAGACGCCACAGTGGAAAAGGAGTAGAACCCTCCAAGAGATCTTCCGGAAACTTGCAGAGACAAAGGAAAATGGATTCACGTTCACCTTCCATTGGGTGCCGGCACATAAGGGCGTCCCCGGCAATGAAGAGGCACACTCCCTTGCCCAATCCGCTACCTCTGCGGGATCGCAGCCGGAGGGGTACACTGAAATACTTCGACACGTAATCCGGCAAGGGCGAAGACAGCAGGGAGCGAAACGCACGGCTTTCCTGGCCAGGAAGACAGGGCGCTTCGTAAAGGCACTCGACAACGCACTCCCAGGCAGACATACAAGGAAACTTTACGACAACCTAACGAGAGTCCAAGCAGCGCTCCTCGTCCAAGTCCGATCAGGTTATAGCCGCCTTAACGGCTACCTCCACAGGATCACGAAGGCCGAAAGCAGCGCCTGCGAGTGCGGGGTAACTGAGACCGTCCGTCACTTCATCCTTGAATGCCCGATATGGGAATCTCAGAGGCGGCAGATAAGGACAATAGCTGGACCCCGAGCCGGAGACTTAGCGTATCTCGTCGGCGCATACGAATCCGAGGCCAAAGACGGTCCGATCAGGCGGTGGTCTCCGGACCTGAAAGCAGTGATAGCGACGATACAGTTTGTTAAAGATACAGGAAGACTAGACCCGGGGGTTTAGCTACCCCTTTCCTCTCTAACTAACTTTCTATTCTACTAACTACATGGTCTCCACCCTCTGACCCGACGCTGTGCCCGAGTAAGAGCAGCGTCACTCTAGAACAGAACCTAGAAGGACAGAGACGTCCAGAAACGGACCGTTTTTATATACTACCCTTATAATACTCTCCTTTGTTTAATAGACGCGGAAAATGGAAAGCGGCAGGAAGGAACTATATTGACAAGGCCATAAGGACACAAGGCAACCATCATGTAATTAGTCATCCTAGCTAGTTCCCCACATGGGCCTCGCAGAGAGGCCTGACGGGCGTATGAATCTCTCTCTCTCTCTCTCTCTCTCATTCAAGAAAGTATTCATCATATTTCGAACGGTTTTAAAACTCCTTGCCGTCCGAAACTACATCCTCATCATTCCTCTGCATTTGGCATTTCTCGTGGTCCTTTAGGTATGATCGCAGGTGTCGGATACTACCAAGATGTTTGGGACATAGCATAAGCTGACAGCCAAAACGGTCCTTTTCCTCCCTAAGTATACGTAAAGGAACTTCGTAGTACGAATCGATCTTGAGGTACGAAAAGAGCCGTAGTGCGGTTATGTTGATTATACGCATGTTATGAACGATCGACTCTGGGCCGTTTTGTAAACGAAGCTGGATTGGGAAGGGCTTTTTCTTGGTGGGGGAGATAGGGAGGTATTCGCCATCGGGACGCAATTTAGAAGTGATCTAAAATGGTTAATCAAGGCTTTTCTCAGCTTCCAGATGAGAGTACTAACTGTCATAACCTTGACATAACCTTTTCGCTGCGGAATCCAATCAAGAACAAGTACCCTATGGCAGAGTACAATGCTTGGAATATCCGGAAATACGACACCAAGCCCGGCGCATTCTGCTTCGCTTCGGAATGAATAAATCCTCCCTTCAACGCTGTTCCGTGGCCCCATTGCTGTCACTAAATAATGGCGATAATTTCGAGATAAAATAAAGCTGCGGGAACCGGTTAAAGACTCACTTCTCCATGTTATAAGGAATGGCCGATTTTAATCATCAGCTGGATGCATAAAGAGCACAGGTTTATGCAACAACGTTGCACAGCATAACCAACCGGTGAGTTATTAGATTTCTAGAGCGGGTAGAGATACTTAATGCATGTTGGCAATGTACCAGGCAGAGGAGAAGATTCCTAAAACCGAGACTTAAAAGCGAGTTCTCATGATTCTGAAAACTGCTCTCAGGTTCGAAACTGCTCCAGCTAAAAATAGAAACCTCCACAGTCGCCGCTTATCCAATACCATATAGTTGATTTTTCCAGTCTCTTTACAGTATTGTATCAGAACTCTGCATCGGAAATGACGTTGGGAAGTACCTATGATAGAGCTTGACCGGAAGAATCCTGGCGAGGAACCGGAGAATGCTCCCCGCTTCCTATTGCTGTTTTCAGATACACCGGAATGCGAGACTTCGACGATTGGACAGCGTAGGACGGCGCTCTCCAGATAGTACAGCTGATACTATCAATGCAATGATATAATTTCTTATAACTGTCTCATCCTCGCCTGCATTCTGGGTTCTGTTGGAAATCAGAGTTTATTACTTAGTCATCACACAAGATTCCTTTCCTTATTTTGTACCTTACGTAATCCTAGTTATATCTACCTTGCAAGGTTTTCTACCTTTCACAAATACAAGCATCTCATTCCATCTGTCGGAAAACCTATTGTTTCCGTGGTCGATTAACACGTTTAAACCAATCAACAGGTTCGCATCGTTCGATTGTACGTCTAAAATATTATCCGGAGCCATTTAAGACTTCTACGATCACTTAAATCCTCTACTACTTCGGTCCTAATTTGGCATAAACTCAACCAAGAAGAGCTCACACCAAGATGTCGCAGGACCAAAAATGGCCTTCGCTTGAAACGATCCGAAACGAACGCGGGAGGTCCCTGAATCAATGCATCATTGACACCTATAAAAACCAAGACGAATCAAATTGGAAGTCTCTTAATTTCTCCAGAAGATTGAAATGCTTTTATCTAGGTCGGAGGAGGGGCTTAAGGACAATCACTTTAGATGCTTCCAAAGGCCAAGCAGATTATGTTGCCGTCTCCTATCCTTGGCATCCATCTCCAGGCGAAAATGACTCACGAGGGGGATACTCACTCGAGAGCGGGGAACGCACTCAGGTTCGCGACATTGTTATCGATAGGATCATCGATTTCATCAAAGATACCGGAGAGATGATACCTTTTTGGGTGGACCAGCTCTCCATCAACCAAAAAGATGAAAGCAAGAAAATGGTTGCCGTCAATTCTATGGATCTTGTATATAAGAACTGTCTGTACGCTGTTGGGCTCCTTGCGGCTAATATCCAAACCCAACAAGAGATGGATCTTCTTGCGCGGTTCATGAACGGTGACTTTTCCCAACAGCAAACCTGGAAGCTTAGATTGCTAGCCCTCTTGTTCCGCATTGTTAGTGATCAATTCTGGGAAAGAGCTTGGATATTTCAAGAAGATTACATGGCTGGAATGAAAATGTGGCTCCTTATCCGTCATAAACCTGGTCTTCAGAAACCTTCTCATCTGGGGACTCTCCCAGAGGATATTAAGATCCAATCATTTGATTTTAAAGACAGGGCCACTAAGTTCTGTTTAAGATATCGCAAACACCCAAAGATCAATGCCTCTGCGAAAGAGTGGTGTAACACCATTCTCCAAAAGGCACCCAAATATTCTGCGCTTCACGACTATGGTTATGATGGCTATGGGAGCCGGAGCCAAAAATCCATGACGATCCGTATCCTAGAAGACTTGGGTAGTCGTGGCATCAGGCACCAAAAAGACCTTTTGCCAATTATTGCCAATGTCTGTGGCTATGACCGTCGCATTAGTACCAAAGACAACACATTCTCAAGTGTCAGTCTGAGCCTCATGACTCAACATCTACTAAATGGAGAAATTATTAGGAACGATATAAGGGGTAATACTGAAAAGGGTGTTTTCGATTTCCTAGCAGGCCAAGCCCTGAATATAGATGTTCCTGATTCCCTAGGTAGTGGAGCATCGACCTTTATTAAGCATTGCCGACTCTCGGTTATCAACCTTTCCCGAACTGGAATTCATGCTAGTGGGATTCTTTGGAAGTCTTACAAACGGATCCCACCATATAATCACTGGAATCGGTGGAGAGATCCAAAATTATATCTACTTGATTTCCTTCGCCGTGAAGGGCATCATCCACTTGCGGAAGATATTGAGAGAGTTTTCTTTCCAATAAATAGCACACCACCTGGATGGTCAGCTGGACGAGTGCAGGAAATCATGGCTGATCATATAGTCGATGAAGTCAAACAAGGGAAATCCCTCCGACTGGCACGTCCAGTTGGTGACGGTTCTCTAAAAAGAAGCCCCTACCGTGGTATCTTTACTTCAGATAACCCGGAAGACTCGGATACATATGTTTTCACATCTTGGGACCGGGCAGGGGAATATATACGACACGGTAGGAGTATGACGACTCCAGCCAATTTCGCCTTTTTAGAAGTCGAACATAACGGAACTCGATATAGAGCAACAAGATTAAGAACAAAACAGTGGGTAAATGGATTGTTCTTCTTCTCCGGGGAATCACTACATGAATTCGTTTTTCCATTGCCAGAGGCACTATTTGGTCGGCCATAAAAGAGTATTCATTCATAGGAGAGTGTTCTTAAGAGAGCAAGTAGGTGTATATAGGAGAGCGGGTGGCAGAGCACTTGATTTGCAATATTTCTTTCCGCTATAGCGGCCTGACCTTGGTGTTTATGCTCCGCCTTCTTATCTACGGCACTCTAGTGTCTACGACTTGATGACATCTACGACAATGATGGCCCTATTTCTCGGGTTCCGCAATTGAATGCTTGATAACTGTTCTTTCCATTATGGGGCTCAATTGAAAAAAGGTATGATTATCTCTGGTGGAATATGGTTTATAGCAAGCCACTCTGAGCGCTGGATGATTCGGAAATCAATACCAAACTTTCGCCCAATCTCCGTCATAGGGAAAAGAATTGTATATTCATCAGGAGACATCCAACCCTCCATTTGGACAATGCAGTTGTCGAACTGTATGGTCAGAGTGTGTGATTGAAATTTAGACGTATCAATCTCAGCCACGAACACATCACGGTATCTCGACGCTCTAAAGAGTGACGCTCGTCTCCGGGCATGTTCTATGATGATGGTTAAATAAGTATCTCGCTAGCTTTAACGAAATCACCCCTACCTCGGTTATCAAATAGAGAAATGAATGGGCTTGGCTCCAGTGATGTATCCTTCCCATCGAGATGCCTCCGCACCTTTGTTGGATTGAACCAATGACAGAAGTCCATCCAATACCTGCCCTTTGCCACAAATCCGATGTCTGGCTCATAATGAGTGAATGAATTCCTATGTTGGGCACGCCAAAGCCTCGGCCTTGGCCGATGACTAGAATTCATGATATGTCGAAGAGGCTGAAATGCAAACTGTCCGAGCTGGGGGCGAGCAGAACGAACCTGTGCATGAAAAAGGGGAAGCTGATGTTGCAAGGTTCTGTAGTATTAAACCAAACGAAAGATAAAGATGAAGCAAAAGTGAAGAGAAGGAGGAGAGAAATCCCTCCTATATAGTTTCTCGACTCTCTTGTGTACTCTAACCTCGCGTGTGCTGTCAATGGTTACACAACATACTTCATCTATAGTCAGGTCATAAGACCACCAACCTCCTCGCTTCTGGTATCGATCCCAAAGGAGTACAGCTCGACTTGTTACACGTACTGCATGTTGCTGACGCAGATTAATGTACCATCCAGACTAATGAACTTTGATTATGAACCATCAACGTCTATGTAGCTTTTGCTCACAGCTAGAGTAGTCAACCTGCTCCGACGAAAAGGAGTTGCGGAACTCATCCAAGTCTTCCCAGTTGAATATTACTAGGTCTGAGTCGAGCATATATAGAGGTCGAGCTCAACTCAGACGCCGGACTAAGGTATGTTGGAATACGCCACCGAGGCGTTGCAGCAGGCAGCAGCTCTTGGAAAACATTGGGAGAGCCACGGGTGCAGGGCATGCTCGCTCTTGGCGTTCCAACCCCCAAAGCATTCAACACAGAGCCCATCATCTCCATAATCACCAAATCAAAACACGTCCACTACGTCAATATGGTACGCTACCGAATATCTTTCTCGATTTATGCTGATCTTACTAGGGGCTTGAAATCTTGGAGGATAGCGAAGCATGGGAGCAGATGGACGATCTCCTTACATTTTCCCACACAAAGGTCATCCTCCGCGACGGCTCGCAGTATTTCTTTGCTATCACCGATCGCCGTTATTCTCCTTCCTCCAAGATCGATCCATCCACTCTCAAGCTTCATCCGATTCCAATCTCGCGGATCTGGCCAGTATTTCCAGCGAACTATACACGAGCGGCGAACCCCCTACCTCCAAATTCATATGTGAAACGGCCTCGCTTGCTCTATTATGGAGACAGCGAGGCATCGACGGATATAAGTCTGCTGCTACATGAAGCTCAAATTTACGAGGTTTTGGCGAAGTCCCCGCATCCAAACATTGTAAGATACCTGGGCCCAGCGGGTGACACAAAAAGCGAGACTCACAAATTGCCGATGTTTGCCCGCCCCCTTGCAAAGTACTCTGTAGATATCAACAATCAATAATTAATTCATCTGCCATGGTTTATACACGCTCTCAAGCTCAAAAGGCTTCTAAAAATGCCCAAAATCCCGGTCCTCACCATGATACTCCAAAAAAGTCCCGTGTTCGCGGCGAAATCGAGCATGAACGAGTGCGACGGAGACTATATGGTTTCGAGACGACGCCCTCGAACAATTCAATATTCCACCGTAACGGCATACCTAAATCATCCGGTTATCGAATTATAAAGTCTTCTCGAGGAAACCGACGAACTTGTGAAAAAGAAACACGCGGTCGGAAGCCAATCATCAGCCCTACGCAGCTCGCAATGCTCGATCAGTTGGTAGAAGAGATGGACTCTCAAGACAGAGAAATGACGTGGGAAACCCTCGCTACAGAGGCTGATATTGATTGCTCAGGACGTACGATACAAAGAGCAATGCAATCGCTTGATTACCATAAATGTATCGCTTGTCGAAAGGCCTGGGTTTCAAAGCAATTGGCTACTAAGCGTGTCGCATACGCGAAAAAGATGCTCGCCAAATACCCTACGCCAGAGCACTGGAAACACGTCAGATTTAGCGATGAAGTTCACTTTGGCCTTGGGCCCCAAGGCAAGACTTTGATTATCCGGAAACGAGGCCAACGGTATTGTTCAAAATGCATTCAACGCGTCGATGATCCCGATGAGGAAGATAAGAAGAAAGTCCACGCTTGGGCAGCCGTCGGGTACAATTTCAAAGGGCCACTCGTATTCTACGAGATCCCGAGCAATACAAACGGGAAGATGACGCAGGAGTGCTATCTTAACGATATCCTAAAGCCTGTCGTTGGCGGATGGCTCGTAAATGGAGACTATTTCGTGCTTGAGGAGGATCAGGATAGCGGTCACGCACCACCAAGATCTACGAAGACAAAGCCTTCCGCCGCCTCGAGGTGGAAAACGGAAGTAGGACTTCATTGTTTCTTTAATTGCGCAGGATCTCCGGAGCTCTCGATCATCGAGGACTGTTGGCAACCGATCAAAAGATATGTAAGGAAATACAGGCATTGGGAACCCGAGGAAACGGTACAATTAGCAAAAGAGGCATGGTACGAGCGTCTTAATCAGGAATGGATTAATAAACGGGTGCTTTCTATACCTGATCGGCTACGTAAAGTCATCGAGTCTGATGGGCAGCTTATTGGTTATGGCGGTGGAATGCCGGGCTAACCGCCACGCTTTTTATATATATACAAAAGCTATGGGTGCGAATAGCTTCAAACTTGCTTATATTCAAATTGAAATTAATTTAGTTACGTGGTTGTTGAGATATCCTATATTGTATACAAATTTGTATGGTGTGGTGGTGCCAAGCCCAATTATGAGTCTCGCTTTTTGTGTCACCCGCTGGGCTGGGGTGCGAAATCATGTCTTGGCATAAACCATCATGCCAAGATATGGAAAGCAAACCAATGGGAGGCAGTTGATAAGTTGATTTGAGACCAGGGGGTTCCATAGAAAGATGAACTGACCCTTTTGATTCCGTCCATTTTCAATATCCAGGGAAGGTTTTTTTGTGCCTGCCATCCTGCCTTCATCCCGCCTTTCATGCTATATACCCGTGACAGCCATCAATTCCTGACAGTTCCTAGATGGCCCCCCTTAAACGGCTGTTCTGCGAAGATGACGGCTAATTCCTACGCTCCAGCGCACGCAACCCGTCACACGCAGTTCGGGTTCGGACGCTTCTTAGGGCACATGCTTCGCAACCATACGCATAGCTTCGCAGCCGAAGATGTTTGGCACAGCTTTCTCCACACTCTTCTTTGCGTGTTTTTCTTACCACACGCTATTTGATGGCAGGCACTTGGTCACACGCATACTCTCGCACACTTCCAGCCCCACATCCCCTGACTCTGCACGACCGTTACCGTAGACCTTCCGCGTTTGCAGCTTTGTTGTTGTAGGCTCCCCTAACTGGTACGCCACTCACCGCACACTCTTGAGCTCACGCTCAGGAGCTGTTATCTAAGATTGTTCGTGGGCTAGGCTTTGGATTAAATTTCTTTTGCGTGTACATACATGTATGCTCACTTCCGAAGATACATATCTGAAAGCTTGTATTTCCAGGGAATTGGAAATGTAGATGAGGAAATTGATTCCTATTTTTAGAAACCTGCTAAATGGGTTCCCAAATTTAGGACCTATGTTCTCAGGAATCCGGAAAAGGGTCCCAGTGCGGATCCGACGCTAAATTTAGAACTACCAGTGTCTCCTTTTATGTCGCTCATCTCGCATTATAGTTTACGATACTAAAACTAACTCTCGGCTCGCTAAGGATGGCTCGATACGATCAGAAAAAGGCAAGACCTAAGCGCGATAGGACAAACGAGAATTTTAGAAAGGGAGTAAATGGATTCCTCCTGCGAGGGGAAAAACTTCGGCGGAAGTATCATGCCGACGTTTATATACTAGTACGTCGTGATCGGAAGCTCTATTCCTATGACTCAGGTAGTAAATGCTGGGTTCCAACTCAAGAGGAATTAGTAAGTTAATACCTTTAATAACTTATATGGATTAACTGTTTTCTAGGAAAACTACTACCCTCTACCAGTAAAGAGGTCGCCAGCATATTACCTACATGATACTTCAGATGTAACCAGATCAGAAGAGCAGACAAATCCATCTACTTAGTTAGCTCAATAATTTCAACCATTGCAAGTACAGGCACTCAATACTCTTCTCCTCCTCTCAGGATCTTCACTTAAACCTAATCGCACCAAACCACTCTACCGGATCAATCAATCACCATGCCAATCTTCGTGTCTTTACGCCGCTTAGTCCACGATTCTAGCATCTCCATTACCAATCCATACGTCGTTGACTTTTTCGACCGCCTCGCCGCCTCCTACAGTATGGTTGGCCACCTCGATACACTGCCTTCTACCATCCCTTCCGCGACGGCGTGGACTACACACGAACTACGCCGGAATTGAGAATTCCCAAATAGAGAGGAGAACTCGTACTGGACATGGGCCTGGTGATGATTCGAGATGCGGTAGTACGGGCCCTCGAGACAATGGATGGGATATAGGTCTTGCTTGGAGAGGATAATCCACGGGCATATAAGGTTCAGGAGCTGCCTATAGCGTGTAATTCGTGCCTGGATAGCTTCGATGACTCCATTTACTCCCCATCACCCCAGTTATAAAGCCGACTTATGATCTTAGTGGGTTACGCAATCCAAAGCATAGCTTGAATCGATTGATTACTTGAAGATAACCGAAGGGTAATATTCCCAAGTCACTGATCCAATCCTCCCTGATTGCGGCGCCCCAGCATATCTATGACAGCGTCGATACCGTGCATAAACCCTTTCTGAAGCCAGTACAATGACAGTGGATATAACCAAGAAGCTGTCACAACGTTCCCATTTTGCAGATGTCGCCCGCTAATGGCCATCGCTTGCGCGCCCAAGGCAAGGTACATGGCTGCGCTGACTCTGTGCCTGTGCTCATGCCGGTCCCGAGTTCCATTCACTTCCGCTTCCGTACATGGCATAAGTGTTTCCCGCCAAATCGTCTTCACCTGACGTTTCACTTCCGGATCATATTCCCATAAATCCGGCTCGAGCAAGATACAATGGGTCTCCCCTTTGACGACTAGCTTGGCGAGTATCTGTCCGTTCGATTCGTGTATGCCGGTAATATAGGCATCGTTCTACAGCATAAGTAGCTGCTCAAAGCTCTTTGGGGTTTCTCTCTTACCCTTGCCTGCAAGAGCTCTGTCCCTGCACTAATGTCTTGCTCATACTCGGGGGGGGTAGTGTCCGCTAATTTCCATCTGCCGCTGTCCTCAACGTACCACCTGCCCATTTTCAGTCAGGTGTAAAATGTGGTAAATATCTTCGTTGCGTAAAATATCAGAAGTAAAGATTTGTCTGAATTTCTTCCAAAGGTGAGGTACCGCTTCTATTTAAGAAACGACATTTAAGGCGTCCCAAGATTCAGCGGTTAGGGATGAGGAAATAAAAGATTCTTCTATATTTCCAGCTCCGGAGGTGTGAAATATCCTAGAGGACAGAACTGGGTGGTTATCTAGTGAGCGTGTCTGCGACGGGTTGCAGATTCAGTGTGAGAAAACGATGGCACCACCGGCCCGCAAGAAATCACGATGTTGCAAAGTTCGTCTTTTCTATTATGACAATCCCTTATGAGCATTTTGCAAAATACCATTCTGCACTTCGCCAACTCTATGATTTCACTGGGGAGTATATGAAAGAGACAGATAGCTCCAAAGTGAAGTCGACAGCATGACCCGATCAGATCTCAGAGAGCACTGAAACCACTTTGGGGAGAAAACGACGTTTGCTGATAAGAAACAGTTGCGTTATGCCATGTCATTTTCAATATGTTTGAGCCCAAGGATCTGCTTGAGCAATAGTATTGACGTGGCCTCATAGGTTCTGTATCAACAATCATGAAAGTATCAACTGACAGATGCTGCGGCGTCAGGCGTATGGCACTTGTTCACATCGGTAGCATTCTCTTCCTCTTCCTTGCTTTCCAAGTAGTTCAGCCAGACCCAGCCACTGATATGCCTTGGTCTCTCCTCATTCCGATGTAGATGCCGGTATGCTTGAAAAAACTCCTCTGCAGCTTCCTGACCAATCTGAATCTGAGAGCTCTTTTGGTTCTCATCTATCATCACCGTCACAAAAGGCCCTCCTGTCCACTTTTGGTTTAACAAATAACGGTGCGGGCTATGATCGTACTGAAAGTAAGCCCAAATCTTGTGGGTACGATCAAAGAGAAGGATTCTTTTGCCAACAACAATATCGATGATCTATTCAAGACTTAGAATGATGTACTCTGCGGTGGTCGATACTTACATATAGTTCTTTTGGAAATCCAGGTACACCCTCATCGAGGATTCGTTCCACTTCAGACGGAGCCATGCGTTTCTGCCCCAAAAATCCGTACTGTAGTGTGCTCGTCGGCAAAAATGGTCGATAGAGGTAGAAAGACGCCTTTCCTAAACGAACCAGTGTTTGGATACTTGAAGGACGTGAGACCTTGAGTAGTCGTTATTGTCCGGTTTTATATCGGAGGAGCACATTGGCTGCACAAGCATCGGGGTACTCGGGAGACAAATGCCAGCGGTATTGGGTGTATAGCACTGATTCACGTTTGTATGTGCTTTATTATTTTAGCCAGAGCCAGAAGATCTCGTCTTCTCTCTTGACCCATCCACAGGAAGCCACATTCTCGGCATTATAGGAAACAAAGCAATGGCTACGGTATGGGAAAGACGACTGAGACAGGGACTAGCTCGGGCCTTAAGAAACTTCGGGACAGTTCAGTGCTCCACGCTGCCGATGTCGATCACTGAGACCATTACCGTGAAGATAGTGACGCGGGGTAGAGAACAGTAGGTGGCTCTTCACTGAAATTTCGATCTACCTCATGGACTGAGAATCAAGACTTGCCTGAGGAGGGGCGGCTTCTAATGACAGGATCGTTCAGGACCGCACTGTTGTTCGCAGAACCGTTATGTGGGATGAGAGTAGTACATTTACATTCATATTGAATGATATCTGAATGGAAGGACTGCTAAGGCCGGGGCCTGATAGTCGCAGGCTGCGGTGTCATAAGGACAGTACCAGCGTGTGACTCTGGCATTGGCAATTTCCTGCTCTTCGGTTGGTTGTAATTTTGCCGCTCTCCGACTAAGCTCTCGGTAGAGCTGTTGCTGTCTTTTTGAATGAAACGTAGCATATTGGTTGCCACCACTATAGTCGAAAGTACAGTCAAAACGGTGAACTGAGTCTACGACGAGTTAGTTGAATATTGGACCGTCATTCATACACCTACAGAACTGGCGATCTGGAACCAGAAATCAATCTGTTCAACTATGCCAAGTCTATTCATACGTCCTCGAGATACGGATATCCCTACCCATAACGCGGATACCACTATACCAGCAATTGGGCTAGCTAGAAACGGCCAGTAGACGTGATGCGCCATCTGTAGTATACATGCTCTGAACCATGAAAACAGTGCAAGGACGGCAAAACTGGAAACGTGAGACGTAAGCCGAAGTGGCTGATTCCGCAATAACCTATGAGTGTTAACAGCAGCTTGTAGGGAACCTGCTTAACTCACGAGAATGTCCATGCGACGACCGCAGCCATCGCCAAAAGGATTACCGCCCACCATCGCCATCCAAAACCTTTAAGCCGGTTCACTAGGTCGCGAATCGGCCGTCGCCGTTCACTGACGTCCGGTTCGTGCACTTCCGGAATCGACCGACGCCATTCATTGACCTCTGGTTCGTGTACAATGTCGCGACTCGACTGGAATAATTGAAAGGCCAGAACGCTTGCGCTTCGAAGTTTTTCTGCCACTTCAAAGTCTTGGGCGATACCTGCCACACCCAGCGTGGCAGTAACAATGCAAAAGAAAATTCGTAGAGAAAATATGACCTTGACCTCTGTGCTCTTCAAGGACTTGGAGAAAATAATAAGGACGCAATCAAGTAATAGGAGTGCGCTGCCCACTGCATGCAGCACAGCTAATGCAGTCCGTTGCTGCGGAATGGTCTGATACGGATCCATTGGGCAAGGCAAAACATGTCTGGAATAAACCCTCACTTACCTGAGCGACCGATCGCATTTAATACCTGCGAGATTTCCATACTACGAAAGATGAAAGCGTTTGGCAGTATCAGGGAGAGTTATCGCACTGTCGCTCATGGGCTCCCGGTGGAGAGCGTGGTGGCATGGATTGAGCCACATTGCGGCGGCCGGCAGAATCATTAGCCTTCGCCGATCGGTGATGGTGGTGACCCATGGCCATATGGTTTAATGTAGTGCCATAGGTGTGTGATATGCAATCCAATCAGGATGTGGACCGCTTAGAGCCCCTGGGGGCTCTAAGCGGTCCACATCCTGATTGGACTCCTTCATATTTCCGTTCTGTGAAATAGAGCATGGCCTACGAGCCTTCTCATCATCAACTTCTCGCTCCTTCATGCTGCAAACAAAATGAGTGTGAGAAAACGACGGCACCGCCGGGCCCCAACACTGCCCATTTCAATGCTTGCCTTTACTCTTATGACAAACCCTTATGAACATTTTGCAAATCAGCTTTCTGTACTTCGCCAACTCCATGATTTCACCGGGGAGATTTTGGAAGAGACAGGTAGCTCCCAAAGAAACTCAAGAACATGCCTCGATGCGGTCTCAGGGAGCACTGGAACCAACCTTGACGAGAGAACCATATTTGCTGATCATACAAAGACGATATCACCCGCAAAATCAGCCCTGTTCATAAGCAAAAACGCTAGCAGGCTTTCGGAGAGAGAGCAGGATTTCCTCCGCGAAGTACTCGAGAAGGAGGGTCATGTTCGGTCTTTTTACAAGAAACCTCATGACATAACTTTTCTCCAAAGCAGAGAAGACCCAAGAGTCGTGGACTTTGGGGCCATCTTTGGATCTGAGCATAGGATTCCGAAGGGCGACTCGAGGGACGGGCCGAAAAGTGACTCGGAGGACAACTCGGAGGATAGAGAGAAGGTGGGTAGCCAATCCCTAACCTCATTGAAGGCATGCTTCGCAACCAGAAATTTGGCAGTAGCGTACCACGCTGCGAAGACGGCCGCAGGAGATGCTGCGAGAAAGGCCGCACAATCGAAGGGATGGTCGAAAGTGGATACAGACAAGGCTGCAGAAAAAGCGATGAAAGACGTGTCAGCAAGAACATATGTTGAGAACAGCCCACGGTTCTTGGACAAGGTGTTAGCACGAAAGGGCATTACGAACGGCGAGAAGCTCATCACACTTGAAAAGACCACCAAAACCAAAGGGATATCGTTGGTCGTCTGCCATATTCCAGGTATGCGCGATATCACAGTCAAATCGGTCGAACTTATTGGAGAATGCTTAACAACCCCACTGTGCGCGGGAGTCTTGGATTTGGCGAGATCGTTAGATGAGACGTTTGAAAAGTATCAAAACAACTACGATCAAAGCATCAGTAAGGTGCTAGGACAGAACGAGGAAAGCTGTTCAGGAAAGTAATGTTCCAGATTGTCCCAACTCACTACTAACTCGTCAGCAGCTAATGCAAGTGCCGAGTCCCTTCATCAGGACAATTCTCCACTTTATCCGTCGCAATTCCGCCATCGACTTTTCGGACGGCACGATAACTCCATTCAAACAGACAATGGGCTAGCTGGAGGGACAACCGAATTCGGCAATGGATTCATGGAGGGAAACCAGCCTACTCAAGGGGAAGGTAATTATATGAGGGAATGATTGTTTTCTCTCACTGACTTGAAGTAGGCATCTCTAACATACTCGATCCTGGTAATATCGATTGGACCTTCGAACAGGGACTGTTCTTAGATCCACCAACGGATTGGTTGCTTTCGGATGCTCTCATTGCATGAGTAGGGCTACTACTCCGGGGGTCCAGAGGACCTTTTCATTCGGAGCGATGTAGAAGACGTCCAACCTGGCCATATTCTCCGACTGGTTTTTGATACCGATTGTACCTTGTTGTTGAGTGCCGACCGGGACGAACAAGGTGAAATCGGTGGTACTAAGCCCATTCGATGTCGAGTTAGAGCGCACCAATGTGATCCCCTTCCTGAAATCCTGTCAAGGTCAGCGACGTACATAAGAACGGAGGAAAGATCGTACAATCGGAAGCTTGCTCTGACATGCAGCTTTAATATCTTTTAAAGTAGTCTTGTTGGCCAGATCCAGGTTTTTGCATCCATCCATAGCTTGATCGGTAATCCAGGTGGCATTCTCATCAACCCATGCCTGCAACTCGTCCAGCAGCGGCACCACATCCTCATCGAGTGTGTAGCGAGACAAGCGTTGTTCCGTCATATGTGACGTATGTGTCAGGGTCTCTGAATCGAGGGAAGATAAATAGTCGCTGAGCAATGTCAGTTCGTCTCCTGCATATGGAGGTTCGGGATGGTTTCCATGCTGCGCCATGTGGGATCGGCCTGCAGAAAAGTGAGTGGAGTAGCACGTGCGGTCCTAAAATCGGTCCAGCGTTCGAGATCCTTGGCACTCCACGTTAGTTTTTGCACTTCGAAATTGCGGGGGCTTAAATTACTCGAAATTGATCCCATGTTATTATATAAAACTAGAAACTGTGCGGCCTCTCCTTTATCGGAGCGAGTCATAATATTCTATGGTCTTCTGACATCATGGCACTTGTTTGTGCTGCTGGTTTCCGGTGTGCAACGATTGCGCGATTGGGAGGTTCCATCGAGCGAGCATGTACGGTGTAGCTCGCTGAATCTTCATGTTGCGATGGAGCCGATTGCCATATAAGAATGCCGAATCCTTAGTCTCTATGTTGCCAGGGAGGAAAATCTGAGACCCCAACCGTAGTGTTCACCCAGCCGTTCTAGGGACACGGCAAAGATGGTGAATAGTGAGTCTCATCTACGATGTCTAGCTGTCCAATTGTTAATGCACAGATTTAGGACGGTTCTCATATCATCAGAATTTATTCTTGATAGCTTGCCTTCTGGAGAGGAACAGCTTCCTTTTCCAAACCGGGGATCAGAGGTCTTTCAATGATGTTCTCCGTCGAAAAGCGGCGGACTGGGAACCAAAGATAGGGAATGACACATTGGCCTGGAAGAAAAGGGACCAAAAAAATAATACAACTTGGGAGAAGATTGCACTTGCACTTACCGGAGGAAATTACGGGTTCCGAACGATTTCCTTAAAGGATCTGCGCATGCAACTGGCCTTCATCCTCTTGGAGATACAACGGATCTCTACCGATTTCGACATTCGAATAGAGAGAAGGGAACGAACTCAAAATCTCGACGCGCAGGAAACCCTACTCCTTCTTGGGGTCAGTCTTGGTATCAGGCCGCTTCGACTAGATCCACCTAATTTCTGGTCTTTTAAGGGTCTCGATGAGTTGGCTAAGCTTCTTGCTCAGTCTCCGGTATTTCTGGATGGCATCTCGGCGTGCGACCTGGAACAAGCAATAACATCGCTTGAACTGCTCTTCAGAACTTTAGACTCCCAATCTCACGAAGCAGGCCTAAATGTTCCGATGTCCCTAGGAAAGCGGCGATCCGATAGCGATCTTCATCGTATCTCCAAGAAACTGCGAGAGGACACGGGGATATGAGAGCTTGGGTGCGAGGCAATAAGCATAAGGCAGAAATGGGAGGAGAGAAAGGGTTACTTGTGTCTAGGGAGAGCTAAGGGGTAAGGTAATGACCTCCTTGTACATAGCAACTTTTCTGTTTTAAATTGAAGGTAGTCAGCTTCTCCATTTTCGAATGTGTTTCACATGAATAAGTCACCCGTTCTCCTATGCCCACCGCGGCTGACGTATCATCTTTCCTTTCTTCCGTACCTAGGACATTTAGAATATATATATATCACCGGGAAGTCTTGACGCATTTAGATGCATGCGCCAACACCGTCTCATTTTACTTAACATGCCACCATTGGGAGAAAATGGGGAAACAGTGCCCCGCTGGACGGGTGAAAATATAAATTGAATGAAGTTGCACACTGAACTGGTCTTCTCTTTAATCAAGTCCTTTCTATATCCCAATATCTGTGAATTTTGAACGTTCGCTTTCATCTAGAAATTTCTTTCCCACTCCGATTCAAAATGGCGACCAACCATCATGAGCTGTGCCGGGAAACTATCACAGATCCAAGGTACTCAGGTTTACCCGCTCTGTGATTACGGTCGATAACATTCATAATAGTTCTACTTACTCCTTTATCTGTATTTTCCCTCGTTGTTTGAAGGTCTTTCACAGTAAAAGTGATTGGAAGCGACACCTGGCCTCGAATCACTATTGGCTCGAGCGGTGGCTCTGCGGCGACTGCGATACTCCACTTTCCTCCTTCTACGACGAGGCCTCACTACATAATCACCTTAAGGAGAAACACAGCTACAATGATGAGGCAAAGAGGGTTGAAAAGGCTGAACAAGGCCACCTGGGACAAAAACGGGAGTGGTGTGGTCTATGTAAGGCGGTTGTCGACATAGAGCCGAAAGGCGGCATAAGTGAGCATGTTTCATCTGAACATATTTCCAAGAAAGAGAATCTGGCGGCTTGGATGTGTTTCGCAGAGCGAAAAACGAAGGAAGAATTGCTCATGGAACACAGTGAGGGAGAATCATACTGTTCTGCATGTGGGAGCAATCTTTGGCAGTGGCTCAATGTAGCACGATAGATGCAGATAACAGAATGTTAAATCTATGCCAGAAGTGTTGGTGCTCGACTTCAAAATCGTTCAGGGAGGAAAGTCCAAATAGGATCAGAACGCCGACAAAGCCTAGCCCCTTAGCCGGGCATATGTTTTGCCGAGCGACACAGACCATCCAATTGGGCGTGGAACAGCCTCAACAGGCAACAGCCTTGTAGTGCCTTCATGCCCCACCGACTAACGCCACAAGCAGATGTGAATTCGTCGTCGTAAAAAACTGCTGTCCATCATCACGTGACACTGTCATTGTGAGGGTATAAGAACATAGCAATTTTCCTGCTTCTCAACTGTGTTGTCTAGGCTGGTTAAATTCTAATCCCTACACAAACATGGCATTAGTCGGTATCCGTGCCCCATGGCCGCCCCACAACCAGAGGTTGTGGGGCGGCCATGGGGCACGGATACTGTCCTCTTTTGTACCAGTTGTGGGAGTATACTGGATCGGCATTCTCCTGAAAAAACGACGATCACTTGTAATGTTTGCCATAGCCTGAATAAAAGTGAGCTTGATTCAATCCACGTTCTGTTTTCACTGCTAAGCTTAAGTGTAGATAACTGGCCCACCTCTGTTACAACTAAATCCAAACCTGATGCTTTCCCGTCGGCTCTCCTGCAAAAGCGGAGTGTGGTAAATCAAACGATGAATTTGGAAGATGCACAAACTTGGCCGTCGACGTCTCAATCATGCCCCTCCTGTAATAATCCGACGATGTGGTTCAAAGACGTTCAATTACGTAGTGCAGACGAAGGGACCACAATCTTTTACCATTGTCCCAGATGCAATCACAGGTATGAAAGACTGCAAATCTCCCTTAAGCTATAATGTTCTAATATTTCAAAGATACAATTCCGATAATTGATGTCGGCTTCGGTGTTGGATCAGCCACTAGGACCATGCTCTGCTAGGACGCCTGCTATTATGGCAATTGTGGTACCGAGACACCGTCGCCCAGGACACTCTGGCTCCCAGGACACCTGAGAGACGGGGACACATATTATACTAAGACACCCGATGCACTATGACGTCTCCAGTACCAGGACACAGCAGGAGACACCAGATAAACATGGCTGCGCTAGGATTGTGAGAACGTCAGATTTGCCGTGCCAGCATGGCTGGGCTGATAATGGGTCACTTGTGGGTGAGGCCAAAAATGACTCAGAAGTCCGCGCAGTGGGCAGTCTGCATGGTAGGCAGTCCGCAGGAACTCTCTCAGGTATCCGAAAACATATACGCTGATATCGGGCGTGGTCAGTAATGGACTCCCGAAGTCCGCAGATCCCGATTTTGGGAAACCTGACAATTAGGTTCCCAAATCTGGGATCCAAGTCCTCGAGGTCCCCAAAAAGGGCACTCTATCTTGATTGGCCAACTACCATGACATCAAATCGTGACAATTGGTGCCTACCTCCACCAGGTACTAGCTCCCATTGGACTTTGCGCCGTGCGGACTAGTTACGGGTAGCTTAGGGAAATTCGCACGTTCCCGTGTGGCGGATCCGCTTATGCGGGACGAGCCTTAGCACTATTCTAGCTCCCGTACGAGCGCTTAGCCCGTATATACAATAGGATAATAATCTATAGTCTCGTGCGGCCGATCCATCAACGCGGGACGAGCCTTAGGCTCTCGCATGGCGCAGGTTCCCGTGTGGCCGAAAAAATCCACGCTCGCGTGCGGGCGCTTCGCCCGTATCGACAAGCAAGCCAATGGTTCGGGCGGCAGATTGTGCCGTGCGGCGGATCCGCTCATGTGGACGAGCCTTAGCACTATTCCATCTCCCGTGCGAGCGCTTAGCCCGCGTACACAATAGGACAAACCAAGCCACAGTCTCGTGCCGTCGTGCGGCGGATCCGCTCATGCGGACGAGCCTTAGCACTATTCCAGCTCCCGTACGAGCGCTTAGCCCATGTACACAATAGGAGAAAACAAGCCACAGTCTCGCGTCGTCGTGCGGCGAATTCTTCGACATGGGCTGAGCCATGCTCTCGGCGGATCGAGCGCCAAGACTGTCCTAGTCCTATTGTGTACGCGGACTAAGCGCTCGTACGGGAGCTGGAATAGTGCTTTTTGAAGTAAGTGATTGTATTCTTGTCTTGAGTACAGGCCGGCGAGATGCCTATATGTATATGCATTCCCAACTCTGTTGCATGTTTCATCCACCGTGATATCTAACGGGAGAAGTGCACCATACTTTGCAGGTACAAAGCCCGCACGGCCCCCGTCATTTCAGGCACTTTGGTGTCTAACGCGATTGGTTGAATAAACAGCAGAAACCAGTGGCGATGAATATCAGACTGCGGATGAAGAGAGCGATGCCAAGATTTTAGAACATGGAAATTGGAAGAGCAGAGGAATAAGCCACATGATAACGACTAAGAGGGCACTTCTCTTAGGAATTTCTGGATTCGATAGACTGATAATAAGCAAAATTCACTCCGACACTGATTCTGAAAACGAGCTGCCTCTGCTGAACGCTGTTCAGTGCGGGGTCCCAAAGTCCGGAAAGCGGTGGCATTCCTGCCGCAGCTTCGAGCTCGGCAGAAACTATAGAGATCCGTCCCCGTGGGCGCGTCTTGAGGTCACTGTAGATATGCTGTGATCGCACCGAAAGAAATAGGATATACTGAGGGTTCAGCATTGCTGTAGGGTTGAGCTTTGAACGAGCTGTTGGTCGTCCGCAAACTTACGCCCATCCAGAGCGCGATATCTCTAGTCTACAGGCCATTAAAGCGTGGATAAGCGCATCATCTGCTCAGAGCAACTCATCATCCGCCTGAAGGGATCGACCTGTCTTACGCTTCCTACGGGCGGGTTGGTGCGTCCTTGCGCGTTTCGTCGGCAGATTCGTTGGCATTGCAAGCTCGTCCATCGATGTTTCGGATTCTTCGTGTACAGTGTTACCCGCGAAGAGCTCGTTCTGCGTAGACTGGCTGGTTGACGTGAAGGAGGTTAAGTAAGCTTCGGCTACGGCAATTTCAGGCTCATCCTCAGCATCAGCTCTCTCATTCGCACGCGCAATGAATTCTCCTCTTGTTTCCTTCGCCAAATCTTGCAGATTCCGGAAGCCACGCAGGCCTTGCCGGCAACTATCCGGATTATCGGTCAAAGCAAACGCCCTCGCCTGGGTTGTATAGTACTCGGGCTGCCCGTCCTGCTCTACCGGTTCGGTCGGATGCATCGTATACAACTGCAATGTGCCGGTCCCGCTGTGGTAGGTCGACCCGAATGCGTAGGCATTTCCGTCACACTCAGGCTCGTCCAGTCCGTACGACTGCATCTTGTGCATGCCGCGGGCTCCACACGCGAGATCCTGCGTGATCTGGCGCTTGGCCTCTGACGCCTTCCCGTCTGGCCCCTTCGCTTCTAGGAAGAAGTTTGGAAGTGCCGGCCTGTGTCGCTGGCTCGTGGGGATGATGTATGGTGCAAGGTCATCCCGCACTTCGGAGCGGATCTGCGTTGGGCGAGAGCCATTGTAGTAGTCTGGTTTTGCGTTCGAAATGCGGTCGCCGAGTGGCTTGAGGTTATTGAACAACTGATTGTAGCCGGATGGTATGTTGGCCTTGCCTCTGATGATCGGGAAGACTTGGCTCATTACTTCAGCTTCGGTCATGGCCTCTTCGTTCTTCAGCTGGAATTCCTCGAAGGCCCCATCGGAGAACTGAGAGGGTGATAAAGATGGCCTAGGTTGTGCCAGCCGCTCTTGTATGTCCTCCCAGTTGTTTGGTTTGGGTCCTCGGTTGTATGGATATATCCCCTTATCAATAAGTGCCTGCTCAAAGGCCGGACCTTTTGACGAGATTGACGTCGCCCGCGTGTTCGAGTTCACCGTGCTAGACCGGTCGGTACCCTTGTCGGATAGAGCACGTCCTGAGCTCATCTTGACTTGTGCTTCCTGTTCTGGGTACTGAGATAATTAGCACCACTTCTCTATTGCATTGACAGGACTAACTCCTCGGATATCGCGAAGGTCTGGACCACCACGTCGGGCAAAGCGCTTGAGCTGTTTGACGAGATCGCCTTTAACGACAGACTCTGCTCGCTGTTTCGAGGTAATAGGCCGGACTGCCCGTCGATTGAACTCTCGAAGAGCGCGACGACAGAGGGGCACCCGCGAAAGATTGTCCCAGAACTCTGGTGGCGTCTTGCTGCGTGATCGTCGTAACCGTTTTTGGCATTTGGTAGGCGGTTGAGGTTGCAGTTCTGGCTCTGCCGTCGGCGCTGCTTCAGTTGTCCGTTTCCGTTTTCGAACTTGAGACTTTAACTCCTGTGCTAGATGCATCATTGATCATGAACGAGATGGAGCGAAGGTTACATAGATATAAGTTATGCAGACACTCTTGTAAGCGCTGTGAAATGCGGAGGAGGGTGGGGTCTCGTTGGTTGGAGCGCGTGCTTGGCAGCAATGACTCACAAAGTCACGATAACATCGCATCGATTGGCGGTCATTGCTGCTACCTGAGACTCCCAACATGGAAATGGGATTGTCGATCAGCGTGCCGAAGTCAGCGCATTTAATTCCTCTTCTCATATATTCTGTCCACGCTTGCAAGCTGCGTTGGCAAGCTAGTAGACTTTCTACGCTGCGCTACTCAACCATGTTTTTGCTCTCTTTTCCGTCATGAAGCCTATTGTTGTCCGGAACAAGTACCAATTGGACCTCCGGCTGGGCGGCGGCTCTTATGGCGAAGTGTATCAATGTTAGTACAGATCAGAGGATATTTTAAGGGAAACCTAATCGATATCGCAGGTCACAACATCCAAACAGGACAAGAAGTCGCTTTAAAGCTCGAGTATAACCAAATAAGTCCTTCACACCTTGAGAATGAAGTCGAAATCTACAATGAACTCGCCGGTGTGCCGGGCATCCCTCAGGTATACTGGCATGGATACGAATGCGAGTTCAGGGTGATGGCATTTGAGCTTCTCGGACCAAATCTAGAGAACCTCTTCAACTACTGTAGTCGGAGGTTCTCGCTGAAGACAGTGCTGATGCTGGCGGATCAGCTTATCCCTCGATTCCAGTGCATTCATTCCAAAGGGTACATCCACAGGGATGTCAAACCGGACAATCTGCTCATGGGCGACGGCAAGCAAGGAAATACAGTCTACATGACTGATATTGGCCTGGCCAAGGAAATTGAAGGCGGAGATCGGCAAAGCTATCCTGTGGTTGGGACACTGCGGTACGCCAGCATCAACGCACACTTAGGGAAAGGTAAGACTAGCACGTTTGAAAGAATGACGCATCTGACGTGGCAATCTAGAGCAATCCCCTCATGATGACATAGAATCACTTGGATATGTCTTCCTTTATTTTCTTCGGGGTTCTCTCCCGTGGCAGAGCCTGAAGGCCAAATCACCGGAGAAAGAGACAATGATCTTGGAGAGAAAACAGCATGTGCAAGAGGACGATCTCTTCGATGGTGTTCCAGAGGAATTCAAGAAGTATTTCGAGCACGTCCGGTCCGGGGAGAAACTCGACTACAGCTATTTGCTCCGCTTGTTCCGCAATCTGTTCCGCCGTAAGGGCTTCGAGTATGATTATGTCTTCGACTGGACTATACTAAAGTTTCTAGAAGAACCTGAAGGGAAACAGAAGAGCAGTTAATATTTTCAAGGAATGTGCAGTGTGAGAAGGCGAGAGCAACCATTGCCAAGCTGGTTAAGAAAAGCTACGCAGTATGCACCCAAGAACCCTCCCGCTTTAGCTTATTCCCCCTTTCCTTCCTAACTTTAGCAATCCATGCCTCCACCCTGGCAACAGCGCTCCCTGGGGATTGCCTATTTTCCAACAGAAGTGAGAGAACCTCTGCTGGGCTGAACTCCGACTCGGGCACTCGACTAGCAAAGTTTTTGGCATGTCGCTCGACGGCTTCGTTATCGTTTCCATCTGATCCTTTAAAAACGATGCGGAATAGTTGGCAAATAATGTCTTTATCGGCCAGCCGGAACTGGATCTTCCAGTCCACGCGGCCGGGACGAATGAGTGCGTCGTCCAGTCGTTCGATGTAATTGGTTGTCATGATGAGCACCCGGCCTTCTTGCGACCCTACTCCATCAAGAGCGTTGAGCAGCCCGGACAGCGTTACTTCCTTCCCCTGCTTTTCCGAAAGGCTTGACATAGGATTAGGGTGTTCCGTTTCCTTGTCTTGCGATCGGCTTTGGCTGGCTACGTCTACGTCTTCCAGGAGGATCACGCAGTGTTGCGGCAACTGGGCGAACAACATGTTTAGAGTACGGTCGTCGACGCTCGCCAGGTTCAGAATGTAAATGTCCAGGTCGAAATGCCCCGCAATCGACAGACTAAGGCTGGATTTGCCAGTTCCGGGCGGTCCGTACAGCAAGTAGCCCCGTCGATAAGGGATGCCGCGCTTGGTGTACCATTCCCGCGTATCCGGGTCAAGGAAGCTCGAGATATCGCTCAAAAGGGCTTCTTTCTCCTTGTCCTCGTGGAGGACGGTCGATATCTGTCGGATGCATCGCGCCTTGGACTGCTCCCACCTCCCGCTTCGAACTTCAAATATTAGCGTTTGGCCCTGGAGATCGTCCAGGTACCTCTGACGACATTCCTCCAATAGATCCTTCAGAATGCGTGAAGACCACCCGAGGCACGAAATCGAGACTTCTTCTCTGTCTCGGAAGAGATCTCCTTTCTTCTCCATACGGCGGTACACGAGCGGGTAGTTCTTGTACCAGAATCGAAGTTCTCCATTCCAAGGCGCATATTGTAGAGGCTTCTTCACTGAGCCGTTTGCACCCGGACCGTAGCCTTTCTTCAGGTCGATGTTGACAAGGAACGAGCGGCTATCTTTGGCAAATGGCTGGTTTGACACCCAGGCGAGAACCATTTCGTGCACCTCGCTGTTGCATGAGACGTGGACGGTCGAAGCTGCTGATTGTAAGGAAGCTTGAATGACCTTTTCGAGAAAATGGACTGACAAAAAGATTTCTGCACCCAGTTCGATATGTCTTGATAGCCACGTTTGTATAAGAACACAAGAAATCCACAGAGGCAAACCAAAGGAACGACTGCATCTAAGTTGATCCCCGTGTATCGTTGGATGACAGGGGAGATACGAGACAAGCCTGGGAAGAACAATTCCAGGACTGACACCTGTCCTTGTGGGAGCGGTTGGAATGGTGAGCTACTGGCCATATTGATGACGGATATAGAGAAAGGCAGAATTAGTTATAAACACTTCTTTCGGTGCCCGATTTGAAGTAAGGACTGGTAACTCAGCTTTCCATTCCCTTTTGTTCCCGTATTTATATCCAAGCATAAGTCGAGAGCATTATGATCGTCATGTCGGAGTGCCGACCAGCCCCTTCGCATATGAAGATATCCCTATTTTCGCATCAATCCGACATGTTGGTAACGATAAGCTAGTGAAGCTTATCTTCCATTGGCTGTGAGTATACCGTGAGGCTTGAGGCGTTAGTTCTCTAACACGTTGAAAAGCTTGTGCCGAATCATCACGCGACTGACTTAACAGCGTGCTTCTTCCATATGCGGAGGGCGCATTATAGGTAGTACTAGTGAAACGGGATGAAATGAAACGGGATAAAATGAAACGGAATGATATGAAACAGAATGAAATGAAATAGAATGAAATGGAATAGAATGACATAGAACGATATAGAACGATAAAATATAAATACTGCACACTGGAATGGTGCAATATGAAGGACCAATCAGCATGGAACACGTAGACAAACCCACATAGAGGGGCTGATAAAGTATTTCATTTTACACCATTTCATATCATTTCAGTTTCTTCCATTTCGCGTGCTCAGCTCTTTTTGAAATTATGGATCAGAACATGGCACCAGTCCTTGTCCACTCTAACGCACAGATCGAAAAGTTCATCAACAAGATCAACAAGAAAGTGACGCAATTAAAAATTAACGATCTAACGCGGGGCGACCAAGATCTTTTGCGAAACCGGCTCAAAATCGTTTGGGCGGAGCCAAACGACCATGATGGCTCGGCAACAAAATGGCGAAAGGCTCGGGCCCATCGTGCGTACAAGGAAATTCAAGACGAAAGCGATCATTTACTTCTTGTTGTGGTGTTGGTCATCGCGCCAACAGAAATCGCTAAAACAAGTTTCGACGTCGTCCTGGACTACCTGCTCCGCCTGGAAACTTACAACCCATATCGTCTGCAATTGAGTGCAGGTACAAAGAGGTTCTTTGAGTCAATGGCCGCAGAACAGGGTTTTGCTAGCAACCGTCGCTACCTCAGTTTAATACAGTCTTTATTCCCTCAAAGTTTGTGGTCTTATTTTTCCACAAAAAGATATAAAGCTGACTTGAACAGGCGAAGAACTGAGACGTGAGTCATGTAGATCTTCTTAGCAGAGATACACTATTGATCTAATACTGCAGAAATACAACTGGCATACACGAACATACCGCTCGAGAACATTGATAAATTGTTCTACATAATGCGGAAAGGAATCGAAACAAGTAAACAATGGAATTCAGAGAGGGAGCGGGGCGAGAAAACCTCCAGTTTCGTGACCGGCCTAATACCCACCGGTGACAAAGATTGCTGCTTCACTATCACGATCGGCCGTGAAGATATAATGCGAGGTCTCCTGCAGCTCGGGCTCACACAACTTAAGCTCGAGTGAATTTGAACTCGCAGCTGCCCAATACTTCACAAGAATGCCATGGAGGAACATAAAACGACCTCTCCGTATCACTAGCCCATCCCTCTTCACGGATCGTAACCCAGTCTTTCTCACGAACTCTCACGAATCCGTTTTTGAAGGATATCCATTTTGCAGACTGTCCGCCCTCATACAGTCCATCTCCCCGACACCATAAATTATAAATTGTCTAGTCGTTTATGTTAGCTGTGAGCTAAAGGAATGGAGATTAGTCTAACCGTTTGCCCTTTTGCTTGCTCCTCTTCTTGCGTCACTGTCTGCACTGTCTGCTCCTCAGTCATGTACTCTGCTTTTGTTTTGCTGGGCCAAATATTGGCCTAGGGTCAGTTAGATCAGATCACGTATAGAATTTGATTTCCTCACCAAATGTCGAAATGGAGGAATCTCCACTCTCCACTTAGAGGATGAGCGGATATGAGAGATGAGTAGGCTTAGGGAGAGGTGCTCAAATTGCTGGAAGATGCCTTATTCTATGCGCATATGCCGTTTTCCGCACTGTAAGAGGAAGTGGAACCAGTGAAGTTGTCGTTTACCACTTCAAAGGGTGTCGTGTCCCATGTGTTCAGCAGGTTCGAGGATGGAGAAGCTGGATGTAATTTGGCTTCAAAATATACGTTAACGAACTCATCGGGGAGGTGTAAAAGGTGTACATAGAAGAACATGCTTAGACCACTGCAAATGAAGTTGACTGTGTTGGAGTTAAGCAAGATCAGGTCTAAGGCGTGGGTGCCCGATGAATGAATAAACGGGGTGCTGCGTCAGATTCCCCCTGTAAATGTTCCTAGGGCATTAACAGGTCAAGTGACTTAAAAGTGGAACAAACCACAGGTATGTGGCACCTCTGACGAACGATAATTAGATAATTTGCATTACTGCCCAACCTGAGCTATGTGGCAAATAATGTATCATGTGATTTGCTCTTCATTCGTTTACCTGCGGATTATTTCGGGATGCTTCAGTTCTCGCCCGGAACGACGAACAGCGTCGGTCAGTTACCCAAGTCGAAAATGCCAGAGCTGTCAACCAAAAGGTTCAAACGGCACTACTCCTTGAGTGGGTTTGAGCGAGAGAGTAGTAGGTGTCACATGCCATTTGCTGGACGCGTCGCGAAAATTGCAAGCTGGATTACAGAATCTGGTTATGTAATAGGTTCCCACAGCAATTCGAGGAACGGTCTTCGCGAATTGGTTTCATTAAATTAGCTCTCATTTGCGACACCCTATGATGCAGGACGTCTCGATGGTCCGCCGTTCTGCAGGAGCTCGAATCGGCGCCCGACTGGCCATCGTGTGAATTTCCATCGAATTTGTTCCAATACACTCGCCTCCCTCCGATAACGCCCAGCCGCGGCCCAAACAAATAGATTCCACCGCAATCGTGCAAAAAAGCCCCAGTTTTGAGGTATATGAAAGTTGTGTATAGATGCGTACTCGAAGAAAATTGGATAGAAGCCAGCGTAATCCCAATCTATCAACCACAGTCGGCCTGAAGGATCAAGGAGAATATTTCGGGGCGCAAGGTCATGATGAGTGAATACCAATGTATCAACTCTTGAAGGTATTCGACATTTAGAGTTTACCGAACCTTGGGTCGCTGCCTTCATCGCAGTCCGAATCGAGATAAAACCAGCCCAAAACCTGATGAAATATGTGATGTCCTTTGGGGATGCCCTCGCAGGGAGTCCGTAGCGATCTTCGAGCCAGAATGATCTGCACTCGCCAGTGGCTAGAGAGCCTGCGGTTGTCGAGGTTATCGACCTCATCAGATGGATAGAACGGCGAAGTTGTAGAGCCAGATTTGCAGTCGCGAGCCATCCTAATTTCGTCCACATAGCTTCTAGAGTTGTACCCTGGATACGGTCTATGATGCAATACGCATTGCCATTGTATTGAACTACCCTCTGAATTCGAGGAGCGGGAATGCCGAGTTGAAGGGCATTTTCAATAGCTTTCACAGTATCTTCTGCTAAGGGAGGTTTGTAATGCTTAGCCAGTAGATTCCTTGACAGTAGGAACACGCTGGAGATTGGTTCGATTCGAGGGGAGGCGACAATATACCGTGCCAGTTCATCGTCAGTGTAATCATGGAGACGATCTTCATGAAAGTCCGTATGCATGATCCGGGGCAAGGCCACGATCGGATATAAGAGAGCCGTTTAATGAGATGCTGATCGTGTGTTTAAGTGAAAATCGTGACGATGGCCTTGGATCCGTAAGCACGGCACTGCTGTGCCAAAGACGGGATAGTGACGCTCGCGAGAAATGGCTTTGTGAGCAACAGCTAGTGTCGTGTGCCTTCGTATGAGAGATTAGGGAGAGAGGAATACACGTTAGAAGGGAAAGGTGGAATAAATAAATGATTTATGGGGAGCCTGAATGCGGATAAACTTCGGAAGTGGCCAAAGACACGGGTGCTTACGTGAACGCCGCATCCCGGCATAAACTGATCTCTCGTCCAAATTCCATCTAGACACTTTTGGGAGTCATCGGGCACCATCGTCATGGATGCCCTTTTGTCACTCATGGCGCAGTCTAGCAGATTTGCTCAGCATTCGGTCTTGCGATCATTTGTATTGTGCAGCCTCTGCGGACTTATCTCAAGTTACGCCTCTAGCTACCATCTTTCTTGAACCTCTCCTCACAGGCTGGTTTCGGAATCTACCTATCAGCGCCTTCGTTCCTACTATTTCCCTAGACGATCGGTTCCTTGGGCACACTTGTTAGAATCGCGCCAAAGCACCGCTTACCGCCACACTCTGTCTTGTAAAATATCTAGTAGGTGAGACTAGCGCTTTAAAGTCCATACGTCGTTTACTGACAAGTTTCAGCAACGGAGCAGACTTCCTCGATCCCCAAACTACACATATAATTCGGCCTCTCAGCTTCTTAACCTTAAGGAACCAAATAACGACGATGGATGGAGGACTTTCAGTGGATGATATTGCAGCCGATGATAAGAAACTGGAAGAGAAAGCCGAGGAATTGGTATATGGATCAGATTTCCTGCGAATGCCTATGTTAACAGCTTTATAGTGCAAAGAGCCAGTAGACATTGGGCCAGAAACCGTCGCAACAATACATGATCCTATCGACGCTTCCGTTCGTGCCATTCTGGTTAAGAAACACGGCAGTGGTGGCGCAGTCCGAGCATTTGGGGACAACATTACAAACGTAGTCACTGGTCAAGGCTGGGGTTATGTTATTGTTGTCGTAAAGCGTGGAGATAGCTACAGGATATTGGGAACCCCTTCAGTGCGATACTTCCGAGTTCGTGGGACCCTTTGAAGCGAACAAATGTTTCATAAGAGCCTCGCTCAGCCGAAGAGAGAGTTCGAGTTTTGCTGTTAAACCAAGCGTGGGATCCAGCACTAGGTTAATGGATGGTAGCGGAACGCCATCCCAAGGACACTCCAGCCAGAAATTCGGAGAGCATTCTTGATGTTTTTGGACTAAGCTAAGAAGCTTCTTCAAATCGAAAGCGGTAGGAGATAGCTCCAATTTCGCACTTAAACCCAGTGTTGGTTCCAGTATTATCTCAGCCGGCGAAGACGGTTCTGAAGGACATACCGTACGATGAGAAGGGTAGGTCTTCTGGCATTCACGGAGAAATGTGGAGAGATCGGCTGACTTGAAGCACAACAATTCTTCGCGAGGAAGCTGCTGCAATTCAGTAGTTGCATGTGTATGTTCCGTTGTGGGTCGGAATTGTCCCTCGTCTAGATTGCGTTAGCCTTTTTCTACCACTATTCAAGGCGTAATACCTGGTATGTGCGGTGCCTCTTGATTATAGTCTACATGCGATTCTGTAGTATCTTTCGGGTTTCGATTTGGGACGATTTGGGACACCAGGCGAGGGATCGATGCAGTCGAGCAGAGCTTATTCGCTTTTTCCACCAATCCTCGCGGATGCGGAACGGTCTTCCACCATTTTCCAATATGTTGAAGGAGGCCAAGCTGCCTTACTGTGGCTAGAGTTGTGATTGGTGCTGCCAGGGTGCAGAGGAGAAATGCCGCTGAGCCTAAGCTTGAAAATACATCCGCCAAAAAGAGACGCACCCGCCTTCGCCTGCTCGACCGCTGACCCGATCTGCTCGCTAGCGAGGTCTCACCTTCTCGAAGTAACTTAACACAATCATTGAACCGCTTATTCTGGATAATGGATAGCGGGTACACGTCGTTATCGAATATTGTCCTTTCATCATCAAGTCTTTGGATTAACCAAGAAGACGCTTTCGCATTCGTTGTCATGATTGATCGAAGTCGAGAGTGGGCGGACAGAACTCAAAACTGGATAGAGAAAGATGGATGGAAATGGATGGAGATGGATGGTAATGGGTGGAGATGGATGGAGATCGGGGGCGTCTTGATTTTAACAGCAAAGATGGTGTGGTGGTCTAGATCCTGTCAGATGGCTGATGCCTCATCAGGCGTAGCACCGGGGTACCAAAATTGATGGCGCGGAGGCCAAGACCCGAATCCTCACCAAAATGGGAAACTTCACAAGCCAACATCTCAGCCAAAAAGAGCTCAAATTCAATAAAATTATATCTAGCATTAACTTATAGTTAAGACCTTTCTTCTCTACTAATTATCCGGTATGGCTGGTTGGTTACCAGAGTTCTTACTAGCCTATTCAGCTCCCGCCCATTTCTCCATCCATCTCCATCCACATCCATCCATCTCCATCCACCTCTATCTAGAGAACAGATGCAGATTCGTATTTAGAAACCCTGCAATGATATGCAATGATGCCAATTAATCACCGCAGAACCACATCCAGACAAAGCTGGCGGCTGACCGCAGGGAGTGAAATGCCCTGCTTGCAACATATTTGCATCCTACAAGATATAAACCTTAGGATCCCTCCGATGTCTCAAGAAATCTTACGCAGACATCTGATCATCCATTACCTCTGAGATTGACCCATCCAAAATTGGCACTATCCGCAACAGGTTAGCAAATCCTTTTATGTGGACGAACTATCCTTACCTAACTTCTCAGCCATGAGTAACAATTACGACACGGACAACTTCAACACCGCAGAGCTTGCTCTTCAGGTTGTTGCCATACATATTTGCGGCTACCGAAACCCCAGCAACACCGGCGATGAAGACGGAAACCCTCCCACGAATCACTGGGCTGCTTTCATGCAGCTCCCCACCGGTGGCTCTGTCAGACTCGACATGGCTCCTGGATACGGCTCAGACGGACGGAGAGGAAAGATAGAGCTTTCCTCCAAGAAATATACGTATACGCAAAACGCGATCAAGACATTGTCGTTCGGCGCCATTGCCTACGTTACGGTGCAGATGGTCACGGAAATGATCAATAGAAACGGGAGGGATAAGTACAATTTCACAGAGGAGTGGGAGGGATGTAGATTCTGGATCTACACCTTTATATCGGACCTGGAAGCTGCGGGAATCATTCCAGCAGGTAGCGCGCAAGCTACCTGGGCAGCGGTGTCTTATTATTGGCGTAGTCCGAGCGGACAGGAACTAAGAGACGTCAAACAGGGAGAATTTCGGTAGGGCGAATGAAACTCGCATGAGCGAGGAGGATTGTGTCGGAACGGTACCACAGCGGAATCGGCCGACGATAGGTTGCAGTTGAAAAGGAAAACCTTGAGGAAAGGATTTGGGAATTTGATCCTGTAGCCAAGCATCATAGCAACAATGACGGAATTTGAAGAATCTAGCATATCCTGCTCCGCATGTTGCGTAATCTCCGCTGTGAGGAGACGCCGCCTCTCCTTCTCTTCCCCGAGAATGGGTCAAGAAACAGGAAGAAGTGATAGCAGAGCCGCCGCCTCAAGAATTGTGACAAAACTTCCAATGGATGAAAGAATCTTCGCGTAGCTGAGGGCTAGCTCCAGCCTTGCAGATGAGATATAAGAATGTTCCAGAGTTGTGCAGCAGGTCAAAGTAGAGCCCTTGAGTGGAAGGACTGAGGTGCCGTTTGAGGATTGGAGGAGGCGGTTGCATTGGTTGGCTCACCTGCATTGTCCACTAGCGCCGGGCGCGCCTGACCCTCCAACTCAGTCTCGGGATCTGAATACGGGCCGTACCGACAAAGCCGGTCACCTGCCCTGTTGGCAAGGCCATCCTCGCTAGTGAGCGGCCTCTTCCTTGGTTTCCGCTCTGGTGTCCTCACCAAACTCTAGCGCTGTCAAGGTCTAACGAGATCTGGACATAGCTCATTAACTCCATTTTTGATGGGTACGGCTTTAGGATACACCACAGAACCGAAGTGTTGAATTCTCAGGACAAAACTCATTATGCCTGGACGGTATGAATCCTCCCGTTGGATTTTGAATTCCGCTGACTGGATGGATACTAATATAGGGTCTCCTGCTCTCGCTGTAATCGAGGATTCTCCTCTCAAAAGGCGAGACAACAGCACTATGATGATTCTCCTCACCATAACCCATGCGATGTCTGCTCCTTTGATGGCTTGACCTGGGAAGAGTTGCTTCAACACCATCGTCAGACACAACATCGGGAAGTGTGCCAGGGCTGTGATGATGGAGAAGGCATGATTTGGGTCCCAGGCTGTAATGAATATGTGGAGCATCTCGAGTAAGAGAACGTGTGCAAGAAATGCGAACGACATTTCACAAGCCCGAGCAACCTAGAGCATGTATGTGTACTCCAGTTCCTGCTACATTCGTACTGACGCGTAGTCCCTAGCACCAGATGGTACATATAAAGCCCTCGATAAATTGCTACGGTTGTTCTCAAACCTTTAAAATCTATCCTGGGATGATTATTCATCTAGAATCTGGCGCGTGTGACTCCGGGATCGATGCTATCGACTTGAATGAGTCCGCTGCGATGTGCTACCAGTGGGTGTCATACCTTGACGAGGAATATCGAGACTAGCTGCTGGAACGTCGCGATTTAGGACTTGAGGACGTTGATGTCTATCCATTCCATTGCCCTGGATGTGACGCGGCATTCTCGAAGCTGTCGGCCCTATTCCAACATGTGGGCAGTAAAGCGTGCGAACAGAGTTTGACTGGTGGAAAGGTGGGGAAATTGATCAGGTGGCTAGAGGTGCGACATAATGAGAATTAAAGAACAACGCTCACAACGAAGCCAGAAAAGGTCTCTAGCACTTATCGCATGTACCAGTTCTGTATACGCCTAGCTAAGCTGCGGTGAATAGTTTCGTAGGGCGAATTTGAGTGCATGGGCTACTCCCGCTGAATGGTGAGTTTGATTGCAAAACTCGGGAGAACTGCGATTCCAAGGTGGTCGGCCGAAGAACCAAGCATCTTCCGCGCCATATAGGGAACTAAAAATAAGAAAAGTGATCCCTATTTTCAAAAGCCCGCCAAATAGGTTCCCATATTTGGGATCCAAGTTCTCAGGATTCCAAAAACAGGACCCAGACCAGATATCCGAGGATGCGGATCGAGACCCCACTTTTAAGTTTCACTAATCAGTGCTGTCGCATTACGAGGGGGTGATGATTAAGCATTCTCTGCATAAGCTTAGTTATTGTATAGACACAGCGCAAGTTATATTGACAATCCCCATTGTCTCTCCAGGAGAGAGATAGCTAGCTGTTGAAGATATATGTAAATATATAGGAAAAGACAGAGCCTTCCAAAATAGGCTTAGCCTAGGGGTAATGGGCAGGAAAAGGAGTGTTAGGTGGCAGTATAAAACAACAGGGGCATCTTGCGACAGGCGCTACCTATGGTAGCGTCCTCAAAACTGAGGATAACTGGGTAATTAGTGGATAACAGGGGTACGCATAGGCGCCAAAATGGGATTAAGAAAGCGACGAGCGAATACCAATCGTTGCAGGCAATAAGACGTGCGTGGTATTATGGCCATAAGTGATAAGACAGGGAAGGGAGCTCAATTTCTTCCACACCGTATGGTGGTTGAACATACCAGCCTGCCTTTTGCCTGGCTGTCTTCGCTTTCCCCCTCCTTTGAATCTCCCTTCAGCTTGATAGTTGCATTTGCTTCTCATTCACTCCCTGAAGAATTCGTGTCCTTGTCTCACTAGCTGCAAAAGATGGCAGAGCCGATCAGTTTAGCGTCAGGACTAATCACATTTGTGGTGTTCGCGTTGAAAACCAGCACGTCGCTCTACGAGGCTGTTGACAGTTTCAAGACATCTCAGAGGGCTATTCGTGAGCTTAGGAGTGAGCTCAGCGGACTGCAAGCAGTCTTACTGTCTTTGCAAGAGGCGGCTTCCAACTCGACCGTGAAGCTGGATGTTCTGCAGGTCCCATTGCAACGATGTGGCAAGGCTTGCCAGGAATTTGAAGAGGTCATTGCCAAATGCACGGCACATTCTGGCGGATCGAGGGAGAGTTTTCGGGACTGGGCGAAGATACGGTATATGGGAAATACTATTGAAGGGTTCAGACGGACGTTAGAAGTCTATAAGTCCACAATTACGATTGCACTTGGAGACGCGAATATGTAAGTATGACTTGGATCTTTAAAAGTAATAACTCATGTTCTTGCATAGTCGCACAAGCGTTGTTACCGTCGAGGTCCTTCAGGAGTACAGACAGCTGATTGATGATACTGTGTCGGATCTGCGAGATCATCTCCAAGAAATCAATAACAAGCTGGAGAGTCTCACGTCTCAGGGCCCAAGTCTGTCCATTGAGGATTCCAACGAGGTCCAACGCATCCAGGAGGAAAAAGAAAGCACCCAACAGTGTCTGCTTATCTGTGCAGATGTTGCCGCTCATGTTGATAATACCCGACCGAAGGTACTTGAGAATCTCTCCACTCCAGACGACGGCTACCAAAGCCTGATGAACACGTCACGTGCTCAAGTTTCAGCTCGAGCGGCTACCGCCAAAACTCTCCAGGACTGCGGAAGAATGCTGCACAGCACAACCTCCAAACTCGAGAAATATCTTCGAGAGATCGAAAACCGACTCGATACCATGGATTCTACAGCCATCAGACCGTCACAACATCAAATCTCTGAGGAAGCAAGCATAAGAGAAGAGCGAGACAGCATCCAAAAATGCATTGAGATTGTTGGCAACGCTTCTGATCAAGCTGACCAAACACGCACGAACGAATTCGAAGACATCACCATGGCTGATGACGGCCATCAAGTGATTGTGTCTACACTCGGAGATCTGATATCAGCCAGACGCATCACGGTCGGAAATCGATCAATACAATGGCTTGGACAAATGTCTGATGAGTCACTCCAGAAGCTCTCAGGCGACCATCGTCACTTTGTCCCCGAGAAATTTGAGAGAGCACAATCAGGAATTGTTGCAGAGTTTGGGGATCGGCATGGGCCTGGACGCAAGCTTGAACCGGATGCTCGAAGTGGAGCGAACCCTGTCACAGCCAAAGAACGCCTCACCTGACAATGGTCAGAGAGAAACTGTATTACTTGGAATTCGAGTTGCTACAGGAGAAGAAGAGAAAAGACGATTCTTCTACAGTAAGCTACACATGTCCTCTCCGTTGCGGTCCCTCATTATCATCTCTCAGACAATTACGGCACTATCATGCTCAGCACGAGGTGGGGACTGCGGGGGAATCAGCTATTGACGAGAGCAATTGAATTCATGCTATTGCTTTCCAAAATATTTGAATTAGAGTTGCCAGTGTCAAAATGAAATTGTAGAGCAATCGAGCCTCTATCGTCAACAGCAGGCCATGCGGCTTCTATCTCTTCGGTGAGCTACTGAGCCTGCCCACTGCCGACCCAGTAGAAGAAATGGGAATTTCCGCAGTAGTACTAGATGTGAGCTTATAACTTCGCCCATACCGTTCCCGGTATTGTGAGTCAGGTTTGTGCTCTATCCCATCATCAGGGACGGATGGTGTATTGCCTCGCGAAGACGAGCTCTCGCTCCCGGTGTTCTGGAAGCTAATGCTTGAAAAGTCCCGTGATATCTTTTGGACGGTGGCATCACTGAGGTGGCCTCCGACCTGCCTCGTTCTCCACCCAAGTCCTCGATTAGTACCATGAAGAGTCTTACCATCAGTCGAAACCATAAACTGTACCGCATCTCCCGTGGCGTAGTTGTCAATGGTGCTGATATTTTTCTTCAAGTGGATGTCTGCTTTGGAGCAGATATCCCGGCACTGGCGGGCGGTATCCCACTCCTCCCGCAGCCTTGCAAGATCCGCAAGATCCTCTTCGGAGGTCGTCGCTGCCTTCGATTTTGCCACCAATCGGTCGATTAGATTTTTCATATGGTCTTCCAACTTTGCTGCAGTGAGAGCAAGGCTATTCTTGCATTCCTGCAGGCCATCCATGGTGAGCCTTTCAGGTACAGCACCTGGATCTATGTGCCCAGGAGAACTGCTATCACTCTCGGGTGTGAGCTGAATCTGATCAATGTGATCGGACAACCGGGCACAGATTTGAAGGCATTTCTGCGTGCTCATCTGCTCCTCCTTTATGCGTCGCAGTTCCGTTTCATCTGAGCCGGACTCGGTCACTGTGTGCCCAAATATGGTTTCGAGTTTTTCATCGATGCTTCGAAGATGAGTCTCCAGATCATCAGTAACAGTTTCGATAAGGTCCCGATACGCGTCAAGGCTTTCGGTAGTGACTGAGGACTTGCGACTAGTCAGGACAAAAATGGTTAGAGCTGCGATGAGTGCCAAGGAATACAGACTTACAGACTTGCGTCCGTGAGCGCAATAATAATGGTAGACTTATATCCCGCCAGCAGTCGCCTGAAACCGTCGATGTCATCACCCATATACTTTAACTTGGCCCAGTCTCGAAAGCTCGTCCGATTACCACCGGACCGCGACGAACATTTCATAATTTCCTGCTCGAACTCTCTACAAGCATTGCCGCATCGCAGCAAGGGATGATCGAGAGCAGAGAAGTCTACGTCAGTAGTGGCACTGACTGTCTCGGTGAGCGAGCGCAGCACCTCAGTTAAGGCCTCAAGCTCTTCTTTGAGATCGCGGACTTGTTTAGGATGAGATTGAAAACTCTGGACCGTCTTGACAAGGGCGATGCTGCTTTTGAAGGCAAAGATAGACAAAGTCAGCAGCCCGGAACTCAGCCCTATAAGTTCTGCCATTGCGGCAGTCAATTTGTTGAGATATAAGGCAGTCGAAGCAGGCAAGAAGTTGATCCTTATAATTAATGAAGAATTCTGGTATCGAGATGTGTGAAGGCTGTGTACTCTACGGGTAGCTTATTAATAGCTGGAAACTCCAATCAGGTGAGGGTCGTAAGCGCCCACTTTGCCAGAGCAACATCGATCGAGAGAGCAACCTGAATGGTATGAACGCGGTCGCCCATTTCTCCTTAGCCAATACCGTTAATTATGGGCACACCTTAATTATCTTACGGAATTTGACGAGTCTCTGATCCAGCGTCTTCATTTCTTGCTTTCTCGATTACCGCCAGCCTTGGTCAGAGCAGTGGTTTCATTTAGATTAACTGACACATTTGAGCAATCCGGTCCATCACTGTCGCGCTAAGAACCCGTTGTCTCGTCCAGTCCTTCCCGTGACCTTTTAATCGTGTGCCAGCGGGTACATACGGCGCCCGGCGTCCTACCCGGGAACTGTTTCGAGATCCACTCCCATGACTTTCCCTCTACTCTGTACGCCCACAAGCGCTCGTCCTCTAAAGGTTCCCAGCGCCGATTCTTCCGGCCATATACGCCTTGATCGATGTATTTCTCGTCGTCGATACGATAGTCGCTGACGCTACTATCGCTCCCGCTGATGCTGCCGTCATCCTCCGAGTCAGGAAATTGAGCCACTGGGATGGCGGTCCCGGAGGCAACACCCTTTCGCCGGTTTGGCATGGTCTCGTACCATGTGGTGGCGCCGCCAATGATGCAAGGGCTGCGCAGAAAACCGGTCAGTAGCCATTGGCCTTCTAAGAGCGGTTTAAGCGTCACGTCTTGTACTTTCGCTGCATGGCCTAAGATATTCTCGATAAGAGTGAGCAGCGTGCTGCAAGAAATCGCCTCGATATTGCGATCGAACTTGATCGTAGCTGCTAGGAAAGTGTCCCCCGGCGTTGGACGAAGCGAAATATCGGTTACATTATGCCGGGTCATGGCGAAGGGTGCGCTCTCGTCACTATCCTGAGGGCATCTATCGTCGCTTCTGGTTGCTGAGGAGTCAGGATGCGAGCTATTTAAGCAGCGTGGAATCTGCTGATCCCGTGCGAGCGTGGGTATGTTCCTCCTAGCATTCGATTGGAACGGCTGACCTCTGCGCTGGATCTTGCCTCGATGCCGTCGCGCCAATGGCGGTCTCGGCGGATTTGTTCCATAGTTGTCATCCACGGTATGCTCTTCGTCCGTGTCACCACCACAGCCACGACCATAGTCAGCAGTGTCTCCGATCCAGCCATGCCCGTGAATGGGATCGTTGGTCTCGCGTCGCCGATAGGCTCTTATTGTACGGGGAGACGGGGCTGCTTGTGGGCCAGTGCTGGCCAGCCTAGGGTTGCCAGAGCGGTCGCGGTTTGTATGCTCGCTGCGCGCCCTTCCTCTATTGTCTGCTGCGTCGCTCTCGTCACCGTCTTGGGGGGATGTTTCAGCATCGGCAGAGCCCGGTCGTTCCTTCCCTACACGATGAAACATGGGTGGTGCCTCGCGCCGCCCCAGACAGTCAAGCCCAGTATCGTGGACAGCGGCGACGGATGGCGGCGCCTCACCGGAACGAGATCGTCTCGGTCGCTTCGCCGGACGTGGCTCCTCCAGCGGTTGCTTATCCATCTGGTGTGATCTACTGCCGAGCGCAGCATCGAGGTCGGTGGATAGGGTCGTGCGGGAGGAGGAACGGACCCGCTTCCTCTGTTCAAGGGACGACGGATTGATTGCAGGGTCATGGTTTTCGTCGGCGATGCTATCCGTTTCCTCTGTACAAAACTGTCAGTCAGGGTCATGCCCATTCCAGAGCACGGTGAGGCCATACCTGAAGGTTGCAGGCTGCTAGATTCGGCCGTTTCGATAAATGGAACAAGGCTCTCGAATGATATTCGCGCATGGTCCGCTACTGAGACGTCGACTTCCAGAGCAGAATAGTTGGCTACCATTTGCGTTAGCATAGGGCGGAGCATTCGAAGGGATACACTGGCTTACATAAGTCGCTAGCAGCCCAGGACATGTCGACACCAGTAGACAGTTCGCCGTTCTGTCCAGACGGCGGGTTTTCGCCGCTCTCTATCACTTGTAACGAGCTCGAATCACGGACTCCATCCGCGGCCGGCGTCCCACCGACTTCTGGTTGGGAGCCCGCACTGAACAATGCGTTGAGAGAAGGCAGCTCATCTTCGGAACCAGTGTCCGATTCGCTGTCTTCGATGAGTATAGCTCCATCTAAAGAGAGATTAATATATGATCCTCTTCGGAAGCTGTTCGCGCAGCATCTTTAGTAACTTACCCGCACAGCTTCCTGTGAATGCCTCGCACGCTGGTTCCTGCGTGGGATTTGGCTCGGCCAAGCCTTCGCCCGTCAGAATATCATCAATATCGGTCCATGGGTCGTTAAAAGGGATATCAAGAATGGCATCAGCTCCGTATCTGCTTTTTGACGGGCCAGAATAATGGCGAAAGTTATCAGGCGACTGATTTTGCGATTGAGAATCGAAGGAAGAAGAGGCTGTCGTGACCGCCATGTCAACTTTTACGCAGTTTTCACTCTAGAATGCGTATAATCTTTCAAAAGTGCAGAGGAGTCGCTAACCTTTAAAAGGAGGGAGTAGGGAGTAGCGAAACCTTTATGCCGGGAACCAGGCTCGCCTTGTTCATCTAGCTCACCCAAGCGGACCATCCGCTAGCTCCGGCTCGGCGCTTCTAAATCGGACCTTGCGAGAAGAGTGAGCCTGATAGGGCCGAGGCCATTAATTCAATCAAAGGGGTAGGAGGCATGAAACGCCCTCGCCTGCCCTAGACGAGCATACCCACTTCCTGGAGTACTTGCAGCAGCCTCCCAAGTAGAAGGATTGAACAAACATGCGAAGCTGAAGCGCAGAAAGCCAATCAAGCATAATACCGCCTCCTCGCCCATCTGCCAGAGCGAAGGAGGCTGAGCTGACGTGTCCCCTTCTCGATTCTGAATTGCACCATTGCAGCCTTTCAACGAGGCACGCATTGTGCCTTCGGTCCCTGAAGAATCGCGCGTTTCAAGCGGCGCGAAAGCCCTCGTCATGCGATGATGTAACATGGAGCTCTAAGCCTCCGAACTTGCCGCTTCCAAAGGCGGCTCGGAAAATGGACGCTCAATCTTGGACCGGAACAAGAGCTCCGTTCGCGCGAATCCACCATTCTAGGGTATTCCATCCGATAATCTCCCTCTTAACGAAGGGACGAGCGCGTAATCCGACACGTCGTCCCTAGCGTTCAGCCATACAATGGCCGGAGATACATAACGCATAAACGGCGACGTATGAATTGGTTCGTATTCGGTCATATGCGCTCTCTTAGGAAACTAAGTCCGAGATTCGCGCCTGATGGTGGTGCGGCCTTTCTGGGGTAGAACCGTGATCATGCTGTGTGTCTGCTGACAGCGTCATCATTCCATAACGTCCCAGATTTGGAGCGAGTCCCTCCGCCCCTTTCAATCCCCTGCACTCCAACCATACCTATCCTCTCGACCACTCCAGCTGCTGCCTAGGCGAGATGAGTAGGTCTTTCTTGGAGATCCTTCGGGATCGCCGAGTGTCAGATGGATTCCCAACTCACCAACCACTTCCAGGAAGCCAAGGAGCTAAAGATGGAAGCGTACCATGCGTGTGCCTCTCGCCGCCTCACCGTCTCACCGTCTCGCCCTATCACCCTCTCGTGGCCCTCCTTGAGCATGAACGCGACCGCCATTGCTCGCCTCGCCCTTGCCTTGCTTTTCCTCCCCCACATGCACCTCATCTAGACCGGCTCAGCCCACGAGCCCGGCAATGCCACGTAGGCAGCAAAGCGACCAAAATAATGATACAGGGATCTAGGATCGATATAAGCCGTGGACCTTGTGACCGACTTCCATGACTCGGATTGAGGATGACGGTGGACTGAGGCGCTGGACTCGGCGTGACCGAACGGGATCAGCGGCCCCCAATGCCGGGGTGTATGTGGGCCACCCCGAGCTCGCGAGAAGGACGTGAGCGAGATGGTCGGCCATCTGCTGAACTTGGGCAGGAGCGTGGAGAGGGAGGAGGTTGGATTCGGATTCTGGGAGATGGTCAGTCTCACGCTCGAGAGGGAGAGAAACGGTCTAGGGAAACGGGAGGTGTACCTGGTAATCCAGGCAGACGAGCTCCTCCAGAATGAAATGACCAGCAGAAGGGACTGCAGCGCTGTATAGAGAGAGTGCAACACTTGGGACGGCGATCCGGAGGGAGTGCGGCGGCTAAGGAACGCAGCGAAACCAGAGACGCAGGGGGAGCAGGGAGCAAGCGAAGAATGAAGAGCGGTCGTAGATTCTCGGTGGCCGCAGTTGTTGAGGGGTTTGAGAGGAGAGGGGAAGGGGAAGAAGACGAGAGCGACGAAATAAAACGGCAGAAGAAGGAATGGTGGAATGCGCGTTTTATATGTGACGTCGAAGCAGGCGGATTGGGCAGAGCAGCCGGAAAATCTTCGGACCATGGGAATCGACCAATGAGCGTGCACGGTTGGCAAGCCTGCCATTCTGGAGGCCGATATGCCGTCGTCTCTTTTACTAGTAAAATGAGCTGGGCCACTCGCTTGTATGGGCCACTCGCTTGTGGAATACGTTAGTTAACTTAACTTAACTAACTAACTAACTTAGTTAGTTAACTAGTTAACTTAAGTTAGTTATTACTTTCTGACTTTGGGGATCAGACTCCAGTCTTGACTTCTTCACGTCCATCCAGGCTTGTGAATACCAGTATATTATGATAATATTAGCATTCTGCTTGGAAAAATTAAAATGGTGGTTTAATCTGCAGCCTATTAAGGTCTCAAATAATTGTAATGGTATATTTATGGCCTCCGTCTCCATCACGACGAAAATCGATCCCCTCCTCTTCCGCTCTAGAGTCGAACCATCGAAGACCTGCCTCAACAACATCCACAGCTTCCGGGCCCAACGCATGGAATACCCCCCAGCGCCGATATTGTCCACGTGGACCACATGCCTCCAACATAAGGCCGTGAAAATATGGGTCTCCGTTCAAGTCGGTATCGAGTATTGGCAGACAATACAAGTTGTTGTGTTTAAAGGGCATCTTGAAACCGTGGATACTCTGCCTATCCATATAGCAGACAATATTGGCGGGCATCAAACAATCCGCCCAAACAACCACTTGAAAATTCGGGCAGCCCACTCTCATTCGGAAGAGCCTCCCCTCGAGACAGACCGACCCGCCTTTGATCCGACCGAAGGCGTTTTCTCCTTCTAGCTCAACCCTAACACTCTTTATCGTAATGATTGCGGCGCGTCGACCCTCGGATTTATCATTGCTGACACCCTTGATTTTGCCATTGACAGACGCCCAGGACCAAGAAGGGGCAAGGTATTGTTTCGGTTTCGAACTTTGGGAGTCGTCGCAGTACCACAGCAGTTGATATTCGAAATAACGACGCCAGAGCCCAGCGAGATAGGAATCCCCTAGTGCTCGATGCATCGCCTCTGCAACGCCTCCGATAGCGATTAGCTTATCGGTCTCGCGTTTTAAGCCAGCTTTTGTGTACCGCTCTACAATAGAGTTCCACAAATCATGTGCCACAATATCAAGTATTTTGGAGGAAACCATATCCAGGTCATGTGCGCTCTCATCCAAAACGCTCTTATACGTCACTGTTAGCGCCTGGTCTATACTCGTCAGGGACCGGCTCTCAACACAGGGTGGAACTCCGAAAGGAAATGACTCGCATGCAAGGGACTCATTGCATTCCCAGAAAACCTGCGTGGAAGCAAAATGGAGGATACGGGGTGCTAGTAATCGTTCTTGGCAAACCCAAGCCCTTTGGTTGAGAGGACCACGCTCGACCTCTCTCTCCCACAACTGGTTATCGACGACATTGTGGGTAGACTTTCCTACTCTGACACGTAGAGGGTGAAGCGGGCGAGTATCGCGCGGTCTAAAGAGCCCCCCTGAGCCGTCCTTGGAGGCTGTGGCAGCGAGGTTGCAAGCTGAGTTCGAATACACCTGGCACATCTGAGCAGACTCTCTTCGCCAGTCCTCGTCAGAGTCAGAGTCTTGAATTATGCAGAGCGCATCAATCCATATATACTGGAACCCTAGTTCCTTGGTAATGATCAAGGCATCTTGAAATGATTTAGAGAGCTCCTTGAACCGGATGGATGTCATCATGTTTGTCAAGTCCCGTTGGAGTAGTCGTTTTGGGATATTTTCACCCCAGCAATGGCTCAGGGTCAAGTATGGAGGTATTCCATCTATATCTGCTGAAATCCGAAGACGAGGCTGAATGTGTGCAGTGGTACCGACATCGACTAGCCTTGTAGGGAGTACAAAACCATTCTCGGCTCCTCGTAGACTCTTCAGGCATCGAGTATGGTACTTCGTACAGGTGGCTAACCAGCTCTGGGCTAGAGATATGGTCACAGGGGACCTGGTGGATGACTTCAAACGCCGCGCATGTGCAGATAGGCCTTCGAAGCAAGGTTCTAAATTTAAATTAGCGTAGGATTTCCGTGAGAATAAAGCAAGTCAAGTACCACCTGTGGACTCAGATAGATCGAGATGCTTGATTGCATGACCATTTAGTTCAAAATCATCATCATCATCCTGCCGGACTAACTTCCACGGAAGGAAGTAACGGAGTTCTAGGCTGAGTGATTCTACCCCAGCGAATTCGATAAGAGCTGCCGCGTAGTCGATCTTGAAACGCGACTGGTCCTCACCCATGATATCGAGAATCTGTTCGGTTTTATCGGTACTGTATCGGTGTCGGCGCATCAGGTCTCTCGTCTCTTTGGTAAGGGTTCCCAAGAACAGCAAGCATAGGGGACAATCCTTTCCCATAGTGTCTTCGTGCAATTCAGTGGATTGGATTAGATTTTCAGAGTAGAATTCCTCTCCTGCTGGGCGTCTGATTTTCCCACATCGTCGGAGTATTTTCCTGCACCTTGAGCACAGTGCGCGGTTGGAATACCTCTCGCGGAGCCGATACACAAGCCCTCTCGCCCTGGAAACCGGTATAATCTTCCTGGGTTCAGACGAAGAGCTACAGAAGCTTACGTCTTTGCCTGACATTTTTGCGATGAACTCAGCCAGCGCGACCGGAGGCGACCTGCGACGGTCTTGGACAACGGAGAAAGTATATGCCAAGCGCAGCTATTAAAACGGCTAGCGAGACACACCCGTAAAGCGACTGGATAAACAAGTAGGAAGAAATCATCCCGCGACATGATCATAGTAGGTCAAAAAACAACGAGATCAAACTAGTCCGAAAGATCGAGGGCGACATTAATGAGGCTGTGGAGGGAGCACTCTGCCCTGACCGACCTCCATTTTGCCTCTGGAGGGCGACAGGGAGATCGTCCCAAGGTAGCGAATGCTGTAGCGGGTAAGTAACATCTTGTTCGCGTATCCAGGTATTATTCGTGGAACGGTGAAAGGCAACCATATATTCGGGATCAAGCCCCTGGCCAAAGGATGATAGGCAGGGGGCACCGCGCTTCCGAAGCGCTGTTGTGAGGGAGACCCCTGTATCCTGCAGCAAGCCGAGCGGTGGGCTGTACAGGAACAAAACTGCATAGTCAGTAATAAAGTCGTACTGACATGCATTCCAGGGTTGTTCATAATGAGCCTTGTGCCATATAGGACTTGGTGCGAGGTGGAATAATCGTGGATCTATAGTCAAGGTGATCCTGCTTCGTAGATAACGTTGAGCCCCGAACCTATCAGTGACTTCTGTTTGTGCAAAACCAACTTCACACATTGAGGAAGAACGATCAAAATATGCCGGCGCTATACATGTTGTCGAGATATGCTGAAATATACTGTATTGTGACCGCAGCCGCAATGTAAACGTTAAGCTGGGGGCCATCGAAATGCATGAGCGGTTAGGCTACAGCAGCTCGAGCAAAAAAGTGCATCAGGTCAAGATGGGATGCCCTGTTCTTTCTGGCAGTGTCGCATTCTCCTCAACAGTTCGACGGAAAAAACTCGTAATCGCGACCTCCTATCGCCCCTGCTCTTCTGCCCTCGCACGCACTTTTCACGCGGATATTTTGAATAGAGCCCACATATACTTTAGTGGCAGAACTTCAACAGACCCGAACACTCCTGTGATTTTGAATGGTGCCAACCAACCGTGGTGTGCTTGGGACCACACCAGCTCGCTGTTTATGCTACCGGTGCATCAGTGTGGAGTGCTTGCAACAAGCTCGAATACCAAACCAGGGTAGGGCGGTCACATCTTGGAGGAATCTTCGCCACCGACAGCAGCGCTGAGGACCACTCGAAAATCAGAGGTGATCCAGATTCCTTCTGCGGAGATAACAGAACGGAGCATATGCCCCGCAAGCTACTGTGCTCGTCGAAGGTGACACTGCCCACAGGTGGTGTCACGGCAGTTGAATATCATAACTGGCGGATGGGTCCCGGGACGTCCGCACTGCTGTGCTCTGATATAGGGACCACCTAAATGCAGAGCTGAGTTCGGTAGTAGCCCGAGCAACAAGTTTTTGGTCGCCTTGCCCTGTTATCCCCTTCAATCGCGGTTCCTGTTTGGAGTCCACCGCTTGATGCAGAACTCTCTGACTTTGTACTGCCTGAGCAACCCGCCGACATCTCTATGCTCTTGGAATTCCTTTATCACAGAAGGCTCAGGGACCTCCACGTAGGTGAGCACAAGCGTCTTGAACACATGGCTTTGGACTCTGTTGGTGCAATGCATCCGCCACCAATCTTTCGCTCTGTATCGCTTTGAGGACTGACCGTCCTCGCTATCCCAATGGACGCCTTTGTAATTGGGAACGATGACAATGGCAAACTCAGCATGAGTGAAGACCGGACCCTTGAGATATAGCATGTAATCGCAAGCGAACTTCAGGCCTGGACGGACGACCCATCCCAGAGACCGGAAGTGATGGTAGGTAATATATTGAAGAAGGAATGGGTCGTCCGGAGAGAGTGTCTCGATAGGAGCGGGAGGGAAGTACGAGTGAGCCCGGAAGAGATTCATAAGCGAATAAGAATCCTGAGATGCTTCCGTAGCTTCGTTAGAGGATTCTAGGCCGTTTATCGCGGCTGAAGACACGGTACTGGGGACGTTGATTCGAAGTACGCCCAGTCCGTATGCGAGGAAGAATGCTTCCTCAAGGCTTAATTGGAGGTGCTCCTGGTCCAGTACTTCAATGCTGTCGGTCTGTTCGGTACTGAGAAGGGCAGCCTCGCGGCTGCTAGGAGTCGTGGATGGTGTTGTTTGCGCTGGTCCATTGTCAACCACCTGAAGAGGCGAGGTTACATCAGCGACAGGGGAGGGTTGGATATCGACTGCATCGGTTTCTTCCTTCACTGCGGTTGCGGATTGAGACTCGTTTGTTTGGTCCGCAGACGGCTCTTCTAGTATCTCGCCTCTCTCACGGCGTAGCTGATCCTCAAGGGCTTTAAGCTGTGCTCTTTGTCGGTCCAACTTGAACTTTCTCCTCTCCTTCCTTCTTTTCCCTGTCACGATCTCGCTGGTTCCCTTGAGATAAAGGCCTCTGCGATTCTTTTCCGTCTGGAGCCACGCGGGTTCCGATCGGCTTAGAGATCCCTTGCCGAAAAACCCACACTTCCACAATGCATTAATGGTTGTGGTGGCGGTGATCTGAACTGAGCGTGTTTCCGTCGAGAAGGAACCTTCATATACAGGAGAAGGAATGGATTCTGGCGTCGTGAAGAAGTGTTTGGCTAGAACTAACAAAACATGCACAACCGACAAAGGATTGGTTGTTACTGATGGTAGAGGATGGACCTTGATTGGCAACCTTTCCGAGTAGATGAGATGCATGTTAGGGCGCCCATTTCGGCGGTCAGATGGTTTGGAAACGGGACCATATCCGAGGAAGCTCGCAAGAGTGCGCCATGCTAGAGATGCCTGGGCGATAGTCGACATGTTGGTGGCCTCTCGCCTCTCCTAAAGAAGTTCCTGTGGCAGGTCTCGATGCTGATGATAAAAAATGTGGTATTAGAGTCCAAGTACGTGTAGCATTGTCCTCATCGATTTCATCCAAGCTCTTCCAAGTATTCTTCAAACGGCTTGTCGAATCAACACTCAATTCAAAGTATTTGCATCGAAAGTATAACTAAACTGAGTTGGTCGTCATTGAATTGTGCATCAAGAGAGTTCACCTGGACAGGACGGAGTCAATGAAATGAGGATTTTGTAAGGGCAATTTGACCCGGACGCTCGGACCTGCTCGCCTCCAATTGCCCACTTTAGTGTCTCGCTGTATTACACAACATTCAATCTGGATTCACAATTGTCTGGTAAGGGCATCCTGTATTATTTCCGTGAGGGGAAGAAGGCTAGGCGGCATTTATTACCCCGGGGGAGCCAATTTCCTGGATGAGGGCCATGGCACTCAGGGGAAGACTTCGAAGTGCTTCCAGTCATCCGAACGAATCTCGTCAAAGAGGCGTGGTGAATTGCTGCTTCGTTACTTAAGCCGACAGAACACTCTAATCAAGTTCGGAGATTTAAGCAGCTAAAGCGAAGATACACCCAGCTTTGGAAATCCAGAGGGGTTGTAGCAGGCATGGGAAAGGCAGAATTGGTCAGACCATCGACCTTGTATACGACGCAATCGGCGCTTCTTATCTAAGTAATGGCGTCCTTGGAGCTCGAGGAGTGGATGAAAGAACAAGTCATGAATTTATTGGAAGGGTTGCTTATTCGATTGGAGATTATCTTCAGGTCTTGATATATGGAAATCTGACGAACACCTTTCCCTTGCGGGTTTCGGCTGAAGCATATCCAAATCGGAATGGTATTCCATATACATGTTTACCGCGCCTTCGAAACCCCCTGTAAATGGATTTTATTATAGCAACCCGTTCCGAATGTATCCTTTCCCCCTCCTGCGTTCTGCTGGGGTGTCTCCACCTACTTGTTCATCTGGTTCTCTCTGTGCTTTTGGTACAGTTGCTGGTACTCGGGCGTCGTATCCCCAATCAAATTACTCGCTAGACTCAAGCCACTCCATTTGGGGAGCCTATCATTGATATCGACAGCCCGAGCGCCGTAGAACATATGGCACCTATGTGAGTGTTAGCCCCTCCCTGGTCCGACAGCATTGGACGGCATATACCTTGGCCTAAAGTTGGGTCTGTCTTTCTCGTCCATCTTGATCAAGGATGGGAACAAGAGGATCATGTTTCGGCCCTCGTCCATAATGGGAGTGTGGCAGAACGCGCAGCGGACTTTGCAGGGGAGTTTGTGATCGGCGGTCTTTGTGCTCGGGTCGTACCATTCGAGGTTATGGTGGCCGTGGACGAAATTGATGTCGTCCTTATGAAAGATTGCCGCCCATTGAAAGGGTGCCCCTGCATCGCTACGATTAGTTTGAGTCGCAGCTCTCGGCGGGCGAGCACTTACCGTGCTGGGTCTGGCAGGTGCTGCAATGACAGAACTTGACATCCAACGGCTTCTCTCGTGACAGTTGGTATTTCACTTCTCCACAATGGCATTCCCCCTCGTAGCGGGCAATGAAGTTCTCGCTTGGTTCACGGGCTCGATATGGTGTCTTCTTTTTCCAGGCATTGATTCCCTCTGTGTTTTTGTCCGCTGAAATAGCATGCTGCATAGCCGTGGCCTCCGGTCGCTCGTAGTTCCCTAGCTCTAGGTGGTGGTCACTCCTGTCCGATCCTCTCGGTGCCATGGTAGTAGAGAAAGTGCACTGGTTTTAGATCTGGGATGGAGCAGTACCGCGAGAGACCGAACCGAAGAAGGGGATGACGTCGGAGGGCTGAAGTAGCTAGCGGATCTGTACGGACGTAAGCCGTTTCAGGGTAGCAGTTCAGTCTGGGCAACAGTATTGAGAAAGCAAATGATTTGAAGAAAATGAAAACCTTTCGGCCATTCGAATCATATGAGCTAGATCAACCATGGTCTTGCTTTTCTGCACAGCACACCGCGTGTCGCTGCGATGACTCCCCGCACTTCAGCAGGGCTGCAGGGGGTGAGGGCACACGCGAATGATACGACGCGAGGAATCACGCTGGCACGTGATATCCTCCCCTAATTCCGGCCTTCCAGGTGCCCCGAATACGAGCGGGATGCTATGCTGATTCGGAGCGCCGATATTCGGTGCATGCGAAGTCCAGTGACGGCAGCCATTGCATGCAAGGACGCAAGGAGCCTTGTTTGATACTGGAAGACAGGTCGTGGCATGACTAAGATCTACTTAGAATGTCTGTTTCAGGAATTTGAGACTGAGTCTACTGCATATTAAGGTGCTGGTGTATTTACCAGGTAAGGAGGTATGCCTGTGCTACGGCGGCCGTCCACATGAAACCACGCTCATCCAAAGTCGTAAGAATGCCCACAGTATGCTGCCGGTTATGCTGCTTTTGTAACGAATCAATATCCAGAACCCTATCTCCCCTGCAAATCCCGGTATCGCAACCTGACCGGATATCCCCTAATTGCGAGGGTTTCCACTACTGGCCACGTAGAACGATCGTATGTTCTCATTACCTCAACAGGCGCTCGGCTTCTTTGGTCGGAAGACCGAAGACATTCATCAAATAATCAAGTCTGTCATAAGCATCAGTAACAGTCGACAGCAAAGGGAGAAGGGCCGTACTTCGTATCACGCGCGACTCGTTCGTACACCTCCTCAAATCGAGCCTCGCATTGCTCCATCACCACCTTTTTCTTCGGCGGGATTATCGTCTTCACTCGTAGCTTGAACAAGCCACTCACAGGTCGGTGGTCCGACACCCGGATTTCATGCCGTTTGTAGTTGACCTGCTTCATATTCCCAAGCCCGCGATACAGAATCCGATCGCACCAGGCGGGCGACCGCTTCTTCTCCGAGGTGTCGTAGCTGTCGGTACCCACATCATATTTGTATGTGGGCGCAAACGTAATGGGCAATTCGTTGAATGCACGAAGCCGGAACCTGGGGTTTTTCTTCCTCGAGAGAAGCAGCTGATCCCGTTCCAGAAGTTTGCCGATGTTGTTGGCCTGGACTGCGGCGATGACGGCGTCGCGGCTCATGGTGTCGATACGGTAGTTGAGATCGCCGTTGAGGATGCAGATTTCGTGGTCGAGGATCATCGATCCATCACCGCCGCCAACGAATATATCGGATTTCCGTTCAGGGTCGACCTCGACTGGGAGAGATGTGGATTCCATGATGCCGGCGACGTGGTTGTTCCTATGGACCGTCTGAGACTGACCCGCGGCCAAGTGGCAATTGACGAAACACAAGGAAGTGTCGTCTAGAACGAATCGAACGATAAGAGAACCCTGGACTACGGTTTAGCAACGACCAAATAGTTGCCGGGACATAGACTCACCTTGTTTCCATGGTATCCGCCCATTCCAAGCTTCACCTCCGACGCGCCAAAGTAACTGATGCGTTGCCGCTCAGTGTCTTTGACGAAGATGCAAGTAAACAAGCCGATAAGATTACAGGTGTGCAGTAGCACATATGTATGATCTGGGATATGCTCTTGCAAGCACCGAGCAAGATGATCCCTCCATTCTCGGTATCGATGGCTCATGTGCTCCTTCTCATTCGAGTCTTTCTTCTTCTTGAAGAAGCTCTTAGCGGTCACCTTCTTGTCTTCCAGGTCCACGAGCTCTTGAAATCCGAAGATCAGGATATCCGGAGGCTCTTGGGCCGTGAGGTGCTCCTGGAAGAAATTCGCGTCTCGTTGATCGTGTCGGAGTGCGGTGGGCTTCACGGCCCCGGCATTCCACGTTGTGACAAGCGCGCTCACCTCGCGGAAGTCGCAAAACTCCGTATCACGCTGTTGCATCTCGCTTTCCAACCAGTCCGTCGAGAGCATCCCGTCCCATAAGCGCGCCACATTGTCCGTTCCCAAGGACACCACCTGCAGCCGGTTCAGGTGCCACAGGCTCGTTCGGTCGGCAACGATGCCTGCGATTGTGGACTCATGTGCATGCCAGTCTTTCTTGACCATCCAAGGCTGCACTGAGGTATCATAGATGTATATCATCCCCGTATTATACCCAGCCCAGAGATAATCCCCAACGCCAACCAATGTGCTGAGCTTGTAGAGACTGACACTAACGACACTGATGCAGGAATAGTCCTTCCGGGAATATACGGAAACTTTCCCATCGATGTGGCCAAAGTATATGCGATCGGCTTGGGAACTGATGATGGCGCCAGAAGTGACATCGCCGGCCCCAGCCTGAGCGAGCGGATTCCTGCTGGTGACATCTTTCGTCATATTAGTCGCGCTATTGTGCTCGTAGATGCGAATTTCTCGGCCCGTCGCTAACCAGAGTTGTTTTCCCGCCATCATGGAAAACGTATGGCCCGGAAAGACGTTGAAGCTTTGCGGCATCATAGTTAGGTTAGGTGTTCCCGTTTCGTCCGGCGGCCAGACGTTTACCCTTCCAGAAACATCAAGCGACCACAAGTCACCCGCGTGCCGGTAGATTTTGATAACCTCGCGGCGGCTATGCGCGCTGGATTTCGTTGTAATCACCGTCTGGGACGGGATATCAATTTCCTGGATCTCGCCTGTCGTCGAGCCCACCCAGATCCGCTTTCCTTGGTCTTCGATATTCTGCGCAGGCTTAAATACCAAGGCAGTCATTTTGGTATTTTCCCCGTGGCTGATGCTCATCAGGAGCTCGCCGGTTCGAAGGCTCCATGCGCGGGTGTAGTACCCGGCCGTACAAAGGAACTCACCAGCCACTGCGAAGAGTTTGGTATCGTACTTCGTCGCGATATCATAAGGGCGCTCCCGAAACCTGGGAGGCCGTCGATTTGATTGAGATGAATCGGGATAATCGTTCAAAGTGGGTGTCGGCTTAGCGTTCATCACCTCGACCTCCTCGTCGGAGTCGCTTGGAACGAACGGGCTGCCGTCAAGCGCTCCGGAAGGGCGCCTAATATCTATCGATGCGCGAGAGGAAATCTGCGAAGAGGGGAGAGGCGAAGCAACATGTAATGCTCCAGGAGGAATTGTTGAGGCCCGTTTTGGAGGTGGCATAAACTTTGAATCGGCGTCCGCTACTTTCCCCGCTGCCTGCGCCAATATATCCATCGATCTAGGGGGTGGATTAGATAGAGTCAGCTGCCGTGTGAGCCCACGAGGTTCCAGGCGTGCATCTCGCCGCGGGGGAAGTCCCGGTCGATCTTCCGGTTTGTCGCCAGCTACAGCGATCGTCTGCGGTCGTGGCGGCTGCTCAGGAGGTTTCTCTTCGTCAATGCCAAACGACCGAATTGGTTGCCGTGCATTTGGGGGGGGCCTGCCTGTTTGAGGTGGAAAATGGCTCTCTTTGCTTGTAAGCCGCACGGGGCTCTTCTTGAAGCCCTTTGCCTTGGTTCGAACGTCGTCTTCTTCGCTGCTTGGAGGCGTACTAAAAGGCGATACGGCATCCTCTGATACCCTCGCGACGGGCGCAAGAGAACCATGAGAGGTGGGTTGGAGGGATAGAATTGGGATTGTCGGCTTCGGTTTCGCAGATCTATTGATAGGTGGAGGTTCGGAATGCGCTGTCTGAAGAGGAGTATTGGGCCGACTAGCCACAGGAGAAGCATTGAGGCTTTTCTTCGGTTCCGAGCCTCGGGGTGGCGGTGGAGCTGGCGGTTGCTTCGTGTCTAATCTAGGAGCGGTTCCAATAAGAGGCCTATTCGGAGAGGGTCGGCGTATAGTAGGAGAGGGCGGTCGGGAAGACGTTGGAGATTGCTGGCGTAACCCATTCGGAAACCTAGGAACGGTAGCGGATTGCGAAACCGCTTCGGATAACTTCGGCGAGCTTTTTGGAGAGTCTATCTTCACCTGCAGCGGTGTCTTCGGTGGAGAGTAGTGGCCATGGACCGACATTGGGCGAGGTCTCCTGCCTGGCGAAGGCGAATCCCTTGGCCGGAAGGCGCTGCGCCAGCGTTGTCCGTTAGTTCCATTTCCAGTGCTTGTGCTCGATTCAGAAAGTGTGTTGTCGCGTGGGATGTCTAGGGACACTCTTCCGTCGTCTCGCAATCTCGGGACACTCGGCTCTTCAAGGAATCGCTGCGAGACGGAACTCGGCTTCTTTGGGATCGGAGGAGCGGGTTTGCTAGTGGTAGTTCCTATGCTCTCGAAGTGGGATCTAAGGGACGACACTGGTTTCTGGAGATATGTTAGGGTCTTGCAACCGGTTCCAGGTTCAAGAAACATACAATAGAGCTTTCGTCCTTGCTCTCCCCGGTATTGCCTCCCATGATGTACCCAATCCTACACCCCGAAACGGGGCAATGACCACACTTCGCAAGCGCCAGCCAGAGGTGTATGGTGAGTCCCCTATAACTCCATGGAAATCAATATAGCGGATGCGGTAGATGTCGGATGTATAAGGGCAGAGGGAAATTCGCGAACTCGGAATGTACAGGGTCTGTTCTCTTGATCCAACATGTCAGACTCTAGGCATATAGGAATTCCCTTCCCTTGGATTCTTCAAAGATTGGCCTGCCACCCAGATGTTCCCGACGTCGAGCGCTCTGGGGAACAGCCCTTGGCCATGGAGAACGCCCAAACCGTCCTTCGTCACCGTACCGGATAGCTGGGGGAGAAGGCTGCTCCGAGGGAACAATGACGAGCAGAGCAGCGGAATTGCCGTCGGGAAGGTCTAAGTCAGGCTGACGATTTTGAGGATGGAATGGCAGTCAGCGGAAGGACTTGGGTTGAAGGAGCCAGTCTGATGGAGCGGTTTAGAAACGGGATCCGATATTTTACGTGTCAAGTGTTCGAGGTACCTGGGCAGCCGACCAATCTGCCATAGATGTATTCCGTCAGGTGGTAGTATGGCTAGCCGTTATGTTAATGCGCCAGTTTCACCTGCAATCCAACGTCTCAAGTGCACAGTGAGCTCACGTTGGTGGCGATGGGATCTGCTGTGTGGGGTACTTGCAGGGCGCAGGCGGACTGGTGAAGCTGCCACCGTCATCTGTCGCAAAAGGAAAAAGCTCATAATAATAACTCTCCCTCTGGAATCCTCCTGGCACATCGACAAACATTCCGATATCCTGCAGCTCCAAGATCTGCCGGTTGACACCTTAATGTGCTACATCACCGAGGATACTATTTCGGACTTTCTGCTGATTTAGCTGGTCACCATGTGGTAGGCCTGCCCCCTTAAATTAAGGGACATCCATATATTGACGAGGCCACAGCAAACATGTCTTGAACGCCCAGGTGTCCATTCGATCCCCTTGCTGTAAGTCCATGTCACTTGGTTGTCGATCGCCGTATTAATATCCATAGGCAAGAAATGGTTCGATTGTGCCGAGTGCCACCACGAGAAGGAGACCCATCCGTTATTGCAGCGATATGAGATGATTTTTGGGTGCAAGAAGTGCAGCAAGGTCTTCCGCAAAGATGCCAGAGAGTTCGAAGACAGGTATGGAACGTGGGTGCCGTTGAAAATATTCTTACGCTGATCATTACAAGTGATGAGTACTGCCCTCATTGCGATAATCACTTCGTTCTGGATGCCAAAACCCCTCAAGCGGCATTGAATGTGGAGAGTGAAGATCCGCGGAAAGATTCCCGGTGGGTACAATGCTATTATGCACTTGTAGAACGCGATCTAATTGTATTACAGGATGCTCAAAGACAACAGGGTGCGGGAAGCTGACAAGCAGACCATCTTCGACGTCAAAGAAGCCGCAGAGCGGTTAGGTTAGGTCAAGGCGACACCATGGCCTAAGGCGCGGCTGTCGGGAATGAGGATCATGATGTTGTTATGCGATTCCTTTTCGTCCGATACCAAATACCATTTGATGCCCTGACTTTGCATTCTATGAACGAAACGCCAACGCTCCATATATGACACCGTCCGTGATCCTCCACGTCTCCATGCCTGTGTCTGGCATCTCATGCGCCGGATCCTTCGCCCGACTGCCTCGTAAGGATGGCCGCGGTGCCACTGCCTGGTGCACGGCCAGGTCTTCGATTCGCCGCCTCCTCCTGCTTCTCCGTGTCGATGCTCTCCACGTACTTTTCGATCGCGTCGTCCGCAAGCATTTCGACCGGCTTCCCAGGGGCCATAATAGCGATTTCGATGTTTTTCGCCCCGGTTTGCACCACCTCCAGGAGAGACTTGACGGTCAGCTTGATAGTGTCCTCTCGGTTCATATCTGGCTTGTGGTTTCGCTCGAGGAATTCTCGGACGGTCTTGCTCGACCTTCCAATGGCGTTTGCTTTCCTATATGACGTTTAGCCCCAGTCCGTTCTAATGCGCAATATAATGTTACCAGGCTGAATAGATCCCCGATGGCTCCGTCTGATACAGAAACGGGGTCTTGTCATTCTTGTCAAAGCCCACAATCAGCGTGCTGATTCCGAACGGCCGGACACCACCGCTCTGTGTGTATCGCTGCTGCACTCCGGCGATATATTTCGTGATGTATTCTATTGATACCGGGTCCTCCACGGTCAGCCTGTGTGATTGCGCTTCCAGCCGTGCCTTGTCGACCAATATCCGCGCGTCCGCGTGCAGCCCGGCAAACGCGAGGGCGACGTGATTGTCGACGAGACATATCTTCGATGGAGTGATTCGTGTGTCTTGGAGTTTCATCGCCGACCGTTTCTCGCACCCAAGGACAACTATATCTTGGCCCTTGACCCCAACGGCGCAGGTTCCTGCCAAAGTTTAGTATAGGAACCGATGGAGGGTGTGTAGTTGAACACACCTCGTTTCACGGCTTCAAGAGCATATTCGACCTGAAAGACGTGTCCATCGGGACTGAATACTAATAACTTGTCAACAAACCTATAGCACAAGATGGTCAATAGCGGAAAGGCATACCAGAGAGTGCTCGATCGTAGCCAGATGCCATCGTGACGGTGAAGGCAAACTAAGCAGGTATTCCGAAAGGCTTCAACAAGGTAACGTGAATAGGAGGGAGCGAAGTTCAAATGAGAACCAGCAGGATTTAAGACAACAGTTTGAGTATTCCGAGGTGTTGGGAGGTTGTGGAGAGCAGTTGGTGTGAGATGATGCTTTGCGCGTTCAGACTGAAGCCTTCCTGAGTCCTGACACCCTGAGGAGTGAGGTCGGCGAAGCTTGAGCTCTGGCCAATCAGAGCTTTGTGGTGGTTGGAGGTTGTGCAGGGGGGAACTTGAAATTCAGGACACAAGGCCATAAGGCTTACAAAATGGCATCATATCAGCATCCTTAACCTCAATATGGCAACCCGAGCCCGCGAGTAGAATACTTACCCGACCACTACAGATTAGTCCAACGGGCGATAGCTGGGGGTTTGAATACACTCGTTATTGTGACAGTCTTCTCTTTTTTTTTAGGCGATCAGCCAGATCCAAGCTGACATCACGGCCTCAATGGCGGCAGCAATTCCTCGCCGGGCACTCCGTTGCCCAAGAATATCAAATCTCGGCTCAAGAGCTGCTCAACAATTTCCCACCGGACGACCTGGTCAGTTACCTGGATGCATATGGCAACGGCACTTCTCCATTCAGGCACCTCGATGTGTCAAATTGACCTCTGAAACGTGCATTTTCCCGAATTGAAATCCAATAGCTGTATCACGAACTAACATTGGCTAGATATCCGAATCTGAAGAGAGATCCCAGGTTCGCGACGATAACCGAGGACCATGTATCCTTCTTCAAAGGGGTCCTTGGATCCGAAACTGCTATTATTGATGGAGTCTCAAAAGATGCTTCGGATGAGCTTGTAGCGTTCAACCAAGACTGGATGAACAAGTATCGTGGCCAGTCCTCTTTGGTCTTGAAGCCCGAGAATACCAATCAAGTCAGCAAAATCCTGAAGTATTGCAATGAGAACAGCCTTGCCGTTGTCCCACAAGGGGGCAATACCGGCTTGGTTGGGGGCTCAGTTCCAGTCTTCGATGAGATTGTCGTCAGTACTCAGCGAATGAACAAGATCAAGTCATTCGACGAAGTCTCGGGATCGCTGGTTCTTGAAGCCGGCGTCGTTCTAGAGGTTGCGGATGGCTACTTGGCTGAACGGGGTCATATTTTCCCCCTTGACCTGGGAGCAAAAGGTTCCTGCCATGTTGGTGGCAACGTCGCAGCGAATGCTGGCGGTCTTCGGCTCCTACGATATGGTTCTCTTCACGGAAGCGTTTTGGGTATTGAAGCTGTTCTTCCGGATGGAACCATCGTGGACGACCTAGGCACCCTGCGTAAGAATAACACAGGCTACGACATCAAGCAACTCTTCATTGGAGGCGAAGGGACAATCGGCATGATCACCGGCATTTCCATTCTCTGCCCCCGGCGATCTGCGGCCATGAACGTCTGCTACTTTGGTTTGGAGAGCTACGAGCAGGTGCAGAACGCGTTCCAGGAAGCGAAGAAGCAGCTCTCGGAGATCCTCTCGGCGTTCGAAATGATGGACGGCCACACCCAAAATCTTGTTTCCAAAGTCTCCGGGAAGCCACTCCCGATTGAGGGCGAGTACCCATTCTACTGCCTGATCGAGACAAGTGGGTCCAATAGCGAGCACGATAGCGAGGTACGTACAGGACGAATGGGCTCCAAGGAATGCTGCTAATGACTACTTAGAAATTGCAAACATTTTTGGAGGATGTTATGGAGAAAGGCATTGTCCAGGACGGTACAATGGCGCAAGACCAGACCCAGATACTGAATCTCTGGTCGTTCAGGGAACGTATCCCCGAGGCCCTGCAACATTGGGGAGGTGTCTACAAGTACGACGTCTCCATCCCAATCCAGGACATGTACAAATTGGTGGAAGACACTCGGGCTCGCTTGACGAAAGCGGGGCTTCTTGGAGATGACGACAGCTATCCCGCCATCGACGCTCTTGGCTATGGCCATATCGGTGATTCGAACTTGCATCTCAATGTGGCCATGAGGAGATACGACAAGCGTGTGGAGAAAGAATTGGAGCCTTTCATCTACGAATGGATCGCCGGCCGCAAGGGGAGCATCAGCGCAGAACATGGCCTCGGACTGCAGAAGAAACCATACATCCAGTATAGCAGAAGCGAGACCATGGTGGGATTGATGAAGCAGATCAAGAACCTCTACGATCCTGTAAGTGCAGCACACCTCATATTGGTTTCCTCGCTGACATCTCTTCAGAATGGGATCATGAACCCGTACAAATATATCTAGCTTCGATTCAATCCTTGCATAGATACCCGGATATCGAGTACAATAGGTTTATCTTAAAAGCTCATTCGCCCAAATCGCTTTCCACTACGACGTGTTCTATTCAAGAACGATATATTTCGTGAGATGCTCAGGAATAGCACCGAGGAGCTTCTTCTCTGTCAACCACTTCCGTGAGAACAGGCGGTCCGCATATCGATACGCTCCGTCAGCGAGCACCGTGACAACCGTATGGCCGGGGCCCATTTTCTCTGCGACTTCTTGCGCTGCCACCACATTGAGACACGAGCTCGCACCGAGATACAGCCCCTCCTCATCCAAACATCGGTATACCATGGTAATCGTCTTCTCATCGCTGATGTGCACCGAGTCATCAACAAGGTCGATATCCGGCTTCAAGTTATCCGTAATCCGACCTTGTCCGATTCCCTCCGTGATTGAGCCACCCGCTCGCTCGGCCAGCTTCCCACCGCTCTGGATGTACGAATGTAAAACGGAGCCTGGCGGATCGGCGAGGAAGCTCTTGACCCGGCCTCCCGATTTCTCCTTCAAATAACGCGTGACGCCCGCGAGAGTTCCACCGGTTCCAGTCGCACAGGTGAAGGCATCCACTTTCCCCTCCGTCTGATACCAGATTTCCGGACCCGTCGTTTCGATGTGGGCTTGGCGGTTGGCGACGTTATCGAACTGGTTCGTCCACACCGCGTTGTCCAGGCTGTCCGCATGTCTCTTCGCCTGATGGTTATAGTTCTGCGGGTTGTCGAACGCCACGGCTGGGACGGGGTACACTTCCGCCCCTAATAGCCGCAGTAGATCAATCTTTCCCTGGGATTGTGTGTTCGGCATGTAGATGACCAGCTTGTATCCTTTCGATCGGCAGACATGGGCGAGCCCGATGCCGGTGTTGCCGGCGGTTCCTTCGATGACGGTCCCGCCAGGTTTTAGAAGGCCTTGCTTTTCGGCGTTCTCGACGACATATAGGGCAGCGCGGTCCTTGACGGAGCCTCCGGGGTTCTGGAATTCGGCTTTCCCAAGGACTTCACAGCCGGTCTGCGCGGAGATCTTGTTCAGGCGGATCATAGGCGTGTTGCCAATGGCTTCGGCAGTTAGTTGGGACGCATGCTAGTCGCGAGGCTGGGGGAGATACCATCGACGAGGCCTCGTTTCGCGACTCCTTGCGCTTGCGACACCCGGATTGAATGCTGCTGTCCGGCTTCTATGTCGCCCACTATGGAGGAATAACACCGTCGCCCGGCTCGGACGGCGAGCCGCCGTGAAGCAACTCCGATCATTTTGGTTGCAATTACAAGACCTAGAGTTTCAAAGTAATTCGGGATGCTCCAATCCAAAACTGCTTCAAGAAGAGAATGTCATAAGTACCAATTAGCAATACTGGTACGTATCGCTAGGGCGTGAATTTCACCAATGGCGCGGGTTAACGACTTGACGTGATGGCGGTTCGGTCCCGCCGGAATCGCTCCGTCGGCAAATCTTCGGTCTGAGGTTTGTTTACACACATGCACTACAATGCTCTTCGATCAGCGACAGGAAGACCATTCGATGAGATGAACAACCTCTCACTTTGCTACAAGCATAAACTGTTCCTTTGATTCTTTCAGACATGCCTGGCCGCGTATCGGTGCGGAATTCCCGCCAATCGGCGGTTTCAAACCGAACATCGACCCAAGTACCCAGGTCCCGCGCCCCCTCCGCAAGAACCTCTGCGCTTGCGACCGATATCCCAGATGAAGGCGCCTCGACCGATCTACGAGTACACATTTGCAGTATCTTCTCCGATGCGCAAAAGGGCACTGCGACCCAGAGAAAACTGGCCGTCAATCTGAGAAAGGTGCAGGAAGTTTGCTGTTACGAGGATGCCAGCTCGAAGCGGCACGGAGATCTGGAGGAGTTCGACGAGGAACAGTTCAATCAAGAGGTTGGGCGATGTGTCCTGCGGGTAATGGTAGTCAAGAAGAGCGAACCAATCGGGGATCGAATAGTCAGGTTTTTGACATTGTTCCTGAAATATGCGTCTGATAAAGGTATGGCTGTCTTCACTCCTCGTTGGCGCTGCTAATGAGGTATCTCAGACAACGCAATCGCACGGGGAGAAGATGGGGACGAAACCGTCTTCATGGAAACCCCAACGAGCCGCCTCGTATCACACATCATCTCACTCATCCTCCCATTACTCCTGACTAAGGACAAGGTGGTCCGCTTCCGCGCAACACAGATCATTGCACAGATCGTGAATACTCTCGATTCAATCGACGACGAATTGTTCCAGCTTCTGCGAATGGGCCTATTGAAGCGACTACGAGATAAGGAAAGCACAGTTCGAGTCCAGGCCGTACTTGGCCTCGGGCGACTTGCAGATGAGTCCGAAAATGGGCAAGACGATGAAGACAGTGACGACGACTCTGCAGGGGGCGTGCTTGAGAAACTTTTGGATGTACTTCAACACGACCCCAGCGCAGACGTTCGACGTGCCTTGCTGCTCAACCTTCCATTTACCCCTGGGACACTTCCATATTTGCTAGAACGAGCGAGAGATTGCGATACTGGCACCAGGCGAGCCCTCTACTCTAGACTCCTCCCGGCACTGGGTGACTTCCGCCATCTCTCACTCACGCATCGCGAAAAGCTGCTTCGATGGGGCCTGCGTGACCGAGACGAGAACGTCCGGAAGGCCACGGCGAGACTCTTCCGCGAGCGCTGGATCGAAGACTGTGCAGGCCTGCAAGACGCGGCCGAAGCTGGGAATGGAGATCAAAACAAAGCAGCCGAACCAAGTTATGACGCGTTGCTAGAACTGTTGGAACGAATTGATATCATCAATTCCGGCGTTGAGGGTGGCATCGCCTTCGAGGCGATGAAGGAGTTCTGGGACGGGCGCCCTGACTATCGAGAACACATACGATTCGAGGACAATTTTTGGGACGAGCTGACCCCCGAAAGCATGTTTGTTGCGCGAACATACAACCATTACTGTCGTCTAAACGATGACCGAAAGCTTATAAGTATGGTTGAAGACCGGATGCCCGAGGTGACCAAGTTCGCCTTCATCTTACAGAAGCATCTAAACCTGCTCTTAGAGAATGTCCAGCAGGTCGCGCTTGCTGCTGAAGAAGACGCCGACGTTGAAGATGATACAGTGCAGCAAGAGTTCTGCGTTGAGCAACTCCTACACATCGCCCTCACTCTCGACTACACCGACGAAATTGGACGGCGAAAGATGTTTGCGGTTATGAGAGAGGCGTTGGCGCTGGCAGAACTTCCGGAGGAATGTACCCGACTGGTGGTCGAGGTCCTTCGAGCCATCTGTGGCAGCAGGCCGGAAGGGGAACGCGAATTCTGCGGTATCGTCCTCGAAGGTGTAGCCGAAGTCCATGACACGATCATGGGGGATGACGATGCGGATGCATCTTTCCACTCTGCGCGATCTGCGCTCAGCGGTGACTCGACGCCAAAGGGGAAGAAATCGAGCGATGCTGGTTCAGACGTGGTTGATGAAGATAAGGCTATTCGGGAGATCATGGTGAACATGAAATGTCTCCACATTGCACAATGCATGCTTCAAAACGTGCAGTGCGATTTGGAGCAAAATGCCCATCTTGTCACCATGTTGAACAACCTTGTGGTGCCCGCTGTCAGAAGCCAAGAGGCTCCAATCCGTGAGAGAGGCTTGGTCTGCCTTGGGTTGTGCTGCTTGCTTAGCAAGGTTCGTAGTCCCATTCAAGATATCGGAATCTCTACTTACATTCTCCAGGACTTGTCGGCCGAAAATTTGACATTATTCCTTCACTGCTTTACGAAGGGCCATGAAGCGCTTCAGACAATAGCGATCCAGATCATCTCAGATATACTGATGGCACATCCGTCACTACTAGGTCCCATGGCATTGACGGTCTCCCCATCAAAGAATGGGGACCCATCAGAGGACGCAAGCCAGCCCGTAAACCCCTTGTTGAAGCCCATCTACAAGATGTATTCACGGTCGCTAAAATTGGTGGACGCCGAGGTGCAGACCACCGGCGCTATCTCCCTTTCAAAGCTGATGCTTGCCTCAAGCATCACCGATATCGATCTGCTAAAGCAAATTGTTTTGGCGTACTTTGATCCGGACACCCAGGCCAACCCTTCACTTCGTCAAGCTTTAACATACTTCATTCCGGTCTACTGCCACAGCCGACGGGTCAATTCGGAACGCATGGCGAAGATTGCCGTATCTGTAGTCCATTCAATGGCTGAGCGCGCCGACGATCTGGATGAAGAAGAGGAGATGGTTGGCTTGAGCGTGGTGATCGCGCAGTTGGTGGACTGGACCGATCCACGGAAGCTTGTCGATCTCAGTGGTCGCACTGATGACAAGGATAGCCAGAGTGGCAGTGCTCATGCGATCCTAGCAGAGGAGATCCTCGAGAAGGTCCTTACGCCAGGATGTAGTAGTAAGTGGCCTTTATCCGGGTATAATAGATTTGAAGGCTAATCCGGGAAACAGGGGAAGAGAAGAAATCCTTGTTTTCCATGCTTGGGAAGTTATATATCAACCCGGGCACGCCAGCAACGACGGCACAAGAACTGTCTGACCTCGTGAACGAGGCGTTGGAGATGCGCTCACTGGAGACAACGGCGAAGAACGCACTGAACAAGCTCCAAACTACCCTTGGCAAGATCCTGGCACGCGCCGAATCCTCGTCTGAGGAGCGAGCCGATGGAGGGATCGATTTCGTCGAGGCATCCACAATCACCCCTCAGCAAGGGACCTCCCCTCAGCAAGGGACCCCCCCCCAGCAAGGGACTCCCCCTCATGAAGGGACTTCGATTGTAATGGAGATGGATGAACCGGAAGATGCAACACGGCAGCTTGAAGAGGACTCGGTTTTGGACAGTCTTCTTGAAGATGAGGGGACCGTTCACTTTGATTGATGGGCTAATGGCTGACTGGCAACAAACCACAACTGGAATATGGCGTTGGAATGGGCTGATGACGACATGTATTTCTTGGTCACATATATTGTTCGGCATAAACCTAGCTGGCAATGGTATGACTTGTTCGTAACGGAGTGCATTGCCCCAGTCTTCTTGTATCTTAATACTTCATCTTTGCCGGATTGACCGACGGGTTCAGATCCCGGTTTTTACTTCTATCCGGACGAATTCCCCGACCCCGGATCAATAAACTAGGCCTCCTGGTCGTGTCACGATCGGAAGAAGCTCGGCAGCGGCCTCGCAGACGTCAAGCCGCATTCCTTGTATGGGGAGCTCTGAAGCTAATGGAGGGGAATTGCTGTCTGATCGTGCCATGTCTTTGCCATCCATATCCTGGTCTGCGGATGTACTCCACGGCATGTACTCCCATCAATTCACCCGGAACTTACTGAATACGGCACGGTGCTGATCCCCCGGTCACGGGATTGGTACTCACTAGGTACTCAAACATAGCAAACAGCGGTACCAAAGACACCAGAAAGATGAACGTTGAAATGAGGCGGATACTTAGGGAAGGGTATTTGCATCATCAGTACGGGGGCCTACAGCTTGGGTGATCATCACATGCCAACAATAATATTAATATTAATGTCAAGTAGATAGGTAGTCCTCTAACGTCCTCTCCCCTTGACTAGACCTACACTGGGCACATCTGGATGGAGATCTTCCGTTCTCCTCCTAACAACTCAATTTTTCCGACAATAAGCCGCAGAATCGCCTATTGTATGGAAAAAGTGCTTGCTACCTGCGGCTAGAATGCAAAAGTGCAACATGGTTGATTTGATTCCTACACCCGTTCGGGCCAACCTCGGTCGGCCCACGTGGGGAGTGCAACATAGGCATGGTCTTACCCCAGCCGGCGATTTTTTATCCATGTTCCCTTCGACAGATAGGTGGGAAGGACTGCAAATTGACCTGGAGCAGCGAATTGTATTGCCCAGTTCTAAAATGTTCCCGACATTCAACCGGCTTGAGGGGTTGGGATCGTCAACGTGTCACAAGAGCACTTTCAGGAGTGTTTGCTGCCAGCGACTGCGTTGAGCCGCTCCTAATGGACAAGGCGGTGTCATGCAGTAAATCGCGGCATGCCTCTTTAAAAAGCTAATTAAATGGGTTGTCGGCCGCCAGGACTGGATGGTTGGCATTTATCCACGCCTTGCTGGTTGTTTCTTCGTAATTTAGATCCTGCCTTTCATATAAAAGCGTGAGATTTCGCTGCCTTCAAGGCAGAGATTCTGTCCTTGTCAGCTCATTTCCAAACATTACAACTTTATCAAAATGACCCAAGCAGTCCTCCCAAAAGATTTTTTGTGGGGTTACGCAACTGCGTCGTGAGTTACTTGTCTGCGTTGTATATACCAAACTTACCGTCTCCTGTACAGCTACCAGATCGAAGGCGCTGCTCATGAAGATGGTCGAGCTGACTCCATATGGGACGTCTTCTGTCGGATTCCAGGAAAGATCGCTGATGGCAGCAATGGCGATGTCGCATGTGACACATACCATCGGACTGCCGACGATATCGCTCTGCTCAAATCCTTCGGAGCAAAAGTATACCGTTTCTCCATCTCTTGGTCGCGTGTGATACCCTTGGGTGGCAGGGGAGATCCTGTTAACGAGAAGGGCTTGCAGTTCTACGTCAAGCTCGTTGACGATCTCCTCGCGGCCGGCATCGTACCCATGGTGACGCTCTATCATTGGGACTTGCCAGCGGAGCTTGATCGGAGGTATGGCGGTTTGCTGAACAAGGACGAGTTTGTGGCGGACTTCGTGAACTATTCACGCGTCATGTTCACGGCCTTGGGCCCAAAGGTGAAGTATTGGGTCACGTTCAATGAGCCGTGGTGTAGTTCCGTCCTTGGCTACCACTTCGGCATAATGGCACCGGGGAGGACCAGTGATAGGAAACGAAGTCCTGAAGGGGATAGTTCCCGTGAGCCCTGGATCGTGGGGCATAGCTTGCTCGTTGCCCACGGCCATGCGGTCAAGCTGTACCGCGATGAGTTCAAGCCTAAACAAGGCGGTCAGATTGGAATCACACTGAACGGTAAGCCCATTAGCACCCCTTCTGACCGTCAAATGTATGGGAGATTCGAGGAGGAAGTCGCTGACTGACCGTTTAGGCGATTGGGTTGAGCCATGGGATGCAAGCAGCGCGGCAGATATCGAAGCGTGCGAGCGCAAACTCGAGTTCTCCATCGGCTGGTTTGGGGATCCCGTCTATTTCGGAAAATATCCAGACAGCGTGCGCAAGCAGATCGGCGACCGTCTTCCCAACTTCACGGCCGAAGAATCAGCACTCGTCAAAGGCAGCAACGACTTCTACGGGATGAACCACTACACCGCCAATTACATCAAGAACATCGAAGGAGAAGCGCCGCCAAATGACATCTTTGGCAATCTGCACATGCATCAAGAGAACAAAGACGGGAAAAGCATCGGGCCTGAGACCGAGTGCTCGTGGTTACGTCCCTATGGCATCGGGTTTCGCAAACTCATGAAGTGGATCAGCGATCGATATGGCCGTCCTGCAATTTACGTGACTGAGAATGGGACCAGTGTCAAGGGGGAGAACTCACTCGCTCGCGACCAGATTCTAGACGACGAATTTCGCGCGCAATATTTTCGGGACTATATCTCGGCTTTGGCTGACGCGTACAGCAAAGACAATGTGGATGTCAGGGGATACACCGCCTGGAGTCTCATGGAGTGAGTCTGCTTTCATCTTCGCCAATCAATCCTTCGAGATGCCTATGCATTGCTGGAAAGGGGGAACCAAGCTGACGAGATTTCTGCAGCAACTTCGAATGGATGGAAGGGTATGAGACTCGATTCGGAGTTACTTACGTCGACTACGAAGGAGGGCAGAAAAGGTACCCCAAGAAGAGTGCGAAGGTCATCTCAGAGATGTTCAATGCACTCATCAAGAAGGAGTAGATCGGTGACAAATGGCTGAATGAGGACAATGATAGCTATTTGATGGCCCTGGCTTTGGAATCCACCAATAGTCATGCCAGAATAGCGTATTAACATATGCGTTCCGGGGTTTTGGAAATGTGGTACAGAGGAGGTGGCGTAAAGCCCCCTTCAGGTTGGAACAAAGAATCGTCGTTAGCGAAGTGAGATATCTAACCCTTATGACAGGGCGTCAGCTCGTTTCCAATCGAATTATCGAACAGATGGATTACGAGAGAATCGGACCGGTGTGCAGGACCATGACCATGTGAGCGGCCATCAACCTCGTCTACGTAATAGTTTCCTGGTGACATCCTCTCGTTACAGTTACGAACTTACAATGTCTCATTGTGGCTTCGAGGTATGACCGCCACTACTGCACATCATTGGCACAGCAGCTCGCTCCTCGCGTGGCGAACGGACAACCTGGGATATCAACATGAATCAACCATCCTTCCGGTATGAAGGGTTGCGATCCCCATTGGCAGTGGCAAACAGTCCTCCGCTCATGACACAACACCCTTCAGTGTATCCGGGACCTGCCGCCGTGCCGAATCCGATCCAAGGTGCATAGGATTTCTCTACGATGGGTGAGCTACAAGGTCCAAATTTCTGTCGGGCCGATTCCTCATTTTATGTTGTCACTTTGCCTGTTGTTTCCATGCTTTTTTTGGGCGCTATCATATATTGAACTTTGAACCAATGAAATAGAGAAGGATACGCATGTACTCCGATTTCCGAACATATTAAAGTGGCGTCCGTGAGGCGTGAATGAATGATGGTTGGGTATGGTCCCGGGAGATTGGACCCAGGCGCCAGGCCTTTGGTTGTTGGAATTCGTATAAATTATATTGTAGTTACCAGTAATACCGCTCTGAACCTATCTGATAGGCAGTGGCCAGTATCGTAGCCACAACCCAATGCACCGGTACAGTGGGGGGCGGAGATTTATCATCCTTTCAGGTTCTCCATGAAGACATTTGTGATTTGACAAACAGGTTTGCCAGTTGATGACTTGATCCCAACATGTGCAAGTATAGGCAGTGTGCCACTCCACTAAGGCCTCGTACTTACTCTTTTTAACTAGCGAGAACCCTTGGTAGATCATTCCAATTGATGATCTTGCATCTCAAATTGTCAGCATCTGGTGGAAGGTAGGGATGATCTGTGAATTCCTGCAGGTGCACGATTAGAGACGCCCTCATATCAGGGGGCAATGGTCAGCATAGCCAATAGGCTATTGGGGCAGGTTATTTTCCTGAGTTGGTATTTAGGCCCGAATACATGACAAATCATGGAATCTGAGGTAGAGATCGTGAGGCGAACAGAGGACTCTGCCGTCGTTCAGTATGGTGAAGAAGTGAAGATCTCTTGCCGAAAATTAGACTGGACGCCCAAGTACGGTAGAACCATCAACAGGCCATGATTTCGAGGCTCCCATCTGGGGTGCCTTATGCAACCTGGATGTGTTTGCTCGTTTCCCAGCCCCAGACCAATGGAGTGCGCTTCCATGAATCTGGAGACTGGGAAGGATTGATACGATGATGTTGCGTTGGGAGAACGAATAGTGCATACAACTGAGACTGTTGAGGAAACAAAGAAAACTTGGTCCTAGGTTGTCGTTGCGAAAAGAGTAAAGAAGAATTTTGGGATGGAGAAAATTCCGGTACACCAACCCAGTGAACAGGATGGCCCGAAGCGCCTCTTAGGCCGCTTAGCCGCACCCATAAGACGATCGCTAAAGCCTAAAACTGCAGAGGAGAGACGCCCACAGACCTGATTATTGCCCCGCTTGCTGCAAAGCTGCACCTATGACCTATCGCCGGTGACGTGCATAATTTCTGTCAGTGCTGTCGGTGCTTTTGATTAACCTTCGTCCCTCACCCTATCGGTAGCTTTACACACCACCCGTCCATCATCTTTACTACCACATGAATGATGACGGAGGAGAGACATGGCCTGATCTCCAGCTGCATGGCTTGATTTTCAGGCTTGATTTGCACCGGAGGCGGACGCTGTGACAATATCTGTAATTACGGAGTACGTATCCAGGTGTCATCGCTCCATCGTATGCGCAAACGACGCAAAATTGACAACGGCGAAAGGATTCCTGAGTTAATCAGTACGTACAATTCCTTTGATTGCCTCTGGTGCCTGGAACCGGTCATTCTTATGCTGATGCGGGATAGTCATGGCTCTAGACATTCAGCATCTGGCTTCAGATTCGTGAGGTTGTTCATCCGCTCCTCTGATTCGTTCACACCGAAATCCTGCTTCTTCCTCACCACCCTTTGAACAATTTCGAATATTTGAATCAAAGCTACCGATTGATTGAGTGCTACCTAACCATCTTTTAACATTCCCTCGAATGTATGTGATGATCATTCGGCCCACCGCTCTAACGGTTTACCGGAGGTTGTGTAAGAGTAGATTGTGAATTGCATTGTTGAATGCTGGTGTAATTATATGGAGTATCATTCACGTATCTTGCCTCCTGCCACAATCGCCTGAAGCTAGTGGTCGCGTGGTCGCCCTGAGGACGCCACAGGAAACAATCGACTGATATATCACGAATGGCATCTTTCTGGACTCCGTACTGATAAATGCATGGTCACTAGGTTCGGGCTACGGAGAGGTATGGGCCGAAAGTGCGGATTGGCAAACAGTCTGCGACCAAATCAAGAGCATGGGAGCACGAAACACGTTCTCGATCTGGGGGCAGCGTTATTCGTTGGGTTCGCAAGGTTAGCAGATGGTGAGTTGAGAACTTGCTCGATTCTTCTTCCACCATGGCCAGCAGGACATAATGCCATGTTGATTCTGGCTCTGTGCTTCAACTTTCTAAAGAAAGTTGATTCCATAGTCCATTGGGGGATTGTTTGCCGTTTAATATTGGATGGAACCGCGCGTCCACAGGTTTTTCTACCTAGGGACTGGTCACCAGTGAGGCGAAGATCAATTGGCATTTAGTCTATGAGGCACACTCCAAAGGAATGGGATCATGCTCAAGTTTCCGAGTAAGATGCTAAAGGCCTGATATCAGGACTCAGGACTCAGGAACAACCCAATAATCAAAGATGACCCGCATGGCTGCATTGTACCTAGCGGTGCCTGGTGAGTAGTAATCTGATAGTGCTGAAATTCCTGTCTTTGTCGATCGATCATCAATTAGGGAGCTCCTGAATCCTGCGTCCTGGCCCTGGGGAACTATCTAACTATGCACCCCTAGTTAGGCCCTAACCCAGCTAAGGTCAAAGAGCGGCAGATCGACTACGGTCTAACCAATTGCCCCAATTCTCCACTCCACCCCTCAGAAATAGAGGTAAAGGATCATGGAGAATCTTGTTGCATACTCCGCAGTGAGTTGAGAGATTCAGCTTTCTGAGGGTCAAGACAATAGGTCTCGGATCTTTGCTGGCGACTGTGCCGTACAGATGCGTTCGGCAATCGGCATGGGCAGCGGCTGTACAATCAAAAGTCATCCTATCTATGCTTTCAAATTTGAACCGGTGAACGGCAATCCAAAAAACCCAAATATTCTGGATCCCCCGGATAGCGTGGAATCGACCGTTCGCGCTAATATTACACATGTGCGAGAAATCCACTGGCATCAACCGTTAGGACTTCAGCATCAGCATTCAGCCTTCAGCAAGTGCACCCGATCTGAGCCACGACGAGAAGAGGATCGGCCAGACGAGATCGCCGAAAGATGCCGATTGGATTACGGTTCGTCGCAATGCAAAATGTCTTCATTATCTAAGCGCAAAGACGACTAAGTCATTCCCACTCCTCGACTAGAAGCATTGAAAAGGGCACGGCGTGAGGGTTCGATTTGCTGCGTTGAACCGGAATTGGCATGGAAAAGGAAGCATATAGAGTCTTGAACATGTTGGTGTTACTACTAATACTATTTGGTGCGCGGCTCAACCCACGAAGTATCAAGTACCGCAGACCGCCGGAACTGAGCCCGGAATTTTTAGCCCGTGAGCAATTCGCAATGCGGCAAACCACGAAGCCTCTGGACTGGTGGAGTAAAATCGAGGCCGAAACTCCGACACTGGTCTTCGGTCTTCTAAAATTCACTAAAAGCGCGGAACAGCATCCCCGAGGTGGATCATACCAGGTACAGGCTACAGCAGCGAAGTGTGCTTAACTCGTACCAGGTATTAGGCTATTAGCGGAAACATTTAGTATCATAAATTCATAAGGTGAGGCGCACCGGACCGTCTCAACAATGGGCACCTTGTTGAAGGAATTGCTGACCAGTGCTTGCGATATCCAGACCTCTCCACACTTTCGTTCTGGGTAATTCTATCCTGATTCCTGCAGATACTCTGCCCCAATGTCGCTCTAGAAACTTTGGATGGCGTCCGGCGGCCAAGAGAAGCGCTGGACAGACTCACTCAATTATCTTCCCTAGAACCACAAAATGGAATCCCTTGAGGAAATGGAGATGGACGCACTGGCCCGTTTTCTCTTACCCGGTGTTTTATGCTTAGGAATGTCAGCAATCAGTTGTTCTCATTTCTCAAATCGCATCGAATCCTGGTTCCTCGATTCAGCCACGACTCCCACGAGCCGTCGAGCCCTGTTCAAGACACACCGGAGTTCGACTCGTCCACGCGAGCTGCTGGGAAACGATCAACAACCTGAGCAATGACGCAGCGTCTTCCAACTTCACATCCGAGGTACCGCATACTGCGTACAACCCGCACCTCGCAAAGCAGAGTCGGCTCCAGCAACAGTGTGGGAGATGATGCCTGAACCTATTGGACCTCAGTTGAGTTTGAACTTAATAGTACAAAAATATTGCCTGATGGTCGATAACCTACCTAAACGAGGGGACCAGACCCCCTCTGATCGCCGAGAAAGATCCAAAATGAGAGTTGGTCGAGAAACAGCCCGAACCCCCCAAATCCCAGTGTCGAGAATCGAGATACCAGGACTTCAGGTGGTGGACGCAAGAGAGCCAGCGGCAGGGGTGGGCGTTGGGGGTGCGTCAGTCGAGGCCTCGTAGTGGCCCGGGCAGCGTCAGGGAGAAGCCAGTAATTTGGCACCTGGTACCCCGAGGCCATGGAGAGGGAGCTGCCGCAAGCCCGCCGTAACCGCATCCTGGAGTCATGGCCATCCCCCGGCGGTCGCACGTCGTACATACCATACGGCGGACAGCAGTTTACGCTCCCTCAGAATTCACACCTTCACAAGTTCACAGTTCATGCATCCACGATACTACTGGTCTACGGATGACGGGGTAAGTCCCGGGTCATCGCCTCCGAGCAACTCTAGCTTCTGTCGGAGGTAAATAGGTTACAGTGCTATTACCCAGTATGTCCAAGGCTCCAAGCTAACCTTTCCGTGGACCGCCTCCCTGGGGCCTTTGGAAGTCAGTACTCTATTTGTCTGCCCGCAAGAAATCTCCTAGTCCCTAGAACCGCGAGTGCTATTAACTCCACGCTTGTGGCCTGCTATGGTGCGGCATCTCCATTCCCTCCCTGTTAGTGCTCCTTGGCGCTGTCAGGGACTCAGGGCATTTCCAGGGCGACAACCCCACCCCAACAGTGGGAGTCAGCATGGATGACTCTGCATTAATAATTCACGATGCTAGGTATTATTATTGTGTGAACCAAAGCTCCATGAATGTTAGGGCCGTCCCTCCTCTGTTACATCTAGTCCTCCTGGTTCTTAGTTCGTAAGGGACATCCGGCCAGAAAGTGTAACCTCCCTCGACATCATTATTCCTTATCATGGCGCTGAGCAATCGCTTCGTGGATCTGCGATGATCTGCTCCTGAGTCCTGAGGACCCAGGCCTGTTTCGAGGTAAATATGGCCAGCCTTGAATCTTGATGCATAATTTCTCTCCAGACTCGGGATGCATGGCGGCAATAGCGCACAAACCTCCTGCTAACTTAGTGCGCCCCTCACCCCCGCAGGTCTTCTGGATGTCTCCTCTACGGCTCTACCGTTGGACTCAGATCCTTGTCAGTATCCTCCTTGAACCCAGGACTGAATACAGTTTAGGGTCCGGCATTTTCTATCCATGGTTGCGGCATCATCGATGGCGGTCTGTCCTGCGGCCCGTCCGTCTCCTGTGTCCCACACGGGAGTCTTATCAAGTTCCTTAATCCTTGGCTCTATTCAACAGAGGACTGAGGTAATTAAGGGTGACCGACTGACCGTATTTACCTGGTCAATACGGAATACCCATTACCCAGTATCATTCTTGACAATGCTAACATTACCCCAATGGATGGGCCCGACCATCAGTGTCTAGCGTCCACTGTCCAGGGTTCCAGACATGTACACAACCTTCGATCAAGCCTAGTTCATACAATCTCCCACCAGAACAAGCCATCATACCTCGTACCTCATTCTTTCGACCAACACTGGGCTTCACACCTTCACGGCTTCACCCCACCCACATTTGAGTGACATTCCACACTCGCTACCTCTCATCAACACTGACTCTGATCATGTATTTGGTGGTGTGGTACTCCTTCGACGGTTCGACATTCGTATCCCATCGGTTCATATATCTCCGCCTCGTCCCCTATGTATCGATTTTGCATTAATCTCGATCACCCTTCGATACCGGGCGAACTGTTGATTGAACCCAAAAGTGCCAATCTTGTCAAAGTTGTCAGACATTGAGACCTAGCGCAGCCATTGATCAGATCCCTACCCACTTTACATGGTGATACTGCCTTCCCACGTTCCCATATTAAGGTTCTCGCTTCCAGCAGTTTGGAACGGGAACAGCCAGACCCCATCAGCAGGCTCACTGCTTCAGCTTTGTTATTTCCCTCGCTTCTGACCTTCTATCGCTCATCTACCAACTTTACCGACGTTCCACTACTCCACCTCCACCTCCCACCCACACGGTAACCCTCTTGTCTCGTCGTCTTTCTCCTCATGCTGTCCATACAGCTTCCGGGTCCTCCGAGCAACCATTACTACGGCTTCAGCATGGATATCCCTCCGCTGTCGAACGTATCCGCTCAACCCCTTCGGAAACCCGTTTACACCCCAAGTTTTGGTCGTTCCACCGCTTCCGCCGACTCTGAATCCAGAGGTGCTTCGTTTCCTCCTCGCGGGAACAGCAGACCGATTTCTACGACTCCCGGAGCCAAACGCCGTGCTTCTCGCGCTGGGACTCGTTCTGTCTCGACATTGTCGGCGGCCCAGCTCGAACGCAAACGCGCAAACGACCGGGAAGCCCAGCGTGCCATCCGCCAGCGTACCAAGGACCAACTTGAGAGCTTGCAGCGCCGTATCGATGAGCTTACGAGCGGCGACGACAACAATGCGAAGTTCATGCAAGCACTACGACGAAATGAGGAGCTAGAGCAAGAAAACGTGATGCTTCGAAGAAGCCTAAACCAGGCGGTAGGGGCTTTGCAAGACCATGGAGGTGAGTACTTTACTGCTTGCGAATTTCATTTATAAACGTTCTAGAAGTTGTTCTTTTGACCAAAATTCCCGAATGCACTGGTTCGACTGAAGTTTGTTGCTCTTGCAGGTTGCTTTTGGCGGGTGCTGTGTAACGTCGCGCCAGTGGCGGCTCGATACCAGTGTGTCGGTTTTCGTATGTCGTGTAACCACGGGCGGTCCGATCCCCAAATTGCGTCTCCGCATTCTCATATATTACTGGGAACAACTGTTCTTTAGTTTTTCTAGAAGTGCTGTTTACTTTTTCGACAATTTCCATTCCTATCCTCTCCTGAATCAGATGAATTCACGATGTTCTCCACACTTTCTGTCCGTCCCTAGCGTTCCCGCTTCCGCTCCGCTCACATTGAACAGGTATCCCGACTGATGGAATGCTCACTCCCGGGGGACACACTCCAACCGAGCGAATTCCGCCGAATATCCATTCTCGGACCTCTCCAACCGCTTCTCAGCAATCCCCCCCGTCTTCGACAACAACCAGTGCTGGTCCACCTCCTCTCACCACCCAACCGGAACCATGGCCTACCCATCACGCTCCCGCCTACCAACCACAAACCCCCTCCAGTATCGCAAACTCCCCCGCTGTCCCTTCGCTCACGGCCGCGTCGCACTCCGTCGGTCACCCTCAGCAGCACCAACCACCCCCAAATGCTCACCCTCACCCCTCATGGCCGATGGTCCCGGCACCCGTGTGTACGCCGGACGACAGGCCCCTCAATCCCAACCCCGCCGCTGGCTATCCGTACGCGATGGATCCCTCCACGACGACTATGCACTTTCACCCACCCCATCCGGATCAGCAGCCACTACCCTACCACGACAATCCACCTCCCCCACCAAACATCGCCCCTGGCCAGGAGTACCAGCAACGACCCCCACCTATGAGTGGCCCTTTGCCCGGTCCCTATGCTCAGTATCAGGGTTATATCTCGCCAGTGTCCCATCCCGCAGAGGCAGCCCAAGGGCTATCGATGATGGGAAGGGCGGGTGGTATGAACAACGGACACATGATGTATAATGGAATGGGTGGCGACGTCAAGCAAGAGTAGTGAATCACTACGGGCAAGAATTAGCATCACTGACACAATCGAGGTGCTCGGTCCATCGCCATGTTCAGATGGGACAGTCGGTCGGCAGGCTCAGTTCCGGTGGAGAAGAACAGGATTGTCACGACGGGATGAACATGACAAACACTCAGCAAGGGGAGCGATTCGGGTTGCAACGACATCCCGCACATGGGATTGCTTCACCCGTACGTATGTAACAAAACGTACATACCGTTGATGGAGCTGTGGGAAGAAGACTACCTACACCATAGGTATAGTACTGTGTGGGCAGGGAGGGAAACTGGTGCTTGTAGAGTTGCTTGGAGAATCGACACTCATAACGCGTTTGATTCAAGCTCTCGTCAGAGCGAATCTTCCGAATGCCTATGAGAGCTCCATCTGCGGCAACTTTCCTTCACAGCGCCGGTCGTGGCGAGGAATTTACTGTACAGTCTGGGCAGTCCTCGCATCAAGGGCCTGCTGTTCACGAATCTGGGCCAAGAGCTCGGGATACTACACGCATGGAATCGTTAGTCATCCTCCTTAGTCATCTTGAAATTGAAAAAGCATAAAGACAAGTCCGTCCTCAAGATGAGGAAAGAACCACTCACCCATCTTTCCCCAACATCGGGATGGCTTCTCACGCGATTCGCCAGCGTGGCTTCCCCAAGGTGTCCCCATCGCCCCTTCTGGAACGTGAACTCGACGTCATCCTTCCGTCCGCCCTGCGCCCTCCTCAATTCCTCCCTGAGCACCCGTACGTCTGTCGGGACATCCATTTCTTCGAACCGCGCATCATAACTGACGCCTTGGAAGAAGGGCACGCTGAATCGCGGCCCCGATCCCTTCAAGGGGCTCAGCACCCGATGCGTCGTGCTCGCACAGACGCCCGCCGTCATGGCCTCGAGCCCCTGCCCGATCGCCACCACCAGCGTCCCAGGGATCGGGGTCGCGTCGATCCACTGGCCGGCCTGGTTCTGCGCCTGGAGGCCGCGCTGCCCGCTCGCCTGCAGTAAGTACGAGGTTAACATGCTGTCTTTATGCGGGCCGACGCCCTGCCGTAGGGCGACCCTCTTCGGGTCGCTGAGGTTCTCGGCGTCCGGGTCGGCGGCTTCGATGGTGCATTCGGGATACTTGACGATCTTCAACTTGTGCTGCTGGTTGGCATCGAAGTAGCGGTCGAAGGCGTCGGCGGGGAGGCCGATGGCTTCCGCGATCAGGGAGGTGAAAAAGGTGGCGATAGAGGTCATGCGGGTGATGTATTCTTCGAAGATGGGGCGGAAGGTCGGGAGATGTTGCTCGGAGGGCCATTGGTTTGGCGCGAGTAGGTTGTGGTAAAGGGGTGCTTCGGGCCCCGGGATCGGATGTGGTGTGGAGAGGTCGAGCTGTTCGCGATGATCGGGGAGACGGGCGGTGGTTTCATTGTCGACCTGGAGATTGGAGTTGGTTATCCTGGGGGTTCAATTATATATCCTTGGTTATGAATAGCGTCTGGTCTTCGAATACATTCAAAGGGGGCGATATGCATGTAGCAGGGTTGGCTTTACTTTGTAACTATTCGGGCGGAAGGTGGATGTTTGACACCGTTCCTCATATTGGGATCAACAAGTGGACTCAATATGTAATGTACTTTGTATCCTTCGTTGACAGACAGTATTCTTTGGGTGAGTCCATAGGACTACTTCCACCCGCTTACTCACGACGGATGACTTCAAGCATATCGAATAGGACAAACCATACGCGAAAACCAAAAATTGAAACACATGTCTGAAACAACCAAGAACTTACCCTACTCCAACCCAAGAAGCTCTTCTCATTCTTCATCTCGATCTTCTCCTTCTCCTCCAGCGGCAAGGCATCCTCGTCGAAGAACCGATGCGTCTCCTCGATCACTCGATCTACCAACTCCTGCGGAAGGCCGGTTTCCGACAGGTAAAGAAATCCGACGGTGATGAGGGCGGACCTTAAATCGGCCAGGAACGTCGGCTTGGTGGAGGGATCCCGGGCCGCGGAGAGGGGAAGAATCGGGATGCTGGTGAAGGTGGACATGGTTAAGGAAAGGGCGAAATGACTGGGAGATTCGTAGAGTATACAATGTAAAGAAAAGAAAAGAACGATTCAGGTAATTTCAATATTCTACAATGCTAGGAGGGAGGGAGAAAGCCGAAAGGGCGTGAATAAATATATGTAGTTACCTAAGGTGGGGGGTGGGGTCAATAACTGATATTGCGCCATAGAGGAATTCGGTGGCGCTGTCATGAATCGGAGTAGGCGTTGGAGTTAGGTTCACTATCATGGAAGTATTTTAGTGGAATCAGTGCAGCTAACGAACGATTGTACTCCTGGTGTTTTATACACATAATGGACAAGAGGTAAATGCAGGTCGAATTTCCAACTTGTCTGATATCCAGGATCCATATCGAGAAACGACTAGAAGAAGAAGTACCGAAGTGCCGCATTTTCGACACTCAATGGACAATTGTTACCAAAATCAGAGTATGGCATAGGTGGGAACTCCAGGTAACTATCAGAGAAAGACTGCATTCCCATTTTAGATCTCAATACTCCGGAAAGTCTTTATCCACATGTGTCCTCCATCCTCTCAGGCCATTTTTGATATCACCAACCCATCTCCTGCCGCTCAAATCCAACCCAGCCTCCTTGAACTTCTTCACCGTCACTTGCGAATCGTTCCCAAACCGACAAACCACGTATATAGGCTTCTCCAGTGCCGCCTTATGTATGAAATGTACCCACGGCATCACCAGCTCGTTCCTCTGCCCCTCACTGACTTTCCCATCCACTTCCATCGCATTCTGATCCGGATTCGTTGACGGCGACGATGACGACGCGACTGATTGCTCTCTTGTCGAGGGATTCGACCGCACTGGTGCGTTGATTTGCGAGAACGGGATGTTGATACTCCCCTCAATACTGCAGAGGTCGAACTGCACGCGCTCTCGCACGTCGATCAGGACGTGATCTTTCGGGAGCCCGCGATCCAACACCGACCGTGTGGTTACGAGCGTCTTGGCGTATTCTCGTGGTGAGACGCGTTCGCGTGGATTCAAGATATTGGCCGGATTGGCAATGCCGCAGAACAGTTGGTAATCTAATGAACCCGAGCTCAAAGAGGCGAGCGAGACGGACGGCTGCTCAGAGCAGCAGGCGCAGCGTGGGCGGCGCGAGCGGAGGCGGATGGAGCGGAACGGTGGGGTTCCATATGCGGAAAATAGGAGTAAAGAAGGTGTCTCGGATTGAGAGGACAGGAGATGCGAATCGTCGCTACTCGAGCCAGCGTGGCTGCCGCCGCTGTTACTCGGGCTGTTGCTGCTGCTGTACGCCGAATCCGAGCCCTTGCCTGGCTTGGAGACCCAGAAGAGGTCCGACACGATGACTTTAATGGCTTCGAGCGCCTGAAGGACGCCCATGACGCCCACCACTGGGCCCAAGACACCGCCCTCTCCACAGGTGACCACGGTCTCGGCGGGAGGGGGCTTGGGGAAGACGCATCGGTAGCATGGACCGCCGGAGGAGTCGCCAGGCGCTCGAGGCGGGTAATTGAGGATCAGGAGTTGGCCCTCCATGCGGAGTGCGGAGGCCGAAACAAGGGTTTTGCCTAGGAGGACGCAAAGGTCGGATATCAGATATCGGGAGGCTGGGTTGTCGGTGCAGTCTAGAACCAGATCGTAGTGGCGGAAGATGTCCGGTGCATTTTGCGGGTTTAGATGAGTTCGGTGGGAGACGTATTTGATGGTTGGGTTCAAGCTACGCGATTGTCAGTATCCAGATCATGCAGAGTCCAGGTTGATGGTATACGATTTGAGGTAGAATGTGGCGCTGTCAACCTTCGACATGCCCACCTTTTCGGTCGTATGGAGGGTTTGGCGATGAAGGTTTGATTCTTCAACAATATCTCCATCCACGAGCCCGATGGTTCCAACTCCAGCACCAGCGAGATATGCTGCTGCTGGGCATCCCAGGCCTCCGACGCCAACGATAAGAACTGAGGTGTTCTTCAATCGTAATTGACCTGTTTTTTCATTTTAGCTGCTGAAGCGCAAACGTAACGGCTGTTTTCATGGAGATTTCATCTCACCATTGAGCCCAATTTCCGGTAAAATGAGCTGTCGACCATATCGCTTGTACTCCTGTGGCATTAACGGCCATGCGTTCTTCCTGGGGCTTTCATGGCCCAACACGCCCAGAATTTCCATCTGCCACGCATCCTGCCCGCCGCCGCTCAGGTCGAACGACATCTCCGGCTTTGCTTGCGCTTCCAGAATCGCCCTCTCCTCGGCATTATTCAATTGCACCTTCAATGCATGCAACTGTCTCTCACAGAGGGAGATCTGCTCCCGCAAATTCCTGATCGTCTGATCCATGGTGTCGGAATACGCGGAATGGAACGAAGCAGCCTCTCCTGCTTTCCTGTAGCCACTATCTACTGGTTCTTGCAGGTCAAGATGGTCAAAAACTTCAGCAATCGTGTTGGGAGCGGGTTCCAGAGGGGGAAGGGGAGTCGGCTCTCTGTCCCCAATAATGTTTTCACCTTCCTCCAGGCCGTTGAGGGCCATGATTTGGTAGCCGCCAATATATTCTCCCGGCCGTTCTCGGTAACCAAAGGCCCTCAGGAGGCTTGGAGCTACTCTGCGGGCAGACTACCTAGGCTTTTCGACCTGTTTGGGAATCCTGTTCCACCGCCCACGCTGACCTGCTGAGTGTTGGCGACTCGACGTGTCGCTACCCCACCACTCCGGAGTGATACGCAGAAATTTTGCGCGTCTGCGTTAGCCAGTGGGGAAGGATTTGGTGCTCCAGCCTAAGGGCTATGACCTAAGTACTGCCGGTGGCGCCTGGCGGGAGTGTGGTTATTACCGGTAGTAGTATTGCGGCTTAGACTATGGACGGTGTGGATGGTGTAGACTGCGGGGCGAATCTTAAATCGTTGGGTTCTGGGTTCTGGAAAGAGATTTGAGAAGATTGAGAGATTCAGAATGCACGAGTCAAGGGTTTCTCATATCAAAGAGGCGATGAATCATGATCCGCAACGCTAAAGTCGAGGCGAGTCTCCGACTCTCCATCATCCGCGCCTCCGAGTGCGGGGGATTCGCCAATGTTACGTTCTCCTGGGACCTGGGCCCCGGAGCCCTGCAGTCCTGGCTCCTGGACCCTCTTCCTTTCATCCGGTGATATCCCCCCAAGTCCCAAGTCTCCAGCCCGGACTTTCCCTGGTTGCTGCGGCTATATCGGTGGAATGCCAGCATATTTGGAGCGAAAAGCATAGCTATCGGATATTCGGATGGTTAGGTAGTAATTACTGAGCGGAATACTCCGTAATGATCGCTCCTTCGCATCTCCGTCTAATTCCCGCGAGGTACTACTAGATCAAAACGGACCTTGTTAGGGGAAAGTGTGTGATGGGAAACCCCTCAGTATGAGCCCAGGAAGCCGAAGACGAGAATCTTCGTTCCATTGGTGATAGATCATCGACCCGAGACCTCCGAAGTCACGCCGTTGGAGGCTTGGAGTCTTGGACTGCTCTACGGCAACGGGCTACGGCTTACACTGGACGGACGGGCTGTAGTCATAGGACATTCGCTTTATCACCTGTTCCTGGACCAGGTCTACGGCCATTTACCCGAGAATGTGAAGCCACCAGAACCTCGAGTCGACACTCTCGAACTACTGAGCGACTAGACCCTTCTACAAGTTTCAAAGGAATTGCTCTATCTGTTAGGTGCAGCAGCCGCGTCAGGGCGGAAATTAGGAAATGCAACTATGCAAGTGCTCGCTCGCCTAAGCTAACCGGAATGCCCTAAAAAGTGTGCTGTAGCCGATTATGGTATTACCCCACCCCGCATTTGCATATTTTGGCACATACATAGTAGTACAGTTCTAGGCCTGATCAATTGGCCAAACCATGCAATGGTGCAGCTCACAACGCCGTGAGACCCGGCCATCTGCGGCCCTGGCCGGCCGTTGTCGGCAGCTTCCCCAATTCCCATGCATCAAGAAATGGACAACCCATCGTACACCCAAAACACGATCGTCGATTTACCGCTTCGTCGAAAAGATCGAGACCGCGTCTCCGTCGCCTTGCGTCCACGCTCTAGCAACCTCCTTCCCCAATGCTATCCGGAGCAATTGAACCACTTCCTTCCCGCCCATCCCTCGCTGCAGTCCCGTCCGCCAGTCCCAACCTCGCCGGACGTTCGACTCATCGTCCTTCTTCGGCCCTCGGACGAGGACGCCGCTGGCTTCGGCGCTCGGGTTCACGGAGTCGGGTGCGCTGTCAGTCATCTCTGAGCTGCCGGCGAAGGAGAACTGGCTGGAGCCGGTGGTGAGGGCGGAGGTGGATTTGGCGAGGGAGGGGACGGATTTGGAGGCGAGAGAGCGGCGGGAGTGGGCGCGGTAGTCTTGGATGGCGGATTGCAACAGCTCCTCGTTCTGGGAAAAGATGCGGGAGGAGACGGTTTGCAGGTCTTCGGCGACGCGGAGCAGCACGAAGATCTGGGCGGTGATTAAGACGCATTGCGACTCTACGACACGGGTTCCTCGTTAGCTGCGGATGTCGGGTGCGGGAACGTGGGAAGTAGAACTTACGATTGACGAATGCCAGGGCTTCTCCCAGGAGCGTAAGTAAGCAGCCAACCTGAACGACGACGTCGATATCAGGATCGAACAGACCGCCCCGGATAGGATCCGCCGCACTCTCGATGACCGCGATCAATGCAGCCGCAGCCTGCCGTCTCCTTTCCAAGGGCCGAAGTCGAGATCTCCCTGAAGTCGGGTCGACGTCCTGGTCGCGTAACACGTAGAATCGCCGCAACGTCGCATAACCGCTTAAGTACTTGGACAACACTTCGGCGGCATCCGGGTCGATCCGGGCGAGCTGGGTCAGCGAGGTTTTCGGGGTATCGATGAAAGCCTTGAGCTGAGGATCTAGAGACTCGGATGGCGGATACGCTCTGGATTGCACCAGGCACCGGCTTATAAGAGTGTGGAGCACTTCCTTGATCTTGTCTGGATTTCGAGCTCGAGCGTAGTAGAGGAGTGCTTGGCCGAACTCTTCGCCAGACGCAGCAATGTTATCCGCAAAACGCTGGAATATGATTAGTCTCACTCCTAGATCTTCTTTCAACTTTACTGACCTCTGTGATCGACTTTGAGTAGTCAGGGAGCTCAAGTTTCTGGCAGAGATTGAGAAGCTTCTCCACCCGAGCAGGTGTCGTGATCGAAAGGGTCTCGAGCAATTTCGTGATTTCCATGTCCGCCTTCTCTCCATCGTTGAGCCGGCTGAGGACCTTCACTGCAATTTCCCAGCCTTCGACCACATCTTCTCGGCGTTCCAGCGTCTCCTCCTTCGAAAGGAGGTTGGCGTATTGCCGCAAATACTGATCTTTTACCGAGAAATCCGTTGTATCGTCGGCATTATCCATATCAAGCACCATCAGGTCACTCTTGTCAAATGTCTTCATCAAATTCCCCGGTTTGTTGCGCCGCGAACTCAGCCATTGGCCGGCATCTGCCAGCTCGGCGACGGCGGAGGCAACGGTGATGGACCATCCCTTGATGATACCCAACACCCCTTCAACGTCACCCACGAGGATAGACGCCAACCCCACCTCATTCGGGTTCAAGGTGTTCAGGGCGAGTTGTGTCTCGTTCTCCCCTTCGCGAAGGGCGCGGGTGAGCGCGGAGAACAGTCGCTTTCGGTACGCCAACGCCGGCGTCACATCTACCGTACGACTGCGGCGCTCCAGTCTGTTGACATAGTAACTCGACCCATACGTGTCTGCCTCGACATCTTCTTCGTCGCCATCCCACCAAACGGCAAGGCCGATAACAGCCTCCACCCAGTCGCATGAGGCCTTCAAGACCTCGTCTGGGACGCACATAAACATCATGAGGATGTCAATCAGGTATTCGGCAATTTCGATCGGCAGCAGCGATCCCGCGGCGCGTGAACTTCGCAAACTATCACCGGCATCAAATTCCTCGTCACCCTCTGGCGTTTCATAGTTTCCCATTACGCGCATGTCTCGAATTGCCTGCTGAATTCTGCGTCGATAGAGCGCCCACTGCGCCCCTTTCATATCCCAATCTTCCGAGGTAACGGCAGGACACTGCTCGAGGACAGACACCGTCGCCGCCACAGCCTCATTGACGGCGACAAGCTGTGCGCCGGTATACCCTGACTCGGTAGCATAGCCGTCCTCCCCTGCGGTGTATGCGTTCCGGAAGTTGGCGCCGTTGAGTAGCTTGAGCACAGTCCTAAATTTCCCGCGTAGCAGCGATGAGAATATGACGTCCCAGAAGCTAGGGTTGGTAGAGTAGCCGGATTTCTCGGCTAGGACTTGTTCGAGTTCGGGGGCGCTTGGGTCATGGTAAGTGTTGAGCCATTCCAGCAGCAGCATTGGGATGGCAGCCTTCTTCGGCGGGAGTTTCTGTCTGAGTGAGCTTTGCGAACGGCGGAAGCTTGACGTCAACGGTTCTGGCCGAGCATAGCCGCTTGAAGGAAGGTACAGGTTAATTAGGATGCCCACTAGAAATGAGCATTTTTGGACCCAGGAATCCTCGTCGGTTGGGCCGATATGGTCTGCGGATGTGGTTCGCGTAGTCGGAATCCCGGCAGCATTCTCCCATAGCGTTTTGAGCTGATGAGCGACCAATGTGACCTCCTCGTGTGATCCAGACGCGGACTCGGTATGAAGGAGCTTGGAGACCAGGTCTTCTGTCGAAATAATGAAGTCGCTGGGTTCATGGAGCGATGGTTCCGGCATAGACGCTGCAATGTCCTTTGCGATGCCTGTCATGTCGAGATCGCGCGGGAGTTTGCTCAGGGACATAGATTGGTTTGGATGTTCTTGTCGCGTCCGCTTTACACCCCTAGAATCAGCGACGCTGTTCTTCAATAGGTCATGCATGCCAAATGCCTTGCGGGTGCCCGGTTGTGCTAGAAGGTCGTCCATCGTCATTTCTCGCTCATCCTCTTCTATCGCTTCATCACCGTCCATATCCTGCTCCTCATCCTCATAGTCATACTCATCCTCTTCGGCTCCATCGTCATATTCTGCGCCGCCTCGCCTTGATGACGCCAAATCGATTAGCGGTGGGCTGCTTTGCGGAGGAGGGTATCGGGTCGGTTGCGCCGAAGGGATGGCGGGATAATTGGTGTTGGCGCCAGAGAAGAAGGTTCGCGTCGTTTGGGGTCCTTGATTTGGAACGGAGAAGAGGGACGGAGCATCGCTAGACGGCTTGACAGCAAAGAGAGAGCCTTGGCTTGGTTTGAAGCTTGTTCCGGCTTGCGAGCTCCCGAAGACAGACGTCGGCGGAGGGCCAGCAGGAGTAAATGAGCCGGCGGTGTTGAGGTTGAAGGTAGGCGGAGGGCCGGCTGGTGTCGTTGACGGGTTGTCATTGAAACTGTCATTGAAGAGACGCGACCCCGGAGTGGACGGAGGAGGCGACGAGGACAGAGGTACTTGAAAGGACATGATGTCGAGTCAAGGAGAGTCGGAGAATGGTTTGGTTACGAGAGGTTGAGTATTATGTGGTTCCTGGCGACATTCATGATGATCCAAAGGATATGTAACCAAACACAGGGTCGTCTTTGTATGTATAGAGGATGTGATGGCAGCAGAGGCCTTCGGCGCAAATGCAGTGATGATGATATGAGTGCAGGACGTGAAGGACGTGTTGAAGTGTTGGCATTTGGCGTTTGGCAATAATAATCCACCCACCAATCAGACACTCAATTGTCTAAGGTGCTTGTCTTTCTATGGAGATAAGATTCAAGACACGACATCTTCGGCTTCAGTTCTGGGCCATTCAAGAGTCGTACATATACAGTGAGACCTGAGAAATAATATATGCTTTCCTATATGTCGATTCTCTTTAATTGCATAAAGTTCTACCGCGTCTATACCTCAACAATATACTGTTCTACTGTGCCTGTCGTTGAGAGCATATCCAAGATCTTCCAGAGTCCCAGTGGGTTTCACTCAACATTCAAGTATGTTCAGACATCAGAATGACCAATTGTCAGTGGATCGGCTCAACCTCGAGCCTCTCCACGTGTTTATATACCTAATGACCGAAACACGGATATCCTGGTTCCTCAACGCGTGGACATGAGAACTGAGAAACGGAACGGATTCGGTGCAGGGATGAGAAGACGGTTCATCTGATGATTGGAGGGTCCAGTCATGCCACTCCGATCAGTCATTGTTTAAGCGGTGGCTGAACGGAAGAGGGTAAGCTTTTCACGGTTCCGTGGTGAGTTGGTGACGTGGGAGTCCAGAGCCACCGCTGCCAGTATCGCCTCCTCCGCAACCACCACCTCTTCGTCAGCCTTCTACCTGTCTCTTACCGTGCTCATCCGAGCAGAATCCGTTCATGAATTTATAACCATATCTTTATCGACAAATCCCTCCTACTTTTACTCCTAGAACTTCCAATCTTATGCTTCCTTGCTCTCGCTGCAAAGTCCGGCGCAATCCCCGAGATCCACTTCCATGCGATAGTACTCCCCGCGTTGATGGCGGAACCCCTCAGCTTACCACCTTCAAGACATTGAGTGCGCTATTCCGCGGCACAAGTGCCTAGATTACGATATGTCGAGCGACAGGTCCTCTGGGGTATGGCAGAAGACCAAATCGTCGAGTAAGGCCGGATTTGACAAGGTTTGGGGCTGGGCGGATAAGCTCGGCGCTCCTATAAACCGACTGTCTAACAAGGTCGGATCCGAAGCATTCTGGCCGACAACCTTGGACAAAGAGAGCGACAAGGCAGCTCGCATCCTCAAAAGCTTCTGCAGTATGTGGACTTCGCTCCGAATCTTCTGTTCTTACTAATGGCCGAACAGAGGATGGCTTTTACCAAGAAGAGACTAAACCACCGGTGGACGGGCCGAAGCAGAAGCAGAAAGTGTTGAAACGGATACCTACCGAAGTTATCAAAAATGCGAAGGGCCTCGCGATATTCACGACCATGCGTACGGGGTTATGGGTATCTGGAGCAGGCGGAAGTGGTGTTCTGATCGCACGGAAACCCGACGGGGGCTGGTCGCAACCCTCTGGCATCATGCTCCACACTGCTGGACTGGGCTTCTTGATCGGAGTGGACATATACGACTGCGTGGTGGTTATCAACACTCAGGAGGCGCTGGAAGGCTTCTCAAAACTTCGAGCCACGGTCGGAGGCGAGATCAGCGCCGTGGCCGGCCCAGTAGGGATGGGCGGATTGATGGAGAGCGAGGTCCACAAACGCCGGGCTCCGGTATTTACGTACCTCAAATCCAGGGGCTTCTACGCGGGTGTCCAGATTGATGGCACCGTGGTCGTCGAGCGAACGGACGCGAATGCCGAGTATTACGGACAGGAGAAAATCTCCGTGAAAGAAATCCTAGCTGGAAACGTCCCCGTACAGGAGGGAAGCAGACGGTTAATAGCCACATTGAAAGCTGCGCAAGGGGATAATGACGTGGATGAGTCTCTTCTGCCGGATGAGGCTCCCCCAGGCGACTTCGAGATCGAGAATGAGGCCCACATATTCGGAGTCCCGGACCAGCAGGATCCAGACCCCTACGGTGTTCTTGCCCTCCAAAGCCAAGGCCTGGATATCCGAGAAGCCGGTTCCCGCCAACGACCCTCACTCGACCACTTCAGCTTCCGACCGAGCCCTTCCAGCCCTGTTTTCGAAGCGTTCAACCGGCAAAGTATGGACACTAGCGGGAGCCGACGAAGCAGTTGGCGGACATCGACGCTGAGTAGCATCGGCCTCCCACGCCGCATTTCGGCCATGGTCGACATGTCGACGCAGACGGATGAGGAGAGTGGGAGTAATACCTCCCCCGGGGTGGCTAGCCCATCCAGCAGCAAGGTGAATGGTACGCCGGAGAAGGTCGACACGGAGGTGGCCTCTCCGAAACGCGAGGCGAGTCCGCTGCCAACTCTGCCTGGAAGCTACCGACGATCGACAGCTGCAGGCGCATCCCCACCCCCGTTGGAGCCTTCCCCTGCGTCCGACTCAAACTTAGAAGCTGCTCCCTCTGCCTCTTCAAAGGACACTTCCCCTGAAACGGCCGACTCTCCCGCCAACCACAAGCCCACTGATGCCTCTAAAACAGCCGAATCAGCATTAACTGAACACTCCGAACACTCTGAGCTCTCTAAGCCCGCTGAGCCCACTAAAGACGACGACGACTTCGTCATTCACGAAGTCCACCAGGCCCCTGCCGCGCAAGCCATCCGCGCCCGCCTCGTCAACGTCCCCAAGCGCCCCACCCCCCAACTCCCTCCCCGTAACCCGATCCGGGACCGAAAGCCGGTCCTCGCCCAGAACGATGTCCTTCACGCCGACCTGAACCCCAACCGGATCAAGACACCCGCCTATGACGACTCGCCGCCCAACACTGACTCGATCCCCGACCATAACGCCTCGCCGCCCAACGCCGCCTCGATCCCCGATCGGACGAGGCCGCCCGCCCACTCGCCCCGCCACCAGAAAACGAAGGTGCCCACCCCGAACGACGAGCCGCTCACCGCCGCGTCGATCCGCTCGTCACTGTCCACGGAAGATCCGGACGACAACGATGAGGGGGAGTTCATCGACGCGCCCAGCGAGCGGTCGCTGCCGTCGTCGAGCTCGGTGGTGAGCTCGGGAGTGACGCGGGGGGGCAGCTCGGGGCGGAGTTCGGGGAGGAGCGTGGATAGTGCGTCGTCGGGGACGCCGGTGGGGTTGCATGCGTTGGAGACGGTGAAGCCGCATGGGGGGATCGAGGAGGTGTAGGGAAATAGATGAGGAGGATTGGAAGGCGTGTCTCTCTCGATTGTGAGTAATGAGGTGGAACATATATTGGATGTGCGAGATCTTGTCCAAATCTGCACATACTCAAAAGTCGTGCAAAGGGGATAGAGGGATGTCGAGTTCAGGCTTTGTCCTTGGTTGCATTTCACTAGATGATATCACGAGCAATGATTAGAGGTGTAAGTTATGAACGCGACATGTTTGGGGGAATCATGGTCATGGACCTTCTCATTTAATCATTCAAATGCCTAGTTCTAATGCATGTCTGATCTCCGTCCCCTTGGCAGAGCATCTTGCCTGCCTAAGTATCCGCATCTTGCGTCCACGATACATCGTGGCCGTAGAAAGCGGAATGGAATCGCCATAGCGGCAACTCCGTTCGTCATCGCCCCCGTTCGTCATCGCTCGTCTAGGAATACTAATTCGAGCCGAGGGCCCCTCCGTTATTCGGGTTAGTGTCACCTTGTTTGGGAGATCCCTGTATATGGTTAGCTTCAATTCACTGGCAGTTAAGCTAGAAGACATAAAACATCGTTAAAGGATGGAAGCGGAGAGATGACGTACCTTCACTTCCTGTACTGCGCCGCTCTCTAGGATCTTCTGCACCACCTCTGTGTCATCATGTGTTCCGAACTCGTTCTCCAAGCTCGCATTTGATGCACGGTCGAAATGGCCTTGGCTGCCTTGCCTAGATTCCATCATCGTTAGCGAGCTCTCGACACGGAAGAGGTTGGGATGGTTGGAGGGGTAGGGACCAAAGGGAGCACTCACTTGTGCGAGACGAAGATCTGGAAGCTGTCGACTACGCTGACGAGCGGTGTCGACTTGTCCTCCTTCCACTTCTGCAAGGCTGCCACACTCTCGGCGTAGACAATGAAGTCATCCACGCGGCCCTGGTAGTGGACCTTGGTCTGATAGCCGTCTGCGCGAACCATTGTTGCGGTGGTGGGTTGCTGGGGTTTGGAGTCGGTGGAATTTGGGTAGGGAATGTCGTAGATTTGGAAGATCGTGATGAAAGAGGTTTTCTGGTGTGTGTATTTGATGAAGATATGATATGCAAGATTGGGTGGACGGGGAATTTTATAGAAGATTCAATTGGAGCCCGCAAGGTGCTCTGGTGCTGGTCATCCTGGGATCGTACTACGTCATTGCCTCGTCCATGGCAACTGCTCTCCGCCTTTCGAGGAGCTTCTGCAAAGGTGCCTCAGGCTCCACTCCAAGATGCAAGGTTGATGCCTGACCAGTGACCCAGACCCTGACCCTGACCCAGACCATCCACAATTGCGTCAATTGTATCCACATTCCACACGATGTTCACGCGTACTACACCATGAAGCCACGATTTGGAATACGATACGTCTATTAATCTTGTAGATCGCTAGGTATTCTATTCTATCTAAGGTATGGACTCGGGAAATGCTACCCCCATAACAATTGACAAGTGTGACGAACCACTACCCACCCAACGACACCAACGCGTCCCTTGCATCATGATGCTTCCCGGTCGTGTTGCTGTTCATTCCGGCTATCGCCATCCCACAAACAGTAATTAATAGAGTGCCTTGTGAATGATATCTGTGTATTGTGAACCCTTACTCTTCAAAATCCGTTCTCCAAAGCTAACATTGACGATGGTCGGCTATTGGTCTTCAGACCGTTGATGGTGCCAGAACTTGAAGATCTTCCCTCGAGCTCTCTGACCTTTCGCGCTGACCTTGTTCGTGAGATTGCTGAAGATCGCCGGACCGGGTGTTCGCGATAGAATCCACCGCTTAGGCTCTGAATGACCGAGCTCCTTCGCACGCTGGGGGCAAGCCTCCAGCTTCTCCTTGGCACGATCCGAGGGAGATTCTCCGTGGAGCGTTGGGTGCCGAGTCGCAGGGTTTGGTTGTGCCAGCAGATCATCCTTTCCAGGTAATCTATCCTCTTTAAGTGCTTTTCGGCCACGGTTAGACAGCCTTTTGCGTGTGGGTACCCGATCGGGCTCGAAGCCGCCAGGGAGAAATGTCGTTGGGGTATTGTGAAAGCCCACGACCCTCGGGGCTCGATGATTCCCAGTGGCCGCTCTTGACTTCTTTGAGGTAGTGTGCACAGTACGGTGTGCGGGTGGCTCCTCGACTGTACACATGGGACTGTGCCTTCCGTGACTTGTCAAGCGCTTGGAGATGTTGCTCGAGATACTCGCCATGCTGAGCTTCCTCATGACCGAGTTTGCCGAGGCGCGAAGGGTGTTCTCCTGGCGTCTTCCACTCATTCCCGGGAAAGGTAATGCATCTCGCGTCCAGACGTCCGCAAGTGCGTGCTCAAGTCGGATCCGCTCAGATCTCCGCGGTGCTAAGATCGGTATTGATGCGGAGGAAAGATGAGACTTGGAGCGTCCAATCGAAGCCTGAACCTTAGCCTCCCCTGTAGTGCTCTGTGCGTATGTGGTTCTGATGATCACTTGATGTGGGCTAGATCTCGGGCCCACCGTCGCTGCTCGCTGAATTGGAACTCGTGTTCCTGTCTGCGGAGGCTGTTCGAAGCCGTCGAAGATCGAACTGAATGGTTTCAGGCCACCGATGAGCTGAGAGAAGATGTCTCCAGCGGAGCCAGTGCCTGATGCCTCAGACGATTCAGAAACGATTTGAGTTTCCAGATGTCTTTTCCAATCTTCTTCCTCATTCTCAGAGCAAGCGGACAGGATGAGTTCGTACAGCTTGCTCTGGTGTTCGAAAACAAGTTTCCATGAAAATGGCGCCGTGTGACATTGGAGGCCCATCCCGTTGTCCACGGCTTCAAGCGTGCACTGTGACAGATGGATAACCGCCCAAACACTGTACGAAGAACTGTGTTTCATCGGCACGGCAAAGAGAAAATAAGACTTGAACAGAACACAGACAGCATACGTTCCCTTGACCTCTGCAGGAGTTTCGAAGGCCATGTGGAGCACGCCGCATACCATAACATGGCCAAGGAGCCGCAGAACCATCCCGGCAGGAAGATGGTGCTCTTCGGTGAAGACTAAACGGTCCTGCAGCTTCCAGGTAGTCTCGATCATCTTTCGCTTTTTGGCATCGTCGCGTGCTTTGTTGACTGCTTGTGCCATCTCTTGCAGCCGGGAAAGCGCCTTTTGGATTTGCTCATGGGATTCTGGATCATCGCAGACGGGTGTCTGTCTGCAGAGCTCGGCAAAGAACAACGGGTACTTGCAAATTCTCTGGACAGGCTACTCTCCGTCAGCGTTGTATCCGACCATTGTAGAAACCTATACTGACTTTGATCAGCAGGTCTGCAAAGGTCAAGGCCTTCTTGTTGCCCATCTCCCGGTGGTTGAGCGAGCTTAGGGATATGGATAACACTTCAATGCCTCGTTCATAACTGTTCCAGCCTGGAATGGATTTATTCGTCGAAGACACGTCATGATTCATGATGTCGAGGTGAGATGCGTAAGCCTCATAGGTAAAGAATCGATGCATCTGTCGAATATTCGTCAATAATATCCCAATCAGCAAAACAGTATCCACAGATGCTCACGAAGATGTTGAAGACACGTGCCACAGCTGCTGCTTGGCGACCATCGGCAATCGAACCTTGGAAGCGAGGATCCGTTGTATCATAGGAGTCGAGCGAGTATCTGCCATGCTTTCTGAAATGCAGATGACGGACACGATTTGGCAGCCCGTCGTCACTACGCCAACGAGTGTGGCGAGGCCTTCGCGGCCTATTTGAGTCGGATGACTTTCCTTGCCCCGTGTCAGAATAAGGGAAAATAAGCTGCAACTCCCTGAATAGGTCCTGGTGAAGTTGTTGAAGTTCAGCCAAAGTCCGCTGGACCGAGCCCTTCGTTTTGGCAGACGTCGTATGAGTCGAGGCAAGAAGCGTGAAGTAGACCTGTTTGCTTTAGCCCTAGCCAAATTCAGAAACCTCACGAGTTCTGATGATATACGTTTGTCAATGCCTTCAAGTCGTCAATGTAGCTTTCTTCTGAAGAAACAAGTTCCTCCAAAATCTTTCTCCTCTGGACAGCGCGGGACCAGGCCGCTTCATCGATCCGGTAGTTCATGGACATGGTGTTACTTTCGGTTGATATCCGAGGTTCGGTGCCACTGCTCCTCCCCTGAGTGCGTCTTCGGCTGGGAGCGAGACTATGTCTCCTCGAGTGTGGCGCGGCGCTGGCACTTGTCATGGTAAACGACGCTGAATTTACCCTTGCAACAAGCCCAAGCGATGATGTGATAGACAAAGACTGGCGGTGACCATGAGACAGTGGGCCGTAATATTCATGACGATGGAAACCCGAGTGTGAACCGCCTGCGATGGGGCCATGAGTATGGTGAAAAAGGATTGGCATTCGCCGATTCGCACTTCGCTTTCGCAAGGTATTGACCCAACGCCGAAAAGGCGCCCGTGTGGTCTCGGTCACTCTATGTTGTTTCTCGGCCTCCAAGTCGTCGCCCGATGGAGAGACGGTCAACTCGATATGCAGTTGCTCCAGGGGGCTCGTTGCTGCAATTGCCACTGGCTCTGAATATACGGTCGGCTCCGGAGCATCCCGGTCGACAACTTTTGAGTCTGGTGCCACGTCGCCAGTATGGAAAATCTCTGACCCTCGTTCATAATGAGCTTGGACTGAGGGCTCGCTCTCGGGCCCACGACTCGAGATGTCTAGGCTAAGCTGGGCAATATTGGAGAATGGTGCTGTCGCCGAAGAGTGTCTGCCGTCCGCTTTCGGAAACGAAAATGATCTCGAGGATGCTATAGGAGCTATGTTCTCCTTGCCGGGATCCTGTCGTAGAGATTCGGGCTGCCATGAGCGTCCACCCAACGATATGGCCGACGAACGAGAACCGCCCGACGTATTGTGTGGAGAGAAACGGCGTACCGTACAGATGGAATCATGGTCACTCGGAGGAGTATATGACCGAGCGACAGGTGAATCGGTGAAGGCTCGCTCGGATGGAAATAGACCTGGGATAGGACAAACAGACAGGATATCGGCCATGACGCTTGGGTTGTTACAACTGGATTATTAGAGGCTACCAAGTCCATTGGTGATGCAGAGAAACCATGAGCCAAAGAATGGCAAGACTTTTGAGAGGTATATACCGGTAATGGAGAGTAGAAAACATAATGGAGAAACAGGAACTTGACAGAAATCATTTGACTGCCGCTTGCCAGCACTGGGGAGCGGTTCCGGCTTCTAACAACGGCGTCATGAGCCGACCATATCAGATGTGATACAGGAAGGCAGGAACCAAGGGAAAATCCCAAGATCGTACCTCTCGCCTGAAACACTAAGTGCACAACCAAGGGCATTTATGTTGCGTTCATTCATCATCCCCAGACTGTAGGAAGCAAGGAGATTATTTACACCCACATATCGACGCCTACCTATATGACTCGAGTCTCCAGATCCCGAGGAATTTTTCTCACTGCTCTATACTGATATGATACACTGCGCATGGTGTAATTTGAGCAGATTGTAGAGAATGTGAAGATTCGGATTAGGAATGGTAGAAAGTTGTCGAGAATCGCGAGATGGATTCCAGAACACTTCGCGTCGTCCTCATTTCGTCTGCCTTGCGATCACGTGGACATCCCCATACTTTTGCCATCAAAGATTCATGTTTCATTCCTTTGAAAACACAGCTTTATTAGGGCACTTGAACTTCGGACTTACGAAGGGTTGAGAACAAATTCTAACCCAATAAACTCCAGAAGCTTTCAAATACAAACAATCTCCACTGGACGGGAGAACCTCCCAGCGCCCTAACCATGGACGATATACATACCCCCACGGTCGAATCAGGTCCTACGTCCAACGGCGTTCTTAATGGGCAGATACCAGCTAATCTTTCTCTCCTCGAACTTATGGACCGAAGAGACGCAGTAGAAGCGGAACTCAAAGCACTCAGTAGCGTACTTCAGTCTGTTAGTGACGGCCGTGTGCTTGTGGATATCATTTGGATACTGATCAGGAGAGCAGCATGGAGTCCACATGAGTACGGGTCTTACGACTATTGACGGATTTCCTAGAAGTGATATTGACGTGGCACAAAGTACGTTGTAAGGGGCTCAAGTGGATAGAATCGCGTCCTGATGATTTGTCTAGTACGGACGACACGGGTTCGAATCATACACCTGCGAAACGATTACAAAGAACTTATGGGACGCATCGAGAAGGGTCTCCATGCCCACCATGCAGCGATACGAGAACGCGGTGCCCAAGACGCGTCGACAACAAGTGGTCTCTCGGCTTCAAGTCCAGCTGGAATAAGCGAATCTTCTTTGGAGGCGCCATTTGCGAAAGTCAACAGTGTGGCAGACGGCAGTCCCGCTCATACCGCTGGATTGCGAGCTGGCGATAAGATCACCAACTTTGGCATTGTCGACTGGACGAACCATGAGCGACTGAGCAAGGTGGCCGAAGTGGTCCAGCAAAACGAAGGGGTAAGCCAGCTAATACAATGTGGATGAGGTGCAAGAGACACAAGGCTAATACCAACCAGCGTCCATTAGTGGTCAAGGGTATTAGAGGCGTGTCAGGCATGACTTTCACGTTAACACCACGTCAGAACTGGGGAGGACGCGGGATGCTAGGCTGCCACTTGGTTCCAATATAGAGCCGCTTTGTGTGACCGCAGTAGAGGCAGAAGTTATGTCTCTGGTTGCCTGACTCCTCCTGCGAGTTGACAGCAGGATGTCGATGCTTGATGGAACATGGTTCGCAAGGATAGTGACGATATCACGGGTACTTGGCCGGGAGAACTTATCTTCCAAATAAAGACTCTTTCATGAGGTAGAATGAAATTGGTCCAGACAGAGAATCTGCTGTGGTGAAATAATCCGTAGTGAGTTGAATGATCTGCTCATTGGCTGAAGTGAAGGCTGTCGAAGCGTTGAGCGCCCTGCGGCCTGCGCCACAGCTCGTTCCCTCTGCAACGCAGCGTGACGTTAGACTTGGCGCATTTATCACGTGACCAGTGCCAGCACTGCACAGCAGATCGTCGTCAACACACCGAAAAACCTCAGGTCATTGCCTTCTGGATCACTTTCTTCTCTCCCTCTCTTCAACACCACCAAACCCCACCGACATCATCTATCATCAAGCCCCACGGACCTTCTTGATTACATATATCCCGTTCAGTACCGGGTTTCCCAAGTCGTACATCCAACATTCCCTCCTTTCGATAATCCCAACAAAGTCGCGAATCATGAGCGCTGAGCAACAGGGCCAGCAAGGCGGCGAGGTGCCGACCTTTAAGCTTGTCTTGGTTGGTGATGGCGGTACCGGAAAGGTAAGCAACTCGGAATCTGCTTTATTCTTGATGCCTCGTTGCTGTCTAGCTTATCGATGACGTTTATTATGACCATCTTGCGATATCAAGCTAACCATATCATTTCTAGACCACGTTCGTCAAGCGCCATTTGACCGGAGAGTTCGAGAAGAAGTACATCGCCACGCTCGGTGTCGAAGTGCACCCTCTTGGCTTCACCACGGTAAGCCGATCGCACCAAACCAATGAGTCCGTCGCTAATATTGCTATAGAACTTGGGACAGATCCAGTTCGATGTGTGGGATACTGCAGGTCAGGAGAAGTTTGGTGGTCTCCGTGATGGATACTATATCAACGGACAATGTGGCATCATCATGTTCGATGTTACATCTCGCATCACCTACAAGAACGTCCCGAACTGGCACCGTAAGTGACACTCTAAAAGAGGAACGAGATTCTAGCTGACTCGCTTGACAGGCGATCTCGTTCGAGTGTGCGAGAACATCCCGATCGTCCTCACTGGAAACAAAGTTGACGTGAAGGAGCGAAAAGTCAAGGCCAAGACCATCACCTTCCATCGCAAAAAGAATCTTCAGTACTATGACATTTCTGCCAAGTCCAACTACAACTTCGAGAAGCCGTTCCTCTGGCTAGCCCGAAAGCTTGTTGGCAACCCCAGCCTTGTAAGTACCCGTTCCACATTAGAAGCCTGTCCAGTGCGTTTTCTGACCTTAACTAGGAATTCGTTGCCGCCCCTGCCCTAGCTCCTCCGGAAGTCCAGGTCGACCAGGCCGTCCTTGAGCAGTACCAGAAGGAAATGGCCGATGCTGCCAACCAGCCTCTTCCTGAGGAGGATGACGACTTGTAAACGGGTCGCAAGCTTGCTTGGAATAGACGAGGGGCGAGGAACCGAGCTCCTGCATCCCTTAACGGTACAGACGCTATGAAGGTGCTGAGTCGAGAGTGGGACGCGGTTTGCATGGAACGAAAGGTTTAGATAGCGAAAATATCGGTGTTCAGACTTCACTTGAACGTCTTTCGGGGGTTCACTTTGCTGCGTAAGAACCAAGCAGATAGAAATGAGCATAACTTATGAATCGGCCGTCTGCCGCGATGCCGTCTGCCGCGATGCCGTCTGCCGCGATGCCGTTGTCCAGATGATATTACCCACCGTGGCCTCGTGCATAAGCATCAACCATTGCCCCTAGCTGATGCTCTCCATCATCGCCCATGGTATATACAAGGCCTGGCTATTTTTGCCTGGTCAGCAGCTGTGCAGTCAGTAATAAATATAATGTGCGCTAGGGATCAATTTGGAGGAGAACCGGCTCGCGATGCCGTGCGCCGGTGCAAGTCTTACCCAGAATATTAAAGTATCCGTCAGCCTGAAAGTCGCAAAGTATCTGATATTCTTCTCACTCACATCTTTAACCTGTAGGAGGGATTGCCTCCGTTTAGGTCGATGGCAGATTCAGAAAGTCGAGTGTTCTGGTCCCATTCGAGAGCGGGCGCTGATTGGTCAGGTTGAACAGCCACATCTCAAGTTCTCAACCAATGTTGTGACAGCTGGGGCACAACACCGCTTCAGTTGATCGTCACTTCGAACTGATTTCATCTGGGGAAAACGATATTTTAATAATCGTCTGCGTATGATCGAGCATTGTATTCCCTAGGACCTAGTTTACCAAGCACTTCTTTGCTCGCAACTAGCCGGCACTGAGGTGGTACGTGTATTTGGTAGTACTACCTAAGTAACCCACACCTTCCATCGTAGTCAAGCCAAAACACTATGTCCGGGCGGTGATATTTGTTGTGCCGTGTGCGTCAGTACATATGTAACTACCCGTCCTGAATTGATTCGTCTCAAACTCTCAATTAATCTCACTGCCTTTGAGGTACACGCTAGGTACTCTTGGGAATCTTTGCCGCCGTGTGGGGGCTTCCAGCGATGGACTGTGGACCAGCTAGTCTTGCGTGATTGCCTTCACGTTGAAACAACCCCGCCAAAATCGATGCTCAGGAAGGATGACGGAGTTCATGCCCCCCCTTAGTCCTACTCATGCTGTACATCAGGACCAAATGCGATGAAACATCATTCAGCGTGGCGATGATCATTCACCGCTAAAGGATGGTCACTATCAGCACTTGAACGAAAATGATTCGATTGTTGTACTATTCGGTTGAGTAATCCTTTGATTCTCGACGGCACGACCTATATTTGGGTAATAAAATCAGTGGGATGTTCGTAAGCATATCCACAAGGCGTCCATCACGGATATCGACAGGCTGGAACAACCACTACTGTGGACTCCTGGATTACGAACATTGCGCATCTAGGCACCCGGAACGCCTCCATAGATCCTCCGAGGTGGAGGTCGGCCTGCACAAAGGCGGGGGAGGGGTTCTCCCACGATATCAGAATCGCGGAGAGGGCGTTTGCGATCTCGAACTAACATTACCCCTCACATGGATCGTCTGGGCTAACGGAGTTGACGTGACAGTTTGGGTCCTGCTGTCCTTGTGTAGACCGTATATCCGCCCCAATAAAAGTATTCAAATAGAAGGTGGAGCTTGGAGTCCTCTTGCTTCCGAGTGTCGTTTTAAAAGTCGCTGGCCCTTCCGACATCTCGGTTATTTGACCTTCAATTCCTATCTTCCTTCTTTTCTCCTACCTATCATTCCTACTTGAAAATATACGTCCATTGGAAATTTCGCAACCATGTCTCCCTCCAAAGTCAGTGTCGACTTCACCAAGTTCTACAATATCGTCGACGGCCAGAAGAGATCGGCAGCGACTCAGCATCAAGGTATCAACCCCGGCACGCAAGAATCCCTTTGGGACGTCCCCATTGGAACTCAGCAAGATGTCGACGATGCTGTCGCCGCTGCCCAAAAGGCGTTCAAGAGCTGGTCGGCTACCTCAATCGAGAAGAGGACGGAGTTGATCAACAAGTTTGTCGAGGTCTTTGCCCAGTATACGGATGAGATGATCCAGCTTGTGCAAAAGGAGACCGGCAAACCCGTAAGTATTCCCCCTTGCTAGAATTTCCCGACCAAATTATGGTTGGGTTGTTCGTGATCCTCGATACTAATTCTCATATCTGGATATAGAAACAATTTGCCGCTCAAGAAGTCTCGGGCGTTGGCATATGGGCCGCAACCACGGTGACCCATAAATTGCCAGAGGAGAAATTTGAAGATGCTGAAAAAGTCGTGACCACTCGCTATACTCCGCTGGGCGTCGTCGGCGCCATCTGCCCTTGGAACTTCCCTGTCCTCCTCGCCGTCGGAAAGGTTTTTGCGGCAATCTTCACGGGAAATACCATCATCGTGAAGCCTTCGTAAGTTGGGAATATCAGGTCTTTGTTTGGTTTCGGCCTACTGACGATCCAATCCAGTCCATTCACTCCATACAGTGCCTTGAAGATCATCGAGATCGCACAGCAGGTCTTCCCCGCCGGTGTTATCCAGGTTATTGGTGGCGACGACAAACTCGGCCCAATGCTGACCACCCACCCTGGTATCGCTAAGATCTCCTTCACGGGATCCATTGCTACGGGAAAGAAGGTTATGGAAGCTGCTTCCAAGACCTTGAAGCGTGTCACCCTTGAACTGGGCGGCAATGACGCTTCTATCAGTATGTGATGGTGCCTCAGAAGGGCAAGGTGCAGGGAGCTAACGCTTGGTAGTTCTCCCTGATGTCGATATTGAGAAGGTCGCTCCGCAGGTTGCATTGGGTAGGCAATAACACCCCTTTTGTGATAGATAAATACTGATCGATGGCTTAGGTGCGTTCGTGAACTCCGGCCAAGTCTGCGTCGCTACCAAGCGTATCTACATCCACCAGGACATCTATAAGCCGTCAGTATATCCAATCCTCGAAACAGCCACGCGTGCTTACATTAGACCTACAGGTTCGTTGAGGCCATGGTCAAATTCACCCAGTCCCTCAAGGTCGGCAAAACCGACGACGAGGGTGTCTTGCTCGGCCCCATTCAAAACGCGATGCAGTACGAGAAAGTCAAGGGCTACTTCGAGGACTCGAAGAAGAATGGCTACAAGTTCGCTGTCGGCGCCGACACCGTGGCGACCAGCGAAGGGTACTTCGTCCAACCCACCATCATCGACAACCCGCCCGCGGATTCCCGTATCCATAACGAGGAGCCGTTCGGTAAGTTTCGACATGAATGATGTGCGTATCATGCGCTAACTATCGATTCTAGGCCCGATCGTCCCGACCCAGCCATGGACCGACGAGGAAGAGGTTATCGCTCGTGCCAACAACACGAACACCGGCCTCGGCGCTTGCGTCTGGGGGAAGGATGTCGCTCATGCCGAGAACATCGGCAGGCGCCTGGAGGCGGGGAGCGTGTTCATCAACTCGTCCGAGAAGCCGACGCCGCTAGCGTTCTTCTCCGGCCATAAGGAGTCGGGCCTTGGCGGTGAATTTGGCGCCGCTGGTCTCCTTCCATACTGCAACGCCCATGTGATGCACGTATACAAGTAGGGGCTGCAACTCGCAACGATGAAGACGAGACAATAGCAAGATGGCTCTTAATGACAGGGAATAGCTCTTCTACTGTATATTTCCATAAGGAACCAAAGAACTATGATTCGCCACGACGACGCTCACACGCTTGATCAACCGTGATATCTGACATTAGCTGGCTCTGAGTTTTAAGGAACCTGACCCCCAATATCAGCGTATGCTTGGCCACCGAGGCACCGACCCTACACAGTGATTCGAATTATAAAGGATTGATGCGGTGGGACAGGACGTCAATCGATGAGCGTATTCAAGCAAGGTGACCCCGTCACGTTCATCTGTGGTTGACTTAACGTGTTTACTCATCTTTCAGATGGAACGGGCCATCCACATGAGGCTGATTGATGTCGGCTTATCCTGAACTCCCGCCTTAGTTACCGGCTTACCCATTTTCCACCTCATGTACCTAATTGGGTTCCCAAGCTTTACCAGTTCGGGATTGTATTACTAGGATGGAGGCACCATTGATACGTACTTATTTTGTCTACGGCTTACCAGTGCGCTGGGCCTGCGCCCTACAACAATGTGAGTTCCAGGCTTCCAGCAGTCGGAATACTGTGCCCAACGTAATTACTCCGGACACACTACTTACTGAATCTTTGTGTACTGCCGATAGTCCGAGCGATGGCCGAGCCAAGCCTGGCCAGTTGAGTGCTTGTCGCCACCGCTTTCAGCACCTGTTGTGAAGCATTTCCCAAGAATTCCAGTGGCTTGTCCCTCGTCTGCGATCAGTCAACGCGTCGACGGTGGCGTAGCAAGGACGGTCCCATCTAACTAGTTAGTCCTCATCATTAACTTAGGTTACTGTTCGTGTTGCGAATAAATGGGTTGAAAACGTGTAGCTTCGGGGATTTGGGGTAGTAAGGGTCCAGAAGAGCCGCCACACGTGGCAATCAGATGCCGGGTTCCAACTTCCAACTTCCAAGCAAATCAGGCTGAGCGTCCATCATCACGGATGTTATGTTAGGTAAAGTAAAACCGCGTCAAGTTTGACGTTTTTCGTTGAACTTCTAATTTGTTGTGACTTGTGAATCTGTCGGGCCACGGATCAAGCGGGACCTTGGCTCACTGCCTTCGACGTTCTAGCCGCATGCCGGTCTGCCGGATTGTAGCCCGAGCTGGGCTTCGACAATTGACGGTGAAGACCGAGCCCGGCCACGCGTAGGGCAGACCGGCAGATGTGTTTGAACCCATCCGTGTGCAATATGTATTACCTTTTGAAAGAGCCAAGAATACCCAACATTCGCTGTGCTATTCCTAAATTGAGCTTGTTCGAGGCGGCGCTGTCTCGGCGGATTAACCATGGTTCTTTGGGTCTGGTCTCTCAAACTCTCGATTGCTGCCGAGCCGGTAGATGTTAGGGTTCCGAAACCCGACTAAACCGAGGTGGAACTATCCAACATGCCTTACGGAATATGGAAATTAGGATTTTTTACGGAGTATTAAGGCAGAGTATTTGGGGATAGCAAAAATAACGCTGTTGCGCTCAAGCTTGGAGAGGAGCTATTAAGCGCTGACGGGAATAACACGGTCATACCAGGACTCGTTGCTAGTATGCCTCCTGGTACCCGAACACCAAACGCCAACATTGCGGTTCTAAACGATGAACGAGTCCGAGAAAACCAAGTTCGATGTTGTATTAGGGATGATACCGTACGGAACAGAATAGATTAAACAATTCCACAGATGACAGAGGTGAGGCCCCTTTGCTCCAATACATCCTACGTACCAACAACCAGTCAGACGATAGCAAGCTAAAGCGCTTAGTGTACTGCACGTGCGCAATCATCCATAAGGGGCATTGTTCTGGAAGCCTGTGAATAGACTGTCAGTTGGTCAATGATCGATCTAAACAACATTGATATTCAGGACCTTTGGGTCCTCTCGCGGATATCCGTGCCTTCAGGGTTCCTGAGTCCAGTCCAGTCGTCTTCCTTGTGGTGAGAGATCGAACCACAACAGCCAGCAACAGATCCAACGCCAGCTCAGGGGCGGCTTTGTCCGACGATCGCTTCAATCCGATCTTCCGAGTTGAGGTGCGAAGTCAATGCAACGTGCAAACAAGGAAGGTCGATCATTCGGCCATGTGTCAGTGACCGCATACAAGGAACCGCAGTCATCAACTCATCATTTCGAGAGAGCGGGATTGGCTTGTAGAACGCTCAGTTGAAGGGTGACGTTTCAGCTAAGTCTCGAAAGTCGGAGGTCAATCTCATTTTGTCATTCCAATTCAGGAGATCGTGCATTGCATCTCCTGCGAATACTGGGAATGCTACACGCAACCTACGATGCGTCGAGAGTCGAGACGGGAGGGCACCAGGTCTCCCGTTTGTAGCTTGGTGGTGCAGGCAATAGACATTGTGTGGCATTCCTGAATGAGAAGCTGGACGTTTGTATACTGGAGTACACGCATCTACGTATCAATTACAAACGCGGAGACGGCTCTGGACGCGCGGGAATGATTCGACCAGGGATGATCCAGTCAACCAGAAGGACGTGGGCATTGACGAGCGTGTTATGCGAATATATGTGTAATGGCAACGCCGCTCGTGGGTTGCCTGCGGGATGAGGCTTGATGGCGGGATGGGACGACATTATGATGCATGGAGTGGCTGGCATCCCTTTCGTACGGTACCGTAGATGTTGGACTGTGATGTTCAATTGCTCGCTCGTTCGATTCTCAATAGAAATAACGCTATACAGTGACCTGCTGCTTGCGAGGACTGGGTAGGAATTAAGGAGCTGCAAGCCTGTAACGTTGCCATCACCGATCGGGTATGGGTCGGACAGATCCGGTTCGTAGATCAGTGATACACATGATACATGAATCTTGATGCCGGTAGGTAGGTATTCCGTACCGCAACGTACCAATGACAGTGAATAGGACGCGATGTTGTTCCTACCAGTCGGAGCCTCTACGACGGTGACATTAAGCGTTCAACATCGATCTTTTGACGTGCTCCAGGTTTAAACGTTCCGAGGGTTGATGTCTGGGCTCTGGAGTACTGGTATGGAAGTGCTCTAGAGCATGCTGTGTCGAGTTTAGAGCCTAGTGATTACTCTATGGCACAGTAATATTGATGATATTAGGTGTGAGGGACGTAAGTTAGCGGCGTGTAGCGGCGGTCGGCGGTCGGCGGCGCAGGAAGTTCGGCAGTACCAGCGGGATCACCAGTGGATGATAGGCGACAGCTCGCTGCACTGCTGCCGTTCTGCGGCACCGCCTGCAGCGCTGCACCAGAAACCACCTAAAGTCCACGATGCTTTCCCTGGGCCCGCTGGGCCGCTCGGCGCGTTGGGCGAGCGAGTTGGCGGGCTAATCCACTAAAGGCCATAGTCGGTAGTAGTTAATGGTAGCAATGTATTCGACGAACTGGTTCCGTTTCTCAATTCCACTCCCAAATGTCTCCAAGTCTCCCTCTGTCTTCCCATTGACCATTTCGTATTTCCATCCTCATCTGTCACCAGGTTGTCTGTCAGATTGAAGATTTCCACCTCTTCTCTCATCCTTATCCGCCGCATCAACTCGACATCTCTGCCTCTCGCCCACTGGCCTGCTCTCCCTCCCCACGTCATCTCTTAACCCTCTGAGCACCCTGATCGCTAATTCCACACCCACCTGGCTGAACTTCATCGTCATCACTCGTCCTATATCTAATACCTCTATATCCCATTCCATCGAACCCATTAGAGCGGAATTACCTTTCAGTTCGCCGCCGTGATACTAGATTCTCACTTGGGACCCCCGACTCGCTCCAGCATCGTCTCGAATTTCGCAAACTGGAGTCCTCCGACACCCCACCGCCTCTAACATACTCTCCCCTTGCCACTGAACGGGGTCGAGAGTCAACCGCCGATAACACTCCTGTGTCGACGCCAACATATTCCTCGACATCCTGCCCTCCTCCGAGGCATCGTAAGATCTTCGGCAAGCCGAAGAACCGAGATCTTGCTTCGTGGCATCGCAAGGTTGGTGCCGAGGCCGCGGGCGGTCCGTCCACCTCGAGCCCGTTTCTCGAGTCCGAACCCCTCTTCGACCATCCTGGAGCCAGCACCTTCCCGCTGTTCGCAGCCGACGACGACGAGGCACAGCTTGCGCCAGAGTCCGGCAACGCCATGACCAGTTCGAGCTCTCCGATCGACATCGCAACCCCTCAGCGAGTCAGTTCGACAAGTCCGCGAAATCACACTTCGAACCTTACGTCGGCGCTGCGGCAAGAGGCGAACGCCGGCATGTCGCAACCCAGGCAGATCCGACCGAATGAGCGGACGGGGGCGGAACATGGCATGAACATGTTCGGGCGGCAAGATTCGATAGGAAATGGCACGGGTCTTCTGCAAGATTATTACCTCGGAGCACGTCCAATCTCAGTCGCGGAACGAAATCGTCGAGAAAGCGCTGTAGGGAGTTTAGGGAATGGAATGAGCTGGGGCGGCATATCGGTCGGAAGTTATATTCCCAATGAGTAAGTCCTCTCGTTGGTTTCGTGTGGAAAAAGTATTGACGATCCAAGTACCATGATGGCCGGAACATCGCCATTCGGAATGTTTCAATCACCCTCATCCTTCCATCACTCCTCGTCGTATCTACCGAAAGTCGAAGCGACCATGTTGCGGAACTACACATGCTGCGATATCCCCATCGATTCGTTGCATGATCTCCTCCAGCACTATGAAGAGCATCACTCCAATCAATCGGATCTTATCACGTCACGACCTTCGCAATCGGGTCAAGGAGGGTTCGGTCCTGGGCCTTCTCGGTTAGCGATGCAATCTGGAGGTATGACTGGTCACCGGCAACCATCGCTTCAGGGTTATAATCAATCTCAATTTGATGCACGATCCCAAGCGCCTTACACCGGGACTCCACTATCTCCGGTTCAAGATCGAGATCCGCTAGAAGAGATGGATTTCGATGATGCTGGAGCACCTGTCACCCCGATGCAGCAGCACTTCAATGTCTCAGATCTCCGGCAACCTAGGGTGAACATGAACAACTCTCAGCAATTCCACCCTGGACTTCGAACGACCAGTCCTACGATCCCTGCGGGTGTGCAAGCCTTTTCAAATCTACAGAATAACCCGACCGTGTCTTCGGTAAATACTCCTACCCTTGGTACCAGGTCAGCGCAGCAGCCTCAGTCGCCCGATTATTCGAACGCTCCGTCCGGCGATCAATCGACTCAAAGCGCCATGGGCACCGACTACGACATTGGTAACTTCAATATGAGCGGCTTTGGTGACTCGCAATCGAACGATAGCGGTACTGTAGATTGGGGAAACATGAACGTCAACAACATGAACATTGGAGGTGGGATGTCAGGCTTAACCATCGATGAGCCGGCGAGGAACCTCAATGCGCTCGAAGGCATGACACCCCAGCAAATGCAGCAGGCACTGGCAATGCAATATGGAATCCAGAATCAGCATATGATGGCTGGCGGAGGACGAAACTTTACCACTGCTCCATCAGGACTGCAGATTCCAGAGAAGGATCCTAAGCCGTTCAAATGCCCGGTGATCGGGTGTGAGAAGACTTACAAGAACCAGAACGGGTTAAAATATCACAAACAGGTAAGCAATATCAAGGTCCCTTATCCACACACCATCAGCTAACATGTCCCAGCACGGCCATCAAAACCAGCAACTCAGGAAGAACGAGGACGGCACCTACTCCATCGTCGATCCCGAAACCTCGATCCCATACCCAGGCACGCTCGGAATGGAGAAGGAGAAACCATACCGGTGCCAGATTTGCGGGAAGCGATATAAGAATCTCAACGGCCTCAAATACCATAAACAGCATCAACCCGGCTGCAATCCGGACCTGCAACCGCAGATCAACGGCCCGACAAACAACAACAACAATAGCAACGGCCCGTCAATAGCGGGAGGAGGCAACATGGGCTCGAATCCAGTGATGCCAATGGGCGTGTCCGGGATGGGCAGCATGGATTTTGGGAATTTGGAGGCGCTGTCCTCCGGTATGGGAGACCCGAGAATGTTCATGCCTGCGGAATACCCAGCCGGCATGTAGTCAGTGACATCTCCTCGACTCGTTCGTTCTCGCATTGGATGGCACCCACACTCCTACCTTTTATCATGACGAGCCCTCTACCCGATCATCTCAAAATCCATATCCAGCGGATTATCGACACCACCGTTTCTCGTCCGCTACACCCGTATTCCACCTGACACCTCCTTTCGTTTGTCATAACCCGCACCAAAAATCCGCTCGTCTTTCACTCCATCACTCTACCTCATTTTTGCTGCTTAGAAACGAACGGAACCACGGCTGAACTAGATCCTTGGAATACCTCATGCCCTCTGTTTTTTTCTCTCTCTTTCATTTTTTCCGAATAAAGGACCCAAAAAAGTTTGCGTATCTCCCATAGCTCAGCTCCTGCTCGGGGGACCTGGGTGTGGTTTGCTTTTTTCTCCCTTGCCGTTGCAACTTTGCCGTGTGGATTTTTATGGGGTTTTCGAACCACGGCGGCATGCGGGGATGGGGATTTGAACCCCCTTGAGCGGCGTTCATTCGGGTATCATTGTTGGTGTTGTTTTTGCATCGGCTGGTGTTTCGGAGGGGAAATTCATCGCTTTGATGTGCTACAGGAAGGATTTGCCAGTTCCTTTAATATACTCGGGCGGGTGAGGTGTTTTGCAAGACCAGGAAGGAAATCCGCATTGCAAGAGTTTCAGGAAGGGCGGTTGTTACATAGATATCGCTACTTTGGTGGAGGACGGGAGGCAGATCAGCTCGTTGAATCAAGCAATGATTTGTACTACTTGATGTTTTGCTGGCGTTCTTGCATAGTGATCGTGTCTCGTTACTCCATGAACATTCTGATTAAGAGCCCGGCCTTTCGTTTATTATCCGAAGAAGCAACGGAAGAAATACAATCCTTAGAAACCCCCGCTCCGAGGATTCCGTACCTTCGTGATATCCCAGACGGTCTATGTCCGGCAGCAAATCAAGAGGACGTGGTGCAGGGGTCGTACCAACCAAGACCCGTGCTAGCAGTTCAGACTCTCGAGGGCGGCCTTCCTGCGGCATCCCAATCATCCAACGACATCGCTACAAGAACACGGGCGAACTGGTCCAGGTCAGCTGAGAGGTTGATAGATGGGAAGATGATTCCGGGATCTGCTCGTTGATCAGAGGGTGGGCTTATCAGGCAGGTCGAAGGGATTAGCTAGCGGGGTGAGGGCCTGAAGGGTGACTTTGCCTGCAGATGATGCAACTCCATTATTACTGCATTGTCCCAGATCAGCAACGTAGGCCTTGTTGTGCTCCCTGGCTGGAATCTGGAGGTGAGTGGGTAAGTTAGCATTTCCGGACAAAATGACATGCTCAGTTCCAAGACCAGGCACTCAACGGCGCCAAAGAAACGAAGAGTGACAGCTATGAAATGACAGTCGAATGAGAGACAGTGGGAGGAATTAGTGACGTCGATAGAGGCCAGTTTCAGGCGGTATTGCTAGCTGTGGCCGATTGGCGTAAACGGAGTCAATCCGGGGACCCGGGAGATTGAGGGTTGGAGGAACAACGCAGCAATAATACAGTCCAGTGGCATCATCAAAACGGGAATTGGACTGAAAGAGGAGTCGTGAAGGTATTCATCCGATCCATAGGAATCGGTAATAAGAGGAATAATTAATAGGGTGCACATGCTTCTAAGGAAGGGCCAATAGACCTGCACTCCTCCATCATGAATCCTGTACTGTTTTCCATGAAGCATGTAATTAGCCATCCATTCTGATCACAATCCCTGAATCATCCACACCCGTCACCACTTGCACCTCCACTGTACCTTACCTCTACCTTCGGTTGTAGCAAACCAGAAAGCAGCAACGGGAAAGAGGAGAGTGAGAGTGACAGAAAGCGAGAGCTTCCCACGCCACCTATGGCATTCATTGCTTCGCAGCGCTACTGACCTCCTCCCACTTCCTCCCACTCCATGTCCGACGTCCGTGCTACTACATCTTTACTGCTGCGAACATTCAACTGAACGACTGCAGTTCGTATACTGTCCCTACTCATACTATACGTAACTATTATCACTGCTGTTCCCTCTCTTTCCGCTTCCTGAAATCCGTGTTAAATCACCATCTATCTATAAGTTCCTCGCTATCCTTTTATAAACCCCAAGCCGGAGGAAGCCTGCAATACGATACGCTGGTTCCACGTGCACTTCCACGGGCGCCTCTCCCACCGGACCATCGTATCCCCACTCACACCCGGTCGGCATCAACGAGCTCCTCGAGGACAAGATAGCATACCAACACCGAGGACGACAAAGCCGTTCGTGACATTTGACCGCCTATCATCCCCAGCGGGAGCTTTCAAGGCACATCATCCGTCCTCACATTTCCCCCGGCCACCGGAGGCAAGCGTGAATGTCGATGCTGTGAGTAGCTGGATCAATACTGATCAGCTTACTCCCAGCGACATTCAGCTTCTTTCCCACGGCTCGGGACCGTCCAGAGATCCATCGATCTGGCCGATCAACGCCATCCAAACCCTTCTGCCCCATCCGCCTCCGACCACCCCGACCCTTCTCCTCCACAGACGTCCGCCTCCCTCTCGTCCATCCCACCACCACCTCCCACCTCTTCTACCCAACCCCCTCCCTCCGAACCCGGTTCCTCGACCTCTCCAACGACCCGTCCCAAACGCCGCCGTCGCTCATCCTCCCCCGACCTCCTCTCGCTCCCCAATTCCCCGCACGACAGAGGCCGGTCCTCCCGCTCTACCCACAAGCGCCGGCGAGCAGACGCAGCGGCGGCCGGAGCCTCCGAAGACGGTGAGATGCATCTCGACTCCGACGCCGCCCGACGAGCCCAATCGCCTTCCTTCCCGCTCCAGAAGAGCCTCTCCCCGGTCCGCAGCTCCGCCGCCGCCAAGTTCACCAATGGGAAAGGTCACCCCCGGACCGACAGCAACGGTTCCGCCGAGTACACCAACGGGAATAGCTCGCCGACCATCGCGAAGCCGCTGCCGGCCCAGTGGCATGGTCACGATCGGGAGGAGGTGACGAGGATCTTGATCCAGAGCCTGTCGGACTTAGGGTATCCGGGGGCGGCGAACCAACTAGTGAAGGAGAGCGGGTATGAGCTGGAGGCGCCGACGGTGGCGAAATTCCGGAGGGCAGTCTTGAGCGGGCAGTGGGGAGATGCAGAGACATATTTGTTTGGCAATTCTGCAGGAGACACGGAAGGGGGCGGGAAGATGGCGTGGGGATCAAGACTGCAGAGCGAGGAGGGGAGAAGATCGCATCCCTGGAACTCTCCAGGGCCGTCGAACGGATTGACGTTGGGGGAAGGGGTAAATCGGTGTGAGATGATGTTCTGGATGCGGCAGCAGAAGTATCTGGAGCTGTTGGAGTCGAGGGATATCAGTGCTGCGCTGATGGTCCTTCGCAACGAGCTCACTCCATTACATCAAGACATGGCAAGGTTACATTCATTATCCAGGTACCGCAGATCACTCAAAAAACTAACGTTCGGGTTGCTGACGACTCATCTAGTCTTATGATGTGCAAATCGGCCGAGGATGTGAGGCGTCAAGCACAGTGGGATGGAACAAACGGGCAATCAAGAAAACTGCTCCTGTCAGAACTGTCGAGTAAGTCCTGTATACCCTCTCTTTTGTATTGTCCCTAACAATGGAGCAGAATCAATATCGCCAAGCCAAATGATCCCAGACCATCGTCTAGCCATTCTGCTGGGCGAAGTCAAGAGCGGCTGGATTGACAAGTGCTTGTACCACAATACCGCCGAATCGCCCTCGCTATATCTGGATCATATGTGTGAGCGCGAAGACATGCCCCTAAACACCGTCACAACGCTATCACATCATTCGGATGAGGTTTGGTTCCTTGCCTTCTCCAATGACGGGACACGATTAGCCACAGCAAGCCAAGACAAAACGGTCATCATATACGAGACGGCCACTTGGCATACTCTGCTGACGTACACTGAGCACGATGCAGGAGTATGCTACTTGGCTTGGAGTCCCGATGACAGGAAAATAATCTCCTGTGCAAGAGAGACGGACAACACCGCTAGAGTCTGGGACTCAAGAGTAAGTCACCCGATCATGCCAGCCAAGGTGGCCAATCTGATTTCTTCCAGACCGGTAACACCCTCATCAACCTTGACCGTTTCACCTACGCCGTCACGGCCGCCGCCTGGGCCCCCGATGGGGAGACCTTCGTAACCGGCGCTCAAGACACCGACTGCGCCCTCTGCGTCTGGAACCTGCAAGGCGAGCGCCTCCACATGTGGACGGAAGACAACTTCCGCGTCTACGATCTCAGCCTCTCCCCGGACGGCCAACGCCTCGTGGTCCTCCTCGAGATGCGGATCCAGGTCTACGATTTCGCCAGCCGCAAGAAGATCTGCGACTGGAACCAGAGCGACTACAAGCTGACGTCAGTGAACATCAGCCAGGACTCGCAGCATATGCTGGTGAGCATGAACGACGATACGATAAATCTGATGGTCATCGACACGGGGGAGGTGGTGCAGGGGTTTTACGGGCATAAGCAGTCCAAATTTATGATCCGGAGTGCGTTTGGGGGAGCCAATGAGAACTTTGTGGTCAGCGGCAGTGAAGGTATCATGGGCCCTCCTCTGCAGATCCAATGAAGTCACCTAGGCTAACTGTGTGTTACTTAGATTCACGGGTACTCATTTGGAGAACTAACGGCCAGTTGGTCGAGACACTAGAGGCCCATCAACCTGCATGTGTTAATTCCGTGGTCTGGCATCCGACCAACCCACACCTATTCGCATCGGCCGGAGACGATAAGGTGGTACGAATGTAAGTGGCTTCCCATCTCCCATTTCATCAACAAATCGTCTTACGAATACACAGATGGTCAATTCCGGGCACGAACTCCACGCACTCCAACGGCTTCGGCACCTAAGTTTTCTACATCCTTCGATCCAAGATTCCCCTTCACTCAAGCCTGTTTCGTCGGCATTCTGAGCATTTCCCATCCCTGGTACTTGCATGATAGACTGGCGCTTTGATATCACCTTCGCACGCGTATTGGATTGGACACATGGTCATTTATGGGACAACCGAGGGTTTCAGCTGTTCACTTGCAGAAGGTGTGTGGTTTGCGGACAGAACGCGGTCAATTCGTAGATATCCCGGCGGTTCTAGGAGCGGGGAGACAGCAATAATATTTTATCGCTCCATTCATGAGCCCCATGATAGTCTTTGATAATGTAGTCCATTTGTCTGGAAATGGTGTATCCCATAATCGACTAAGATGGATGATCCGACCCTCCCTTCGAAATAACAACAACAGCCATCATCCGTCAACAACCCAAACATGCCGAATCTGACCTACTCCGACTTGATCGACCCCATGAAGCTTGGTCGTTTGTGCTCAAATACCTCCTGCAGGGTTGGCTTCAAAGTCTCGAGCCTATTCCATTCCGATTAGTAGCCCCTCCAATAGAACGGTGCTCAGCGCGCGACTTACGTCCGATCCAGAATCGGTCCCCTGATACCGTACATCCGCCCTTCCTTTGGTCCGCCCTCCGAATAGACGTGACACCCGCATGTCCCACAGAATATTCTGCGAAATCCAATTAACGCCGGGCCGCCTCGAGTTGGCAATCGTCCCATGAACTTACTTCGTCTTCGGGTTCCCACTCATCGTGTCCTCCATCGTATACCCCTTCCGCACGGAATCCGGATCCTCGATCTTGACCTGCTCGGACGTATAGAGGACTGCCTACATCAAATTATTAGCAACGGTTGCCAATGCAGGAATCCGCGTATCGTTGGACTTACCACCTGGCTCGACCCCCCACTGTTGATGCGGCAATGGCTGCAGAAACACATGTTTACACCGATTGGAACATCGGTCACGGTGACCTTGACAGCGCCACAGTCACAGCTGCCTGACATAGTTTCGGGTACTGAGGTCGACATTCTTCTTGTTATTATAGCTGGATGCTTCTCGAAATGAACCTAGATCGTGGAAAGTAGCGACTCTGGTGATGATGGGATGTCGAAGGGGGGAGTGTGGTGTGCTGGCTGATTGGCATGCTTAGCCGTGTGATAATGGCGGTTTATATATGCGAATGAAAGCCATCCTGAGTCGGGTCGGGCGGTGATAGCAATTCGCCGACCAACGCGCCCTATGCAGGTACTTGTAGACGCGTGGATAATGGCGTTGGGGAGCATCTTGAAATGGTCGAGATGTCGGCGTTTGGAAGAGAAATACACCGATATATGTACAGGAACCTTACTTACCCCTTGTGTGTTCCAGGTGCAGATCACCCAAAAGAGGACTAAATAAAGCGATTGATGACAGATAAATTCGCTGATGAGACCGCGGCCTTTTGAATTCACATCGTCGTGGTTTTTATAATCGTGTCTAATACCGTATCCACAGGACGGAGATTCAGCTTATTTGCATCCGATGTGTCGGTGCTCTGGCGCCGGCTGTTGACACTCTCCTGTCACCGTCCAGTCTATGGGTAGCCGTCTTTGAATCTAGTTTTAGAATCTTTCGACGAGTGACAAGCGAGGCTCAGCGAATTCGTAATACGAACTGGTTCAGTACATATTGCAATTGTCCCTGGTATGTTTCTTGAAGTCCAACTTGACTTGTCCGTCGGCTGTGCAACGGGGTTGACAAAATCGAACGACAATATATAGTAACAGCTGTGGCTTAAAAGGCAGCTCATCTCTTAACTCCAACGATGCAAAGGTTCCTTGGACTCATCCCATAGTCAAAAACCGGCTCCACCCAAGCCTCCTTGATCTCGTCCTGTTCCTTCAACCACAACCACCTATCCAGCACAATCGCCGACTCAACCACCCCAGCACTATACGCCATCAAACTCCACGCGATGCTCAATTCATGCTTCCGCGGTAGATATCGTTGGTGGTAGTCCTCAATCTCCTCATCCGCGATCAATCCTAGCGCCGCTGCGATCTTCGCATACGGTACAGGAGGGTATTGCGATGTGTCAGCAATGGGCCTTCCAGTCCTGGGATTGACCCCATCTTCTGGGTGAACCTCCTCAGGGACGCCATTCGACATTGCCATCGCCTCCATCTTCGCCTGGGCGCCGCGGACGTAACTGAGGAAGTTGCTGTAGCACGATTTGCGAAGCCCGCCGATGATGATAGGTTGGCCGGCGGTATCGCTGCCGCCGGCGGGACTGACGGCTCGGACTATTGGCGTCTCCGGGGATTGGGGCCGGGCAGAGGCTTTGCGGCACGTATCTATGACGCCGATGTCAAGGAAAATGCGCTGGAGCACGGATCGGTAGAAGTGTCGAGTGAAGAAAGAGTCGCTGTCTTTCGGTCCCCAGTTCTGCGGTGCTTGGACGGCCATCATCCGCGCGGTGATGTTGAGCCGAATTCCCTCCTCTTCTTCCTCTAGGTCTCCGTCGACGCCATCTAGGCCATGCTTCTTCTTCTTCTTCGAATATTGGTAGCTACACATCCGCTCGCTCATCGGGAATCCCATCTCGTCCTTCGCGCTCGCTTCTCGCTCCATTCGTTTCACTGCATCGGGAATCCGCAGACTAGGATGCTTGTACGTCATCCCTTTCCCAAGACGCTCGGTCATGAGATTGTAGCAGCAGCCGATTAGTGCTACGGCGCGGACTTCAGGATTGGCGGTAACCGTACGGAGCGCATGGTGCAGGAGGTTGCCGCAGGAGTGGAGGGATATGGTTAGAAGAGAAGGCGGAGTTTGTGATTTCGAGCCTATTTGTGGCATGATTGGACCTAATGATCCATTCACCACCCAATGATTGATATACTGAACGGTGCCTTTCGCGTCAGCTGGTATTGCCTCCAACGGCGTGTCTGGTGTGGCATTTGGTGCAGCTGACACCATCCTCCCATCCTCGCAGAGAGTGCATTCTCCATCCTCTTTGGGCATCCGATCGTCCGTCTTCTCCTGACCTCCTGTGGTCTTCGGATTCCGTCGCTTTCCAGATTGAACTCCTCGCTGCTCCAGTAGCCAGAGCTTCTTGTTCCGCATGGTTCTGGGTCTCTCGACCAACTTTGCGAGCACATCGAGCGTCTTTGCACCTTCGATGTTATGTGGCCTAGTCTCAATCGCAATGATATCCCTGTTGTACGGCTCGCTTGCCAATGCTCTTCCTAAATAATTCTGCCCCGACCCAAAATCGACCAGATGAGTGATCGGCTGCCCTGTATATTCAGCGATGTCACCCGTCAGCCTCTCGACGTATTGCGCAAAGTTCTGCACCTCGTGGACCTTTTTCACTTTCATCCCCGAGGCAACGGGGCGAGAGAGCTTGACTTCTTTTTGCGGTGGGTTAAAGTCACGCCGCATCAGGTGCATCCTCACAGTTCCCACATAGTCCAGCAGACTTTGCGGAGGGAACGGCCTCCCTCGCCATGCGAACCCTCCTGAGTCATCGTCACCGTTGAACTTTTGGAGATCTTCCCGCATCAGAAAGTCCAGGATGTCCGCGATCTGAATGTCGTGAAACCACTCTCGCCATTCCTGTGGAATCGCCGTCTCATAAAGGCTTGGACTTCGAGTAAAGAAATCGAGGACATGGATGCCTCCGCAGAATCGCTCAAGAAGTTCAGAGGTCGTCAAAAATTCTAATAAGGACTCGGAAAATTCATTAGGACCTGAAAATACATCAGAAATTGGCAACGGTTTCTCTGGCCCCATGATTGGTTACTCTGACATTGAGCGTCTTTTGTCTAAGAAACCCGTATCTCAATGGAAGGGTTGAATTGAATTGAGAATTATTTGTGTTGGAAAAGATTTTGAACGGAACAGATCTGATGGACAGGATTCTGACAGTGAACCGGAACTGGAACAGGAACTGGAACAGGAACGGAACTGGAACAGGAACTAGAACTGGAACAGGAAGGACCATAAGGCAACAAGGCATGAATCCCTGTCTCAGTGGAACAACTTGCTCAAGCGAAGAGACCATCAGGGCATCAAAGAAATATTAACCAAAATATGTAAATTATTTGGAGCTATGCGATCGGATATCTTCCTCCTTGAACTCCGAAATACTCCATCCTCAAATCCTCGATCCATTAGCCAAACCCCAAACTATTTTCGCCAAGCGCCAAACACGCCCCGTGGATGTATCCTTTCTGTAGAGTGGTCTCTTGAAGGTCCTTTAACAGATCCGTCACTCGAACTCCCGTCTTCCATGTCCTGATATTGCCGCTTCTTCATCCCCTCCTCTGCCTCGAGTCTTTCCATCTTCTTCACCGTTCGATATCGCAGGAGATAGAGGATGCCAATGACGCAGCAAGCAATGAAGGCAATGCCACCTATTACCCCTCCGAGAACCGCGCCAACGAGTCCGTTTGCTCCAAAGTCGGATTCCGACTCAGCAGACTTTGCGACGGGGATGGACTTCGGGCACCAGGTTGTCGGCATCACGTATTTGTTTTCCACGACGGCTTGAGCGAGGTGGAAGTTGTAGGCTTCATAGTCGATCATCAGGTAGACTTGGCTAAGCCATGAAGCGCCAAGGTAAAAGATGTTTTCTTCCATTGGGCTACCGTTCCAGTTGAAGTTTCCCGACGCCACTGGAGAGAGTCCGGTAGAGTTGGAAACCATCTCCGGTGGAAGAGTCACCCGGAAGCCATCAGACAGAACAATGGTCATCGTGCCGGCAAATGATTTGGTGATCCGTAATGAGTGATCCGGCACCTCGTTAGGGTCCGTCTCAACTGCCGTGAGAAGGGACATGAAATTCTCTGTGATCTGTGGAGGAAATGTCATGGGATATTGGTCCGTGGTGATCCGAGCCGTGAACCCCTGAGCCACGCTGCTAATATTAGGGAATCGCACCGAATCCATCAGGGACACGTTGCGCGTCAGCCCAGTTGGGTCGTCGAGGATGATATCCGTCACCGTGACCGCAAGGGGGTCCGCTGATGAAGTGTCAATCTGGTTGGTGAATACAGGACCGGTAAACCGACCGCTGTCGAATCCGCCGAATGTGTTCGAGCCGTTCACGACGCCACCAGCCCGGTCCATGCCGGCGCCAATGTATAATGAATAAGTCCTCCCAGCGATCAGACCGGCAGCGTATATCTTCTGCAGCAGAGTCGACGCCGCTCCGAACCCGATTACACCAGGGTTTGACGAACTGGATGATACCACCTCCAGTGAAAAATTGTCCACGGTGTTCACGGTAGCAGGATTGGTTTCGAAAAAGTGGGTATATAGATGGCCAGAATCGGTCCCAAACGTGCTGGCGTTAGACAGCTGAGAACTGTCTAGCGAACGATATGTCTTGTCTTCTATCCATCTGTAGGGGATCAGTGTCCGGACTGTCCGACTTCTTCAGGCTCCACTTACGATCTCGAGAACGACGCATCAAAGGTGCCATGAGTCTCGCCTTCGCAATTCCGCAGCTGACTTCTCCCGCAGAAGTCGCCGGAGGCAACTGAAGTTTCGTTCTGCCGTAATGATGGGAAGAGGCTCTGGTTCTGTGATGGCGTCCCGAACCCTATGAACGACCCATACTGGAGGATGTTCGTCCCGCGGACAGCACGCTTGTGGATATCCACGTAGATAGGCGGTTTGGAGCAGTCAAAAGCAAGGACAGTTGAAGCAATCAGCAATGTGAAAGGCACAGCCTTCTTTAAACCCGCCATAATAAATTGAACGAAAAGGAACTGGAGAGAGATTTCAGAAACGCATAAGAAAAATGACGACTCTGGAGAACGAAAAACCAAGATGAGACAACATTGATCAGTAGATTCCAAAGTAACGCGTACGTCGGCATCAAGTGGTGATATGCTTCCCTCCAAGAAAGCTGGTCGATATTCTTAGAACCGACAACCCACCCACCCGCATATAGAACCCGACTGTTTCGTCTAAGGTCCTCCCGCACTTCGCACGGAGTCCTCCACCCCGCCACCTTAGACACCGACGCAATGGCTCTTGAACCAGATTGGTCAGCGAATAAGCGCCGAAGGACTTCTGAGACCGGGTGGACGAGGAGCTCGCCCCGGAAGGCAGCATCGCGGCGAGGAAGCCAGCGGCATTCTTAGAACCGGGTCGGGGCACGTGGTGCAAGAAACATTGTCGGATTCGGACAGGATTGGACGGGAATATGAGAGGAGATCTGCCGTGCTAGGGTTATAGGCGCGTCGTGAAGCTGCGGGACATTAGAAAGGTCCCTGGCGCTTAATTCATTCTCGATGCTAATGTCCAACCATATAGATATTGCGTCAATGGTCGCTGGTGATCTGCTGTTAATTCAACATCGAGATGAAGCTATTCGTAAACTGAACCCAACTGGGTATAAGCATAGAAAGCAATCATAATCTAGCAAATAATAATCAATACTCCTTCTAAAATCCAGCATCGTCGAAGTTGACGTTCGGCGGATGTCGAAACACGAGTGGAGACGACCAGGGCGACGTCTAAAAAAAGAACGCCACTAAACCGGAGAAGCCAGCCAACCAGATCGTCGTCCAAGACCCTCTCCAACAGAACTTTCCAACATATTATAACCGTTGTACACAGTGCATCGTTACCTCATTCCGGTCTCGAGCTGTGAATCGGCAACTGCCATCCAACCATTGTCTTATGTATTGATGAACATGAAGCGCATACATAGAACGGTAGTGCCTTAGTGGTGCCCTGATTCCTGTCCCAAATCCAACACCGTCCCAGGGTCCACTCACCAAACAAGGCGACGGACGAACAAGGCTACCATAGGAGAGGGAGCGAACGAGACTCACTCACGAGAGAGAGCAGGTACTGCGAAAGTCGGCCTTGACAAAGAGCGCTGTATCACCACTGAGATTTGCCGTTCCCCTTCGCGATCCCTTAGAAAACAGTTCGGTGCGGTCTGTAGAGTATGACGATGGGCCAGAGATCAGGAAGTTTGAGGGGAGACCTCGTGGATAAGACTTGTGGGCAGTGACATTGGATGAGGGTGGTAAGATGCGGGCGTAGAGGATAGGTCAACCGCAATATACATGCTTCTTCCACACTAAACATCCGCCTACGACCATTTACACCCTAGGCTCGGGCGATTCCACTCATCAAGACTTCCAACATATATCTAATATCTTCTGAACACGGATTGCCGAATGTATATATTCTCGTCGCTATTCGAAGATTGCTCAACAGCCATCTCATCAACGCTCACGACCGCCTTCTCCAGCCGTACGTACACGAGATGCAATCGTACACACCTAGATCGTTCACCAAATTCCCAAAATCGAACGGAAATACGTCCCGATCCAACAAGTGATATATAAAAAACAGGTATCCTGAACCCGAGGAAACAACGCAACCCGCTCGCTTCCCGGTGTGGATGCCCCGGCGGCCGTATTGCCTGGAATCGGAAAACACCGAGAGAACAATCCAAACGCCCGCTAACCTAGCAGATATGAACCGCGAAAAATGCCAAAAAGTGGTGGTGTATCAGAGAAAGAGTGGTGCTGAAAAGCCCAGATGGAAGGGTGCTCCAGATCATGAAACCGATCACCCCGTCGCGATCCCCTTCGATCCCGCTACCCGTCGAAGCATCCTCCGCATAAGCCCCCCCTCGCTCTTCGGCGGCTTGACCGCAAAGGCACCATGCTCCCCTGTCGCGTCGTCGGTGAACTGAGGGAGAGCCTCCAGAGCCAACGGATCGTACGGTTTCGATTGTCGATTCGCGGTGCTTCCAAAGATCGCCGCCGCACCGGACGTGGACAAGGTGGTTAAACCGTAGGAGATGCTGCCCGACCGCTTGCCGCGGCTTTTGCCGTCGTGCCAGCCGTAGATGGTCTCTTCGTCGGCCCGCAGGTCCGGTCGCGTGAGTGTCATCCGCAACGTCATCTCGCGGCCTCCAGGGGAGAGGGCTTCGTCCCACATGTCGCGTTCGGAGCGGGCGCCAGCACTGGTTTTTGGAGAAGGGGAGGTGAGCAGTGGCGCGGGCGCGACGGAGAGGTTGACTGTGAAAGGCGGGAGGATATCTTCGTGGATGTTGGCGAATTTGGAGGCGGTGACGCGATCGACGAAGGCGTGGACATTGGCGATGGTGTCGGTGTCGACTTCGGGGTTTGAGGGGTGACTGGAGAGTGGGTGGGTATCGTTAGGGGTGACTGGAGAGGCAGGAGCGCTGTCGGAGTCTGATGCGGAGTCGAGGTCGGCGGCCGGTGTAGTCGCGGCAGTGGAGCGATCGTGGTACACCATTGAACCGCTGTCATCAGAAAGGATATCGGAATTGTCGAGGAAGGAGAAATCGTCGTTGCGAAGGAAGGTTTGTGCATCATTGGCAGCGGAGAGTATCCGGCGTTGCCGTGAATGCGAGGTTGATATGCGGGTGGGCTCCGTCGAATGTCGGCCAGTGTTTTCGTTGTTTGCTGCAGACGCAGGAAAGCCAAACTCGATGGCTTCGTCGAACTTTTGGGGGGAGGCAAGATATTGGCGGAGCTTCATGCGGGCCTCGGGATCTTGATAGTGGAGTGCTGTTGCGTCACATCCTTGAGGGGTGGTGACGAATTCGAGAGGGGGAACGATGAGAGAATTGTTTCTCGATCGACGATGAGAGGGGAAGGCCGTGAATAAGGGCGATGGTAGGGCGGAGGGGGCAGATGAAGTCGAGGTTCGTCCGGTCGGGTTGGTTGTTGATATCGAAAAGTTGCGTCTCAGGGAGTACTTCCGCGCGTGTGTCGACGGCATCGAGCGGTCTACTGGCTCGTGGTCTTGAAAGCTATCGCGAGCCATCTTTGTGCTTCCGTCCCGGCTCGGTCCAATGATCGAGTCCTCCCGCTGATCGTGTTGTTGGTAGTCCAAGGAAATTAATGAAACGGCCGTCAATGTTCCCGAGGCTTGATCGGAAATATTTCCGTCCAACTTCTCCAAAAGTATTGACGTGCAACAACCTTCAAGCAAGTATTGCTCCTCTTTCGAGAATTGTGCCCGTTTCAATTTCTCTGGCAGCGCCAGATAGCGTTCGGCGTCGGCCCTGGTAATAACGCGGTCGTTCCCAACTGATACGGACCGCCGGCGCGAATGATGTCGACCTTTACGCACTCGACCCGAGGAGTGCTGGGCGGAGTGTGAGAGATAAGAATAACCGGTGCTAGGACGGGTGGATGGGGGGGAAACATCGATTCGATCCAGGGGAGTCGGTCGGCCAGGAACTACGAGCAGTTGCGACGCAGCATGGTTTTCTGCGATACGCAGGCGCTCCAGCGACGAGAAATACTTTTTTCTGCGGTGAGAGACCAGGTTAGCGTCAGATGATCCTTCGACGGTGTCGCAAAAATGCTGACAGCTTGTGACGGTGAATGAGGGGTGAAAAAAGTAACGTCTCGGCGATAAACGTCGGCGATGAAGTAAGGAGATAAATGTAGGAGTAAAGGGTGGCTCGTTATGCAGCACGCTCAACCGGAAGGACGGCGTGAACAGGAGGGGCGAGAGGGTTTAGTAGTAAGGCACAAATTGTCTGATTGTGTCGTGCGGCGCGAATAGATTGAGACGAGGAATGAAGCACGAAGGTCGCAGACTCGCAGCGAGGACGGTGAGGACAAGCACGCCAGAGTATGCACGAGGCGCCGATGAAGCAACTCGGTCGTAGCGGACCTGCATCCATTCCAGTGATTCCACGAACCACAGACTGGTACCCCTGTATATCAATGCCTTACTGCAGAAAACAATGGGGATTGATATACAGTATACACAGGACCATGGATGGGATCGTAGCAGGTAGGCCGACTGACCGAGGGCGGTATGAGTTCTTATTGCAAGTGCATGATTGCCGGACGCAATAACGCATATGAACGACCAGGCCAAGTCCAACAGATGGTGTGGTGGCTTGTAAATCACACGCAGACTTGACAGGGGGTCAACCCTCTGGGATCTCTCACACCTGATGATCCCAAACCGTGACAGGAATAGTGACCTTCAAACCAACAACATGATAGGCAAAGGTGCAATGAAACGAGAAGATCAACGAGTTGAAAACATACCTGATAGAAATCGGCAACGCTCCGTATTCATCAACAGATAGGACTGGTTGGGCCATCGCATCGTCGGGTCCCATCATCGATAGGCGGTCAATCAAGGGATCGGGGCTTCGGCAGGGACTGAATTGCGACTCGCTTACTCCTGCAGTAGGCGGATCGAAGCTGCAGGTACCGGTACGGAGGTACTCAAAGCGTAGACATGCGTCGTGCGATGATTAAGTTGTCCAAAATGGTTTGTTGGAGCAATACCCAGCCGATATTAATATATGCTGTTGTCGCTGCAACAGTAAGTAATATGGCAAATCGATCGAGAGAACGGAGAGGAATTGACTGGAACCGGATCGCAAAGAACAACAATCGCAGTGATCCCAGGCAGTCACTGGCTCGCTGGACTTTTTGTCTCGCCAGGCAGATGATCATGTAGGTGGGAATTCCCCTCCTCCCTTCCGTGGTGTGGCCTGGTGGGAGCTTGCTGCTGTGTAAGGACCCCAGGGCAGTGGTACCTCAGGATTGAAATCTCCGGATTGGAAACACGGCTTCGTGCATGAGATGAAGCTGGCGGGGAGGAAGTGAGGGTGAGACAAAGCATCTAGCAGGTGGTGAAAGAGGAGTGCAGAAGTGAAGATGAGATGAGATGAAGAGAAGAAGGGCAATTGAAGTGAGCTTCTTCTCCTTTCGTCGGCCCTTTCCTCGAATGATACAGTATATTAGCGGAGTTTGCAACCAATGTAAAAATAACAGCGATGTCAACCATCAAGCGACTATATTTGATAGGGAGTCGTGATGTCCGCCTGGGGGGCTATCTAGGGCTACAGCAGAGGGAGTTCCCGGTATGTACCAGTTACCAGTACTGTATCATCATTCTGATTGGCTGGGGCTCCCTCCATGTGCCTGAACTTCACCGGTCTTGGCAATTGCCCGTGCCTTCCTTGTCAGACCGTGGAGCCCCTTGGCCCCTGCCCCCGGCTGCCCTCCCCCGCGCTACCCGGCTGCCCCTGCCTTGTCTCATGTCTGGCGTCAAGCACTGAAGCGTGGAGGACAATTAATTGTTGGAGAACGGCTGAACAGCCCAGGATGAAATCCTTCAGGGCACCGGCTGTGCCGCTGCACCGTTTCTGTTCTGTTCTGTTCTGTACACCGTTCTGGAATCTCTCTCGTGTTCAGGCAGCCAGAGTTCATTTCGAAACTCTTCGATGGACGAACGGGAGAACACAGGGACTGCCACGGTAGCACGAAGGTATCACTGTAAACTGATTCATCCCCACCAGAGCGGCTCAGTCTTTTCTTCCAGACAGACTCCAGTCTTTCTCTCGCTCTGACCTCTCTCTCGGCTGCTCGGGTGCCTTGAATGCATGCAATGTCCAGGATGCCTTCAAAGATTCCTCCAGGATTCCAGGCGCGTATCGAAAAGGAATATGCAGATCACTCTCCGGTTTGGATGCGTGGCTGCCATAAATCATCACTAGTACGCCAGATAGGAAACAAGTGCCCAGTAGAAGGCCGTGGAACATCTTACAGCCAAAAGCAACACCGTGTTAGTGATCGCTGGTCACTATGATGATCATTGATCACAGTCTATTCACAGATCAAGGGGGAATAATGTGATGGGCGCTAGACTCTGCGTCGGGTCGATGCCAATGAGAGCCCCAGATGCAGGAGGATGATACGGATTGGTCATTGGATGACTTGCAGGACCAGTGGACGCCGTATTACGACTGTACGAGCTCATAGTTGATGAGTGATGAGGCGATGGCAGTTGTGAGTCGGCACTTGCCAGTTGCCACCTTTGAATTCTGATGCTACAGGGGAATGGTGAGCGATGCAATCAGTCAATGCCAGCCTCTGCATTCCGCAATCTGTATCTTCCCTTCTGTTGGTAAAAGTCTTTTTGTTGCATCCTCTCCCGTCCCTAGTTCCTACCATTAATCCCGTGTTCCTGACCCATCACACATCCCCAATTTCCAACTTCCAACGCCGATTACCAAACAGAACAAATGATGGGCTGAAGCCTTAGCACGAACGCTGGTCCGACGGGAAAGAGCCACGGGACTGGAGCCACTGGAGCCACGCAGAACACGCGAAGCAAGGGAGTTCCCGGCCAGCCACGCGTGGGAGAACGCCAATAACGCTGACGACGTTCAAACTTCAAATTGTCCAACGGTTCCAACGTCCAAGAATCCAAGATCACACAGACTGATTCGATAAACTAACATGCCATGAGCCAGTGACTCAGTAGGCAAAGACACCCAACAAACGTCCACATTTCCGCTAGCCTCAGCGTTCTGGGTATGCAGGCTGCCGTCCAAGTCTGCATCACAGCACCACCATCCTTACGCCGGACATGCCCTGTTGTTCGTGCCATATTCCTGCCATCCGTCCATACTTCATTCGCCTCCGCGTCCTGTTGCTGGCCTAAAGCTGCTCAAATGTACAACCTACTCCTTCCAGGAGCCAGCTTCCGAGTGGGAACATCTACAAGTCGACATGTCTCGTGGTCGCGTTTAAAACAGTTGTGCCACTCACGGTTTGGCTTGGGATATCGAGCTGGATTTTGGACACAGATCCTCAATGCGCCGCTTGACGTGGTCGTCGGATTTGGTCTGCACGCTTTAGAGTAGACCTGAATCGTTCGTATCTTAGTTTCTTCGGTAATTATCTACCTACTATCGCAGTTTGCTCCTTTGCTGGCAATAATGTCGTGTCGTGCCCATGGTAATGAGACTAGTGACGGTTAGATAGTCGATCTTCTCCGTTCCTGTAGCGTCTTCAACCTTTAAGACCTACTATGTAATAGCTAATAGTCCCTAGCTACCAGCTAGTGATGACTGTATACTCCGTATAAAGAGGAGCCCTTGAAATTTTCAACAAGACCCAACATCACGACAGCAAGGGCATTTCAACGTTCAGTTAAAACCCCAATCGGCATTACTCGCATCGAATTCTCGCCGCTGATAGACTGACATTATCTAGGTACCCAAGAAACTCTCCGAATCACAAACTTGCGCTGGGCAACGCAGTCGACGCTATTCGCATCGGGCTCATGGGTGACCGAAAGCGGTTGGGTTCAGATGGCAGTTGAACCGCCTGAACGCCATCAACGGGGGTAAATCACTAGTCCCAACAGCCGTTCAAGCCGCAAACCTCGATTTTCTGTCTTAGCTGTTCACGGCTCCACTGCCGGATTCTTAGGCACGAGAATTGACTATTGAGAATTGAGATGCGATCGTGCGAGTTTAGAGGGGCAACACGCTAATATCGCAGAAGAATAGGGGCCAGGTAGCAGTTTCCCCTATCCGAGAGACTACGTATCGCTTATTATTCAGATACTCCCAACTGCTCCAGGCTAGGCTTCGTGTCATTGATCCACTCCTCTTCTGGATCTGGTAACTGATCGCCTGATCGGCCTCCTTTGACCGTGTTACCGGGGCGAAGACATACCGAATACCAGAGGACTGGGCAAGAAACTAGAATCACTGACTCGGGCGGCGAGGTTCGCGTTACTGTCTTATTTCGTTGGACGGCCGTTGGAATGGAGAGTGGGAGCTTGGGGATAAGTGATATGAAGCAAGGGACTCCGGCTAGAAAATTTGAATACGAAAGGTTCAGAATCGTGTGGTGAGCGGTACTCTTATTCAAGGAATAGTTTGGTGGACGAGTGATATTGGTCATGTCTATCGCGATTCGCACCCCGATGCCCCTTCGATTGCACAGCAATCGTTCAAGGAGAGTAGGAGACCACTGTTTATCCAATGCTCAAGATCATGACCCAATCTCTCAAACCTTTAATGGCAAACGTGACCCTAATGCGATAAGATAGAACAGTCTATAAACCCCACCGATCCAGCCAAGAGCGCCGACAAATGGTCCCGTCAAAAGAACAACGAACATGCTATTTGTTTACACTCGTCCAAGTTTACTACATGGAAGCAGAAAAAAATCGTAGCCCCCTTATAGGCAAATGTATCAACACGATTTCGCCCTCACACCTCCTCATCGCTATCCTCCCCCAGCAACTCCCCCTCATCATCAATCGGATCCACCACACCATAGTCACCCCTCCCCCTCGAAAACGAGCTCCGTGACGTATACGTCCGCCCCCCATAGCCCCTTCCAAACATATGCATCACGCTCCGATACAGTGACCCTACTACCAACGGCACCGCTGCCACCACCGCCACGATTCCCGACAGCGCCGCGATCGGCCACGCGATCCACGGCTTGTCGCTATCCCACACCGCGCTCCCGCTCCCATCGCCCAACCGAATCCGACCCAACTGGCTGAAATCCCATGTGCGCCACACATAGTACCCGATCCCCCCCGCCGCCAGGAACGGGACGACGATGGCGAAGAACAGCCCGATGCCGCCGAGTCGCGTGCGGCGGGAATACTCTTCCTCGTGGCCGGGGCACGGGTGCGATTCGCCCGTGAGGTCGAGCTCCTTGCCGCCCTGGCACGTCGACAGTGGGATGCGACGGTAGCCGGTGACGTCCCAGTACTGGAATGCAGCGGGGTCGTCGCGGCAGATTTGCATGGGGTCGAGTTTCTGGAGGCCCGGGGCGAGCTTGCAGGTGCCGTCCTTTTGGCGCTCGTAGTTGTAAGCGCATTCGAAGTCGCGGCGCGTGCAGGTGCAGTTTTGCTGGATGGTGTGCAGGGTTGGGATTTCTGGGCCGTTGTAGCAGCTGCTTTCGGGCTTCTTGCGGACGTATTGGGCGATGTGGCCGAAGAGGCAGTCGTTGTCTTGGAGGGGGTGCTTGGGGGTCCACAGGTAGTAGTCGCTGTCGGGAGCGTCGATGTTCTCCCGATCCAGGTTGCATTCCCTGTCTGTCAAACCTGTGAAGTCGATGTTGATAGTCGCCTGGCCATTAATCAGCAAAGTATCACTTGGATATCTAGGGAACGTACGAGCTTGCCGTTCGCTGCCGTAGCCCATAGCAGGAACTGTCTGGAGTTGTCGCTCGGGACGGTGGTGATGTCCATGACGTTCATCGGGGACTTGTAAAACTCGTACATGGTCCAGTCCTTGCCCTCGTTAAGAGAGTAGTAAATAACGTTGGTAGGACTGTCTTCAGGAACGATCACAATGATTGAGCCTAACTCAAGTTAGCCAGGGTCTTGTTTGGTGGGCTGAACCATCGTACCTTGATCGCCAAATTCCCACATGTGAGGTCCTTTCTTTGCCTCATTCCAGCCCAGACCACCATCCGTAGAGATATAGGTGCTGCTGTCAGACTTGTCTCCCAGAGCGTCGCCAATATTTCCAACGCCGAGGAGCAAGCCGATTCCAGACGCTGACGAGAACGTGTCTCGAGGGTCCTTCCGTTCAGTGTAGCCATGGAGGTGGAGTTTCTGGCCATCCGGTCCAGATAATGGGCCCCAGTCTGCCCCATCGTTATGCGTGATTAAAGTCGACTTCTTCTTTCGGGCGCCCTGGAGTACTTCTTGCACATTGTCGACGACGTTGACGATTGCGACACCTTCGAGAGAGGTCTTTTCGAAGTCAACGTAGCCTTCTCGGTTGCGGTTGACTTCATTCAAGCTCAGGACATAGGCAGTGCCATTGCTGTTGCTCTTGACAATAGTGCCGTATTCCTGCTCCGGGTTATTGTTCACCGTTACGTGCATGAACACTGCGTGCGTGGAGCTGTCCAAGACGGTATATGCCTGCTGATGCTCGACGTGGAAGTTCGGTGGAAAATGTGCTTGAGCGAAGACATGTCCGTCGATGGATGCGTCCACTTTGAGCGACTTGTGGTCTTCGTCTCTGGCCGCCACCACGATGAACTCGGAGTCCGACATGGTTGCGAAGGCAATAACATCGTCCAGCAGGACCTGTTTGTGTTGGAACCAATCCTCGCTGGAGATCAGTTGCAACGGTTGGCTTGGGTCCTCATTCAGGTGTTGCTCGCAGTACACCAGCTGGTCATGCTCGCGCCATTTCTCCATGTACATGAACTGGCATTTTTGGACATACGGCATCAAAAGTTCCCACTCACGGCCGCCTTTGGTGGATACGTGAGCAACCGAGTGGCAGTCTTTGTTGGAACTCCCACGGCATCCCTCTCCGCCGATCCACAAAATCCAATCCCGCTCGTGCTTGTGGAATCCAAGGATTTGCAGTCGCTCATGGTTCGGAGCCTCGGGAGCCTCGAAGGTCGATATACTGCCCTCCTTCGCGCGGGAGTAACTGTAGTAAACTTTCTTCGATGGCGTGATGAAATAGACGGTGTCCGAATTGTATTGATGCGGGTAGATGGCCACAACTTCGTCGTCGATGGGCGTATCCCAAGTCTTTCCATGATCATGGCTGACATATACAACTCTCTCGTTTGTGGACATAACGATAGTTTCGTCTCCCGACACTTTCTTATCTTTGCGCTCCAGGTAATAGTGCTCCCGGAAGTTCTTGCCTCGGAACTCCGTATAGGTGGCAGTAATCTTGCCGGATGGAGCGGGTTTGAGGGTCTCTTTGCAAGGACGTTCAACCTTCTTATCCTTTCCCTCCCCTTTCTGGTTGCAATCATTCCCAGGAATCAATCGCCACCCGGAGCTTCCCGTGAATGTATCATCCTCATTCTTGCATTCTCCGGGAGCAGGCTCGAGTGCCTGGATAGGTTTGCACTCGTCGCCTTCTCGGTCGAATCCGAAATCGCATTCGTAGTCGGCATCCGTGCATTCGCAAGGCTCATTTTGGGGCAGTGGATCCTTGAACTCTTCATCGACGAAGCAATCGGCGTCTGCCTTCCTGCGACGGAACCATTGTTTGTGGCCCATTACGCAAGTGGGTTCCCCTTCTTCATCAACGCGAGCAAACCAGTCCTCGAAGTCCTTGTCTTTGCATTTGCGCTCGTGGAGATCCGTGAAGTCGATGCAAAAGACATGATGTTCCATGTTGGAACCGCCTCCGATGGTGGCAACCAGGGTGAATTTCAAACTCGTGGAATCCGGAATCGTGGTCAAATCCCGAGCCCTGACCTTCTTACCAAGGCTGACGGTCTTCCAATCCTTTCCATGGTTCAGCGAATACTTGATCTCGTCCGTCGGACCCTCGTCATAGACAGCAACGAGCACTGCCCCTGCATCGCCCATTTCGTACATGTGAGCTTCCTCGAGAGCGTGCCTCCAGGTGAGACCTGCGTCGTCGGATACCCAAACATCCCCTTCCTGATATTCGCGGAGGAAATCGCCGGTGTTGCCGACTCCGAGAACGATTCCAGGCGCCGGACTGGAGAAGACCCTCCCCGAATTTCTCTGGTCAGTGACCGAGTGGAGGTGTAGCTTCTTGTCTCCAGCTCTTAAATCATGGAACGTCCTCCCATCGTCGAAGCTGATCTTCGACACGATCTTCTTATCCGCCAGCCAGGATTCCTCGACCTCCTTCCAGTTGTCCACAACGTTCACAAGCACGATGCCTTGTATGCCACCGCCCATCTTTTCGAAATCGACGTACCCTAGCTCGTCACGGTTGGTGTGAACGATGTTGCGCGTGAAGTGTCGTCCTTCGGAATTGGAAGTAAAGAGCGAGCCCATTTCGCTACCCCTATCGCTCATGACGTCCACCTGAACGCTATAATTGGTCGATTCGAGGACGGTGTATGCGTCTTCTTCGATGCGATGGTCGCCGAATTGTGCTCGATGCCAGACTTTCGCGTTCGGGGACACGTAAAGCGCCAGCTCCTTCGTTCCTCCGCTCTTCGCGGCTGCGACCAAGAACCCTTTGACGGGCGCCAGGTTCGCCATCCCAGCGACCGGACGCCCTTCCTCGGAGATGCTCACCTCCTTGGCGCTTTCAAAGTAGTCCTCCGATGATAGAAGCCGGAGGTCCTCCGATCGGTCGGAGTATTTCCCCTTCACGATGCAGTAGACGAGCTTCTTATCCAGCTCTTCATCGCCGGATGTGAACAGGGGCGTCGACTTCGCCCATACGCATGTTTTCCGGTCGCCAGTCAGAGGCTCCATGTCCGTCTTGAATCCATCGAGGGTATAAAACGTCTAGGGCAACGTCGTTAGCAAATGCGCCAGTTGCGGAAGCGTGATACCCATACTTCGCCCAAACAATGCGGGCATGGCTCGGCCGCGTGGAACAGTATCCGATTGCTATCGCTACCATGAAACGAGAGTGGATTGGCCAGACTGGGTGATTTGGACGACGTGAACTGCTTCCACGTCTCACCCCGATCTCTCGTTATCCAATGCTTTTTCCGCTTTCCCAATGCAACGGCGAGGGTCTTATCATACGGATGTCCAAGGACAGCAAAGGGTTCTCCCGTCGGGATATCGTCCACGACCTCCCACTTCTCGCCGGCATCCTTCGTCCGGTGGATGACGCCACGTCTGCGCTCGATGGTCAGGATGGTCTCGGAATCGTCGAAGTAGAACAAGTCGGCAGGCCGCTCGTCGAACTTCTGGTCGGTAATGCCAGGCTCCTTGGAATCGGACAGCACTCCAGTGGCCAGCAGGAGGGCTGCCAGTGGGAGGAATCGCGGTATTCGCATGGTGTGGTGAAGTTGCCAGATGGCATTGAGACGACGAGCTTCAGCCTTGGAAATAAAAGCACATGCATGGGAGCATCGAGGAATACGCGGCGATTCGCGGTCATGGAGACACAGTAGTGAGCCGCAGCACCCCTGCTCTGGTGCTGACCGGACGGCGGACTGGACACGAAGCTACTTCGTATTTAGCACGTGCTACGTCAGTCATGATCACCATTACGGAGTATGAAGTTATCAATAATTTGTTCAAGCAATCGACATCAGAGTTGCCATCTACAGCTTTAAGATTAGGATCGGTAATTATTACAATTCCTACTGTCCATAAACAATGGACATTGTTGGAATTCAGCTCTGTGTCCTTTCCAGTAGACACTCGGAGATGACCCCTAACTTGCGGCCCCAGAAAACTCCATACTACTAAGCAGGTGAAATCGATCCCATCTCGTCCTCCAGAGTTGAGAAATGTTCTTCTGCTTGTCCCATTTTATTCTCTGTACAAGGCACCAGCTTCAAGATGGTTAAGATGTCGGCGACCTTCCGTTTCGATAGAGCCACAGCCGACTGAAATCCTTCACTCTATGAGTGTGTAGTGTCGCCGTATGCGTTGGACTGAGAGGACTATTGACGTCCGCAACGACAGGTTCTTCTACTTCATCTCCTCCTCTAGATTGCAATTCGGTCGTAAAGTGTTCTCTTTCCTCTGCTTCACCGGCGTGCTCTACAACCATATCCATGAACGGGTTTGATTCCAACACGCGATCGTTCTCGTCGAGCGGGAAGCACTCCGCGAGGTAATGCTGGTTGAGCAAATGGCCGCTATTCGAGCTGCGAAATAGCCGGCCCATGAAGCGGTTTTTGTTCCAGAAGAAGTGCAGCACCCCGAAGTTCGCCACGAACTCGCCCTCGTTGGCGTAGTGCTCCACATGGCGAATGGCTTTGATGGCCTTCCGTCCGTTCGGACCCCCCTCGCTCCCTTCGCCTCGGAGTGGGTTATTGAAGTGGTTCGCCGCGTTCCCGAAAGTGTATACCTCGAGTCGGTTCAAGCAGTCATGGGGAAGCTCGTCCAGGAGCCAGTCGATGATGAGACCACCCATAATCCCCCCCTGGCTATGCAGAATGAAGATGATCTTTTCATAGCTCCGGTCTAGCAAGGCCTCTTTGATACGGCTGTGCGCGTTGCGCACGTCTGCGGTGGCGTAGCAAAAGTTCCGTTGGATCTGGTCAAGTGAGCACGTCGGAACTGAACATTGACTGACAGGGACTTACTAGGCATTCAATCATGTCGAACACGATGCCTGCCGTCGGGTTATGTACTCCCACAACTGGGCGGCGGAAGGTCATGGATAAACGGTTGATGTTGGCCTGAATCCAATCGCGTCTGGTAGGCGAGGCGTTAGCTCTTTTCGGCCAGCTGCATATCATAACAGTGTGCATACCCGACCGAGACGCCGTTGAGGTATATCCAATACTCTTTCTGATGGGCGGCCTTCTCCTGGATTGTCTTCGACGATTGCAGGGTGCGCTCCGTCCCATTCAACAGTCTGCATATCGCGGTGTTCAGGGCCACAAACCCAAGAATATATGTGATCACCCAAACCGCAGGGAACAGAGTGAACACTAGAACCGGAACGGAAACAAGGAAGCTCGTTTGGAGGACGATGAGGATTCCATGGATCACAATACATTTTATGTTCACCAGTGAGAGGTGCAACTCGTCCGATTCATGGCTTGTGAAAGGGTTCCATGGGCGAATAATCCCCGGGATGGTATTAATATGGTGAAAACACAGTAGAAGGTCCTTCCATAGCAGCTTGAAGGGGTTTCCTGTGAAGGGCAGGTCTGCCTCGCCGGGTCGGCCTGTTTGAGACGGTGTAAAGGAGATGGGCATGTTCGGAGGACGCAGCGAATTTTGGTCTTGGAAACCGGTCAGGAGGACATACGGTCTTGAGCACGTGGAACGATTCCGGTCTTTATGGTAGTCGGGGAACCGGCTCTCAAATATATCAACTCGTGCTCTCCTACTACGGATGTCACCATCCGTTAAAGGAAATTGCACCTTGAGGACAAGGATTGATATATCTGAAGCTTCTCAGCCCGTTCGTTGGGAACTGGGAATCCATGGAGAAGCTGATACTTGATACCTGCAGTGATATCACCCTCCTTCGAGAATTCATAGACATATTGTCTAGTTGGAGAGTCCAGCTGACCACTTCTTACAGCGTCAGCAGCCACCAACAGGGAGTAGACCGTAGGATACATCCTACCAGATTATGCGGATGCTGCTGCAATATAAGTTCAACATGATTGTTAAATATTATATTCCTTTCCATCAACGATGAGATGGAGTCGCGTGAGGCGCGATATGTGACGTCACACATGTAATTATAGAATCTCATATGTTGCTACCCTATTTCAGTTTCACCTACCTCAGATATCTTCCCATCGAATCGCCATCTCCAAGGAAGTCCTCCATGGCGAATACCCTTGGTCCGAATAGGCCATAAGAAATGGGAGGGAGGTAACCGGCTTGGGTAGGGTGGCATCCACCGCACGAAAGCTTTGAGATAACAACTCCTGAATATCTTTCCGTGGGAAGTCGCCAGGGGAATTAAGACTTTAAGAGACAATGATACTTGATAGTGATCGAATTGGGTGTAAACATTGTAGTACCACCGTGAGAAGGACCCCTTGGACGGTATGTGGTGGCGGAAAGGCACACAGAATGGGAGCGTGACGTTGGTATACCATAGAACGTGCAAGTTGGAGAGATGAGAGCAAAAGCAGGCGGCCCTAAGTGTATTTTATTAATTTTTTTTATTGCATCGTACTAACTAGTCTGTTGTCATCGGAAACCAGACGTACAATATCATGTGGATCATGCAACTGATCTGATGCAAGCCGGTTTTAGACATTTTGAGTGGAGAGGAAGAATCTCGGCGTTGACGCACCGCAGCCGAGCAACAGAACGCAGGAGCGACCAGTCGACAACATCTCAAACGCTGTGACCTTGTGCCTTTAAACTACAGATATCCTCACCCAACATATTCCCCACCGCGTGCGCAACCCATCTGATGCTTTCGACGCGCTCCTCCATTCTCCCACTCGCCTTCAATCCACTCCTTTTGGCCTTGACTGCCATTGTATATTGATCATCTACATTTCCTCCCGGTCGCGACGTGCCACTGTGGAAATCTGTAGTCGGGAGTCCTTGTTTACCCGACTTCAATAATACATCTCCTTTACCCTCAAATTTTCCACCATCTCTCTTTCGCTCATCAGAACGGAGTCGAAATCATGGCGTCTCTCGGGGAGGATCTCCTGAACATCGTCAATAAGCTGCAAGACCTGGTCTTCAACACGATCGGGAATGATTCTCTGGATTTGCCTCAGATAGTACGTCACTTCTCCCCCGTCGATCTCCCCACTGAATAGCATCCTAATATTCCTTTCTCAAGGTCGTGGTCGGATCGCAATCATCGGGAAAATCCTCGGTGCTCGAGAATATCGTTGGCAGGGACTTCCTTCCTCGAGGAAGCGGCATCGTCACACGAAGACCTTTGATCCTCCAACTCATCAACGTCCCAAGCGATCGAGAAGACAAGCCCGGAAATGACGAAGTGCATATTCCTCATACTCCAGCGAGCGTGGCCGGGCAGAATGAATGGGCGGAGTTCCTTCATGAGCCGGGCCGTCGGTTCCAGGATTTCCAGGAAGTGAAGCAGGAGATCGAGCGCGAGACCGCAAGGATCGCGGGCAGCAATAAAGGGATCAGCAGACAGCCCATCAATCTCAAGATCTACTCTCCCTCTGTATTAAGTTTGACATTGGTTGACCTACCGGGTCTCACGAAGGTACGAGCGGTTTCTTTTTCGAGCTCGAAATCCAGTTGACACGTTTAGGTCCCTATCGGAGACCAGCCAGGCGACATCGAAAAGCAGACCCGAAATCTCATCTCCGAATATATCGCAAAGCCCAACAGCATCATTCTAGCGGTCTCTCCCGCCAATGTCGATATCGTCAATTCCGAAGCATTGAAGCTGGCACGACATGTGGATCCTATGGGCAAGCGCACGATCGGTGTGCTCACGAAGCTGGACCTCATGGACCACGGCACCAACGCTCTGGACATCCTCTCCGGCCGTGTCTACCCTCTCAAACTCGGTTTTATAGGGGCGGTGAACCGGTCACAGCAGGACATCCAAGGCAACAAACCCATGTCTGACGCGTTGGATGCAGAGAGGCATTTCTTCAGGTCACATCCGGCGTATCGAAACATGGCGAACCGATGCGGCACACAATACCTAGCGAAGACGTTGAACGGTACGCTCATGTCGCACATTCGAGACCGTCTTCCGGACATCAAGGCGCGTTTGAACACATTGATGGGTCAAACGCAACAGGAGCTTGCAAGCTATGGAGATGCAGCTTTCACCGGCAAGGAGCACCGTGGATCACTCATTCTGCAGCTCATGACGAGATTCGCAACATCGTTCATCTCATCGATTGACGGTACATCGTCCGAAATCTCCACCAAAGAACTCTGCGGCGGTGCGAGGATATATTATATCTTCAACTCTGTTTTCGGAAACTCCCTAGAAACAATCGACCCAACAACCAACCTTTCCGTCCTCGACATCCGGACCGCCATCCGCAACTCAACCGGTCCACGGCCCAGTTTGTTCGTCCCCGAAGGGGCGTTCGACCTCCTCGTCAAACCACAAATCAAGCTCCTCGAGATCCCCGGGCAACGATGCGTCGAGCTGGTATATGAGGAGCTGATCAAGATCTGCCATACCTGCGGCTCCAACGAGCTTAGCCGCTATCCTCGCCTCCAAGGCAAACTCATCGAAGTAGTGTCCGACCTCCTCCGCGAACGGCTCGGCCCGTGCTCCCACTACGTCGAGTCGCTCATCTCCATCCAACGCGCCTACATCAACACGAACCACCCCAACTTCCTAGGCGCCGCCGCCGCAATGTCGTCCGTCATCAACGACAAGCAGGAGCGCGAGCGAAAGATCGCCCTCGCCGAGGAGCGACGGAAACGAGAGCGCAGGCGCATGAAGGAGCTGAACGGCGTCAACGGGGTCGAAACCCCTGAAGAGGAGGAGGAACTGGGCGCGCAACACGTCGAACTCCCCATGCGGGGCCATGCGAGCAAGATGAGTCGGAGCCTGTCTCCGAACGGCGCCCGTGGAACAACACATAGTCTGGCCGCAACACTACAACAGGGGCGATCCGCATCTCCGGCTGCACGTCCCGGACAGGCACTGGGAGGACAGGTACCGGGAGGTGCAAGGGACAGCTTCCTCAACTATTTCTTCGGGAAGGAAGGGAACGGCAACACGATCCCTCCGACACATGTGGCGCTAGACCGACCCGTAAGCAGGCAGGTCTCGTCACACGCGGAGCCCAGTTTCGCAGGCAGTATCCGACGGGGAGACACCCGAATGCCGGAGAGCGTGCTGGAAGACATAGAACCTAACCTTCAAGGGGAGGACCCGCTTTTCGTAAGTTCCGTCACCCCTCCCATCCAATCCAAACCCACTAACAACCACCCCCCTTCCCAGCCCTACGACGACACCCCCGCGCTCAGCGAGCGCGAAGCCCTCGAAACCGAACTCATCCGCCGGCTCATCTCCTCATATTTCAATATCGTGCGCGAGATGATCGCCGACCAGGTCCCCAAGGCCGTGATGCACCTGCTGGTCAACCACTCCAAGGATGTGGTGCAGAACCGGCTGGTCAGCTCGCTGTACAAGGAGGATCTGTTCGAGGAGCTGCTGTACGAGGACGACAACATCAAGTCGGAGCGGGAGAAGTGCGAGAAGCTGTTGAATACGTATAAGGAGGCGGCGAAGATTATTGGGGAGGTGCTGTAAACGTGCGGTGGGGAAGGGTCGGGAAGGTGGTTGCGAATGCCTGTAACATCATGAATGTCGAGCGGAATTGGCGGGGTCATTTTCCATGGAGTGCCATCCCCTGGGACGGCGGACTTGTGTTGATCACGTTGCATGTGTTCCCCTGTTATTATTTCTTCGCGTCTCTCCAGTCTTCCACATGCGTTTCGGGCGTTCTCGTCTCCTTCTCGGCAACGACCGAACTGTCACTCTGTATGGAATATGATGTCTTACCCCGGAATCACCTTTTGCGTCGGCCGGCTAGACATCGGTCGACAGATGTAGATATATGAAAACATGTCCACTTTCACCTTTCAGTCGCGGTCCCCTTGCGTGACGTTTGTCCGTCGACGATTCACCTCGCGTCCCCCCCGAGTCCGACCGTCAGCTTCAGGCGATGGTTTCCATTTGACTACATGCGCGATCGGAAGAAAAGCTAGAAGAACGATCCCTGCCATTGCCCATTTCAGACCCAGCCCGCCCTTCGCCGTCGCCTCCCGAGAGGATCCCGGCCAATCTTGTGTTCGACTCCCGCGCGATTTGTTCCGAAAAGACCGATCCTCGATGATTCGCGCAATGTACAGGTATTAAGAAAGGGCTATGGTCACAGTACACCGACAAGGCCGAACGCCGCACCCACCGCGCTGAGGGGTTGGGTCACGAGCAGCGAGTGGCGGCTGGCGCTGAGCTCTGAGGGGCGGACGTTCGGGAAGAAGGAAAGCCGCGATGGGTACTTTTGACGCATTCCGCTCCCTTGATCGGTGTAGGAGGACGCGTGGAAGAAGATATGGATAATGAAACGAATGACGATGTGTGCGCACCCCTATATCCCGCTTCATTCTTTGGTTGCTTCTTGTCGAGCTGGGAGGTGCTAGCAGCGGTTAGTAGAGGCTTATAAACGTCGGGATGATACTATTGCTGGGGCGGATTAGTGTCGAATGCGAAGACTTACCCTAGTTGGCTCCTGATGTATACTTTTCGTCTTCTCTTACGATATATCAACCGTCGTATCAACCTGCTCTCCACACCCTCCTCTCCTATAACGTCATAGACCTCCCGCCCCTGCCTTCTCTTCTGCTGCCGACTCCTCCCCTCCGCCCCCGTCGCCGCCGCGACCTCCCCTAGAACCCCTCCGCACCCGTGCCGTTGTGGGCTACGGTATAGCCAAACGCTGTCGCCTGCTCCTCCGGCGAGCCGAGATCCCCTCCTAGTATGGCCGCAGCGGGTTGGCCGCCGTATGGGGCATCGGGCCCCGCGGCTGCAGCATCGTGGTCGCCGGGGCCAGGAGCGGATCCGGGTGGGAAGGGTCCGGTGGCGGGTTTGTTTTGGTTTGCAAGGAGGGTCTCGTGGCGCCAATCAATAGGAGGTTCAGAGATGGTTGTACATCTTTTATAGAGAGAAAATGGTGGGGACGGATATATCGAGTGGGGTGGGGAGGAAAGGGGAATGGGAAATGGGAAAATGGGTTACAAGACAGGAATAATGATGTGGAAGAATGGAAATAGGGGATGGGTGCTCTTATGGGCAGCTTACCTCTCGATAACGTGCTAAGTAGATCTTCAATGCCTCCGAATAGTTCTCGAAGCCGAGAGATGTCATCGCGTATAGGATGTCTTCCCCATTCACGGTCTTGCGCTTTTCCTGCTGGCATTTCTCTGACGCTAATGGTCGGAAAATACAAGGGTTAGCAGGGTGTCCTCAAGGGGGACTCAGGTATCGGACAATCGACACTGTCCAATAGAACAGGAAACACATACCTTCGCTGGTGATGAATGAGATGAACTCGCTGACGCATTCTTGCATGCATTCTTTTGCCTCTTTGGCAATCTTCGCGTTTTCGGGCAAGGCCGATTTCATAATGCGGGCGACTGGTGCAAAGTTGCGGATGTTAGCATCGGAGACCACATGATCCGCTGAGGTCGAGCGCCTGGACGAGCCGCGCCGCTGTTGCTGATGTTGATGCTCCTCCTGTTTCAAAGGAGGCGAGGATGAAGACTGGCTGGTGGAAGACATTGTCTGGTTGGTTGGTTGCCCGAACAAACACTGGTGTAGATGTGCCCGCGTCTGTGTGGTGCGTTGTGGGTGGTGGGAGAGTGCTTGAGCTCATGCACGTCGACCGTTTGAGCACCACGAAATCCACATGCACCCCAGACCGAGCCAAATGTAGATCGATGCTGATTTGATGAAAAAGGGCTGCCAAATGCGGCGTTTAACAGACGTGGCTGGGGAAGAAGACGTGGATTGGGCGAGGTGAGTGGAAAGCCGTGATGAGAGGACGCAGAAGCGCGCACCGCGTCGCCTTCACTTCCTCCGCATTGGTTGCAACTGAACAATAAACAAAAGAATTGAGACGATAGGAGGAAGGAATCGGACCAGCGCGCAAATCACAGCGGAGCTCGAGAAAACAGATGATTTCGACTGGAGCATCAACACCAGAATCCGGACCACAGCACCTGCACCAGCAACAAGCCGCGAGCCACGGGCATCTCACCCAACACAACACAAAACGACACGACAGGAAAAACAGCAAACAATTGACAAATTTCACGTACCATTGGCAATGGGCAGCCATCGGTCCTGCTCCTTGACTTCGAATTCGTACCCAGTGCCCTGCCCTTGTGTTTCCTGAGCTTCGCGGTCCATAGGCGTGTCGGCTTCGTCCTGCGACTGGGCTCCAGGTTCCACGTCCGACTTCTTCACGGGTGGGGAGGCGGACATGTTTATTTTCGGGAGCGCACAGCAGCTCCCTCACACAGATAGTCCTGGAGGCGTTCCTTGCCCCCGTGTTCTTGGCCGCTGGTGTATCGGTGACGCGACCGCTGCTGCGGTTGCTGCTGTTCGTAAGGCGAATACCGTCCGGCTATGCGGCTGGTGCGGATTCGCTGAGCTGGCAGGCCTCACGGATCGAAGATCTATTCGCTGGCAACCACGTCACAGCGCGAGATGAGCGGGCGGGCGATACGGCGACCGTTTCTGCGGCCCGTTAGCGTAGGTTCCTCTTTCCGTTCTCCAATCCACGCCCGGGTTTCCCAGGGTTGCGGCCGTGGTTCGTTCCAGGTGCTGCACACGCGAGGCCTGAGATAGGTGTATTGAAACCAACCCGGAGATGTTGTGTCACTCTCCACAGGGTTATGGCCCGGCGACCATGCGGGATGCGGCTAGCCGGAGTGTCAAGGGCCGTCTGATGCTGTACGGGGTCGCTCTGCAAGTCGCGGTGGTAGTGCAATCCGGATTATGGGGTTTGCGTCTTGCGATCAATGGGCAGCAGGGAATGAGCCGGATTCGGGGACGAAGGGTTGGGAATGACTGCAGCAGCGCCGATGCCAAATTCATCCACACACTGAAGCGGGCAAGGCGATGTAGGAATCGGGACGAGCCACGACGCGTAGAAACTGCAGGCGGATGGATGGGAGAAAGGATGAGGGATCTATTTCGAGACGTAACGTTACTAAAGCCCCCCGTACTTTCAAGGGACGATGCTTATCCAGTAGGAGGCAATGGAGCGCAGAGGATAAGGGACGGGGTTCCGGGTGCATACAGACAACAGGGAATTCTGATGACGGCAATACAGGTATTCTAGGGCCGAATTGCGACTGACCTTACGGATGAATATGGCACAATAAGCACAGTGTTGGCGGGGGCAGTACGATGACCGAAGTCAAGGCTAATCTTTCGCAACCGATCAAGAGGCGGCGCATGCAGCGTGGGGACTGTCAAGCAAGGCGAACGAACTGGAAGACGTGTGAACCGATGAGCGGTGGAGAAGGTTGGCAAGTAGTATGGTGGTTCACGATGAACTGATGCGAAGTTGAGCTGGTGATGACAAGGACAAGGGCAGCAACAGCGCGTCAAGAAGCTGCACTGAGGAGACACGCGCCTTGGGCGGCCAATTGCTGGGCGTTGGGCGGCTGAATGGGAGGGTCCTTGCTATTACGGTCCTTGGTATTGTTATGGCACGAGAGCTGCAGGTTCATGTGGAGGAGCGAATGGACGGATGGAAAGGTGGAAAGATGGAGGGAGGATGGAAGGGAAGCGGGAAGAGTGAAGCGAGAACGTGGAGGTGCGGAGGATGGAACATCTCTCTGCTGCTCTCTCCTATCTCATTCTGTTGCTATTCTATCTGATTCTCTCGTTAATATTGTGACGAAGCCACATTACCGTATTCTGAAGCTGAAGTCGGGCTCACCCGTCCCTGGGCTCACCCGTCCCTGGGCTCCCCATCGCAGCATTGACAACAATACTCTCTCCACCACCATCGATCATCGAGTCGATGGAAGAGGGATGCATGGAGAAGTGGGATGTTTGTTTTTTACTCTGCCAGCAGCTTGACATGTCCAATCGCCTTGCTGGACATGCACCACCATCCGGGGTCCTAGTTGGAATAAAAGGACGAATCCGACCGCGAGCTTCAGCTGCTGCATCGCGATTTGCTGGTTGGCGCTGATCGAGGGGGGCTTTTCATCATAAATCGTCGGTTTCTACTCGTCCATCGCCATTTGCTGCATTCACATTGGCTCATCGTTGAAATCACCAACGGATCCTGCTGACCTCTGCCCGTCCCGCGCTTCCGAATCCACATCCCCGTTCCTGGCTCTCTGCCGCTGCGGTTCGATCCTGGAGCAACCTGGCGTTTGGCGGGTAAGGGATACCCCTCTCTCCCAGTTCCGACTTGAAAGTTCATTCTTGATACAACCATCCCCTCATGTAGATATAAAAGCGGTCAAGTTGGACTTGCGGTCAATGACAACCAACCCAGTCTTAATCGGGAGCAGCAGCAGCTTCGCGTTTAGCCAGGACCAATACCGGTCATACCGCGTGCATACTAGAAATCCCTTTCTTTCATTATGCGATTATCTGACGGGCGGAGCGACGCTAGCAACGCTATGGTTGTGCTGTGTTGTCCATGAACCCCCTGGCTAGCAATGGGCATCGATGACGAGGCTGCGATAGCTGACAGAGGGCTCGAGGGGGATGATGTTTGGAAGCTAGCGGCAGCCTTGAAAGCACGCCTCATTCAAGATCCCCCTTGGGCTGCATTGCATCATTTTCAAGTGTGAGGCAGCTCATCCATATTCCTGCCTCATCGGAATAGAGCTTTCAAATGGGGTCTCCCAACGGAGCAGAGGCCATATCCTCATTCGACAGCCCTAACAATCAGCCCCACGACGTCTCCGACGAGAGCTTTCAGGTTCGCTGCATGCTGTGCTGTCTATCTATCATGTTCCTGGCACGGAAAATTAGCCTTGGGTATCCTATGAGCTCATGTTCCATGTTCATAGGTAATAGGGAAAGTCTGTTGACTAGCATCAAGGTAGCGCTGGCGTCATGCATGTCCTGCGTCGCCAACACATCGATGGGTATGGCCAAATTTCAAGTCCATCCATGGCAGTATGTAGCTATTGCATCGGTTTTGACTTGTGACATCGTTGCTTTATCGAAGTGGATCAAGTAGGAAAATCGATATGCGTTGCGGCAGTGAGCACAGGGGATTTATCAACTCTTGTTGAATGAAATACTTGCATGAAACAGGTGCAAATCGGTGTATGTTTGGGTACTATACAATATATATCCGGCTTTGATGGTAGGACGTCATCCGCAATAGCACGTTCGATGTAAACAGCCTACGTGCGCGACAGTAAGTCGGAATCCGCATTCATTTCTACCATGAACAGATCCTCGCCGCTACCACCATCAAACCACGTCTCCCATACCGCGCAAGCGGTTCATCCGTTTACGAGAGACGATTTACTTCTCTCAAACGAGCTCCACACACCCCATCTCTCGTCCGGCTTGCCTTATTGCTGCACTATCTGAATATTGTTGTCCTTCTGCTCGGGTGGTTAGCACCGCGAAAATATGCCCGTATGCGCGAGAGATAGCCTGGTACTACTCACCTTCCACTTCTCCATCTCCGCTTCCTTGGTTTTATACTGGCCCACAAGGTCCTCGAGCACCTTACTTAGTCCATCCGCATTGGTTGTCAGCGCTGGGACGACATCCTTCACCGTCCGCTGCACCAGCACGCCGTTGATGAGCCGGAAGCACTTCCGGTCGTCATCCAACGGCGTGAGGGTTTCGAGAACGAGTCTGATCGGGGAGGCGGGTCAGTTGGAGTCTTGGGCAGTGGAAAGAGAGGCGGTGAAACACCGCTACTTGGGAGATATGTGAAGAAGACAAGAATGACCACGGTAGGGAGGATTTGTGTGCGATAATTCTGAAATGGAGAGGGAAATATGGTAACTGAAAACACGGTGAAGAAAAGAGGATAGGATCACGCATACTTGTGCTCTTCCGTCTCTTGTTCAATGTCCCCGATCTTCTGCGCTATGGTCTGGAGCGTGTTTTTGTAGTTTGAATACTGCGCCTGCAGGTCTGTCGGTCCATCAGCATCGGCATCTTGGATACACGGCTCTGATCTCTCTCCGAGATTCAAGGCTTCCGAAACCTACCTTGCTGCTTCCTCGCCGGTACCTTGTTCTGTGACATGGTTGCAAAATTGATATCTCGCCTGACGTTCCTTGGTTCTCTGGATGGAGGATGGGATCACAAAATACTCATTATGACGGCTGAGATCAAATGGTCCCAGTCGTAACAGTAAGGGTAGAAATGGAAGGATGGACTCGACGTACTCGACCCGTATCAATATGAGTTCTTGGGCTGATCCACTCATGTGAAATGGAGGAGCTGTGGGTTGAGCAGGACCAAATTTTGTTGCCTTAATTCCTGAGGCATCAACTACCCAGTATATTTGTGATCCGATGAATTCAATCAATTCAGCCGAAGTGAACATGGCCATGAATTCATGAAGTTTCTAGTAGTCGGAGATCATTAATATCACTCACCAAAATAAATCAACCCAGGCTTGCCGCTGGATACCACTGCAAAAGGGAATCCAAAGGAAGTCTTGTGCAAAACTGCCATTCAGTGAGAAGACCACTGGCACCCTTCCTCCACCGTCCCCCTAGACGACTAAGAGCCACCGCCGCCCATTCTTGTGGATTTGAGTTTATTAGGGTATTTCCAGAATAGTATTCTCCGTTTCCATGATCCAAGACAACATGCTTCCTTTCTTCCTCTCCTCCACCCCGAGGAGAGCGTAACGTCTAGCTGCCACCACTCCTGGAGTTTGGTACTACCTAATGATATCCTTCACCGGAACCTTTATAGTCACACCGGTCTCCCTTACTTGATTGTGTCACACCGGTCACCAGCCATGTCTTCGGTTGGCACCACTTCTCAATCGTTTCTCTTCAATCGTTTCTCCTTAACCGTTTCTTCTCAATCGTTTCTTCTCGATCGTTTCTCCACTTCCTCTTTCCTTCTCTCAACACTGTCTCTCAACATCGCCTAAACAACGCCTATCTTCTACCATGGCCAGCTTGGAGGGAAAGGTCACCATTTGCGAAACCATTGTCTCTTACGATTTTGGTGACAAGCTGCTTTGTGCAATCGCGCTTAGTACATTCCCATATAGTGGTCCCTTTCACGGGGTCTTTCAGGCGCTTCCACGCAACGACCGCATGGCCGTGTATGGAGATTCGGTGGCCTCGAGCTACCTTTGTCGAAGGTGGGTTGATACTGATCTGCAAAAAGGTACTGTGAGCTTTTGCATAGCTGTTTCCAATGACAACATGCTCATTTTCATAGGTGAATGGGATACAATTCGCCAGGCTGTCCTGGGAAACCGCAATCTTGCGGCTATCGGATTCGCGCATGAACTCCGACCTTGCGTGATGCTCAATCCTGGAACCACAACCCTGTCAGCGAAAACAATGGCTACTACGGTGGAGGCAATCCTTGGTGCCGTCTTCATCGATGGTGGCGATGCTGCCCTGGCGCAGGTGATGGGAACACTCGGCCTAACCCATACTCTCCTTGAAGTTGTAAGTTCACCAAGTACTATCTCACTCATGTCATTGGTGCTATTGTTCAACTCACATGGTCTTTGTCTTGGTCCCTTGATAACCGCGCCCAACATCTCTCTCGCGATCAGAACTGGGGTTTCTCTGTATAATAATTAATTGTTGCATAATTACTCCGTAATGACGTATGTACTACTCTTCTACAGAGCCACCTTGGCGAAGCTATGTTATTATATAATCATAACCCAGGCTAATGCCATAGCGTCGCCGAGGTGGCTTTCGTAGCAAAGAGGGATACAATTATACAGAGAAACCCCAGGTATAGGGCGAGAGAGACGTCGTTCGCGTTTATGAGGTCTCGGACCTCACTCGCCGGAGGACAGTCCATCTCAGAGGTGCTCGGGGAGGCTGCTCCACCGTGCCGGTGACGACACTCATTAAGATCGCTCTATCTGTTCGTATCCAAGCATCCCGAGTGGCTTCTAATGAGAATTTGATAGGAGACATCTACCCCGCCTGCGGGTTCTTAGAAGTAACAATGTGACAGGGTGGAAGTGCGGGTGGAGGTCGCGGTATGAGAAATATATCCATCCCTGTTCGCGCTAAAGTATTGGAATTGAGGTTTGAAAGCAAATTTGCTTCCGAAGCCACGAATCGACAGCTCTTAGACTTTTATTGAAGTTTGTATACATGACATTCCACGAAGTGTAGTCTTCTGGCACACAACAAGCAAGTTAGCCTATCTTAAAGCAATGATTTGCCTATGTTCCTATAGAGACATGGCTCGAGCTCCAAGATGACCACACGTCCACTTCCCGTATTATGAACTTCGAGACGGAGCCGAAGAAGGCGATTTGTGGTTCAATTCATATGAGGGATATAACTGCGTTTTACTCTGGATTTCAGCCATGAATACCTTTGACGACGGGCGCGGTCTTATCATGAAGACGACGATGGCCCGGACTACGAATTTACTTGGTCATCGTGGATTCCCTTTGAACATGCACTCCAATACTACTGGCAATTAATCGAAATAGGAAAATTTGTCGTGAGTCCGGATCCAGACCACGATACTTTCGAAGAGCAACCCAATGCCTCATTTGGATGGTTCGGGCCCGAGCAACTTCACCAAAACCAAATCGAAGGCTTCACTCGAGAGTTCGTCCTGAAGTCTCGTCGCCCACCCATCCGATTCATTGTTCCAGGATCCCTAGCGAACTACGGTCTCACCAGAACTTCCAATTACCAGAACAAGAATTCGTAGGGCTCTTTCTAAGCCCGTGTTATAACGCGCTACCAACACCAAGGCACTGATCTGATGCCGTGTGCTTGTTCTACCGTGCAGGATGGATGGGAAGACTGATAGGCTTTTCAGTCATGATCCTCGTCCCGTCACGATGGACCATTAGAAAATGGATAGAGTTTTTGGATGATGGCTTCTGGATAGTCGTCGACTCGGAAGGAATTGAGGGAGGAATTGAATTTTGGAGACGATTTGAAGATGGGAAAATGAGACGCGTAGGCTGAAGAACACTACTGCGCCATAGGCATTGCGATGCATTAAAGCCTACATGTAGCGTATGATATGATGCTTTCAACTTTCCACTACGCTCTCGCCGATCAAACTGCGCTCCTTTCTATGTATTTAAATAGTGTCGAAGCTGTCGTCGAATAGTTTCGTGATGGAGAAGGATGTCGGAGGCAGTGATGATGCTGCGGATAAGTGTAAGTCTTTTAGATCCTCATTGAACGTCCGGCCGGGTGGATGCAATATGATATCATTTCTGAATTTCATCGAAAAGCTGTACAAATGCGAAGAAAAAAGGACAACTAAGAATCGTAACGCGGCCTGTTGCCGGGAGCAACGCCCAAACATGCATGTGGATTGTGGCAGTGCACATCAGCTTCGATATTATTAGCCTGCTCCGCTCCCCGTTCAATCTGAGCCTATCGCCCCAGCCCAGCTCTTCATTCCAGGCTCGTGAGTTATTTCTTTCGATGAATTACACGACGCTAGGGTTCCTCCCTCGCCTGCAAACGATAGACAGGTTGAACCAGCCTGAGAGACCGATAACATTTTTTTATCAAAACCTATTGGATGTCCCACGATTCGAAACTGCATCTGATCGTGATGAGAATGGATTCTCTTGTGTTACGAGCATATTCTGCGCAAAATGTCGTCCAGTAGCCCTTTTTCCCGTTGCTCCACGCCTTGGTCAACGACGGGTACACGCCCACGAAATCAGATTGGCCACTGCCTGTGCCTTTTTATCGACTTCATCCCGATCTAAACGTTGCAGCGAAGCACCGTTTAGAGAGTCGGTTGAGGGCGAACAAGACTTGAGCGGCAAGCTGGGCTTAAATTTGGATGAACACGACTCAAAATCTATGGATTGGGAATTCTCCTACGTGATGACGCTGCCGTCGTGGCGTGGGATGGGGGTATGAAACGATAGAAAGCGGCTGTTTCACGCTTCCGAAGGGCTTCACGCATTTGCGAGATATGGGCGATTTCGAGGGGTTGCCAAGGGACGTGGCGTTGTGGTTGGGCAGGAAGCAATTGAAAATTTGAAGGTATGATCACCTACATAGGTACACCACAGGATTCATGAGAGATATTGACCCAGCGTTCTTCTGCAGATTAGAGTTTATTGAGGTTGATAATGTACATAGACGTAGTTCGCTATTTCCCCCTTCTCGGAGACCCCATCGTTGCATCTTTTCCTGCAGCGACCTTTCTGGGACGAAGGCTGCACCATCCCCTGACACCCCGCAGGCGGTCGCGGCCGGCCTGGATGGCGCTGGTTTTCGCTGGGTAGAACCCTCTCCGCAAGCACTCTAGAGTTGAGGACCAGGGATGCCAATCCTCCTTTTCCAGTGGGTTAGTCACCCAACGATAGGTTGAACTGTTGGAAGGACACCTACAGGCAGACGGGAGAGCTTTTCCTCAGTCTTGGGACGCACGCCGGAGATTGGACGGTATTGCGGGTTCATTTCGACGATCTGCGTGTAGACGTCCACGATGTCGACTCCGTTCGATGTGATATTCGGACCATCCGCCCGGATCTGCCCCGTCCAGGTCAAGTAGCCAGAAACCGTGTAGTCGGAATCGCCGAGCTGGACGTCGGGCTCGTCGTCAATATCTGGGTATCTGCGCATGTCCACTGCGCGAGACTCCTCAAAGAAGTTGGCCGCAGTGAAGGCTAGGTTTTACAAGGCATATAAAGGAGAGAAAGGCGAACCGGAAGAACCAGTTCATGATGGTTGGCGTTCTTCGAAATACTGGGACTGCAATATGCAACGTTGGATCACCATGTTCAGAGCACCTCAAGACGGGGTTGCTCAAGCTGTACGCGGTGAGAAGTGAAGGGAAATGTGAAGAATATGGAACGAAGAAGGAGAGGTAAAACATGGCGGATATTTAAATATTTTAATCAAGGCCGATCAGAGAAATGATGATGATATTGCCAACGAGGACGAAGTACTGAAGTTTACATTCAGCATCATTGAGTTAACTGGGTATGAGGCGGTGAGAGGCAAACGTAGACTCTGATGACGATGCTTGTGACAACAGACACGCTGATGCAGTGACGATGAACGAACTGGCGGTATGGTTAGTTAATACTGGTAGATCGACCACAGAAGGAAGATATTAAACTCTTGTAGGCAAACGAAATTCACACGCAAGAGGATCGAGGCTCATATGAGCATGGCATGCACTGCAGCTGGTGGAAATGCTCTGCAATGGATTTATAATATCCCTATCCAGTACGGAGTACACGATTCTGTACTAAATCATGAAATATTCCTGCAGCCTTCCTGGTTAACGAGCTTCCATCGTCTAACTTTACCAGTGATATATATCGTGCACTCACTGGAGAGGCTGTAGGCCAGACGTTCTATCTCACTCAGCAGGTATCTCGAGCGACAAGAACACGGAGTGGCTAGGGGGGGATATAAATGGCACGATAGTACGGATTCATGGCAAAAACTTGGCGATGAATATCTTGAAAAGCCACGTCCCATGACGGTGACGTTGAGTCCCTTCTCGCAGATCTGGCTAACCCAAGTATTATATCCCTTTAGTGTAATTGGTTCCGTAGACTATACCTGACGTTGCGGCAATATTCGAAATAACATCCCCTTGATGGCCAACAGGGATTACAGTGCTTAAACTTTTTGGTGATTTTGGATACTCCTCCGAGATATCTAAGTTCCTCGTGAGACCATGTGATATCATATTAAAACTAAGTGGTCAAAGGAGAGTAAGAGGGTCACGCAACAAGCAGTTCATCTTTGCTATTGACTGCAAGACACTTGAGAATTTAAACTTTCGGTATGAACATGACCAAGGTTGTAGAGCAAGGAGATATGAAGTGTCGAAAGTCCTTGAAGGGTGCTAACTCAGGAGATACTCTAATGGTGGACGGAAGGATAGATTGAATGTAGGACATTAAAATGAAAGATACTGAAATGCTGTAGGGACTGGCTTAGATCACTAATTTAAGGAAAAGGAACCCAAGTCGCATCTGTGAAGCATTCGGAGGACACGTCTGAGCAATGAAACAAATATGACTTTCCAGGTGGATGACTATGCATGAGAGTCTGGATATGCGCCATACTGTGACGGATACCGATGCCACATATGCCATTCACCACCTTCAGATTATCTTGGGCATACTGGCTACTCGACTCAGGAAGACAGGGAGTTGTATTCGACATAAAGCACCCTAACGAGGAGATATAGAAACCAGGCTACTAGCCTCGGGATAGAACACAACATGAAGACAACCGATCGAGGCAAGAGTGGGAAAACTGGAAGGACAATGCTGACGCAAGTCCTGGAGAGAGGTAGCTAACCAAGCATATCACAGGTCTACGTCAAGGAGGCATGTTGAGGTGTGGATGCTTCACTGAAGTGCGACATTCCAATTAAGAGCAAGATGAATCTATTCCATGAAGGACTGGCAAAAAGGCCGTGTAGTAGCTAACTATCAGGTACATCAGTTAGCCTTCGGCTGTAGACAATTGTCATTATCAGATGTCACCAATGCCCAAGAGCAATGTTCCTATCAGATATAGCCTATTTCTCCTCAACAGCAACCAGCGTCTTCCCGAGGGAAGATAAATATTGCGGCTGCTTCTGGATTACCAGAGATTGATTTCCTCCCGCAGGTAGTGGGATTGAGATGAAAGTTCAGGACTTACATCGAATAGCCCAAACTATATCAGACAATATGATCCACGCCGGATCCATTACACGATTCGACATTCAGTGAACCTCCAAGGGCTCTCTCACACACACAGGGTGCAGAAACATAGGATATGTCCCTTCTTTCAGGTCGTCACCAGGTCATGGAAGCCGCACAATGGGACCCTCGTGACAACGGTTTTAGAAGAGGGATGAGCGTATTCTCGACACACATACGGAGTTACCGACCAAACCAAGTTCAGATGAACTATCAGCCGGCAAATAATATGAAATGTGGTCTTGTTGTGAAGAGAAAGAAAAGTTTGAGGTTTTGTTGTTTTAAAGCAGAATCCTGGTCGGGCCGGCAGATTGTCGGTTAATAAACGCTCAGACCAAGTGATCAGGCCTCCAGGCGTGAGGCGAGGCTGAGGCACTAATTCAGGCATTAAGGCCATAATGGACTCCGGTGGCTCCTGCTTCTTGTGCGAGAGATCACTTTCCTTGTCACATTCGAAGCTGGTCGATACTGTACGATCTGCATACGACAAGCTTTCAACAACGCAACGAACCACCAACATTCCCCCAACCATATCGAAATCTCTTCTTTCTTCACGTATCCAATTCCTCCCTTATATGGCTTCCTGCCCCGTGAAGTACAGCGTAAACCACCAATCTCCCGAACTGCAACCAACCGCCGCGTTTTCTTCGCCGCCATTTCGTGACATCAACTCCTCTCCCACCGCGACCCCTCGATCAATTGTCATACGGCCATCTCTCGAATCTCTATCCCATCAACTTGGACGCTCGCTTGGAGTGGTCCTCGAGCCTTGTAATCGCAGTCACTAGTCAATGGATAAGGAAAGAGACAACTTATGGACTCGCCGCTCGAAGTAAGGGCCCTCGCCGATGGGAAAATGCGCAATCACGACTAACCATCTCGTTTGTTTCGCAGTTCCAGCAAGCTCTCGCTGAGCACTTCCCACACCGCTGGCCATGATAAGAATGACCCCTTCTCCCGACCCTACAACAAACGATACGACTCCCATGGCCGCTCAAATCCCTTCAACGCCGTCTCTCCTCTCCCCACGAGCTCTATTGCCACTCCAACATCTGCCTCCAACGCATTTGGTTTAGGGTCGGGAGCATTCGCATCCTTTGGGTCGGCCGCGAAGACACCAAAGACACCCGGAACCGCTTTCGACTTCGAGAAAGCGGCAGCATCCGGGGACATGGCCACGGCGCCTGGGGAGAAGAAAGAATCGAGATCCACCTCGAAGCCACCTGGAATGCCCGCAAAACCATCCCGCCCGAGCTCTATCCCTGAAGGAAAAGCCGTTACGTCTAGTGGAGTGCGAGACCCTTCGGTGCCGTGGCCGTTACGGTATACATGGGTAATCTGGTACCGACCCCCCACATCCAAGAACTCCGACTACGAGAAGTCGATAAAGCCCGTCTGCAAAATATCTACCGCGCAAGATTTCTGGAAAGTTTACACACACCTCAAACGGCCGTCGGAACTTCCAACGGTGTCGGACTACCATTTCTTCAAGGAAGGGATCCGACCGGTCTGGGAAGACGAAGAGAACAAGAAAGGCGGCAAGTGGATTCTTCGTTTGAAGAAGGGAGTTGCGGATCGATACTGGGAGGATCTTCTGCTTGCTATAATTGGGAACCAGTTCGCTGAAGCTGGGGAAGAGGTGTGTGGAGCGGTCCTGAGCGTCCGGAGTGGCGAGGATGTTTTCAGTATCTGGACGAAGAACGATGGTGGCAGAAATGTCAAGATTCGGTAACTTGCCCCGTACACCTGAAATTGTTTGTACACACGCTGATGGATGCATAGGGAAACTGTGAAAAGATGCCTTGGGCTTCCGGCAGATACTATCATCATCTGGAAGAGTCACGATGATAGCATTGCACAGCGAAGTGCGATTGATCAAGCACGACATGAGAAATCCAGCCACCACCACGAGAAACGGCGCCCGACCTTGACAAGTGAGGAGAGCACTCCGGCGAAAGACCGTTCGAGTGGTTCATGAACGAATTTCACCGTTTTAATTTTCACTCTTGGACTGCATTGCGACGGTATTTGGTTCACGAGCGCCTTCTGTTGCTGGGGAAAATCTTGCTTTGCTTATTGTATTCCTGGATGCCATCACTCTTGGTTGGATGAACGACTATTGTCGAACGACGATCATGGTTTCCGTCAGGAGCGCTAGGGGTGGTATTGTTTCGGACTTTGCTACCGGCAGCAATGGCTGTATTGTACATTATACATAGTGAATTCGGCTCGAGGGACGGCATGAAAAGCTACTTCCACGTTTACCAACCTAGTCCTCCAGCGAATCTTTGCGGAATGGAAGCTTTTTGGCTGTCTCGCTGTAACAATCTGTAGCAATACACAGGCTCCTTAGCTGGGACCGAGAGGTAATGGTAGTCCAAGATAGTGAATCTAGAAAACGTAGGTATAGATTCCTTTGATATTGATGCGACGCTTGTTTGTCAGACTTTTAACAATAGCACTCTGCTTGCAGACGGACTTATTACGGAGTATTCAAACTGCGTGGGGAAGAGATCAGCGAACAGTGCAAGGATCAGCGCGCCATTCAACTTTCGAACTTCATGATCATATCGATCTCACCTCACACGCCTTATATTTATATGACTTCTTGTCCTAGAACATACAGCAATTTCGCACCCTCCTGTCGCCTTCTACATGACCGCCAATGCCTTACCTAACTTCGATCCCGGGAATCTTGGGAGAAGAACCTGTTGTATAGGTTCGGTGGGTCTGGAACCTGTAGACCTCGATAATGAGGTCGATGGTCTCTGACCTCCTCTCTCCTCCCAACTCGGACGTTCGCATAGCCCAGATTAGCTCCGGAGAGCTTGTAGACAATCCTATCGAGAGCCATTCCCAGCCATCAACAGAAGCTGTGCCGTCTACAGTGACCAACCGAAAGCAAACGGCCTCGAATTCGTCCTCCGCCCCGCGTCACCCGACGGGACATGAAGTGGATGACTTGAGACAAAAGGAATGGTCTCTAATGGTGAATAAATAGCCAATCACTAACATAAGCGAAGGAGGGGTGAAGCTTACATCCCGTAGGAGAATCGACAACGTCGGCGACAAGCGAAGTACGACGAGCGGCGACTCACGGGGGATTACACGTATGCGCGCCTCAAGATACGCCTTGGGGTACAGGTCTGACACTCTGGACTACAGAACTCCAGTTGGTGCTATTCCACTCGGAACCCCGAATCCAACGGCACGGAAACCCAAACCTGGTCAGGTAACTCACCTTCCAATCCACCCAAACGCGCCACATGTTGATTGCTCTAGAACTACGCTCTAAATCCCTCTGTGGACACCTTCGTGCCAACCTCCCACCATATCAAACATCCAACTAGTAACCAGAGAATCTCGGGTCCCAGTTCGCGGACTCCGACCCGAACAAATCGGCCCAACATCGCGAGGACCAGAGTATCGCCGAAACCAGATCATGAACCTCCCCATAAAAGAGCAAGGCATACATTCGAGACCATGCCCAAGAAAAGCAACGTCATCGACTTTACCAACGACGATGACGACGACCGACACGCTATGTCCAGTCCCCTTCCATCGAGAGCGCCGCCGAATCCTAACAGACGGGAATCGAATGGGGTGCTGGATAGCTTTGGATCCAACCAGGAATTTACATCTGTAAATGGGATCCTCCAGGTGGGTCTAGACTATCGTGAAGCGTCAAAAGAGCAAAATCAACAGATGAAGTTGCAACGCCTCAAAGGATCCAAATCAAACTCCCAGGGATCTCTGCGCTCATCCCAATTGGCGGATACCAGGAATGGACATAAAATTGATGGTCCTCCGCAAAAGTTTGACCATGGCTTGCGCGGCTTCGGTTTCAATGTTCCGCCCCTGCCGCCCAACACACGGCGATGGAGCAAGTCCACAGCTAGCCCTCCATCCCGGGGAGGTGAGCCAGGAAGTAGAAGAACCGACCGAATTGACACGTTCGGAAGGGATCATAGAACATCGAATACTCCGGTAGCCGGTGAAGAGCCACGGAGAACACCCAAGGCCAAGCTCAAGGATGGAATGCGCAGTCACTCCGAGCTAGGCGTGGAGCAGCCAAGCGATTCCGACGAACTCTGTGGTTCCGCAACGGTGTCAGACGTAGGAGACTCGAAGGGCCACAAACGGAGCCTGGTGACCGGGAGCACGCCCCTTGCCCAACGTGGTCAGAGCATCAAGACGAATGACGAATCTGATATTCCACAGTCAACGTTCACCTCCAAAGGGAAGCCTGGGGAAAGGGAGTCCGAATTGAAAGAGCGCATTGGCGGCAAAATCAGGAACCGGAACTCGCCCAGACATGCTGGCAGGAAACCCGAGTACTACTCATTAGTCTATTTTCGGTATGGTGCAAAATCTTGGGGAGATCTCGATGGCCTGCGTCTCTTCCGTAAGAATGAATATTCTCCTTCGTACTATATCGGATGCAAACGAAACGGCACGTGGGAACCATTGGTGGACCCTTATTCCAAAACCGACTTCTTGAAGGTAGAGGTCAAGCGGTTCCACAAGGCTTATACTGGCGAGGACCCCTCAAGCGACTTACGGTTGGCTGGATCACTTGATAACCGAACCCGACAGCGGCTTCAGTTCGATATTACATTCGGTGGGCGCAGAGAGCTGGAGAGATTCTTGGTCGCCACGAAGCTCGAAGAAGGTCGAAAAGTGGCAAAGAAATCACCGTAAGTTTACATCATCACCAATATTAAGACTCTGTTCCTAAATAGATCTCGTAGGGATGTCATGCGAAAGATGTTCAATCACGAACCGGCGGAAGAACATATCAGCCGAGACAATATCGATGAATTGGAAGCGAAAGAAGCACGTCGTTCACCCTCTCCGGATTCTGAGCGAGGGCAACTTGGCGGACGCGGGGCACACGAGGAAGAAATCGCTGGACAAGGGAACAGGAAGCTCGCCCATTCATTGAGGAGCAGGCCACGCGAGTCTACGGAGTATTCTCGATACTTTGGTTCCCGGAGAAAATTGACGCCTGATGACATGCCCGACGAGCCCCTTGTAAACGATACTCCTGTGCGACGGAGTACCCGCCGAGCGCCTGCGATACGGTACGAAATTGACGAACCCCCTGCTAAGGTAGCCCCTGGATGGTGGGAGGTTCACGGCCCTCCGAAATGGAGCTCTCCTGTTGTATATCCGGAAACGGGGAAGCGGCGTGCCCAAGTTGCGATTGAAGACTTGCAGCGCTTGGATCCCGAGGAGTTCCTCAACGACAGTCTGATTGACTTCTACATGCTGTACCTCCGCCTTCAGAGCGAAGAGAAGGGATTGCGCGAGCAGTCAATCTATGTCTTCAACGCCTTGTTCTACACCGCCCTGACCAAAGTGTCTCCAGGACAGAGGGGGGTCAATTATTCAGCCGTGCAACGTTGGACGGCGAAAGAGAACCTGTTCAATTACGAGTACGTGGTCATTCCGATCAACGAAAATTCGCATTGGTACCTTGCGATCATTTACAATTTGCCTGCGCTGTTGAAGCAGGCCAGCCCGGAACGGGAGGAACCGGCAGTTCCCATTGTGGATGAAGAGGCACTTGGTAAACGAGGACTGAGCACACGAGTCGCGGTCACTCAACCTCCTACTCTCCATAGAGTTGACTATGTGGATGGTCCAGCTGCGAGTATTGGCAACACCCAGGAAGAGGACTCGTCATATCCTGTGGAACGGGACCAGCCAGGGAGAGAAGAGTCATCGCAGCCGACCACTAAAGTTACCGAGTCTCAAGAGCAAGAGCGACAGCAATCCGGTCCGACGCAACGATCACCAGCCTCGGCTCGGAAATCCAAGAAGAAAGGTCCTCAACCGCGGAAAATGAATCCAGACCACGCGTACATCATACTTCTCGACTCGATGGGGGTGACTTCGCGACCGAAAACCACGAGGAACATCAAAGATTACCTTCATCACGAAGCAGATGCGAAGCTCGGCATTGATCTCGATGACCAGCGTCTACAAGGTATCAATGCCAAACAGCTTCCGCGACAAGACAACTGGTACGATTGCGGCGCCTTTCTCCTGTTCTACTTTAGCCTCTTTATGAAAGAGCCGCGTGCATATGTCACCAAAATCATCACCAACGAAACGGATCTACCTAAGTGGTGGTTCAAGATCGATGCGGATCAGATGCGGAACACCATCCGGGATATTGTCCTGGAAATTGGGGATTTGCAAGAGGCTCGCCGGAAAGAGGTGAAACTGTTGAAGAAAGCCGGGAAAATGTGTTCGCTCAACCAGGATGGAGAGAAAGGTTGCCATGCGGACCAACCTTCCAGTCCCAAGAATCCCCTCCAAGGAGGAGGGGCCACGGATAGGAGTTCACCCCCGAAGGAGCCGCCTCCCCCGTTAGAGCCAGCGCATCATAGTTGTCAGCATCCAAACGAGATACCTACCGCTCATTCAAACAGCGCGCATGATACCCAAAATCTGTCGCTAGATCACGGTCCCCCAATCGAAAAGCACTCTCCTCCTCTCCACCATGCCGCGGACCAGGAATCTCCCGATAAATCGTTTGTCCCCGAGACCTCACCAGAGGAATTAGAGCATGACGACCATCCGGATTTGACCATGCAGCCTCAAATCCCGCGTCTTCCATCTCTCGTGGCTGCAACCTCACCGTCAGCGGGCGTGCATGATCTCTCAACCGGCGAGAATGGCGTACCGGTACGGATCCACGACAGCAGCGAACCCAGGATTCGGAACACGGGGTCTGTCAAGTTGGCGAATGACGCTGTGATCAAAGAGGCCTCGCCCCCACCATTGGCGTCTCCTGGGCTTGCAAATCTGATGGGGACAGATCCACAGGGGCCGGCATCCAATGAGAATCACGACACGGAAATGATGGACTGGTTGGGTATTGGCACTGAGCAGCAGTCCCAAGGTGCGCCTGGTCCGGCTGACGTGCTTGAGCCCATGTCCTTGGACGGTAAAGATGAGGATACTGAGATGGTGGATCAGGACGAGAGTACTGTTGACTTGTTGCCGTATGATGGGTCTATTAATGGTGCTCCAGTAGTATGACGAGTAGCGAGTACCGCTAGTTATGTCCAAATGAAACAGACGGAGAAGTCAGTCGCTTGGATGCTCTGCATTCACAACTTCTCCAATATCACTAATTCAAATTGATACCCTTATGCTCATTGTGCTTTCATGATCAATGATACGCTCAAGCCGCTCGCCCAAATCTCCTTTCAACGTCCTCTATATCCCTGCTTGTCCCAGCATCTTTCAGCATCTCGACTCTCGACCGGATATCCCGCACCAACGCTTTGGCATCCTCCACGTCGACCCCATCCTGACAAAGTTCGTTCGCATACTCCATCGCCTGCTGATATGACCCCCGGTCAAACTCATACCTCGACAACCATTTCCGCGCCTTGCTGGTCGTCTCGGTCACGCCCACACCACCCATCCCAACCGTTTCCGCCCCCTCTCCACCTCCCCCGCCGCCCGGAGATTCCGGACCCTCCTCTTGCGCGAGACACATCTCCATATACGCCGCCGCCTCGGGAATGTCGCTGATCCGCTGATACAGCACCGCGATCTGGAACAGCACCTCCGGGTCCAGCACCCCGCCGCCGAGTTTCCCCGCGCTGCCCTGGCTGTCGCCGACGGAGGCGAAGCTCGCGCCCGCGCCCTCGTAGTAGCTCCCGGCCACCAGCGCCCGCTTGTACGCGCGGATGGCGTTCTCATACTTCCCAGTGCGATGCAGACACGCGCCGATCGCGCCCCACATTTTGGGGTCAAACGGGCGCAAGGCGGCGGCGCGTTGGAAGTAGAAAATGGCGTAGGAATATTGCTCGAGGAACTCGTAGGTCTGGCCGAGGCCGTACCAGGCGCGGTAATCGCGGCGGTTGATCTCCACGGCGCGGCGGTAGGATTCGATGGCAGCGTGCGTGTTTTTCATCTCGACGTATTCGTGGCCCATGAGGGTCCAGGCGCCGGCGAAGGAGCGGTCGAGGGACAGAGCACGGCGGAAGTAGACGACGGACTTCTCGTGGGCGGAGAGCATGCTGTAGTAGTTGCCGACGATGCAGCAGGTCTCGGGGCGGAATTTGTCGGTGGCGGTAGAGAGGTGGGCGAGGAAGGAGAGGAGGGGGCGGTTGGACATGACGTAGAGGATGTTGGAGAAAACGTCGAGGGAGTCGAGGCGGTGGGGGTGGGTGTGGAGGAGGGTGGTGAAGATTTGGGAGGCGGTCTCGAAGTCTTTGGAGTGGTAAAAGAGGAGGGCGCGCTGGGTTTTGAGGAAGGCTGAGGCAGGGAATAGGGAGGAGATTTGGGTGAGTTGTGCGTGGATGGTTTCGGCGGACTGGTAGAGCTCTTGGTTTGCGTAGACGTGGAAGATGAATGTCATGATGTTCTGCGGTAGGTGTTCGAGGATAGCAGTGAGCTACGGATGCAGTGATTAGCTGAATTCGAGCAGTCTCCAACAAACACTTACCTGTTCCACTGTCCCCATTAGACTGGCCAACTCTTGCCATGCACCCCAGTTATAGGGATACAGGTGCACACTTTGGACGAGCCACTTCTTTGCAAGTTCCTCATTCTTTTGTCGGGCCAGTATGATGCCGTATAGGTATTCAAGCCAACCCCCACCGTCCCGACCCTTTTCATGCTGCTCAGTAAACCAGCTTTCCAAAGTGGACGAAAGCCCCGTCAGCTCCTTGTTGACAGTCATACCGCCGTCCTGAGGCCCCAGGATCATTTCGCTTTCTTCATCCTTTCGTTTCTCTCCTGAGAGGTACTTCGCGTAAAGCGCAAGGAACAGTGATCTTCTGCTCATACTCTTGAGTGGTGTCTGAATGGGAGGAACCGTAGGGGTATTAGTCTTGGCCTTGCCTTTCGGGTCCTGTTTCGCACGAGGCGCCTCTGGGCCTGTTGCGATCGGGACCTTAGGAAGTGTGTATGGGAGGAAGAGTGCCGCACAACGATCGAACTCTCGGCAATCGAAGAACGACTTTGCTAGAAGATATTTATTCCGTTCCCGAGCCTCAAGTGTAGCGTCCCATTGAGGTGGAGTCTTAGGAGACTTTAGAGAGGTTGGCTGGACATCTGCCATCGAAGAATCAGGATCTGTCTCCGAGCCGTACTCGCTAGCTGGTAATGAACTTAGCAGTTCAGCCGCCCTGGACCTGATCAGTAATCCGTTGACAGGAAAGAAAAGGAGATACTCTACCATTTCGCTGACTGATAGAGACCTCGCTCCGAGCAAGATACTACAGCATCCTGAAGATGTGCTTGGAGCTGCGCCGCATCCGCCTCTGATAAGCTGGCCATAATAGATCAATTCTATTTAGGACAAGTCGGAAGTCCCCGTACTAGAGCACAAGAAGGCCAGTTTCCTATAAAATGGCTCTATGCAAATTTCGCTTTCCTTGCTCTTTCTATCTCATTGATCTCACGGGTGGACTGGTTGCACGTGGCTTCGTGTCAAGGTCGCGCTCAAGGACATATGGTCACTTGTGAGGTTATGACGCGCTGAAACTACTCAGAAATTGAGCACATGATGATGTAAAGAAGTGTTTACTTGAGAATTTAGACCGAAAACGCGTCGTTGACGCAGAACATGTTTGGTAAACATTTATATGCCATTGTACTCGAGCTTGCACTTTCAGATGTCATATAGTGAGGCCATAAGGCAGCAACGAGGCCCCGCCTCATCAGCCACACATCAGCCACAAATCAAGGGTCTTTCCCATTGATACATGTGGCTTGGCATCTGGACTCCCGCCAGGCGGTCAATATTTCGACATCAGAAAAGCCATGGGAATTTGATACCTGCCATTGAACTTCCAAATTCGCTCAATTCCTATTAACCTCCTCTTAGAATCTGGTAGAGGCCCATTCTTCCAAGATGCCGACCACAAGGACCGAATTCGAGACGGCATTCCAGCCCCTTGTGGAGGACATGCTGCAGCTATGTAGGGACAACAAGCTGCCCGACAATGCGCGCGCCTGGTATGAAAAGGTGCAGATCATACAACTCGTCCTCGACGAGTATCAATGCGTAATAATGAGCCCGTAGGCTAAAGTTATATCCAGAACCTTCTACACAACACCATGGGCGGAAAATACAACCGCGGCATGTCCGTCATCGACACCTCCTCCATCCTCCTCAACAAGTCTATCACACCCGGTACACCGGAATACCTCCGAGCCGGCGCCCTCGGCTGGATGATCGAGCTCCTCCAAGCCTTCTTTCTCGTCTCCGACGACATCATGGACAGCAGCAAGACGCGCCGGGGTTCACCCTGTTGGTACCTCATGCCCACCGTCGGCATGATCGCCATCAATGATGCCTTCATGCTCGAGGGCACCATCTACATGCTGCTGAAGAAGCATTTCCGGCAGGAGAAGTGCTACACGGACCTGCTGGAGCTGTTCCACGAGGTCACCTTCCAGACGGAGCTCGGCCAGCAATGCGACCTGCTCACCGCGCCCGAGGACCACGTCGACCTGGACAACTTCTCCCTGGACAAGTACTTCTTCATCGTGCGGTACAAGACGGCGTTCTACAGCTTCTACCTCCCTGTGGCGCTGGCGCTGCATTACTGCGGCGTCGCCACCGAGAAAAATCTGCAGCAGGCGAACGACATCCTCATCCCCATGGGGGAGTACTTCCAGGTGCAGGACGACTACCTCGACGCGTTCGCCGATCCGGAGGTGCTGGGGAAGATCGGCACCGACATCCAGGATAACAAGTGCTCGTGGCTGGTCAACCAGGCGCTGAAGCGCGCGACCCCCGAGCAACGGCAGGTGCTGGATCAGAACTACGGACGGAAAGACGCGGTCAAGGAGAAGGCGGTTAGGAAAATATACGCCGACCTGAAGCTCGAGGCGGTGTACCATGCGTACGAAGAGGAGACGGTGTCGATGCTCCGGAAGCGGATCGCGGACGTGGACGAGAGCGAGGGGCTGAAGAAGGAGGTGTTCGAGGCCTTCCTGGGGAAGATTTACAAGCGGACCAAGTAGGGTCCTCTGGTATGAGGTACGCTATATTTATCCTTGTTGCATGGCTATAGACCTTTGCAACAAAACACTATCCGGTAGATTACCCTAAGGGGACAAAAGGTTCTAGCACCTGAAATACATCCTTAGTCGTCATCGCGACATCCTCTCATTGTGCTCTCCCACACTGTAGGTGCATGTACATAACAAGTGGTATCCCTTCCAAAATGTAGCATCAATCATCGCTGACCGACAAAACCAATCATCAAATCAGCACCGTACGCCAATTCCATCTTCGTTTACACCCCGCTCCGGTAGACTTGACTCCCCCCATGCCTCAGTTGGACCGTCTCCCTTCTCTGGAGCACGACCAATGCGCGATTCAACGACTGCTCCGTGTACCCCCTCCCCTCCACAAACTCCCTCCGCAACGTCGCCAGACTCGTGCTCCACCCAATCGGCAACCGTCTCCGCAGTTCATCCTCTACCTTCCCGACCTCGTCCATCATCTCCTTCGACGCATGGCCCTCGCCTTGCGCCACGGCGTCCATGGTGCTGGCCAGGAAGAGGCGGATGGCTTCGTCGACGTGCGCTTCAGTGGCGATGGGGGAGAGGCGTAGTTTGGCGAGGGATTCGCTGATGCGGACGATGGCTTCCAGTTGGCGGACGGTGATGGGAATGGAGGAGCGGGCGTTGGCGGTGAGCTCAGCGGCGTGGACTTGCCGGCGGATGGAGACGAAGTGAGAGGAGAGCTTCTCGGCGGCTTCGGCAGAGAGGCGCGGTGCACATTTCCTAAAATGAGGGTTAGTGAGAGGGTTTCGAAGGCTTGGGTCCAACGTACTGTTTGCAGTAGCTGATATACCGCTTCATCTTATCGACCGGGATTTCGGCCTGGACTTGCTCTTCCACGCCTCGACCACCCATATGAATACCCATGACGTGCTTCGCGATCCGCTCGTCACGGCCCCGTTCGTGCTCATCCCGTACAATGAAGATCATATCGAATCGCGACAGGATGGTCGTCTGGAAGTCGATGTTCTCCCCGGGCGTCTTCATATCATCATACCGGCCGAAGATGGGATTCGCAGCCGCCAGCACACTGGTCCTCGCGTTCAAAATGGTGGTGATGCCGGCTTTGGCGATGGAGATGGTCTGCTGCTCCATCGCTTCGTGGATGGCCACGCGGTCTTCATCGCGCATCTTGTCGAATTCGTCGATGCAAACGACACCACCGTCGGCGAGAACCATGGCTCCTCCTTCCAGATAGAACTCCCTGGTGGTACTGTCTCTCTGCACGGACGCCGTAAGACCAGCGGCGGACGAGCCTTTGCCGGAGGTGTAGATTGCAATCGGGGCAACCTTCTCGACGAACTTCAGAAGCTGAGACTTCGCGGTACCAGGGTCACCGAGTAGAAGCACATTGATGTCTCCACGAAGTCTCATGCCGTCCGGAAGAATCTTCTTGGATCCTCCCATCAGTAAGCAGGCAATGGCTTTCTTGATGTCGCTGTTGCCGTAGATCGACGGAGCAATGCAGTTTGCGAAGACTTCATATAGGTCTGGCCGCCGGCTCATTTCTAGAAACTCCTGCTCTTCCTCCTCGGTGTAACTGACGTTTCCTTTCATCGTGTGGTCGACATCGGTCTGGATGCCCACTGCTCGTATGTAAGGATTCCGAATGGCAACAGCACCTGATGTAGAGCTCTTCGATCCCTTCGATTGGTATATGGAGAAGACACCCATGACAGTGCATCTTGACCCAGGAACAACTCTATTGGTCAAGTATCGGTCCGCCGAGATTAAGATGTGTCGCGGAAGTTCTCCGACCGGGACCTGATCCGGTGCTTCTTGTAGCTTCAGAACTTGCTGGTCGATAAACTGGCATTTCTCGTGCACCACGAAGTAGGGGTCCATGGAGCATCGGTCCGACTTATCACCTTCGATCCTTTCTCTAAGGCAGACTCGAGGTAAGTTCGTGGACGAGAACCCGCTGTTGACCGCGACGTTGGACGTGTGTTGGCAGTCTCGGCATTGGATGCTTAGTCTCGTGGATTTCGAGGACAACGTCGATGCACCGATGATGATGCCAGGGATTCGAACTAGTCGTGAAACGTTGTCGGCGTTGAGATCGCGGATGGAAATCTGGGAGGCGCTCGAGTGGAGAAGCAGCTGGTGTTCGGGAAGTTGGATATCTCGCTGGGAGGGGTATACGATTCGTTGAGTGCAGTGTTTAAGGGCGGCCTCGAACTGATGCCGCATTAGCGAAGCTCCGAAAGATTGTAAAAGCGAGACGATCTCACTCACGATTGGGATAATCTCTGCCGGCTCGGCATTCATGCGATGTGCCAACTCCTCATTGTAGGAGATGAGATGAGCGATGTCAATGTTGCAGTAGTATTGCTTGACGAGGACATTCTCCCGGATCTGATCTCTGCGTCACAGTCAGTGCGAGTGCTTGGGTCTTCGTATGTGCGCGCTAACCTGTAGATGAAGATATTGTCGATATGGAAGTCGAGGACGAAGTCTACCAGCTGCTGCTGGACGTTGGACCGTCTGCGGCTATCGTCATCCCCAAATTCGGCAGGGAGCACAGAAAGGGTATAGACTGATTGACGATCCATAGTTATTAATGGCGAACCGAGTGCCTTGTTCAGTAGAGGCTATAGTATCGGAATGGATTTCGTGTATATCTGTAGAGGAGTAGGAGGGGCTTGGGAACAAGACTTTGCTGGACAGGGGGGAAGGCGCGTCTGGTCGCGTTGCTGCTACGACGCGTTAATGGGACCCGCTTTTCCTTCTAAAGGAGTCTCCAGTCACATGTTCATCTACTCCAACTTCACACCTTCACTAGGCACTCCTCAACCTTCCTACAAATACTTATCAATGGTCCTTGTCAGAGATTCTCAAGCTGTGGAATAATCTCTTTACAAGTATGCCAAAGTAGCGCTCCAATCCCTGGGTTATCCTGGTCGACCGCTGAAGGGAATCCTATCATACAAGATACGCCCGTTTTTTTAGCACGCTTTGACACTGCCGAGTCTTAACCCGTTGACTGTACGCCGTACGGTAACCAGAGGTTTTTCCCACTAATGGGGTTGAGACAACTGATAGTCCATCTGATACGCCCTCACCGCCTCCTCTGCATCATCATCCTTTGACGTCTGTATGAACTCTCGATATGCCTGAATCCACTCCATCTCCTTCTCCATCTCATCCTTCTCGTCCGGATCCCCGCCAAACGCGTCCGCCTCCAGCACCGGGATGATGCTCGGATCCATCACGCTGTACATATCCTCCGGCTCGAGATCCTCTCCGTAGAGGCTGCGGCTCTTCCGCACGCTCGGATGCCGGCTGAAGAACCCCTGCTTCATCTCTACCTCTGCCGCCCAGTCCTTCGCGCGCGCCAACGCCTCTTGCGACTCGATGGTGGTAGGGATCATGTGTTTATAGATGGCCTCCAGCCACGTGTCCGGGTCGATGTCGCGGTTGACGAGCTCGCGTGTGATGAGCTCGTCCGGCCGACGAAGATACTTGAAGCCGTTGCCCCATCCCTCGATGCAACCCTTTCCGAGTTCCCTGGACTGCAGGCCGAAGATATTCTGGCCGTGGTAGCGCGGCTTGGGGCGGAGGGCGAGGCGCGCCCATTCGCGGATGGTGTCGGCGTGATTGCGGCAGTATTTGTTGGTCGCGAAGTCGTAGGTGCGGCGCATCGTGCGTTGACCCATCAGGATCTTCCGGATGGTGACGCCCTTTTTGAAGACGAAGGTGCGCGAGGCTTCGTCGAGCTTGAAAAAAAAACACTCGGCGAGCTTGAGGTCCTCGTCCGTGAACAGGTTGCGGTTAGCGATCATCTCGGCTCGCGTTTCGGTGTTATCGACTTCAAGCAGGAACCAGATCTTCTGCATGGCTGCCTTGCATGCCTCAGGAAAGCAGAGCTCTCCCAGCTCCTTGTAGATATTAACGACCAAGGTTTGCCTTCGGCTGATCTTCTGAAGCCACGTCACAAAGAACTTCGAAGTATGCTTGCTAACGTGAAAGTCCTCCGGCTGCTTCAGCGACCCCGGCCCCCGATACGGCATCTCAAACGGCGTCTTCGCAATCATGAACAGCGGATGCCCATCGTAGAAACTCAGCAGCGGCACTGCCCCCGGCACCCACACTTTCGCGTACGCGAACAGCAGCTGGTTCACGTACGCGCAGCAGAACCGCTGGAACTTCTTGCTGATTGTGAACAGCTTGAGCATCTCCGCCGGTGGCACCCACAGCAGCGCCTCGAACGCCAGATCGAAGTTGTCCAGCAGCGTCTCGAGGAGCGGGAATTTTAGTTTTGGGGGGGGGCCCCTGCCGCGGCCGAGGAGGTCGGCCCATTCTTCGTTCCAGCGGTCGACGGTCGCGGGGCCGACGCGGTCGGTGAAGGTGTCGATTTCGGTGTTGATGGCGGATAGGTTGATCGCTGCGGTGCGGCGAGTTTTGACAGGGCGGGAGCGCAGCATGGTTGGATGCGATGAGGACAGAAATAAGGGCTGGGTGATGTGAAGACTGATTCTGATGGGCAGCTGAGGTGGGATGAGTCGAGTGTGCGTTGAAGAAGAGAAGGGAGAAGTTGAAGCTTGATAGATGAGATGGGGAGTGACTTGTGGAAGGAAAATGTTGGGGATGAGTGAATGATTTGTGTGATTCGTGCTGAATCAATCCTTCACATTTCATCGGGTATGGAGTTTGTTTGTTGACGGCATCACTCTGGGGGCGAACCCTTCATAGCTTCATATGCTAAGGTCCGGTGATTTCTCAATCAATCTGATCTCGAAGCGCCTGTTTGTCCGTCGAAAGCTAGGTGTCAGTGATCGTGGACAGGTGAATACGAAAACATTGCTCGTTACAGAAGAATTCTCCCTTTTATTAAGTGTTCGAAGTTAATTCTTATACAGTGATTTGCCTGTTGAAAGGCTGTAAAGTCAGCAATATCAACCTACAGTACAAGCGGTCGAGCTGGATGCAGAATTCCCCTTCTGGTTCTGTCCACTATAAGCTTATCTGCCCCCCTCTTTCGAGAGGTGATGATCAACCAAACGCCGTCACGTAATGTTTTCAAACAGCCAACGCAATCGCAGAGTGCATCTACTATCTTCGGTTGAGGAGGTTCAAAAACTCCTCCCTCGTCTTCGCCGTCGACCGCATCCTGCCAAGCATGCAGCTGGTTGTCGTGGTCGACCCGGTCTTCTGCACTCCACGCATTTCGATGCACAGGTGACTCGACTCCATTACCACGGCCACCCCCAGGGGCTGAAGGATTTCCGACAGGGCGAGCGCAACCTGTTTGGTTAGCCGCTCTTGGACCTGAAGCCGTCGCGAAAACATCTCGGCGATACGTGCGATCTTCGAGAGGCCGATGACTCGGCGATTGGGGATGTACCCGATATGCATCTGGGCACTGTCAGCACCGATGCATTGCCGTCGGCAGGTTCAAGCTTACCTTTCCTGTAAAGGGGACCAGGTGGTGCTCGCAAAGCGAGAAGACCTGGATGTCCTTGACGATGACCAGCTCGTCGTGGTCTTCCTGAAACACCGCCCCGTTGACGATGTCCCGAAGGTTCTCCTCGTAGCCCTTCGTGAAGAACATCATGGCCTCCGCATACCGCATGGGCGTCTTGTGGAGCCCCTCGCGCTCCGGGTCTTCGCCGATGCACTCCAGAATCGTCCGCACGGCCCCAGAGAGCTTCTGCATCCGCTCGACATCCTCCTCTGGACTGGCCTCAAGACGATTTCGGGTCCCGATGCCTGATTGAAAAATTCCGTTAGCCTGCGAGGGGCAATGCTATCGAAGATCGGCACTTACTGGGCCAGCTGAGACCATCGAAGTCGATTGTTGGATGCTGAGTAAACGGGCTCTCCGGACGGCTCGCCACCTGTGTCGGAAGCACTGGCTCATCCCTCGCGTCTCTGGCAGGCTCATTGAATTCCACGGCGTGTCGCGTCGTGCTCGAATTTTTAATCGCCGCAAATAGATTTTCCCGTTCTTTTACGTCGCGGGCGTCGAGCGGAGAGGAGGGGTTCAAGGAGGAATGGCCATTGAGGAAGCGAGGATTGACGCCCGACTTTGGTTTCGGACCTGGCGGAGGATGCTCCATCGGTTCTCTCAAAAGTAAGTTGGACTGCTCTGGATCGAAAGACTTTGCTGGGACTATGAAGACGATGTCCAACAAAGTATGGAGGAGCAGTCAGAGAGGAGTGCAGGGATCAGGGAGATGTCGGGATTCTGCGATCAAAGAATTCAAGATGGAGCTCACAGGCTCGAAAGTCGGAGTGCTGACATTGTATATGAGGGATAGGAACTAAGGGTCATCTCAAATCTCAATCGCCGACTGCATGCTGTATGATCCCCAGATTTATAATTTTCGACCCCCGTGGCAATTCAGTCGTCCAGAGGAACGAAGGCGAGCAAAAACGGCCGGCGCCTTCCCTAAAAGAACGAAGGCCGATGTTGCAAGATCCGATCGGAGTTTGCCGGAGTCGGAGCCGCATGCACGTGATATTTCATATTATAGACATTATCACGTGACTAGAGTTTCCGTGTCCCCTGCCGTGCCTGCCTTCACTTAGGCTTTGGCTTCCACCACCCACCCGCCAGTCCACCGCCTCCACAAGGAAACACATCGCTTCTGCACTCGGACTTCGATCCTCCATCATCCATTACCTATTGCTCCCATCTGCGACTTCATCCTCCACATCCGTCCACATCCAACATCTGTAGGTATGTCTCAAAAGCCATCGGGGGAATTCTCCATCATGGCCACCATCTCACTCGGAGGGAACGGGGTCGTCGCTGCTGCGACGGTGGTCGACCCCCCGAGCTACCGGGAATTTGGATGTGAAACACTTGCAGCAAGCGACACATGAAGTGACAACGGCGGACGCGGTCTATCATGCACCGAGTTATTATATTGCATGCACCTGGAGTCGACGCTTTCGGCATCTCTAATCTCATCGCCATGCCCTCCACGAGGGGTAACCGGCCTGGTTGTCACCGGTATCTGACAGCAGCATCACCACGTTATCGATGCCTCTCCATCTCTAGCCCTAGCCGCCTAAACAGACCCGATCACATTCACACGTTACCTGCTGAGCGACCCTCGACCGAAATCCACGACGATGGTTATCACAGGGCCTTAACTGCCTGGATAGCTTGAAGGTGTCGGGAAGTCATGTCGTGTACCGGAAATCCATAGAACGGCACGTGTACACGACGATGCCGCATGCTTCGACGGGGGACTTAGAATGGGCTTTTCTCATGTTTCCAGCATTCATACATCCACCCCTTCGCCAGACGGGTCGAAATCTGGCTCGGAACGCACGTCATTGGGAACTTGACTCCGTCCATCTACCATTTCTCACCCACATTGAATAATCCAGCGTCCCTCCTCTCCAACGGATCGTTTTCGAAAGGGCTCATTCTACGCACATACCCGCATATGGGCAACCGGTTCGGTGTGAACCAGCGAGGAGGTGACGTACTCGCCGTCGTGGCCATCGCGTTGATTCCCTTCAAATCGGCAAATATGCTGTCGAAGACGATTCAATTTTGGGAATGCATCACTTTCCTCATGATTCCCATTCCTCCGTGTGATAGCGCACGACGGGATGTGGGCAAAACCGGTCACCTCGTGTCGCTATCTGGGGAAGTCCTTGCTCAAAGCATGACCGGTTTGTGGCCTGGGGCGGAGTTGGGGATGCGATGCAGGTTGGATTGGCTGGGTGCTGGCCTGCTGGGGCATGGTCAGGTGTCTGGCGCCTGGCCTGGAAAGCTGTGGCTTTGAGGGGATTTGGCACCTGTCCAGAGCAGACCGAGACGCTGCGCGAGTTCTCGACAGGAGGAGGACATGCTCTGCATTTTGGTTAGATAGAGAGATTCTATGCGTGATTCGTAACATCGTCGGCAGCAACGTCGGCAGCACATACGGTATGGTATGGAATGGGGCTGCAGAAGGTCGGGATGAAGCAGTGAACAATGGACAGCCCAGCAGCGAGAGCTTCTGGTTCACCCAGTGGAATCACGGAATCGCGGGGCACGTGCCACGAGAGGCGAATTCGGCTTTTCCTTAACGTTTTCCTCTCTGGCTTCGGTTCTAAAGTGCTGAACGATTTTGGAACCATCGCAAGTTGCAACAGACACTGAGCGCAGCATGGGAGATAGAGTCCAGGGCACCCACTAGTACTCCGTACTGTCCTGCACCGCTGAGCTTTGCCTACTTGGCACGGAATTCTGCTCAAGAGGAGGAACTCTCTGCTTGAACAGGCAATCTATCATTATTGACCATTGGTGCCAGAAGTCGAAGCACGCAGCAGGCTTATTATTGCGGCAGACTATTGTCGATTGACACTGCGGAGGGTTAAAGTCACTTGAAAGTGTCCTGTTGTCTGGTGGTTGGAGATTTGGCGGTACACTCCCCAGTCCCCAGGGCCAAGTCCCAAGTGGACGCTAACTCCCGTCTGTCACTGGTTCGGTCACTCAGTGGTCGTCACTCTCTGGTCGAGGAGCCGCATCTTCCCCGGCTGCATCCCCATTCTCTGTTTTTCCCCTTCCTACTGCCCTATCTACACTCTACACTCTTCGTCGCGTCCTTCAAAGACCGATTTACACTTCGATCACGAGAGTAGTACGTTGCAGAAATATCCCGAGCCTCGACTTTGCCGTCGACTCGGCCCGGTTGGTAGGTTGCAGCCTTTCGCTGGGTTTTCTCGTGTCCTTGCAGCGCTCGGATTTTCTTACACCTTTTCCTCGCCTGGATCCAATCTTCCCGTCCTCTTGCTTGACACATACCTACATGCATCACCTTCCCACTGCATGTCTTGACTGCCTACATGGCTGGGTCGCGACGTCCCACGAGTGCCATAGACCAGTACAGACCTGAAGAATCCTCTCGGAATTCGACCCGGAATTCTGCCCGGCATAAGGGAGGGAGTAAAGTGAACCGCAATCCTCCCCGAGGGCGGGGGCGCTCACCGGCTGCTGGGACGTATGGTCGGAGAGAGGGCCTGGATCAAGATTTGTTTCCCCCATCGCGCGATCTCTTTGACGACCCGAAACCATCATCACACACGGGTTCCAAGGCACGTTCACGTTCTCGTGGTCGCGTCAGATCTCGGACCCGCAGCAGGGAAAGGCATCACACCAAACGGAGGTCCCGTTCCCCATCAAATCACGACACGCGAGAGGATTATTACCGACCATCCAAGCGCGATCCGACTCCGGAGAGGCCATCGAAATCTCACAGGAATCGAGAATCGTCCTTATCGTCGAAGCGGAAGCGCAGTCCCAGCTTGGGCAGGGTTGCTGGGGAGAAAGGAAGTCGAAGGCATAGTCCGAAGAGCGACTTATCCTTTTCACGATCTCAAGGAGACTTAACACGGCCTTCAGATCGTGCATATTCACCAAAAATCGATCGAGCGGTGGTTAGGCAACGGTCGCCCGATTCTTACGTTCCTTCGGTTCGGCCGCGATCCCGGTCACCTGCTTCCCCTTCGTACCGCCTAACAGCTTCAACCACCAAAACTCGCCTTCGCTCTCGATCACCTGAAAATCGACCTTCATCCATCCGCGCCGTCGATTCGAGGCGTTCATCACCCACGAGACGCTCCCATCACCGGGACTCCATATCAGAAGGCAAGGGGCAGAGCACACATCGACACCGTGAGTGGGAATCATCGGAGCTCAAATCACGACACCGGGAAAAGGACAAATTCAAGTATCGAGAGCACCCGAGCCGCAAAGACTCTCGTCGCCCTTCTCCGCGTGGCTCGCGGCGTGACAGGTCGCCAGCACCATTATTAAGCTCCACCCGTCGAGAGGTTTCGCCAAGACCTAGGCGAAGAGATCCCGAGCTGTCCAGGTCCCCATCACCTGCCCGCAACTATTCCACCCACCCATCCAAACCTCGCCGACACTCACACGCACGTTCGCGCTCGCGGCATCGCCACCGAAAAGCTCGCACCCCCTCCCCCGGCCACCGCGGTCAGCAGAGCCACAAAGCTCGAAAGGACCCTCGAGACCGATCCCGCACCCCTCGACGCGAGCGAGATTCTCGTTCTCGACACCACGAATCGCCTCGCTCTCGGCGGAAGACTAAAGAGTATCCCGCGCGGGAGGACGACGACGAGATGGATCCGCGATATATGCGAGGAGGCCGTCCGCCGCGGCCCAATATCAACACCAACTACGGACATTCGCCGCATTATCCGCCGAATCAGATCTCGCCTCATAGCCAGTCGCCGGCCTATAGTAATCGTGGCGGATGGGGAGGCAGTCCGTACGGGAGTCACCAAGGGTAAGTTTATCATTTCATTTTGTCACGCACTTCAACTTTCCGGTGGTGCATGTATGAGTTGCAGATGCTGTATGGATGCTTTCCATCATAGCTCACCCAACCACATGCTCTCACCTTGTTTTTGCATACTCACTGCACCTTCATGATTTTCTCTTCCGTTACCACCGTATGTCCGAGTGAGAGTCCCGAATGCTGACAACACAACAGAACGCCGGTGCACCAAGGCTATTCGTCCCAAGCACAGTCTCCGTACCAACAATACTCCCCCCATGGACAACCTCAAAACCAATACTTCCAGCAACGTCCGTCCTATGATTCTGCATCTCCTCCAAACGGCCAATACCAACAAAGCTACCGCGGCGGACGCGGCGGCTTTCGAGGGAACCACTTCAACAGCTCGGCACAACCGTCACCAAATAATGCTGCAAACAACACGCAGACGTTTGGAGGCGCACAGCCTTCACGAGGTCGCGGTGGTGCCGTTGCTGGACACTTCAGCAACCTCTCCTGGACACCCGCAACCGGGAGCCGCGGTGGACGGGCACCTATCGACAAAGATCGGAGCGTTTTCGTAACGCAGGCCACGGGATCCCAATCGGACGCGGGTGCCAGCCAGAACGACGGCAACGGACCGGATGGCGACGACGATGACAACCCGTTCAGACCTTCCAAAGATCTCCGCGTAGAGGACGAAGGCGGAAAAGAAGAGGAGAAACAGGAACACACGGAGAAAGAGTCGACACCAAAAGGTTCCTCGCAGCCACCTGCATCGGATTCCCAGACGCAGTCTTCCGGCCCAAAGATCAGTTTCGCACTGAAGTCGAAGGCGGCCCAGCCGGTTAGTGAGAAACCAAAGCCTGATTTGACTCAACGCGTTAAAGCCATGCAACCTCCTTTGATGCGCACCTCGAATAGCATGCGATTTAACCATGGACAGCCGCAGCCCCGACAGGAGTCCCGATTGGAGAGTCGCCTTGGCGGACCGGATCGTAAATCGGAGTTCAGACCGGACTACCGCTCCGACCATCGCCACGACCATCGCCACGACCATCGATCCGACCACCGCGATCGACACGACTCGCGAGGTGATTATCGGTCGGACCATCGTGGAGACTACCGAGATTCCAGAGACTCGAGGCGTGACGGGAGAGACTACCGTGATAGTCGAGATCACCGTGATGCACGAGGACCGCGGGAACACCGCGATCCTCGCGATGCCCGCCACCCGCGAGATCGTCGTCCCGAACCGCGCTTTGAGAAAAGGCCGAAGCCGCCCCCGAAAGCTATATTCAGAATCGTCAAGAAAGCCAAGCCTCGACCATCCGTCAAGCCGGAATTCCAGGGTCCTGGATCCATCTACTACCGAAAGCCTGGTAATGAATCGGTTGTGGGCTCCGGAACGTATGGCAAGGTGTTTAAGGCGGACCATATCTATACCAACAATATGGTGGCCCTCAAGCGAATCAGAGTGGAGAACGAAAAAGACGGCGTAAGTGCTGTGGTTCCGCTTCTTCAGTGCAAAACTAACTTTCTGCAGTTCCCGGTGACCGCTATTCGCGAGGTCAAGCTCCTGGAGCACCTGAGACACGACAATGTCGTCCAATTGCTTGAGGTCATGGTCGAAGACAACCATTGTTATATGGTATTCGAATACCTCAGCCATGACTTAACTGGACTTCTAAACCATCCGAGCTACAAGCTTGATGAGGCTCAAAAGAAGGATCTGGCGAAGCAGATGTTTGAAGGCCTCGACTATCTCCATCATCGAGGCGTCCTTCACCGCGACATCAAAGCTGCCAACATCCTCGTCTCCAATAGTGGGCAGCTCAAGATTGCTGACTTCGGGCTTGCGAGATTCTATTCGAAGGTCCGCCGTCTGGACTACACCAACCGCGTCATCACGATCTGGTATCGGAGCCCCGAACTGCTCTTCGGCGAGACCCAGTACGGCCCAGCCGTCGACATCTGGTCGGCGGCATGCGTCCTCGTCGAGATCTTCACGAACTACGCCATCTTCCCCGGTGACGGCACCGAGCTGAACCAGCTCCAGAAGATCTACGACGTCCTCGGCGCCCCCACCCTCGAGCAATGGCCGGGCATGCGCGACACCGCGTGGTACGAGCTCCTCATCAACGCCTGCAAGCCCCGCGCGTCGACCTTCGAGTCCAAATACCGCGACAAACTCACTCCCGCCGCCTACGAGCTCCTCACCAGCATGCTCGACTACGACCCGGCCAACCGCCCCACCGCCAACGACGTCCTCGAGCACCCCTACTTCACCGTTGAGCAGCCGGCCGCCTCCCGCGCCGTCGAACTGGCCAACATCCAGGGTGACTGGCACGAGTTCGAGTCGAAGGCGCTGCGCAAGGAGCGCGAGCAGAAGAAGAAGGAGAAGGATCGGCACGAGCGCGAGCGCGAGCGGCATCGGCAGAAGGAGCTGAAGCGGAGGGTCGACGACGGGGATGCGCACGACAAGGGCGGCGAACATGATCGGAAGCGGATAAGGAGCGAGCAGGAGAAGGACGCGGAGAGGGATCCGTCGGGCGGGCTCCCCAGTCCGCGGATCGAGGACCGTAAAGGGGACCTGATGGAGGTGGATCCGGTGTGAGCGGTCGTCATCTGCACCCCTCTACCGGACATTTGTATGCAATGCGAAGATCTTCTCTCCAGCGCGCACAGCGCATTGATTTCGACGGTGGTTTTCGGTTGATTGTCGGCACACGGTATTACCAGATCTTAGACGACTCGCTTGGGTTGGCGAGAACGCAAAAGTTGAATGGGGCCGGGCGGGGCTCGATGCATTAGATATCCCGTTTAGTTTCCCGGCCGACGCAGTTGCGTGGCGCCGGTTGTACAGTATGGAAAAGGAACATTCAAATTAGGCTCCTTGGCGCGTGAGAGGGTGTGAACCGGCTCCAGAGCGTGTTTCGTCCAGATATCGATAAGTTCTAGCACCCGAACGGAGCGCAGACCGTTCGTCCACCCCGACAATCATGTCGTCCAACAAACACCTCCAAACTCACCCACGACCATCCTAATAGTCCCTCTTGAGCACTCCGTCCGTTTCCCATTGAATCATCTCCCCTAGTGACCCGTCCAACTTCCCTTGTGCAGTCTCTCGCCTCCGCTCCTCCTATCCGTTCTTCTCTGGGACGATACCGATCGCCAACCTCGGCGGCCCTAACACGTCCATGCGGAGGCCGAGAAGTTCACCGTGTTGACGGAGGGAGCGCGAGAGGGGCGGGGATCGATCATGTGGTCTACACAGGAGGCGATCGGCTAGCTCTCGGGAAATTGGAAGAGGTGACGTCGGAGAACGTTGGAGAACGTCGTGAAGGCGGGAAGCATACGGTTCTATATACCGTTCTTGTTCGAGAGGTATATCCGCCCACACTTGAATAAGGGCGCCGTGTTGGCCATCACCATTGCTACGGGCATGGTTCGTAGAAGCTGATGCCGGGTCGGATGGCGACTGGCGCGTTCGCTACCGGACTGACTAGCATGGTGAGGTGGTTGGCGCTGGATTTTTGCACCGGTCAGGGCGAATTCAGTGGCACTGGTGGTTGATGCGGCTTGCAGAACTTCATGGGCGAAGAAGCGAAGGTAGGGTTGAAGGCGTTTGGGCAGACGTTGCCGACGAAACGTCTGGGCGAGGTCGAGGATGTGGTGGAGGCGTATTATACTTGATGTAATCAGAAAAGGACTGGATTGATGGTTAGCACGAGCGGTCGGGGGTTGCTTGTTTGATCGAGATGTGGCAAGAGACAGAGTTGAACAACTTACCATCTATGCCACCCGGAATATTTACTTACTTGTAATAAACGTCGTAGACACTCGGCCGACCTTACTCCTATTGCATCTTGCGGCGTAGACCATCTAGTCGAGAAAAAGAACCCGGAGACCATCCAGTTCATGTGAGCTCGAATACTTCCTTCATAACAGGAAATCGCTCCCTATCCATCGCCTCCCCATCCATAAGTCCATGCACATACGCTTCCCCAACGAAACTGTGGGTACCATCCCCGTTCGGACGGATAATATACAGCAACTGACCACCAAGGAACAAACAGACCCTATCTCCAACTTCGCATATTGCCGGGCCAAGGGACATAAATCCCTTCTTCGTATAGAACATTCTTCGGCCGTAAGTAGCGCACTGCAGAGCCGTTTGAGCGCTGTAACTCGTCGAGACCCATGACGTTGATGGGAACGCATAACCTCGTTTGTTGATCTTGAATGCACCACGATCCACATCCGCAACGACGCATCGGAGCCACGCTGAATCAAGATCGCCTCCGCTGACGTATTTCTTGCGCTCATTTTTGGGCCGCCAAGATAACAACAGAGTATTGTTTTCTCCTGCGTCTCCTCGTTCACAGGACACTAGCACTTTAGCAACTGTGTCGATGCAGAATCCTGTGACGCGTAGAACAGTGCCGTCAATTCGGGCCTGCTCAGCAGAATCACCACTGGCGGCATAGACTGGCTTGATTGTTCCTCTATCATTGATCGATTTGCCGAACGGATGGCCACTGTTCACTGACCAAGTCGGCACCCAGCTGGGACGATATGGTTTCCCTGACTCTTGCCGATTCTTCGGGCGGGAGGAGGTTCTCGGGCTCCAAACGAAACCAAGAAAGTCTAGCTTGGACTTGCGAGGAGACGTTGTGAACAGATATGTAGCCACCTGAAGATCAACTTCAGAGAGCCGCAAGGAATAGTTCGGTTGCAGTCTTTCGGGTCCTTGGTTCACAAGTCCTAGAACGGCATACACGGTGTCTCGTGGATCCGAGCATGCGAACGTCCTCGTCCTGTCTAGTGCTTGTAGAAAGGTGAATCCACTTTGCGAGCTTGCGTCTTTGAAGTCGTTCCGTAGGAGATATAGCAGGTTTGCAGCCGAGCAGTTGAAGGACAGTCTACCTTGGTCTGCCTTCAGCTGCTCGAAGATAATGAATGCAGAAAGAAGCCGCTCATTGTCTATCTCGAACGGCCCGTAAAATACTCGTAATCTCTGGTTTAGAAGCGCTTCTTGCACAACCCAAGCTCTTCCCCACCACGGTCGCAAGACCATGCTGCGGAAGCCGTTCCATGCGAAATCGCTCTCGGAGCCTTCCGGGCCAAGGAAGAAGGGGTCGCTATGAACGATTTCTTTCGCAATATCCGCGATCAGCCGATTCCGCTCTTGTAGCTCTTTACAAAGCCATTCATGCCACTCTTTCATCTTCTTCAATGTGGCCTTAAAATTGAAAGAGGCTTCACCAAGCCACGCGATGACGTATTTGGCCTTCTCATACACCTCCCCCATCTGCGCAACCTGTCTCCCACGCTCTTCGGTATCCTGCTGATTGATACACATGCCGTCAGCCCATAATAATAACCCCCGCTTCCGAAGCCGAGGGCCAACATAGCGTAGAGCGATCAATAGGTTCTTCGTGATCTTGAGGGCTGCTCCATTGATGCAGACCGTCTCAGAGGGTGTTGGATCTCCCCAGTAGTACGAGAGCGTGACGTAGGGCGGTGCCTGATCGATGAAGTAGCGATGGATTTCAAGATCACAGCACGGATTTCCAGCACTTCCACAGTCGCAGGGGAGGAAGTTCAGTAACCGAACTCCGCCGCTGTCACCTGTGAACGGGGTATATCGGTACTGGGACAGGCCGGCTGGGGTATCGAACTCGTCGCCAGTTGCATTTCCAATGGACGAAGAGCTTTCTCGAGGGTCTCTTGTAGAGAGCTTAGATCTGCTCTGGTTCAAACTCATAACTTGGTATGTATGAATCAAAAGGGATACAAGTAGGAAACGAAGGACACATGACCAGACAATTAAGCAACGTTTTGTGCAACCCAACGATATTTACAGGACAATCTAGCGATTGATAACGTATGCCAAAGCTACCGTAGAGACGCGGTTAGTGTAGGAGAGAATAAACTTGAACAGATACTTCCGTACTGAGACGCCAACTGGATCTGGTGGCTACTTGTGCCGGTGAATCAATAATCCTCATTCTTGAAGTGCTCCGTCACGACAGATATGGGGATCAGGAGTTGTTGGCGCCTCACTGCCTCAGGCGCGAAAAAGTTCAGTTCGACATACAATTGCAGCCTTCTCGCTTTCAACGCCCTTCTCTTCACCTTTTCTTTGATAGGGTAGCAAAAGCGTTCAAGTGGAAATTTGCCAGCTTGGGACACTGTCAGACGTCAGTGTCCGTTAAGGCCCTTCAGTTGAATCCCGAGAAATACATTGGACATCTCTGTAGCCTGCATCTAGGTACTGCAGCTTCTCAGATGGAGCGATACACAACGCGAATCGTTCATGTTTTTCAACATCCGCATCTTAAAATGACTATTATGACGAGACCTAGGGGGATGACGGCATCTTTGATCTCGCTATCTTATTCCCCTCGTAATTTGGAGCAATTCAATCTAACAGCCTAGAATCATCTTAGGTAGGTCGGCAGAGCCCTTCCTTGAAGTTTCAGGTTGAGAGTGGTTATGTGCGGAACTAGCTCCCGAAATCCGAATACCTGTCTAATTGTGGAATAATATATATCGTTTCTCATCAATATTTCGGAATTCGGAAAAGATCCGACAAGAGAATCACATGTGCATGTCGCACACAGATCTGTTGACTAGCTATGGATGGCAGAACATGCTCCACTAAGCTCTCCCCCTGGGAGGAATACATTGCTGTACCGGGTTGACGACATTAAAGTGCTTTGATTGCGGATTCTCGGTCAATTCACCCTCGACACCGCCTCTCGGCCGCTTGATTTAGTCAAGATAAGCCCTCGTATATTGAGGAAATGCGAGAGATATGTGTCCTATTCACCTATGACAATTTGGTAATGACTTTCACACCACTTGCAATCCTAAGTCAGTCACTAGAGTTTTCTCCGTCCAGAGCGGCACTAGAGATGTGTAGCATGTTGGACAAATCATCTAGGAAGAGCTTGGAGGTTGAAGGATGATACTCAGATATCCTATTTTTAAGTCTGACCTCGTGTCCAATTATGGGCTGCCGACTGCCGCAATTACGATGCCAGCGGCTGACTGCCGACAAGGCGCGACCAGGACCCCAGAAACTTCTAACGATACTTTATTAGTACGTACAGAACTCCTCCTAGGACTACAAGCACCGACAGAAAGACTGCTGAGTGCCGGGCCTTGAAACGGCTTAAATCATAGCACCAACTTAAATCAACATCTTTGCTGCACGGTCGGTTCGGTTCTGTAAAACGTCATAATAAGCCTATCGGAGGAATATGATCTGATTGGCGTCGGATAAACATCTTTCCTTCTGGAATCCGGTCGGAATTCCCTCGACACAGGCATTTTTGTTATGTACATTTAGCAAGAACCTGTCCACTCAGCAAGCTAATGGCCCAGAAGCTGAATGTCAAGTATAAATATTTCTTGGGAAATTTCATACAAACCACCGTTAAGCGTTGGGAATGCATCAAAGAGTCGTATCGGTGCATCTGATACCAGGAATCAAGGTATTTAGGTACGAGGTACTTTCGAACAATATATGCACTTTCAGCAAACATATTGTCGTCATCCTCAAATGGCGACGCCGCATGGAAGCGGAGCCAGGAGGATGCCAGCACGACCAGGTCGATCAAACGACATTGCGCAAGCAGGCTAGCAGAAACGAACGACCCGCCCAGGGATGGAGCTTTGAGAACAAAGGCTGTGACAGATGACACGCTTGTAGTCTCGCCTTCCTGGCGAACGATTTGGGTTATCCATCGATGACTTTGAACCGCCGTGGCGCTCCTTGTCTGCCGCGATATTCCCCCGAATCCACGCGCCAGTTGTTGAGCTTCTATGCAAAGTCTGATGCGGCACTCAGGTCTCCAAAGCCAATTTTGGGACATCAGGGCGTTCTTTCGTGAAGCTCGACGTCGAACTGGTAAGCGGGCTTACTTTGGATCGGAGGAGTTAGATTCTGTCCACCATTAACCCTCCGCTCCGAACACCTGTCTGCGATGCTGGAGGCATTGTATGAGTGCGATGTATACGAAACCTGGGCAGAGGCAATCCGGGTTTTTCGAGGCAGAGAATAGGATGTGCAGGGCGAAACTTCGATCCCGCTAAGCAGTAGGCTGACAGTCACCCACGATAGTTCCTACGATCCAGTTCGTCGCATCGTATCTTCCAGCGCACATCGACGGAGTTACGGAGAGGATTGCGGTGGCCAATGGAATCCGATACGACCCCTCCACACGAAGAGTCTCGCGACCCGAAACGATCCTTGTCCTCTCCTCCACTGTTCCAGACTTCCAACCCAAACCTGCACCCCTCGCAGCCTCCCTTGCACCTTTGCCCCTCCACCCAACAGGGGCTGGCGGAATCAGAAACTCCTCCAGCCCAGGGTGCTTCATCTATTGCACTTTATCAATGGATTGTATTTGAAACTCCCATATGCCTTTCCCCTCACTCTTTCTGCATCTCGTTATTTCTCTCTCACAAAGTCTTGTCATCCCGCATTAGACGAGAACGAATTTGTTTATCATCGACATCGGCCGTTTCTTGAGTCCTCCCACGCATTCCGCTGGTCCGTCCGGCCCTCATCTTATATCCCCCCCACTCTTCGCCTTTATTCAGTTCATTTCATGTCTTCCTAATCTCTCCGAGCAATACAAATCCCGTCTGATACCCTATACGAATCTCTGTTTATCGTTGGAGTGGAGTCCTTTCTGGAACCATCTCTCCATCGCCTTGTCATCTCAGTCGTTGTAGAATTTGGTGTAGAGTCTTAAACGGCAGTCTCTCAAAGAGATTCAGTCGTATTGGTTCAGTTGAGGCACCGATGTCAACATGGCGACAGTCCTCCTAGCCCACCAGTCCCATCGGTGGAGCATGAAGAGGCCCGCTGTGATCCATTCCCATTCGTCCTCTTCCGCCAATGCAGCTGAGCTGTTTCCCCCAGAGGCAATGAGAACCGAATCGGGCCTTGAGAAGATGGCACTCTCATCGAACTCCGGACCGCGACCTTCCCTATTTAACTCGCTCTATCTATCCTCGGAAGAGACTCTGTCTCCAGGCGATCCTGGTACCGGCGATTCAGACTCTGTTGAGAGCCCTGATGACGATGATTGGGCCTCCCTGTACGATCTGTGCCCTGACGAGAAAGAGAAGGAGTTTAGGGTTGTTACGATCAACGCATGCCCAGGCCGTCCACGCATCGTCAACGTCCCGGCTTCGCCAGAGCGGACGACACGCAACTTGGCCAGACAAGCCCAGAAGAACATGTCCAGCGTCTCGCTCGATTCCCCACTCCCTTCTCCCCTCGTTCCGGAAAGCAAAAGGTCTTTGGCTAAAAACCTTCTACGCCGCACTGATCGCGGTAGAGAGCTAAAGGTTTCTACGAAGCTCGTGAAGTCGCCGCGCAGGTCGCCTTACAACCTCCAATTGGACACCCGAGCCGCTGCATCGATGGCTTCTTTACCATATGTGGACAACGCTAGCCATCACCGGAATGCGAATTTCGGGATCATGGCACAGTCAGCGACGGAAGCTGCCCAGAGCCCTTCTGAGAGCAGCAGCACCTACTCGGAGAGGCTTAGCACGAGCCTCGGAATGTATGACACCAGTCCAGACATCGATGGCGAGTCATACACTTCAGTGTCAACCCCCGATGAGTACCAGGATACAAAACGGCGAGATACACCCTGGCCCAGTGCATCCGCTCCTGCAGTCAGCACCATGCGTATGGGCGCAGAGTCTTTAGCGACGACACATATGAGAGGGTATGCATCGAAGAATGCTAGCAGCATTTCTCTTGCCCGGACACAAGCGCCCTTCCAAGCCACAAATTTCCTGGACCACGACCCATACAGAAATGACCCGTCCGATTCGCCACGCAAACTACAACGCTCACGACTCCGGAATATCGGCCATAGTATCAGCCTTGGTCGCTCGAAATCAAAGAGATCGGCACACGCCGCCCCTGACAACACTTTCCACGATGCAGAGATCCCATCGTCTAACCCCCCACCGATCCCGCCGCTGTCCCCTTCTCGCCAGTATGATCGCCGCGCCTCCATTTCCGGCGTCACCGCCCTGGCTACTCGCATTGCCCAATCTCCCTCATCCAGCGCATCTAGCAGCACCTCGATTAAACCCAGCCGGTCGATCAAGCGAGCAGCAACCATCGGACGCCAAATCGCACAGCAGAATGCGGCGAACAATGCAGCGAGCGCAGAGCGACGGACACCGGAGGTGACGATTGGGCGGACGAGGATTAAGCTGGTACCGCGGGGTGCGGACGAGAGGGAGAGGCCGCTGATGATGCCGGCTTGGGAGGGGAGGCGGTAAGAACCGTGCATGAAGGGGTGGATGCGTGGGAAGCCGTTTTGGATTCTGGCTTGGAGGGTTGGTTGGATTCGGGTTGGTGGGGGAATAGAGAAAGGATACCCAGGTCGTTCATTTGACCGCGCCCTCGTTTGGACTTTGGAGGCTTGCGTATGGTGACGCAAAATGGTGCCCTGCAGGCTCAGTGACATGTCGCATCTGAGATGCTGAGATGCCTGTTGACAGGCTCTCTCAACTTTTGTATGACGATACGGCCAAATCGCTTGAACGTATACTATGAATATCCCAATGGCATATATTTCAAATGTTCATATTCGCTTTTATGTCGTGTCATGGCTTATTCCTTTGTCGTGCAAGAGGCGTTCAGATTGCTCCCAATGCGGTATTTGCGGGTTCTAACAGGAACTCCGCCAAGTTGGATTTATTGTACAATATTCGCAACAGATCGAGTAGAGCGGTGCCTGAGTGACACATACAGACCCGACAGAGCACCTGCTCAAGTGCTTATGGATGTCTCAAACAGCCAAAGCTTTCTGAACCCGATTTAATGAGATTGTAGCCTCTTTAAGGCCCTCTTCAAATCCCACACCTTTGGCAATGGTCTTTGCCTCCTCGTAACTCCGCTTCGCCTCATGCAATCGGTTTCCTCTCTCTGCTAATTCGCCAAGATTGTGCAAAGCAGCAACCCTGCCCTCATCACACTCCGAGCTGTACTGGTCGGGAGGGATGATCTTTGCAAGGTCTAATGATTTCTGAAGCCACAATCGGGCTTGTTCTGTCAGAGAGGGCATATCCATAGATTTAGCGGAGTCGGATGAGGGTGGTCTTTGTTCTGCAATCGCCGAGGCAAGATTTGTCACTGGGAAGGTATTAGCTGCTGTTCCACGCACGGGTGGAGAACATACTGAGAACAACGGAATGGCAGGAATCGGAGGGGCAATGTCGAAGAGCTTGTAGGTACAACGGGGCCGCCAAATAATGTTGGTTCTTTTCTTGGTAGGATCTCGCAAGTGCTGTGAAGTCTTGGTTAGCATCAACCCCATAGAGAACATGGACGATTGCTCACCTTCCATCGATCCCCCAATCTCTTCATCATCCATCCACTCTCCCTCTCCTTCTTTTACACCCTCCGTGTTTCTCCTCTTCTGCTCTTTCAACACCGTCTCGACAGCCCAAAGCAGCTCCGCATGTGACTTATCAAAATCCTCTATCCACGGGCTTCCATATAGCTCCCCCAATTTCCCCGAGATCCCGCATGCCTTCGCCAAAACTCTCGTCCTCCTCCCGTCGGCCATGTGATCTTTCCCTTCCTTCTCCAGCCATCTCAAAGCGTCTCGCTTGACCAGCTCAAGCACGCGGATCGACGTTGCGTAGTCGTTCGCCTTTTCAAATAAGAATGCCACCATAATCTTGATGCCCATCACTTCGTCTGACCACTGGTCCATCCCACACTCCTGCGCCTTCTCCAGCGCCTCGCGATAATACCTGTTGGCCTTCCGTACGTCGAGTTGGATATTCGTAAAATAGATCGCGCGCCGCAGCTTTTCCGCCACGGGGTCTGGGATATTCTCATACGACGGGATAACATATTTCGTGTACCACCAGACGAACCAGCCGAGTATGCTTAGACTGATGCCAACGCTGTTGTAGCATGTTAGACCCGAACCGAAAGCGAAGAGACGGTGATCCTACCATGTAACTCCTAGCGTCATTGTGTACGGGTGTTCTCTCGCCGCTCGTTTGATCTCCTGCCATGAGGACGCATGGCGATATTGTAGTTGTCTCCGAACCGGCCGATCTAGGAAGCGGAGTTCTGGTCGATGTGGTGATAGACGAGTGTAGCGGTAGCATCGCGTATGGCCGAGATTTTGATGTTGGAAGAAGGGTTCGGTACGGCGACCGGTCGCTCTCAATAGCGGTCTTGAATTCATGTTCCACACTCGTTCCCTGATACTGCAAATCCTCCGACCTTCACGTGGGAGCCATCTGAATTGAATATTTCGAAATTGTTAGATTGGAGGCAAAGAGTCGCAGTCCGCTGATATTGAATGGCCATGCAGTCTTGACGTTGAGATTGAAGCAAGGGTGTTCCCTGCAACTGGAGCTCCTCCACCAAAATGACGAGCGGCGTGGAGATCACCTTGGAGAGTTCAATTCACGTCCGATCTCGTATTGACTCTCACACTTTCCATTCGCATCACATTGGCGTCAGTTTCCTTCTTCTTGTCACAAATGGGAATGTGAAAGCTAAAATGTGCGGGCGATACGCCCTTGCCTTGGTTTGTTACCCCTTCAGGATTTAACTGGGTTCGTTGATATAGAGATCGTAAGGCTGACCACTGTTATATCTAGCGTCCTGGCGATGTTCGCCGCCAATTCGAGCAGATGAACCTCCATATGTCAATTGACGGCATGCCAGAAGATGATGAGGTCCGACAAAGCTACAATTTTCCTCCAGGGAGCTTTGGCATTGTGCTCAGAGCCGATGTGCCCGATCGCGGAGCCGGGAAAACGGATGACGATGGCGAGAAGGATGGTTCTGGCGGAGACGCGACGGATGAGACTCCCAAAACAGATGATGGAGGCAAGGCTACGAGCCAAAGTAACGAGGACACTCAGAAAGAGACGCGATATCGCATTCAAGCCATGAAGTGGGGTTTGATACCATTCTGGACGAAGCGGAGCCCCGACTACAGCTCGATGTTGCGTACAATCAATTGCAGGGACGATTCATTGATCGAAAACCGAGGCATGTGGACGTCGATGAAGATGAAAAAGCGATGTATCATCGTGTGCGATGGGTTCTATGAGTGGTTGAAGAAGAATAACGGGAAGGACCGCATTCCGCACTACACGAAGCGGAAGGATGGCAAGATGATGTGTTTTGCTGGGCTATGGGATTGTGTCAAATATGAGGGTGGGAATAGTTGCGTCTTTCCCATATATCCATTTCTAACGGGATCAGGTTCCGACGAGAAGCTCTACACGTATACCGTCATCACGACCGACTCCAACAAGCAGCTTAAGTTTCTTCATGACCGAATGCCTGTCATGCTCGAGAATGGCTCTGAGGATATAGTCAAATGGCTTAGCCCCGAACGGACCACGTGGACCAAAGAGCTTCAATCACTCCTAAAGCCATATGAAGGCGAGCTCGACTGCTACCCTGTGAGCAAGGATGTTGGGAAAGTGGGCAACAACTCGCCTTCCTTTATTGTTCCCATTGATAGCAAGGAAAACAAGAGCAATATAGCCAACTTCTTCGGCAACCAGAAGAAATTGGCCGAAAAGCAGGAAGCTGCTAAGAATCAGAATGAGGATGAAGGTACCGATGCACTGAAAAGGGAGGAGGGCCAAAGCCGGGACGACCGTCCAACCTTACTCGACAAAGTGACGGCAGATTCTAACGTGCTGGCGACTGAACCTTCTTCATCACAGCCTCCAGCCGGCATCAAGCGTGAGCATGAGCTGTTCGATGGCGAAGAACGGGAACCGAAGGCTCCCAAGTTGATGTTCAGCCCATCAAAACAATCCAAACCTACTGTAGGACTACAGAGCAGACGTAAGATGCATAGCGCCACAAACAATGGGTCTATCAAGCCAAAGAGCAGTCCGAAGAAAGCAGAAGGTAGCCAGAAGATCACCGCTTTCTTCAAGAAGTGAAGCCATTGATTGGGCCACATCGCAAGATGAACCGAGTCCAGGGCCTGGAAGATAGAGGCTATGTTTGTTAAGTGAACGAGCAGACAGTGGTGATGGGATTTACAGAGTTGAGACACCTACATGCCACAGTTGTTTCAGTGGTCTGGAGTTCAATGGATTCAGTGAGGCGCAGTTGCTGAGTCAACTGGCACGACATATCTGCATTGTTCCGTGTATTAAGCAGATGAAATTCGATGGCCGAAGCTTGAAACGAAAGTGTCGCAGACCGGGCATGAACCATAGGAGCCTACCCACATCCAGGTTCTGGAGGTGGTGGGCTTTCCGCTCCTGGCGAAGTGCCGCTTGCTCCTCCTACTATCGATGCCTCTGGCACTGCAGTTTTTGCAGGCAATGGTGTTCCTTTGAAGGCAGCGATGATAAACCTAGCCGAGTCCGCCTGATATGTCGTACCGTTCGCGTTGTACGTTAGGTGCGGCGCGGGGTCGGTCCCAACACCACTGCAACCCTAAGCCATCAAGGTTAGTCGCCCTGATGATGGTTGATGGATCATGAAATTGTCAACTTACCGGATCAGCCGGTGCACAATTCTCGAAAAGTTTTGTCTGTAGATGAGGTGGGAACTGGGTTATGTTTAAGTCTCTCATGCCTCGATCGCCGAACATCACCAACGCCAGAATCTTGGGATATATCGACGGATCAAACTTCACACTCGCCGCCCTCATCACACGAGCGCCCTGCGAGTAACCCACCAGCGCAAACTTCTGGCTTGGACACGCGAGATTCTGTTCCGTGACTCGATTGACCACATCCTCGGCACCGATCAAAACAGATTCTGTTGAATAGACGGCTGGATACTAGGAGGATTTGAGGATGAGCACTAAGAGCATCAGGACAAGGGTTGTTCGTACCTGAACTGCGTAACCCCGCGCCTCTGGCATAGCAGCAACGACATTCTTCACCAAAGGGTCTCCGGCTATGATCCCAAAGGGTCCAGGCTCACTAGTTCCACGGGCTATGAATGGGTGAGTATATACTGGGAAGGTGAACCAGTGCGAACTCACCAACCAGAACTTCGAAATCAGAGCAGCCGGTTGGCTTGGGACCGAATGGCACCGCATTCTCCCCGTGGTCTGGAAAAAGGTCCGTCAGGCTGCTTGCCGGTGAGGATGCTGCTGGTTGAGGACCTGTACTTTGCGGCGAAGGCAGCGCCGACACACCTACGGCCAATAAGCAACATGTCAAGGTCGACTTCATGCTGGATATGATAGAAGAAAGCTGCTTCTGGTTGATACCTATAGCCGAATCCCGATTGGCAAGTTGCGTGTTCTTATGATGTCCGCACTGGTTGCTCATCCTGTATTGACAAGGTACAGCCCTAATTAACCAACTAGGAGAATGAACCCAAGTTCCTATTTAGTCAAGGGTTTAATTCCCTCGTTAACCTAACTTAAAATTCGTCCGAGGGTCATAAATGGATCCAAGGGAAAGCGTAGCTAGGAGCCAAGAGTTCCTACGGGATAAATTCTGTCTCCTCACCGTTAGGTAAATGCACCACCTAGGTACTTTATATGCATAATGCACGCAATAAAGCCCGTGGAGTCAATCGCAGGGCTTCAGATTCGCCAATCAGTATAAACGGAACCTCTGATCCTTGCCTAGCGCCTAGAAAAGCGGTAGTGCTTTGATCGTAAAGAATGCTCCGGTACGATATCCTGCAACCAAGAAAGTCCACCGAGCTACCTACTCCTCTTCTCCTCTCCGGCTTTGCGATGGTGAATTAAGACCTTTACCTTTATATGCCCAAACTATCTTAATTACTTGTATAAGTAGGGCTCCCTTAAGAACTGTAAGCCGAGGTCCAATATAATTAGTGATATGAACTTATACCTACGACGTCCTGCGATAGATATAGAAAGCTGTTAAATACCTTATACCGCCAAGTTAAATATACCAGCAATTGACTGGAAACGCCGACATACTGAGTTGACTTTTAGAATCCGATCATCTATCAGTTATCAGTATGCTGTTCCTTAGGTGTGTGTTGGTCGCCTTTGCAACTCGGGCTCTTGCATTCTCCTCCCCCAACCATGGACTCTCGGAATCAGAAGCAGCAGGAGGTGGCGAATATTTCTCAAAATTCAGCACTCTAGTACCACGGGCGCCGGTTACGAATCTTACTTCCACTCTCAGTAAGATTATCGCAGACAGTGCAACCGTACCAGTTCCCGACGCTTGGCGTATACTTGCCCGCAGTCATATTCTGGATACATTGGCCTCGATCGTCGCTTGCAGAGACCTGGAACCATCGACGCTAGCTAGAGAGTTAGCGCTTTCACTGAGCGGCGGAAGAGGTCGGTCCGCAGCAACGATTCTCGGAACCCATGAACAGGCATCAATCGTGGACGCCGCCTTTGCCAGTGCCATGGCAGGCCACGGGGCAGAGATCAACGACTTTGTGCCCTCAGCGTTCGTACAGCCAGGTCCATCAGTGGTCTCCGTGGCTCTGGCTCTAGCAGAAACGCGAGGACTGAGCGGAGACGCTGTCCTTCGCGCCGTCATCGTGGGCTATGAGTTCACAAGCAGAATTCCTAAAGCCCTCGGCATCAACAACTTGCAGAACGCCAATATTGCGAATCATGGGATCGGTCCAACCTTCGGGGCCGCCGCTGCCGCTGCGTCGCTCCTTCGCTTGTCTGAAGAGCAGATCTCGTACATGTTGGGCTACTGCGCACAGCAGGCGTCTGGCACATGGCAGTGGCTCTTGGACGTCGAGCACATTGAGAAATCTTTCGTCTTCGCTGGAATGGGCGCAAAAGCCGGCTTGAGCGCTGCTCTGATGGCCGAGGCGGGGTTCCGCGGCGTCGAAAACAGCTTCGACAGTGAAAAGGGATTCATCACCTCCAAGAAGTTCACAGGTGGTGACGAAAACCTGGAGAGTTTGTTGGATTTCGGCAACAAAACCGAGCTGTCCGAAACCGGTTACAAGCGCTATCCTGTCGGCGGCCCTACCCAACCAGCGGTTCATGGCCTTCTTTCCCTGCTCCCTAATATCACTGTCACTGAAGTGTCGAAGGTGGTGGTTGAAATGCCTGGTGCTGCGGACAGCTTCCGGAGCGCAAACATGCCGGCGTTGAACCTGAAGTATCTTGTCGCCATCATATTAATCGATCAGCGTCTTGACTTCGTTTCCGCTCAATCTCGTGAGCGCATGCTAGGTGACCAGGAAGTACAAGCTCTAATGTTGAAGGTGGAGGTAGTGGAGGATCCCAGCCAGGAGCCGCCGCCCGGCGAAGCTCGGACAGAGAGTGCACGAGTAAAAGTTGAGGAGACTGGTGGGCGTCGCCACGAGGTGTACGTGCCATACGTCAAAGGATACCCGTCGCATCCAATGTCCAAAGAGGAAGTTGATCTCAAAGCCCTGGAACTGATGGAGCCGCATCTCGGGGACAAGCGAGCACGAGCGGTAATTGCTACGACTAACGCAATTGATCGCCTGCCACGCATTGGAGAGCTTGTGAAACTTATCTCAAGATAGACAAAGATCAATGATAGCAATACCTACGGGAAGATGAATGATGATGGAAATAATACCCCTGAACCAAAAAGTAAATACCCCTATCACGTGAACAACGTGATATATAAATCCTGCGATCTGATCGGTTTATTTCGAAACTTCTAGCTAGTTACTCCGTAAACAAATAGGTAGTTGAAAGACCTCCCATCCTAGGCACCCCTACTGTGTATTCCCCCACTGTGCTAGATGCCCACTACTACCAACCCTGGGCACCCCGCACCGCCTATTTTAGGTTCTTCTCCCCGACTACCACCCGTCCTTGGCTCTACTAACTTCAATTTTGAGCTCTCTCTAGCCCCGCTAAATACTTTACGCCCAACCATGACGAATCACGAATGCCTTGATGTGTTGTTTACCGAGGTATTATTTTGGATAGACCAATCAGATCGCAGAGATTGTGCCTCTCGTGTGGGAGCATTTGCAGGATTGAATCAGGGCCTTCAAGGGTGATATCATCCTGCAGTATGTCCATCACCTCCCTTTATGGAATCTACTTTTCAAGGCTTCTGTCGCAATTCGAACAAAACATTTTGCAAATGTCTTGGAAATTGAAGTCATCGGCTAATAGGATGCATTGCCAAGATCACGATGTGCCGAACTGCCGATTCAGTTGTAGAGAGTGGAGAATGGGGAATGGAAAGAGTCGAAATCTGAATAAATCAGTTCACCGTGCACTGGCGGAAGGCAAGGTCAGGGGTTGATTCTGCGAATTGGTTAGTACATGTAGGTAGTCACTGACGCACCTTCCATTAAATGTATAAGGTATCTATCGTATATTCGTATTCGTCAACATAATATGGTGGTAAACGCTCGGTAGTCGGTAACCGTGCTTGAGTTGCAATTTTGAATGCGGAGGCTACTATCGATGAAACACTACCGGTAGGTGGTATATGAACATCGGGGTCCTAAGTTGATAGATGACGCGGGTGTACAAGAACTACAGTGCAGTTCAAGCATCAGTTCCGTTTCACAGGCACTGTTTAGGCACTGGTCAGATCCCTAAACACAATGTTGCCAACGACGTATCTTCACTCCCTTGCGTCGCTTGCTGTTCTTCTTCATCCAGTCTCAGCATGGGCGGTTGGAAAGGGAGTTGAGACCACAAGCGGTAGGGTAAATCTAATCCCTCCTTTCCACGGCCGTCCGAATCCTTAGTAGTGATGGAACTGTCAGCTAACCAATCGACAGGTCCAAGGACATGCTGCCTCTGAATATCCCGAAGTGTCAGAGTATCTCGGGATTCCTTACGTGGCTCCACCAGTCGGCGACCTACGATGGATGCCACCGCAACGCCTCCGCAGAAAACACGACAGGAAACCTTTCATTGCCGACAAGTTCAGCGCTGATTGTCCAGCACTGTACTCGCCGGTGGTGAACACGTCCAACCCTATCGCCACCGCTGTCCAGACATCCCTCAGTCAGATAGGGCACGTGCAGAGTGAGGATTGCCTGACGCTCAATATCTGGACGAAGCCGCAATGTGGAGAGAGGAAGAAAGCAGTGCTGGTATGTCTGGACCCAAGTCGTACTTCAGGATCACGCTAATTGGACTGGCAGGTTTGGATCTATGGAGGAGGTTTCCAAACGGGAGCATCCAACAATCCGTCCTACAACGGGCAGACGTTTGCGGAGAAATCTGACGTCGTTGTTGTATCGTTCAATTATCGCCTCAACCTGTTCGGCTTCCCGTCCGCACCCGGCATTCCGGAACTCAACTTGGGAATTCTGGACCAGCGGGCCGCCGTCGAATGGGTCCGGGACAACATCGCGAGGTTCGGAGGCGACCCGAACCGCATCACCCTCTTTGGTGAATCGGCTGGATCTCGTGCCGTCGACATATACGCCTACGCCTGGGCGGATGCTAAAGATCCCATCGTCAACGGATTTATTTGCGAATCTGGTTCTGCCCCTTTCACCACTGGCAATACACTGAATCCGGAACTTTGGTATTCTCTGAGCGAACGACTCGGATGCGGCGGTGCGGAAAAGGGCAACGCAACTGTCACATGCATGAGGACCAAACCATTCCAGGACATTCTTGATGCATCCAAAACCAGTCCCGGCAAACCCGGGCTCTTTCGGCGCTTCTATCCCGTTACGGATGAAAAGGTCGTCTTCAGCGATTATGAGAAGCGTGCTGCGACGGGCCGGTTCATTCAAAAAGTAAGATATCGATCCTTTCCTGCCCTTAATCGCACGAAGCGCTGATCATTGTGTCAGCCACTTCTAATCGGGAACAATGACAACGAATACGGGCTGCAATCTACCATCGCGAAGTTGCAGGGAGCCACGATGTCAAATACCTCAATTTTGCTGGGGAATCTTGGCTACCAGTGTTCAGCCCGGGTCCAGGCTCAACGCCGTCGTGACAACGCCGTTCACTCGTGGCGATACCGATGGATGGGCGTCTTTCCAAATCAAGCCATCGCCCCTGATGCCGGAGCCTGGCATGGCAGCGAGATCTCTCACGTCTTTGGGACTCTCGGAGTTTTTGGGACAGTCCCAGCGACGCCGGAGCAAGTCCAAGTATCCAAACTTATGAACACGGCATGGGCAGCGTTCGCAAAGAGCCCGAAATATGGTTTGCTGAAGCTCGGATGGCCGCTCTACAATGAGACAGGTAAGAACTCGCGTGAACTTCCCAATCGAGAGTCTAATTCTAATAATATCGTATAGAAAATTCGCTTATTCTTCTGGCGGACAAAAACGGACCTGGAGCGACGTTTGTCCCAGGTGGAAAATTTGACGCGCAATGCAATCTAATAACCAACAATGTCCCACAGCTCCCATAGAGGCCGAGTTCACGTTTATAATTTGAGTACCGCTCTATTACAAAACGAAGGAATATAGTGGAACAAGATAATCGCAGTGAGACGTGTGGTAGTGGTCGAGACCTGCCTGCAGAGATAAAATGTAATTCGACTTTCGCGCAAAGTTTGCAAGGAAGCTTCATAAGTTAACTGTGGACACATTATTGAGGCCAAAACGATTGCTCGCTCACGCAAATATAAAGCAAGTAATATCATCACTGAGTCAAGACACTAAGCGCAAAGAGACATTGGTATTTGGAAGAATGGAAGAATGCTTGTCGCATACTCCAGAGTCTGAACTCTGAAAATGGCACGGGTTTGATTAGTCAGCCAGCACTTCCTGCGCCGCCTGCGCCCCCTGCGGCGACCACCAAGAAAAGGGGTTTGTTTACATAGTATGTAGTTAGTTAGAACTAACTTAACTAAGTTAGTTATATAAATAGTAACTTACACTGTACTCAGTACTCACTAACTCCGAAGTCCAAACCCACTAACTCACATCATCCCGGAACTCGTCCGCAGGATGAAGGATTCGAGATCTCCAACCCTTAATTTCTAATCCTCAGTCAGATGGACCGATTTTACTTCTCGTTCATCTGATTGAGTCACTGCGCTGTTTACTACGTCACCAGCTTCTAGTCTTACTGTACTCCGCGCGTTTTAGGTCTTGTTTTAGCACTGGCGGCCTGCACGGCCCATGGGGCGGGAATAATGGGGATTCGGACCGATGGAGTTCCTCTGGTTCACGGCGGCTTGGTACCTTTAAATATAGGGATATGTACAACCTCTAAGTCTTAATCTACCAAATAGAATCTCTTTCAACCAGTCAGACCCAGCCATCATCCAAACTTCCCGCAGCTCTTAGACGTGGCTTCTACTCTGTACTTCTACTTCTCCTACTGAACTTGCCAGCAAGAAAGCCAGCCTAGGGATTTGTGTCACAGTCTGATACATCATGGGCATCTGGGTCGTGGGTGCAATCGCCCTCCAGATACTGGGTGCAACCGCACTCCAGCTAGCGAGCTTAGGAAGCTCATTCGCTGCCGGACCAGGACTTCCAGAGGGAGGGAACTACGCTCATATCTTCGCCAGCCGACTTGCCGCCAACCTGACCGACCTGAGCGTGTCTGGCTCGACCCTCCTCAATATCAACTCGCAAATCGCGGGAATCCCCGGGGATGCCGATCTCATCACCGTGACATCCGGCGGAAACGACTTGGGATACGTCGGCGGGCTGACAAAGGACAGCGATGGAGGCCATGCTGCGGATCCGTCCATTTCAGAGCAAACGCTCGTAAATCGATTCAACAGTGCGCTGACCCAAATCCACACCCAAGCACCGAGTGCTAAGATATACTTGGTCGAATACCTCACGATCCTTGGTCCGGATGTAACGCCACTGTCTAAGGACGTACCATTCAACGCAGAGCGAGTGGAGCACCATCGCGGCGTGGCAGCGACCCTGCAGAGGGCTACCGCGCAGGCTGCTGAAGGAAAAGCCTGGGTAGAAAGGATCCCGGTGGCGCAGGCAAGCCAGAGAAATGGAGTTGGAAGTGCAATTCCCTGGATCAATGGAAACCCAGGGTCGACGACGAACGGTGCAGCGTGGCATCCCACTGCGGCGGGCATGAATGCTGTTGCCAACATGCTCTATGAGAAGGCCCGTCAGAGGCCGGAATAGCAAACAGGGACCGGCGTAGTCGCAGGGACCGGCGCGATTGCTATGGCACAGCGCACTGGATGGATTGTTTTGCTCTGCTTTGTTTTCATTTGATTAAGCTCATGTTAGACACAAGGAGTTGGGAAGCCGCGCGTCATCAGTGGATGGATGGAGCTCTTTGGAAAGGAAGATATACTGACCTTTCGGTTGCATATATAAAATAATAGTCAACAATTTGGTGCGATTGGTCGCTTGTACCTGTCAACAGTCTCAACATCTTTGGTCGGAACGGAGTTCAGTATGGGTAGTGCCTAATCGCGGCACAGTAGAACTTTTGAATGTGCAGAACTTGCATGACATGGCAATGGAATCACGGCTGAACCTGAAGTTGTTGTAATTAAGCCTTCTAGCACTTGGCAGCGTGGTTTGATATTGTGTTGGCGTGCTTCCAGTCTGTTGGTGGGACCCCTTGGCTAACGCCGCCATCCACCAACCGACTTTACATGAACATTACGAAACGCCTTTTAGCCCCCACGGCTATGAGAGCGTTCGGGTTGGTAAAACTAATAATACAGGCTAGGAAGTAAGGTGACGTTTTCATACCCCAATCAAAAACCAAGTTAGGTGGAAGGGATGGTATTGAAACCTCTCGAATCCGAAGCCTTGCATGAAAGGTATACGCTATTTCTTTCTCTTTCTCCTTCTCTTTAACTTCGATATTATGTGCGATTAAGCCGCCGAATGGATTCAAGTCTTCATCGTTTTCTTCCCTTGCTTTAGGCTTATCTAGGATAGTGTGGATCCTCCGTTTGCAGAGACCTATGTTGCGGCGCGCCGCCCTTGTAGCGGTGCTGGTCGGCCTTGGAGCGATACTGATACCGCTCCTATCACCACAAGGCCAGCAAGCACCCAAGTATCATGTGCAAGGGAAGAATAATACAATATTGTTTTTGACGAATGAGCATGCTGGTCTTTGCAATGTGCTTTTGGCAACCGCATATGCCCTGCTCGAGAATCACCCGCATATTCAAGTCCACTTCGCATCCTTCCCGAAACTGGAGCGGAGGGTCCGGGAGACCTCTGCTTTCCTCACTACTATGAAGACGGTCCCGGGTATTACATTTCACCCCCTGCCCGGGCCGACATATACCGAAGCATTGTTGGAGTTCCGATCCGAGACGAGCATTATCCACCCGCCGGGGTTGGCAGGAATTGATACCATGGCTCCGAATTTGCCAGACTTTATATCGCCTTGGGCAGCGGGGGAGTACTACAACATATACAAAGCTATTTCGGAAACCATCGACCAAGTAGATCCGGCCGTCATAGCCTTAGACACGATGCTTGCACCAGGATTCGACGCGACGCGAGAGAAACGGCGAGTCCATGCTCTGGTGACGCCGAATATTCTGGCGGATATGATGCCTGCGGAGCAGCCTAAGTATACGTTATTCTGGAAATACCCAGCGTGAGTTTCCCCGGGCATATCAGCTTCTTGGTTATCGGCTCAACATGGCTTTCATACAGGCTGGGATCCGGCTTCCCATACCCCGTCCCTTGGAAGTTAATTCCTGCAAATATCTACATTAACTTCCGCGTCATCATGAGCTTCTTGTCGGCTCCACAGGTTAGGGAAAAGAGAGCGTTCTTGAAAGAGAAGGGGTTGGAAAACCCGGTCGACTTCATGGGCTTATATCACCCCGAAGTTCCGTGGATTACCCAGACATTGCCGGGAGCTCACACGCCCCTAAATATCATTCCACGCAATGTGGTTCTCGCCGGACCAATCAACCTAGCCGGGACGGAGACGGTCTCGGAGTCCGGGGCAGAGTTGTTGGCTTGGCTCCAGCAAAAGCCAACTGTACTTATTTCCTTGGGGAGCGGGTTCAAGTACACTCACCATGATGCGACTGTTATGACTGAAGCAATTAGACAAGTTCTTCTTGCCACTGACGTACAGGTGTTGTGGAAGATGGTCAAACTCGAAGCCTACAACGCCGACTTCATAAGCGCAGCAATGGAGGAAGCAGCTGGACGCTTTCGTGTCGTGAAGTGGCTCGATGTGGAACCTCCCACACTGCTTCAGTCGGGACACATTGCAGCTTTTGTTCACCATGGTGGCGCCGGTTGTTACCACGATGGCCTTTCGTAAGACTCCTTGACTCTGAAAATACCGATACAACGTTGCTAATTGGAACAGTGGTGGCGTTCCCCAGGTCATCTTGCCGCAGTGGGTAGACCTGTATAATTTCGCTCAACTTGTGGAGGATCTGGGCATTGTAGAGTAGCTAGGAATCGTCCTCTCTATAAGAATTCCAAAACGTATTGCAATGTGAAGGACGCCCAAATTGCATCCAACTACTACAGAATAGAGGTACCGTATTGGCAGTATCTGGCTGGCACTCTGAGATATAGCAAACTATTCCGAACCCGTACCTAGACTGCTTAAAGGTGACACAGAGGTCGTACCAAAGTACTTTATTTAGCTTTTTCAGATGCTTTTGGTCCCGAAATAATATCGGAACTTCTGAGTTATTTGTACCTTGTGGATGCTCGAGTTCCCGATCATCCTTGACCAAGTCTGGATGAACTTGTATCCGTCATTCTGTCACTTTGATCTGATCGAACGAGTGAGGTTGAGGCCGATTGTGGCCAGACTTCATCTTTATATTCCGACGAAAACCTAGCGCTCTGTCCATACGAATTTGTTTGTTTCATTAAATATTTTCTTTCTGATCGTCCTGCAGACCGGCATAAACATATCTGTACGTAATATTACCCTGCAGGATCGAACAACGGCATGCATCAAAATCCACGCGGACGCGGCTCGGGAGGAATCCCCGCTATTAATCAACGGCTAACTTATAGAGACTAGAGGACTAGAGGACACGACTCACGAAACACGAGACATCACTGCATCAGGCATACCGAACTCAAACCTAAGCCATCAACGCTTGGACAATAGAGGGTTGCCCGGCTTGCCCTTGGAGGCTTGGAGCCATCAAGTGATCTGGACTCGAAGGAATCCATCATGCATGACTCACTCCTCATCTGACCAGTGACAAGCCCCCAGCCGTTGGATGAGGCGATGGCCGATGAGGCTTTGGCGATCGATCATCATCAAACTTCGCTAAGAACTTCGAACTAAGAACATATTTCCCCAGGTCGGCCGCTCGGGCAGTTGTTGACTTTTCTGTCATAGGGCAGCTGATTTACCCGCAGCTATTTTCATTTAAACGTCATATCCTGCGTCTCTAGGCGTAGAATGATTGACGCTAACCATCGATATCGTGACCCTCGAACCACGACCTTGAGCCTTCGTATCACACTGGCGATTGGCGGGTCTGTCCCATTCCGTTGCACAGCTTGTTCTTCTTCTTAGCAGTCTGAAACAAGGGATAGCTTTTCCGAACCTCGTACAACATCCGTGTTTCTCTCCGGAAGTTCTCGACCCTCTCGCGTCTTGACCTCGTCGAAGCCCAAGTATTGAGCCAGACGCGCAAGTCACAACTTCGCGCTGTTATGGTTCGCTTGCGGTAACGGGCGAAGAATACATAGTAGCTCATCATGGCTTCATCGACTTTCAATGACCTGCTTACTCAGAATGCACCTCAATTCCAGACACGACAGGCGCTAATTGTCGTTGGAGCACAGGATGACTTCTTGTCGCCAAAAGGAAGCCTACCTGTCTCGCAACCGCCTATCCCGACCCTCCTCTCTCGTATCCGATCCCTTGTCCCCGCCTTTCGCGAGAACGCTGGGGACATCATCTGGGTGCGCACCGAATACCAAGAAGATCGACCTGTCGCGGGCACCGAAGAAGCCTCGGACGATGCGGACAACGTCGTAACGGATTTCTCCCCGCGGATCAGCACCGAGGAGGCCGGACTTGGGGGAGTCGATGATCAGGATGGAAACATAACCGCTCTCCCGTCGACGCCTCGAAAGTTGCGGTCAAGCCAGAGCACCGGCTACTTGAAATCCGGGCCGGGACGAAGTCGCATGAGAGCGTTGGAGATACTTAAAAAATACTCGGCTCGGAAGTCACCCAACGGAGCAGCATCGGTGGCTGCCCGGCATAGTTTGGAGGATGAAGACGAGCTCTTCTTATGCCGGACACCAGCGAAGGAGCCCTGCTTCCTACCTAGGACAAACGGCGTGGAGTTTGCTGGACCGGTCCGAGCCCTGGTGGACAAAAACGCGGATGTGCTTTTGACTACCAGTCATTACTCGGCATTTCATGATACAAGCCTATTGATGTCACTGCGAGCGAAGCTCGTGACGGAGCTATACATATGCGGGTCCATTTCGAACATATCCGTATATGCAACCGCCGTCGACGCAGCGAAGCATGGCATGGCAATTAACCTAGTCGAGGACTGTCTGGGGTACCGGAAGCTGTGGAGACATGAAGAAGCTGTCAGGCAAATGACCGAGCTGATGGGTGCATACACTCTCACAAGTTCGGAAATCCTTAGTGACTTGTTGGAGACACCCGAGTCCGACTCTCGTGATCTTACTGAAATGCTTGATCACTTGACCTTGCAAGAGAGCAGAAAGCAGGCACCAAGCCGGGACAGCAAAAGTACCGAACCAATACGTACACCTGGAAGGACTTCGAGCTCTGTGGCCTCTTCCCATCGTATTTCAAGGGAGAGCAATTACAGTTCCAAGCATATGGAGATTGTTGATGTCACAACCATAAAAGACAGACCCCAATCGCGTACAAGGGACAAGGCCATGGCCAAACATCCCGGAACTGAGCGGAGGCACAGTGACCGAACCGCCTTGCTTGCCCTGGAAATGCAGAAGGCAAAGGCGAAATTGAAGGATGAACGCCGAGAGTATGTTCCAAATCGTGTGCACATTCGGACTCGGCAGCAGAAGAGCAGAGAAAGCATGGCCGATGAGCGATCCGGATCCGCATCATTACCCGGCTCTCAGAGTGCTTCGAGAAATGGATCTCTTGTCGCCCTCACGCCTGTAGAGCAACCTCGCAGCTGGGGTCCAATCAATCGAAAGCCCCCCAGGTCTCCCACGTCTCCATCCACCACTGTATCGAGCTTTCATACGGCTGGAGCGAACGAGACCAGAATTTCCGGAAGCAAGGAATCCCTGAACCGGGTTCCCTCGACCGAAGACGCTTTACGCCCCTCTAGCCACCACAACCGCCGTCACCATCCCAACCTTTCCAACTTGCCGACGCTTGGTCCTGGCGACAAGATTGGCACAGGCGATTCATCGATCCTGTACGACTTTATGCCATCTAAATCAGCCCTCTATCCTACACTTTCGTCCTTCAACATATTTTCCCGCCTCTGTGCTGAAGTTCGCTGGCAGCGTATGTTTCACGCAACTGGCGAAGTTCCACGGCTAGTCTGCGTCCAGGGCATATCACAAGATGACGGCTCGCATCCAATTTACCGCCATCCAAGCGACCATGTGCTCCCCCTCATGCCCTTTTCTCCCTCGGTGGATGCGATCCGGTTGGAAGCGGAGAAACGCGTAGGACACCCGCTGAACCACGTCCTCATCCAGCTCTATCGATCTGGTAATGATTACATCTCAGAACACAGCGATAAGACGCTGGATATCGTCCATGGGAGTAAGATTGTCAACGCTAGCTTCGGGGCGCTGCGGACGATGCGACTGCGGACGAAAAAACCCGAAATCGCCACCATTGCTAGAGCCGAATCACATCCTTCTACAGTTCCCAGCACATCCTCTTCCGACCGAGTAACCCAGCGCGTGCCTATGCCGCATAACTCACTGTTTGTCCTCGGCCCAGACACTAATGCGACCTGGCTTCATGGAATCCAGCCGGACAAGCGTGCTCCCATCGATAGATCTTCTGCCGAACTGGCCGAGGGCGGAGCACGCGTTTCGCTGACGTTCCGGCACATCGGAACATGGGTCAGCGGTGATGAGAACTTGATCTGGGGTCAGGGTGCCACTGCTCGAGACAAGTCAGAGGCACGGAAGACCATCCATGGAGGAGAGGAAGCCAAGAAACTTATCATGGCCTTTGGGGCGGAGAATCGCAGTAGCGAGCAAAATTCCTGGGAGAGGTTCTACGGGAAACGATCCGATGTGCTTGATTTGGCCGAAGGAAGGACGGAGAAGATGATGGTCTTCCTCCCCGCATCCGATCCCTGGGCTCCTTCGGGGGAGCGTGCCTCCAGAGCAGAGCGCATGGTACGCGAGTACATCCACGAGGCCGAGTTGGATGTCGAATTCATCGAAGCGCCAACCCCGGTGCCAGTGCCCGTAGAGTCGAAGAAGGAAGCCGACAAACCGAGGAAAGACGAGGCGGTGTCGTCGACTTCAATCCTTCTCCGGGACATCGATGCCATGCACACAGAGGTCACCGGCGAGTATGCCATCCTAATTTACCTGTCACGCTTCTACCGGACGCCTACGTCTAGTATGCAAACCAAGTCGCATGCCGCAACAGAACTCGAACGCATGTTCCTGCTCAAAGACTTGGATACAGCGCTGCGCCTCATCGAAAGTACGGATAACACACTGCAACAAGGCCACCTTGTCGAACGAGCGCTGGACGCAGTGGAGGCACATTTAAGGGACGACATGAAAAGAAGTGGCTTGGCAGCGGATTGCGTTTTAAGAGTTATCTTGGCCGATGTTGTCTGCTGGATTGGATGGGATGAAAACAGATGGCCGGAACTGATGAGGTTAGCCGATGCAAATGATTGAATTCTAAAACCGGAACTTTCGAGAATTGGTCGAAACATTTGATAAGCTTCTAAGAGAATTTAGATAGGAGTATGAAAATTCCACGTCCATCCCTGAGAGGGATGGTCGATCACTACCAGCAAGCTCTAAACTAGTACAAACCTACGATTCCCGTCCTGCCCATTTATGACCTGTTCTTATTTACCCGTCCCGCTATTGTAGTCCCCACCCCGTCCCTGTGGTCTTTGGCGTTGTGGTCTTTGGCGTTGAGGTCTTTGGCGTTGTGGTCCTTGGTGCTGTGGTCCCTCCTCCGCCTGATCTTCTTCCGCCTGATCCTCCTCCGCCTCCGCCTCTGCTACCGCTGCCTTGCCGATAAGGATTTTGTTGGCGAAATATTATGCCACAAGGGTCCAGTTCGAAGCCAGCTGGGATAGCAGGATCCCGATGATCGTCATGCCTGAATAGACGAATCAAGTTATTGGCCGTAGTGCGATCCTGCCTTTTGCAGCCGAAGTAGTCTCTTCCGGGTGCCTGGCGCACGATACCGACCCGACCATCCACTAGCGAGCGGATCACATCTTGCCCGCGTTGCGGCATAGTGGTCGTAGGGTCAGGTAAATTCCAGCGTTGTGAGGTTTCGGGATAGATTACATCGTATGGGCCCCAGAGGAGGGGGTGGAAATGTGGCTTGAGGTTCCACAAGGAGGCTGATCCTGGACTAATGGCTTCTGAGGTACTCATCGTCAGAGAGTATCGGCATTATGCCCTCAATACTACCACGAACAGTTTCTGGCCCAATCTGGATGATATCCTGTTCGAGGGCATAACCGTTCTCCAATTGACGAGATGTGAGGACCCATGCTTCACACCAATACCCATTATACTGCGACTTGACATTGTGATAGAGCATGGAAACGGCCTGAGCGGATGAATTCGGTGGTAAAGTTGCGGGGATTGTTTGGTGTCGGCTCAAACGGGCTAAAGAAAAAGCTTTCGAAGTCATCAAACCTTACCCCCCATATGGGCCCGAACTTGATCAAATGGTATTGGCAGTTCAGTGGGGAGGTCGCTCCGTTTCCACGGAAATTCCCGCCATGCGTCGAGGTAAGTCCGGCCCAAATGGTTGCTCCATATTTGTAGAAACCAAAGGGGTAGCAACAGGGAGTACCTGTATTGGCGGTTGGCTTCCTCCCTGCTAGCCTCCCTGCTGGCTGATGGGTTTAGCAAGCGTCAGAAGGGAGAAAGCTCCATAAGAAGGACACGGCAGGTTTGGATTGATAGCCAAAGGGCGCGCGAGAGTGGTATTTAGAGGAAGACGATTCGGAGGCGGAAATTGATCGCCTGTGCCTGCCGTAGGCTCTGGATGGTCGATTCCAATTTCGTTGGTCGCCAGCCCGTGAGGAGACAATATCGGATATACGATTCGAGGTCCTCGGGTTTGTGCCTGGCCACATCCGGTGGGAATAGAACGGTTCCGGTCTGTGGGCGTGATATATTGGGTCCTTCTGGAAATATATTCGGGGCTTCTTCTGTACCCTCTCCCCCATAGCTCTTCTGCTTCTGTCACCGTAGTTTCTCCAATCCCACCTCCTAACAGCCGCCTTCTCTTTCAAAGCTGTGCTCGTCGCAGTTGCAAGTACCTAGGCATCTGAGACTGGGCCATGAGGATGTTTCATGAAAAGATACTCAAAGACTCTGAAAAGCAGAAATTCACTCACAAAAGGTGCTAGAACGCCAAAGCAGCAATAAATGAAGACGTAAGGAATGATAGTCGGTGAGAAGGGGGCATTGATGGTGGCTAGATGCATTCCGATGTTAACTAAAAAAGGTCTTGGTCGCCAGAATAATGCCCCCTATGGAATGCTGCTGCTTTCACCACCCAACAAAGCCCTAATAGCTCTTCACTGGTTGGCCTAATATTATTCTCGTTGAATAATGAGACCAAGATCGTACTGTTCAAATGAGAGAGGAATGGTTGAACTTCGCAAAATGCCGCAGGACCTTTGGTTGCTAATATCCCCTTCGCTAGCCATCTGGGAGGAGAGAGGAAGAGATGGGAAGAAGTTGAGCCCTTCGCCGTGACATCCTCCCCAGCCAGCCTTAAGGAGAGCCGTGATTTTTATGTCGCCTAATTAAAGGAGTATAAGACGATACTTTAGTTAAAGTAAGACGAGAAGAAAAAAGATCGAGAGTTTTTCATACCCCGAGGGCTGAGGATATAATTATGCCTCAAGGGCATCTCAGGAAGTGTGTAACACGTGACTATAGTTTCGTTAGGGTTTAGGCAAGCAAAAGGGAGTCCGTCTGGGACTTCGAGTTGGAGAAATCAAGGGTCATTCGCCTTGGACGTGCTCCTCCAGCCTGTCGAGGAGAATCGTATCGACAGACCAAACTGACCAAAGGAAACAAGGGAATTTCATATCATTTGAAAGGCAAATGAAAAAGCAAGTAATACTCGAAGGTTTTCGACGCCTGGGGAAACGCTTCAAGGTCATTAATTTCTTCCGTTCTAAATGGGCCTCCCAGGGAAGGGGATAAACCGCGCGTAAGATGCACGCCTACACAGCGGCGTGCGAATTTCCTAGATTTACAGTAGCTGACCTACTAAAATATAGCCATGTAGCAGTCTCTCATAGCGTAATAGTAGAAACTCCCCTGTTACTCCGTCCGAACGCCGTGTAGTCAACATTCTGCGGACCAGATGCAGCTGCCTTTTCTAAAAGATCCCGTTGACGATATTCGACCCGATCGTGGCACCAGCACCGAATATCGCTGCGTTGCCCATCTTCTTCCCGAACTTCTTGCCCATTTCTTGCCCCTTGTTGGGGGCCTTCCCCTCCCCATTGCCCTGCTGGCTGACGTCCAGGGGCATGTTGCCGTAGTTATTCGAGTGATTCGGTTGGCCGGATCCGGGCGCGATACTCGGACCGCCTTTCTCCTCGATGACCTGCACGTAGGATCGTGGGAAGATGCCCTCCACGCCGGTCCGCTCGTTCCGGCCCTTCCACCAGTCTGCGTTCATATACTCGGTCACGGCGATCCGGTCGTTCGCTTGGATGGCGAGGTCGCCGGAATCGGTGGGCGTGTATGCGTAGAGAGCGGTGGCATGTGTTAGGGCAGGGAGGATGGGTGCGGAAGACGCAGGGGGCGGGGGACCGGAAGCGGAATTTGGACCGGGATATGCGGGGGGGGCGACGCCGGAAACAGATGTGTCTTGGTTGTAGTAGCCGGTGGACTTTTCCGATATGGGATTCACCGAGAGATTGGAGAAGGAATTGGTGGGCGGTGGGGATATCGCTGGTGTTGTTCCGGTGCGTATGTTCTCTTTCGGGAGCTGGTTGAGAATCGAGTTAAGTTGGTCGGGAGTTATGGTGTGGTTGTCTGCAAGATATGCTAGTTCCTAGAACCCAAAGTCAGCCAATGGAAAATGAACATGCGATGAGTCGATTCAACCATGGGGGAGAAGGATACAAGGCGCGTTTAGCCGTGTGTTGAGATCTTCATCTGAAGGGAACGAATCGACTTCATTGAGAGGACATACTGAGCGGATTGTTCTGATTGACCGATTGGTCATGGCGACCTCGAATTCTTCGAATCCCATTTTGCACTATTCGACAATTCCTTGAAATGAAAAGACTTTGATGTTTACTGCGGATTGGAGAATAATCGCTGAAGAAGGTGATGGTTTTGCGTTGTATTGAAGGATGTGCATCATGACGCGGCGTCTGGGTTTCGTCGTAGTCTCGCCTCTCGGAGGTGGTCAGGGCTGTGTAGATTGATTTGCTCTTCCGGTGGTTCCACAACCACCTTAATACTATTTACTCTAGTTATTAATTTCCGGAACTTTCATCGATATGCAATCATGGCTTTGGATGTCGTAATATCATTATTTGTTGATTTTTTACTGGAAGTTTACTGCAAAGTATGATTTTGTTCAGGATGTTCTCAAGACGCTGCGAAGGATCATGAATCTGGAATTTGCTACGAAAAACAATGCTTCCAGCCCTCCATATGCCCTTCTAGTACGGAGTACAGTATGCAAGTTCGGAATCACCTGCAAACGTCGGGGTTCAATGGGACACTGCATTTAGGTTGGAACTAGAACACTGTTCGACGTGCCAGGTTTTAGGATCTGAAGCAGTTGGATAGCATATAGTATTCCTCGGCATCGCTGACACTTAAGATATCTCACGGTCTTACATGCATCAATAAACTCATCTTTCGTGATTTCAAAGTATCCTACTGAAGTTTAGCCTCAATACTTTGGTACAGCATGCCTCTGGAACACGGCGAGCTTCCAACTAGAGAGGCATATGAAGATGCCGTATATCCTGAATTCTACGACATGCTTATTCCCAGACTGTTCAGCGATTCCAACACAAATGAAGACATTCGCCTCGCTGTCAATCAAATGAATGACATGCACGTTAAATCCGCCTCAGACCGATTCGCCATCCTCGATATTGGTACGGGAACGGGCCGTGCCGCGCTTGACCTTGTGAAGGCCATGCGGGCGGAGGAGACACTCCATGGAAACATCTTCGACATACTTCTATTGGAGCCATCGGCATCCATGCTTGTTGAAGCCGTCGCAAAACTCGCGGATCTCAGTTGCGCCACTTCGGCCAGCACGGATACCAGAGCAAAGATTGGCGATGTTCAGACCTTTCAAATTCTCGCCGAAGATCTTGGGGAGACGCTCAGCGACAAAGGACTTCTTGGGAAAATCGACTTCGCTATGTTCACCGCAGGCGGACTGAGCCACATTACTGATGAGCAGGACCTACGACGATTCCTGAAGGGCACGGCGAGGTGTCTGAACGCCGACCACGGTCGGCTCATGCTCAGCATTTTGAACGAGTTCATCTCCGACCAGCTAGCGGAAGAAATTGAGACTGTGAACACCGATGAGACGGTTTGCTTCCGCTCTCAAAAGCACCCCGGCATGAGCATGACGAAATATCCAACCAAGATGCAGATTGACCCGATGACAGGCTGTCGAACGGACTCGTTCGTGTTTGAAACGAAAGCAGCGGACGGTGAGGTGGAAAAGAGGATCCTTCAGTGGACAGTGCGGATGACCTACCTGAAACAGTGGGAGGAAATGCTCGCAGAATGTGGACTTACAGTCGAAGAGACAAGGCAGGGGAAAATCCAGAAATATTGGCTTCTCAAACGAGCATAAATTGGCGTCAGAAGGGTAGGGATGCGTGTCCATGTACGTACCTCTGATCGAATCGCGACTCTGCTGCTGATACCAATATAGATCCTTTACGGCAGAGTTATATATGGTTGCAAATATTATCATGCAATAGGAACTGCTCCCATCGATAATGTGATGTTGCCGCAAGGCTAGCTCCCAGCCATGAGAGTTGGTTCAATGCCTGGCTATCCACGATAGGACAGACGGCACAGCTGAAATGCAGCCTGATAAATACGGATTAATGAAATAGGTAAAAGGAAACCATCTGCAGGTCGTCTTGCATGCATATCAAGAGACATGATCAATTCAGAATGCACTCGCTTTCCCTTGTACGCGCTCCGCTTCTGATTTGTCGGGAGACCTAGGAGAATAGGTCGGGGTATGTTGATCAACCTCTTTTGGATGACGCTCGCGTGGCCACTACATGCGAGAATCAAGGCTGTTTCCAATTATTCGGGCGAACTAGAATCAGCTACATGTAGTTCTCAGTTAAAGCAAAGGGCCAGACGGATCGGGTCTCTCCATTGTCATAAGCCCTGATGAATTGCGCATGCACAATCTGTTGCGCTGAGCCGTCATTTCAATTGGCCGAAAGAGGGAAGACAGACTGTATCACAACCCCCCTGCCATGGCTGATACGGAACTGTAGGCATATTTAACGAAGTATCGGCAGTATCTGGGATGGCGAGAGATGACGACTCCATCAGCGATACTCAAATGTTGAATTGTCCCGAAACCAGCAGCTCTTGCCGGGCGCTAAGGGATGGCATATCATTGGGAAGACGATTGAGGCTTGGATTGCCGTTTCATCGATTTTGGGTCTCCCCACGCCGACTACACGGTGTTAGTTCTTGTTGAGAGGCTTCGCCAATGTCCCCTCGTTCCATTGACATTGAGTCTCTGGACACGGCTTAGACTCCCTCGTTGCGTTGCACAACCAATGCCCCATATGTCGATCATTGTGGGGGTCGATGAAAAGGCTGGTAGAGTCAAGTAGGGCTTAGACGGGGCGCAAGGGCCTGCTTTAACTGCTTGACCCCGCAGACCAAGTTCATATTCCCGCAAATGGTTAACGAGCCCTTCGTGTGGCCATAAGGTCATCTTATCCCTCGTCTGTCCTAATGTACCACCAGGGTACGACTGCGGCTGAGGTAGAGCAAAGGACGAATGCTCTTTCTGACTTACTGACCCCCAACGCGTTTTCGACATGGCCCCCTCCGAATCCGACGACGACAGCAGGCCGGGATGAATCTTCTCTCGTACCTGGGATCAATTGGAAGAGTGACGAAAGCCGTAGAAGATACCATCAATCGGAATGAGGTGAACCTGGGATCTCGAATATTGCTGTGGTCCACGCCTTCACCTCAGTAAGATGCCTGGGAACTTCCGGGGTAATAACTATCTCATACACAGCTCTCTTCAAGCACCCCATGAACCCATTGCCAGTCTAATCACATTGAGGTGCTTCCGCATCCCTTCATCGCCCCATTGTTGGTTGGACTGCGTCTGCTCTGATTGCTGGACTAGGACTCATGAAACAGATAGAACTACCACCCGCAAGCTCAATCGGGGCGATGGCATGTCCATGAAGTGGGCAGTGTCGGGTACGGATGAACCCTTAAGCACCAGAGACTGGTTCCCGAAGACTCAATGTGAGCATCGCCACGTTTCGAGGACGCCACAGGGTGCCATATCGGCCCAAGGGATTTGGGCAGCGGTCCTTTCACCGCCTAGTAGCAGATAGCCTGCCTACTCTCCACCTCTTAAAATTATGACTCTTCCTGCTCCATGACTGTCCCAGGTGGATATATTAGTGCCTCTCGAGGCGAGCTTGCCCTTTCTGGTGATAGTAAGAGCCCTTGCTAGCTGACACAATGACGGATCGTCAAAGTGCGTGTACAATAGAGAGCTTCACGAGCTTGACTGACAGTCCCTTCGCCACAGCATCAACCTCCAGTTCTGGTTCGACTGGGACGCCGTCCATACCCAGTCTCCATCGCGACCAAAGTTGGACGGCTTACTGCCTTCGGTCGAGGGACTCCTGCAAAGACCTCGGAACGCTCACTGCTATTAACCGTGCTAGCATGAAGATGACTCCGAACGGAAAGTCATCTTCTGCTGGCACACCGAGCGAATCTGTCTTCACACCCTCACCCCCCCCACAAAGCACCAACCCAACGAGCAGGTCATATTATTCGGCGTTGAGAGCCCGTAAGAGGGAGTTGGATGAGCATCTGGTTTCTCGAAGTTCTTCAGTCCAAGCTACCAACGGCAGTGGATCGGATATCGAAGCAAAGAAACGCAAGCGTAGAAGGGATGCGGACCTAGAACTGCAGCGGCAGAGAGACATGGACTTGGCCGGGTTGATTGGAACTGTCACCAAGGAAGATTACGGCAGCTCCGTAAAACCGCCACGATCGAGCAGATCGTCTCGGCCTCGCTCACGTACTGAGGTCATCCAGGTTGTCCAAGTCCATGAGCCGGAAGGTCAACCCAGAGAGTTCTCGATAGAAACCTCGGCACAAAATCTTGGTAAGACCACTCGACTTTATCGTGATAGACATACTGAATTTTCACTAGGTCTTGGTCATCGTCAACGATCATTCAGCATGATCAATGACCCCCAAGAATCGGAAGAGGTATCCGAAGAAACACAGCAGGGTGCCGGTAATTCCTGGCTTTTGTGGACATGGCTGCTTGCCCTGTTGCTGTTTGCCGTCTTTCTTGCTGTGTGTGGCATCATGGTCTACTATGAAGTCGTGGTTGCCCGTCGTGTTGGCGGCGACCATCGTCGTCAGTCTAAGCTGCGGAGGGACGTCATGTTGATAGGGTCATTGACCCTTATGGTTTGCCTCGCAGGCATAGCAAGGCTCTCAAGAAGGACTTTGACGGAGACCTGCCTCATGCTTCTGGTCCTTCTCCTATTCCTCAACCTTCGCACAGAGCCCGAGCACATCCCCTGAGGCACCCATACCGTCCCGATTATGGTTTTGCACTTTTATATTCCAGCGTCTGTTCTTCGACTGTGCCGCGGCTACCAAGGCGCGTCGACTCATGGAGGGTTCATTTCGTATCGCGGTCTTTCGGTGCTGTGGTCGGGTTGTTTGGGGTCCACATCCTTCCTCCTCTTGTCTGGTTGCTGCGGATGTGCTGATTTCTTCCTGGGTATAAAAAGTTTCGATATTGTTCCCTTCACTAAAGGGGAGAACTGCGGTGCAACTGCCAATGGGTTTCAGAACGGGAGGATTCAAAACCGGAGGTTGAACATCATGGTTCAAATGCGGGTCCCCTTCTCTACAGGTCGTCGGGGTATCGTCATGGTACTAGTAGATCGTGCTTCCCGGACTAGCCTCATTGCTGCTTCAGCATGGTTTAAGTTAGCCTCTGTCGAAATAAAACTCGAATAATATGTCTTATTTCATGTAAAAGCATTCTCAGGTCGATTAATTGCCTTCATGGTTATCGTACACAAGGTACTTCAGCGGGTTGAGGTATCATCTTAGGCGCTGGTCGTGGAGAGTGTTCGGGAACGCGTCACTTACTGTCCTTTGCTTCTGGGCTCTTATCCGTAGGAATCCGGATGGTATAATATTTTGATCCCTGGATTTTGTCCTAATATGACAGATTTACCGACGGCTACCTGCTTCATGACAAGAGTTGAAGTCGAGAGCACGCGTGGCATGGTCGACGATTGTAACGTGCTGGGCGGAGTTCGTGGTATCGCAAGATTCAGACGCGTCGCGTTAAAGCCCCAGAGCTTGGATGTTTCATTTCTCATCGTACAACACCAAGCTACCGGTCGTTGTTCATCATCAAAATTTAGGCCAGCTATTGTGATTTTCGCACAGGCAAAGTTCGTTTCAGACATCCGAAATTGGCTGAAGCAGTCTATTGGGTGAAAGCTCAGCAACAACGCCCTACCACCACCCCGTCCTGCAGGGGCTTTAACTATCTGTAGTACCATCGATGCATGAAACCATGAAGGCATTCCTGATGTGATCTCTCACTTCGATGAGAATACCAACTTGAACTTAAAAGTTATAGATCCATCCGAGTCAGTCACTGCCATCTCCTCACCATCTTCCACCAGGTCCGTCAGCCGCTTCAGCAGATTTGGTCTTGTCTGCTCCTCAAGGCTTGGAGGAGAGGGATAGTAGAGCGACTTATCATTCGTTCGGATGGTGGGCTTCTTGATTTGACTGCCACACGTATTAATACTGCTACACCATAGTCCTTTCGGGGTTGCGGATCCTTACGTTTCTGGCCTTGCGGCCAAGTCCTCCAGGAACTCGGCGAGCGTATTTGTTTCGTTCACATTAAGCTCCTTCGCAAGCGTTCCACAGACCGGGCAGTCATCCTTTTTCTCATGACGGAAGGTAAAAGTGTAAATGCCGTCGTCCCCGGTATACATCATATAAGTGTTGGCCTCCTCATCCTCCAGGTTCCCCAGACACGGATTGCAGGCTGTTGCAATCTTGAGCGCCTCGTTACAACAGCTAGCGGCAACGATCGCATTCGTGGAAGCAATAGCTGGAATGATGTTCTTGACAACCCCCTGGGTCAAGCTGTATGTGACACCTGAGATATTGAACTCTTGGGCCCTGTTGAGCGCTCGCCGGTAGAGCCAACTGATGTGATCCGGATCGTCAGTGTCAAGCATGTCCCCTATGCCTCTTTTAGTTCGAACCTCAAGAGTAGTGCACTCCAAACCTTACCTTTCCGCTCTTCTTCCCATGCAATGATATGGGCCCACTCGATGCAATGTTCCGGCTGCCGTGGTACGGTTGCAAGAGTGCACAGCGGTACCTGAACTCGTGGAGCGTGCATGTCCAGTTGACACTCCAAGCAAGAAGTCATGGTGGGCAACACGACTTTTGCTTGACCTTTGAAACCTTTTCAAGGATTGTCAGCCTCCTTTCAGACGCTGACTGCAATATATCTCACCTTCAGTTCCGCCATCAATGAGAGGCTTGTATGAATCTGGATTGTTCTCATCCACCATTCCCACCACTGTAGCATTAATCCACCGTCTTGCCTCTATGCTATCAAGCCCGCATATGATAACATTGAACTGCATATAGTAGTTCTCATCTTTGTCTTGGATTTTGCCGTAATACGGTGTGATTTTGACGCCAGGAACTCGCCTTTCGACGAACTTAGCGGCCACGTCACACTTGGGTTTGCCAACGTCTGCGTGACGGAAAAGGAACTGTCTGTTCAGATTGGACACATCGATAATGTCTATCACACTTAATCAATCTTGATAGACCGCACAAAGAACGCGAGGCTTACCCATGTCGATGACATGAATGTCTTTAAACCCGGAGAGAGCAAGATTCTTGAGGAGCTCACAACCTAGACCTCCAGCACCTCTACTTCAGGTTAGAAGATATTCCCCTTGATTACACAGCTGTAGCACATACATGACCCTGGAAAAATATGAGTTTCAATCCCTCAAGCATGGCGCGATGACAACATACAGTACTTTGAGCCTTTCCAGCGTCTCCAAGGTCTCGAGACCTAGGGCGGCCGCTGAGGACGTAAATGGGCCAGGACGCGTGACAATACGCTTCAGATGCTCCCTAATATGCTTATTAGCAAGATTTTTTTCGATAATCCGATGAGGTATATTATCAGTACTTGCCATCGTTGTGAATGGGTCTCGTCCCCATTCAACGTTGAACTCATCGTAGATTTGGCGGCTGCCAGACGTACACAAGCAAACCTGTCGTTAAGGAACCACAGCAGATTTAAAATATTCTCTATCTCGATTTTCGCTTTAGTGTAGGCTCACGGAGTCGAATTAAGAACGGGATAACTCAAGGTTATTTGTTAAGGAAGCTGGAGGTTGCTACGGGTCCGCATTAGATGTGTGACAAATGGGGTTGCTGCCTCAACCCTGAATTCAGAATAATCAGATACATCAACCTGCAGCTCTTCAGCGTTTCGACTATTACCGACAGTCAGCCTTGAATCACGATCTTGTCTATTTCAAGTAATTAAAGTTGAATCGTTGTTTTCAGATGAAGGGGCATGGTGCAATTATCATCTTCCATCTACGTCGGTAACACCCGAACCATTTCAAGATGGGGAAAATCGAGGTATTGGAGGACCTCCCGATCCATCCTAAGCCTGAAGAGCAAGGAGAACCGAAGGGCAAATTGTCCCTAGATGGAATTATCGCTACATTATCGAATCAGCCGAGCGCAGATGAACTTCGCGGAATATTGGAGGGTCTGCGAGATGGCCCAAACCTCTCGTTCATCAAGGAAGTCCCAAATTCTTCAAACACAAGATTGGTTTCTACGCTCCTATCCCATACGATATCAAATTTCTGGGATTTGCTTGCAGAAGAAAAAACATATTCGTATGAGAAGCGGCTATTTGTCGAATTCTTCCGAAGTATCACTGGCCTAGGCGCGATTGTTGCTTCACTCAAGACGAACTGCGCGAAAGGGAAGAGTTCGGCGTCGAAGAGCGAGAAAGTCGATGCTTTAAATCAATGCCGGAGACTGAGGGACCTCCTGAAATGGGCACTGCTCCCAGAAGATGTTTTATTACAAATGCACAAAACGATCCTAGCCCATTTGAAAGACGAAAGAACTAGGAAAGCCCTTTGGCGGGAATACGTTCAGCTACTTGGCTCTGGCCGAATCCCTTCTGCCGTCGCTGAGGCTGAGGACCTTCTACGAGAGGGTGGTCTTGAGAGTCAAGGCAGCTGGCTCGGAGATGGTCGCGAATATTCCCGATGGTTGTCTCGGAGAATTGCAACTTTTACTGGGACGGAAAGCAGGGGGGATGAATACATCGCCGCAGGACAGCTTTGGACCAAGGCTCAGTCTCTGGGATACTCCGATCTCCTCACTGATAGTCTTTTCCGCCATATCCTATTCACTAGCGGAAAAGATGGATCTTCCGTGGAGGCTTTTGTTCGCGCTCTTCCAAAAGTGGATCAACGGAAGTTCCTCCAAACCACAGTAACCTGGCTGTCACGTCTATTCCCCTATACACTTTCATCTAAAGAGGAGGATATATTCAGAGCCATCTCTCTAGCATCTTCAATACTCCAAAGGGTCGTACGGGATGACGACTCGTTAAAAGACCACGTCGTCGATATGGTCACCAAATCTCTCAACTCACGCCAAATCTTCACGGTTGTCACACTACGGACATTGCTACTACTCCTATCCAAAGACAACGAACGAATGCAAACCCTTCTACAGCAATCCCAGGAGCAATTTGGCGACAAGCTATACATAAAACACGCGCCTATTCTCCACCAGGAACAACTGGCACAAGCTGAGCTCATCTGCGCCGGGTATATCCATCGCTCACAGAAAACGGCACTCTTTGCACTTGGAAGATCATCAGCACATATCAACGGCATCTCGAATCGACTGGCATCGACTTCTCAAAAAGCAAGATGGCTGGGGATGGTGGTTGGCATGGCAATTTCCAAGTTGATTGACAAACCCGAAAATAAAATGGATTTTGATGATGATGAGCTCAAGAGCGCGGAAGCTAAGAAATATTACTCTCTCTTGGAAGTGAAGGATAGCGTGGCTCCTCTCGAGCAGGTTAACGACTACTTGAAACATTCCAAGCCCGCCATTGCCCCTTCACCAAGGGCTGCAAAACCCGAAAAGTCGACACAGAAGCCTGTAACGCGAAGACTCGAACCCGGAAGTTCTCCAAAACCACTCCGAGAGCGCCTCATCGGCGGCTCCAGCCCCCAGCTTATCAAGCTCTTCGACTCCCCCGACACCCCCCACATCACTCCCTACGCCAAAGCCGACTCCGACCCCGACGAACCCGAACCCGACCCCACCCTCGTCAACCGCGAGAAGCCCCGCCCGCCCGTCTACATCCGCAACCTTATCGCCGGACTCAACGATAGTGAGAACTACGATCGACACAAGCTGATGCTGGAGTCCGCGGAGGGGCTGATCCGGCGGAAAGCGAACTTTGGAGCGGAATTGAAAGATCGGACGGAGGAGTTGTTGAGTGTGTTGATCGGGATGCAGGATCATTTTGATCTGGATAATTTCAGCGAGTTGCGGCAGAAGGCCGTCGTTGCGATGACGGTGGCCGAGCCGTCGAGGTCCGCGCAGTGGCTCGCGAGGTCGTTCTTTGAAGGAGATTACTCGATCAGTCAGAGGTTGACGATCCTGAGTGCGATGGGACTAGGGGCATTGGAGCTTTCGGGGCTGAAACACGATGGGTCGACATCAAATGCTGGGCCGTCCAGGCAAGCGAAGTTCGCAGATGACAAAAGTATTCCGAAGGGAGTCCGTAAAGCCCTTGCTTCGAGTTCCAGGCCACTGAACATGGCTGTATCTGCCGTTGAACGGCAGATAATAGAGCCATTCGCGTTGAAGGCGGCGGATGAGGTGAGCGGTCCGGACTCCCTCAAGGTGCGGACATTCTCATCGAAGACCTTGGCAAAGAGGCAGCGGCCGAAACCCAAGGTGAATGATTTTGCGAAGGTGGTGGCTGAAGACTTCTTTTTTCCCCTAACTGCACGGTGGTGGGGTCATATACAGGCATTGTAAGATACATGAATTCCCATTTCCCCCTGCTAGTGAGATAGGTTTGACGGACTAACAAAGAGCAGTGGCCAAAAAGACATCCGATTCTCCCCTATGATCCTCCCGATCTTCCTCCAGACCCTCGCTCTCATGGTGGAGGCAGCAGGGCCTTCAAATGTTTCATTGCCACAGATAACCTCGGAGTTATGGGACATTCTCCTGTCCCTCCGTGCTTCAGCCATGAACGAGATGGTCGTTCTGGAAGCTGTGCTATTTTCTATCCTTGTCCTGCTCGAAGCCAACCAGGACCATCGTCGATTGGTGTCGTCACACCCGAAGGAGCTCGTGGAGACCTCTCAGTGGGCGAAGGATATATTGGACAAGGTTGAAAATGGGGAACTGCAAGGGGAGAAAGTTGGGATGCTTGCAGCCGGGGTATACGTGAAGGCCCAAGAGATCGTGAAGGAGTTCCAAACGGAGCTGTTCGGCAATATGATCGACTTTTGAGGAAGTCGGAGCGGAACCCATCGCCATAGAGTCTGCTACGCGGGTTCGGTTGCTCAGCTGTCCAAGATGCCGGACTCCTTGAGGCTCTTGAAAAGCTCGGGCTCCAAGAACTTGCTGACGGTGACATCTTCCGCCAATCCTTTTCTGCGCCGGGTCTTCAGGACGAAGTCACGAGCAGTAGCCTGAGCGGATGCAGGTTCCAAAGGACGTAATTTGATGTCCTTGTCAAGCGGATCACCGGGCACAGTCTGCCACCTGTCAAAGACCAAAGATACCGTAGCCTGACCTTGGGTGTGTATCTAATGGCAGAATTAGCAAAACACAATTGTATCAACAGTCTTAGACTTGAACTTACCCTTAGATCGGTCTCGAAACCGAACGAGTCGATGACAGGAATTTGTCCTTTAACGTGATACAGTGGTGTACCGGCAATGGGTTCCTCCTGCAGCACATGCCCTCTTCGTTTTGCCAAGACAGTGTACACGCCCTTGATCGCATCCGCGGCACCAATGACTCGGCAACTGTAGACTGGTTCCATTAACCGTGGATTTGCCATGAGGAAACTGCTATAGCACGCTCTCCTTGCGGTCGGAATGATTTGACCTCCTCCACGGAAGATCGCCTCGCTCGCTAGCGATACATCCGTGATCTTGAACTTGGTGTTCCGGATCGGTTCTTCGCACAATGGGCCCTCTCTCGCCGCCCAACTGAAGCCTTGTCGAATGGTCTCTCGCACACCACGCAGCAGTTTTTGATCGACGTCCGAGGGCAGCGTATCGTTCTGTAGAATGTTCGGCCCCATATCGTCCGGTCCAAACGCCCAGATATTGCGAGAATCGATCAGGTCATAGCCGTAATGGTCCTCAAAGAACTTGGCAACTTTGCGTATCGGGTCTTTGATGTTGACCTTTCCAGATTCGATATCCTCTGCAATGCCGTCATCCAGCGGCTCGGCCACCATGGTAATCTTGTTCTTCTTGTTCGGAGTAATCGCGTAGCATTTGATCGCTGAGGCTTCGACGACTGTCTCGCAGAAACGAGTGACCGGATCGGACACTTTCAGCTCGATCTCGGCGTACAAGCGCCGTAGGTCATGGAGCACGCAATCCATATACAATTCCCCCGTGCCCAGAATGATATGCTCGCCGGACTCTTCGACTTTCGTCGTGACCAGCGGGTAGCTCTTGTTGATCTTGCGGAGGCCGTCTAACATCTTTGGCAGCTCGGAGGGATTAATCGGTTCCACCGCAACTTTGAACACCGATTCGAAGAAATGCTTGACCGGCCGGAAGATGTATGCGTCTTCGTTCTCGGGGAGCTTGGGCGCTACCACGGTGGCGGATTTGACGATGGAGTTATCGATGCCACCCAGAAGAGCAAAGTTTCCGGCGGGGACGCCGCTTGTGGGGACGTTGTATCGTGCCTCGGATATCCACACGTCGGACACGGTTGCCGTAACCATGTCTTCCTCGTCCTCCATCGTATAGCCTTCTCCAAGGACGCGAACCTGTTGGCCAGGACGCACGGTTCCACTTAATACACGGCAGAAAGCATAGAAAGCTGACGCATCGGAGGTGTTGAAGAGCTTGGTGACATGCAGGATTAATGGACCATCTTGATCGCAATCGCGGATAGCGGCCGCAGTTTTGGTATCGGTTGGGCCGGTGTAGAACCGGTCGAGGAATCGATTTGCTCCATCGGCGGGAGAAGGGATATGATCAACAACCATATCAACAAAACCAGAACAAGGCCCAAAGAACCGGGAACAAACAAGGCACAAAAGTTCCTTCGCATCCGTCTTGTATTGTGACGGCTTGAGTTCAATCCCAAGACTTCCCAAGGTCTCCTTCAGGTCTTCGGGGCTTTCGCTAAGAGCATGGGAGTAGAGCTTGTAAATAGGCTCGAGGACAAATGACACGAACGATCGCTTCGCCCCTTCTTCAATTCCCTTTCGCGTGAACTTCCGGCTTCGGGGATTGAAGAAGATGTCTCCCCATAACCTCATCGTGAAGTCGTCCGAACTAAGCCCGGGGTAATTGGAGGCGTACATTTTCGCGAACGAAGGAAGAGTGAAGCACCAGCCCATAGTGGAGCATGCGAACGCGACGTTGCCCTTTTCTGGACTTAATCGCAGTTTCTCGCCTCGGCCAGGAACCGTGTTTTCGATGATGGTATTCACCTCCTCAACGACATGCTTCAGCTTGAAGTATGCATCGGAGGGCGGAAGTTTTAGCTCGAGGATGAGCCGATCGACCTTGTTGATTACCAGCGTCAAGGGCAAATCTTCGAGAACGGCGTGCTTGATGGCTAGCTCGGTCGTCACTTGCACGCCTTCGACGACGTCGACAACGAGGATAGCACCATCGGCCAGTCTGAGAGATGCGGCAACCTCATCTGCGAAGTTGACATGTCCGGGAGTATCGATAACGTTGACCAAATTGGATTTGCCTTTGGTCGTCTGCAATACCAAGCTCATCGCAGACGCCTTGATCGATAATCCTCGCTCCCGCTCAAGGTTGTGGGTGTCTGTGTATCGCAGTTGTTCGTCCCGTTTCTTTCCCACCCGTCTATCGAGTCTCGCTTGGATCGCATGTGTCTCCATGACAAGCATGTCAATGAATGCCGTCTTCCCATGATGTAGATCTCCGACAAGGACAATATTCCTCACTTGGTCCGGATAGTTCATGATATCCGCCATGAAGTCCCGGGAGTAAAGCACCGGCGGCAGGTCCGTCTCTTCCAAGGTGAACTTCTTCTGCACCACCGGCGCAATGATGGGCTGGGACAATGGCTGGGTATCCTCTTCTTGTACCATCGTCTCGACATCTGCTCCGTACACTTGCTGAGCTGTCGGATAGTACTGCTTGTCTTCGTGTAAGACGACGGCATTTGAAGGCCCTTCTTCGTCCACTTCCATGAGCTGCTGGTCATGTCCAGCCTCCTCTTCCTCCTCTTCGTCATAGACATATGCATCGGCGGTTGGGACAGCTGTCTGCTCCTCGTCGGATTCGGATTCCGGCTCGCCGATGTAGTTGCCGAACCTGCAATTGTCAGTTCGTAGCTCCATCAATTGATGTGTGTGACATACTCATCGTAAAGGTCGTCCATGGCTGCGATCAGCTGCTGTGATATGCGTCCAAGGCTAGATTACAAATTGCGCGTGTATATAGAAGACACCGCAGTTTCGTAATACAAGCCTAGATCTCTAGCCTTTTACAACCAGCGCGCAACGTATATTATCAGTCGCGTTGTCGTGTTGAGATTGCATGGTGAGTGTCTGGGAAAAGTTCATGGTAGCCTGGGTGCCTCAGGCAAACATATATGCAGGATTATCCCTGTTACTCGAAGTTCGCCCCCCTGTCCACATCCCTGTCGCCCCCCCAACCGTCTTCTTCTTGAGATGCGATGCCGCACATCTTCGAGGAGGTGACGACGACCAATTTTTCGATCTCAACGCAACAACTATTCGAAGGACTTTTGCAAGATTGGCAGCTTTCTGAATTCCTTTTGACGCATTACCCAGGATATACTCTATCACTCTATATACCATAACGCCACTATGTCGTCTCTTCCTCCCGTTTACATCGTCTCGGCGGCGAGAACTCCTGTGGGCATGTTCCTTGGGTGAGTGCAATTGGGATATGCCATTGATTGCAATACTGACGCAGCTGTAGGTCTCTGTCGAGCTTGAATGCAATCCAGCTAGGTTCACACGCCATCAAGTGTAAGATCAAGTTCAAAATATCGAATACAATGATCCTGACTGGCGAATAGCTGCCGTTGAACGGGCCGGAATCGCCCCCGACCAAGTCGAGGAGGTCTTCATGGGCAATGTGCTCTCCGGAAAGTATGATCCCTTTCCTCCACAGCTCTATCGTGAACAGCGGACTAAACCACCCTCCAGTCTCGGCCAAAACCCCGCCCGACAATGCGCCATCGGCGCTGGCCTTTCCGAGTCTACCGTCTGCACCGCCGTCAACAAAGTCTGCGCCTCCTCCGTGAAAGCCATGGTCATCGGCGCGCAGACCATCATCACCGGGAATGCCTCCTGCGTCGTGGTCGGCGGTGCCGAGTCCATGTCCAACGCGCCGCACTACCTCCAAGGGATGCGGGGCGGTGTGAAGTTCGGCGACCAGACTCTGGTGGACGCCGTGCTGAAGGATGGCTTGACGGATGCGTACAAGAAAGAACATATGGGATTGCAGGGAGAGGAATGCGCGACGGACCATGGGTTCGGGAGGGAGGAGCAGGATGATTACTGCATCCGGAGCTACAAGAAGGCGATCGCGGCGCAGGAGGCCGGGTGGTTCGGCTGGGAGATCGCACCGATCGAGGTGAGCGCCGGGAGGGGCAAGCCGCCGGTGAAGGTGGAGCACGACGACGAGCCGAAGAACGTAAGTCATACCATCTCCACCGCGTCCTATTGCATGAGCTGACAGCCCTCGTCAAGTTCAACGAATCCAAAACCAAATCCCTGCGACCGTCGTTCAAGCCCGGCAACGGCACCGTCACCCCCGCCAACGCCTCCCCACTCTCCGACGGCGCCGCGGCCCTCGTCCTCGTCTCCGAAGCCAAGCTCAAGGAGCTGAACCTCACCCCCATCGCGAAGATCCTCGGGTGGGGCGACGCGGAGAAGTCCCCCTCCAAGTTCACCACCGCCCCGGCGCTGGCGATCCCCAAGGCGCTGCGGCACGCTGGGGTGGAGCAGGACGCGGTGGACGCGTTCGAGATCAACGAGGCGTTCAGCGTGGTGGCGCTGGCGAATATGAAGTTGCTGGGTGTGGGGGAGGAGAAGGTCAATCTGCACGGGGGCGCCGTCGCGCTGGGGCATCCGTTGGGGGCGAGCGGAGCGAGAATCGTGACCACCTTGCTGGGCGTGTTGAAAGATAAGAAGGGGAAGATTGGCTGTGCGGGGATCTGCAATGGCGGTGGTGGAGCGAGTGCGATTGTCATTGAAAACCTGCAATAAACGTGGAGCCAGGGACGGTGACTGTGGGTTGGTTGAGGGCAACATCGGTTGTGAGTTGGGGGATTTGAGCATACGCTGCTAAGCGAGGTTCCAAGCGGCTAGGAATTGTGATAGAGCCATAGGCCACCGAATAACGTAATGGAAGTATGAACAGGTCATATCCCTGTTTATGAACGGTTAATACTGTACAGTGCGTGATCTGAGTTCCTCGATAGTAGCATTCTTATGCCCCGTAGACAAAGTATGGCACCCGAAATATCCCATGATACGCCATCCATGCTTATCTACCACCTATTGTGGGAATTATAGAACAGAATACAATGCAGCGTATCTATATCTCGTCTCTCTCATATAAAGCATCTCTTCCAGGGAATTTGAACTGCCAGCTCCGCCTCGTGATCGGCAATCCGAGCCAAAAGTCCCAGAGCCGACTCGATTCAAGGATGATGATATTCCATCTAGTCTTGTTAGTTCGGAGCGAAAGACCTCTGGGGTAGATACCACTCACAATCGGCCAGGGAACGCAATCCAGCTCTTCAGCACGAACTTATATGCTCGCCACACCAAATCCACTTCCTCCCAGAATATCTCTATGGTCGTCAACCCTTTGCTTGGGCGCCTCGAAAAGTCTGGATATCCATCATCGTCCACCTTTTCTCCTTTCTTTCTCGTTGCCGGCGATCCGCTACTCTTCGACTCCTCAACCCGCTCTCGATGCGTCTTATTCTGCACCACCGGCCTGCCCACCCGCTCCTCGAGCATATGTCGAAACTGCTGCACCGCATGCAAACTCCTACTCACCCTCCCCAGCGTATTCACCAGCGCTACCAGCTCCGTTCTCCGGAGTGGCGGGTCTTTGCTCGGGTCGTTCTCGTCGAATTCGAACAAAACCTTCAGCGCGGTGCCGTAGCCGGCCGTCTGAAGTTTGCCCCACAGTCGGCACTTGTCGCAGCCGACACAGTCCATGATGCGGCTGATGTTGCGGAACCGGTTGCGGAAATCTTCCTTGAGCCCGACGGCGTCGGGGGACTGGAACATGACGGTCTCGTCGAAGATCTCGTGGCCGGACGGGATCGCGTCCGCGAGGCTCAGGACGAGGCGTTTCGTCAGGCGATCTTGCTCGGGGTCGGCGGAGCAGTATTTGTAGTTCGTGACGTGATTGCGAAGCTTCGAGGTGGCGCGGAGGAGGAGGGCGTAGTTGAAGTACATGTTGGAGAGGCGCTCCGGGTAGTCATGGAGACGGGCGAGATAGCATTCGAGGTTCGGGCCCCATTGCCCGGTCGTTTGGTTGAGGTAGTCGGCGCAGATGTGCGCGGTGATGGAGGTGTGCATGCCGCTGACAACGCGGTAGAAGACTCGCTTTTCGATGCAGGAATCCTCGAACTCGAGTCCGTCGAGCTGGGAGGTGGCTTTCCCCTTGGCGATTGCGTTTTGGACTTGTTGCTGCACGCCTTGCTCATGTAGCACGCTCCGGAGATCGCGGGCCGCTTGAGCTTGGAAGAGGCTGCCTTCCCAAGTACTGGACTCTTCGCTGATTCCAACCTCAGCGGGTTCTTTCGTGAAGCAGTTTTCACCATATATGGTTTCCCACACCTGCTGAGCCCCCACTCCGGCATAGCCTGTGAATCGCTCGGGGTTATCCACCAAGCTGACGTAGTCGCCCTTGGAGGAAGCTCGTTCGTCTTCCGGGATGCAGTAGTCTCGTTCGTCGCATTCGTCGTCCGACTCTAAGACACATGTTTCTTCCACACTTTCCCCTAGCTCGCCCTGTAGAGGACGATCTGACTCTCGCGCCCCCTGCTCTCTCCTGCCTGGATGAGTGGCCTTAGGACCCTCCAACTTCCCCAGCTCACTTGCTCTCCATACCAACGGGATGTCTTCCTCATTGTCTAGCGTATTCACAGCGCAGGCTATATTCCCGCACATCTCATTTTCTTCGGACCAGAAGGGGCATTTCTTGTTATACAGGTTTACTCGGTAGTAGGAGAAGAAGTCGGTATTCTGCGTGATCGATTGGACGTAGGGTTGAAGGATCGAATTGAGGTTCTCTAAGGTGGAATAAGTGGCACAGGCATCTGATACCACTGCGCCTGGTTCGAACTGAAAGGAAGATGGTTTAGTTCCTGGCCGACCTCCACGACCGACGGTTGCCGCTTTTTGGACTCTTTGGCTTACCGCGCAGACATTTGGGCTGGGATCCGTCACGCTGGAGGACGGTGTGCCTCTTGCGTCCTCGCCAGCATGTGTAGAGCCTAACAAGGTGAATACCGCCAGGTAAAATACCCTTGCTGCGGACTTCATACTTGCAGACACGACCTGTGACTACCGTGCCCAAATGTCAGCGTCTTGTATATAGATTGCCATTTTCGAGAGAGGACTGAAAACAAGAGGAAGATATAGGCTTTCAACACCCAAGTATACATTATCTCTTCTTTGAGGCCACGGGGCAGCCGTTTCAAGCCGGCTGGGATAAAGGAAACACTTACAGTTTTGGGCGAATCGGCTTGAAGCGTACAGAGATCTCCTTCCGGACAGCGAGGGCTTTGACAAAGATTATTCGGGGTCCATGGCTAGTGAGCTCCAAGGACCTTAGTGCGGAGAGTGAACAGATTAAATATCAACCTGGAGAAACCAGGATGGGAAGCAGTACTCCGGCAGTAAATTAAAGCCAGGTTGCAGATTGATCTGATATCAAGATCAATCCACTGTGGCATGACATCGCCATTGGGATCCCGTACGCCCGTCAGCCACAGCGGAAGTCGCGTTCGGCATCCCTGACTCGCGTATTCCGATGCGCTATGATTGGAAATCACCGGTTCATGTCGCCGCCGTCACGTGCTGATATTGCCCAAGAAGTGGGTCTCCATAATCCTAGCACGTGACTTCAATTTCCTTGCACACCATAAAACTTCTGCATCAACATTTTGAATCTGCTTCATGAGTTTCATCCCCCATCATTTGGGTCGTCTATTCAAATTTCCCTTGTGAATTGCGCCTTTGGAATATTGCGAGCGTTGTGAAGCATCTGAATTTTAGCGAGTCTTAAGATCTGGCCTGTTATCACGCATTTTCTCCATAATCCCTACAATGTCTTCACAGCCGCAGTGGTGGGATTCATATCCCGCGCCAACTACAACTCCCCCTGTGTTTGGCCGCGAGGAACTCCTCCGCCTTTTCCAAACCCTGGGCGGCGATGTCCTGTCTGCAGGCCTGCTTCTTGTCGATGTCAGAAGGACGGACTATGAAGGTGGTCTTATCAAGGGCTCGATGAACCTTCCTGCTCACTCCTTCTACCTGAACCGCGCTCCGCTGTACAAGCTGTGCCTCGGTGATGGCGTCACCGGCATCTCTCGAGTTGTCTTCTTTTGCGGATCCTGTGGGAGTCGGGGGCCACGCGCCGCAGGCTGGTTTGCTGACTATGTCGCCCAACGGGCACAAGAGGACGGGATACCTGAAAGTATCAAGGTCTACACGCTTGAGGGTGGGATCAAGGGGTGGGTCAAGGGAGGGCCGGAGTACATCCAGTTCATGGATGCTTTCGAGCCCACCTATTGGAAGCCAGTTGAGGATCAGGACTCCAAGCAAGGCGATAAGCCGGTTGCAAAGCCACAGGGAGCTCCGGATTCGAAGAGCAGCGAGGGAGCGGCTTAGCACGATCTAAGCGACCATGGGAGGCCTGAACTCGGTCTCCTGTGGCGAGTATGTTATCAATGGTACGTGGTCTCCGTGTTTCCTTTCCTTCAATGTTTGTCAAGTGATGAGTACACACCATAGTGGTTTTAGGAAGAGCCGTATGAGGGGCGGTGGCATCGACATATGCCCTGCTATCTATGCTTACAAGATGGTTTCTGATAACAAACACTCGAGTTTTGCAGCCAGCGCTTTCTGTACTTATCAGTGCTAACTTTACTCAAGAATAGGCATGGCTTTTTGTCTCTGGGCCATAAAAGGCTAGAGCACTACGTTGGACGGAGGCGCAATGGGACTTTTCGTACCGACTTTTCCTAGTCTTTGATGGCATTCCACGAACTCCAGATGTAGGTCATAATCGCATCATCACGGCCCCGACTAAATTGCGACGACGTGAGATCGTTCACAAATTCATGGACTGCAGATGTGCGTCCACGGCGGATTGATTATTGGAGACGTCCGCATTGCACTCGCTGCAAGGATCCAAACTCCCTGCAGACTGAAAGCGGCCACTCCATCGCTCAAGTGACTTTGACCGCGGGTAGCACACCACTCTGTGCTTCTCACTCTCTTAGTATTCCTTCGATGCTACCATAATCTCTGAATATCAGGTGGTGGGATCATGGACAAGTCCAATTTCATCACAGGTTTCATCAGAGAGACTGCCTGTCAGGGCCGAAGTATCTTGACGTGGTTTGAAACTGTTCTTTCCCCTGTCGCCGTTACTTGAGGATTTGGCATGCCTGCAAGCAGGTTATTGATACCGTACATTCCTGTTACTTCCACCTCCAACATACCTGCAACCACACTCGTTTCCGTTTCCATGCAACATAGTTTGCCTTAGTTAGCTTAACCTCCCCATGTGCGTGATGGGACACCAGCTATGCTGAGAGTTGGGGCGAATCGGAGGTACTTTGACTTCAAACCAACTCAGACTCTCCACACACGTTATGATTTTTATAGTTTTATATCAATTGCGCTCTTCAGCCACTTTTCAATATGCGGGACTATGTCTACCTTAAATATTACGAAAGCCTGTTTGCCAGTCCGCTGATTTCCACAGAGTGTACGGAGCGCACTTCAGACGCTGCGACAATATTTCTATGCTACAACGCCACCATCATCGTCTTTTCGTTTTAAAAGGTTCATGAAAATGACCAATCTAAGTCACGATCCCGCTATAATGCTAGAAAGTCTTCGTCTAAAGTGTGTGTGATATGGGAAGCAACTTCAAACACTTCCACTACGCAGGTCGGTACTTGCGGCCGATCAAACTTCCGATTTCTGCGGCCCATACAGTCATGGGACTATTATGACATGTAGTTTTTAAAGTAAATTGGCTCTGTCCAGCCAATCTCTCTAATTCGACGCTTGACCTTGCGTGAAAGAACAGGCCACCAGCCCATAACGTCGCAATCTCCCTGCGTAGAGGAACGAGTCACTCAGCATATTCGAAAGCAAGCTAATTGAAGTCTGGGTGACTGATAAGATCTAATACGCTCCTCCCAAAGAAGTATCAACCTTCATATTCTAATCGCCACGCGCTCAACGCCGCGGAGCAAGAAAGAAAATGGGGATGATTAACTCCCAATACCTGCTTCCGTAGCTTTGCACATTCATCCATTAACTGGAGAGCTTTCGTCTGCTGTCCCATCGCTTTCCATGTAAATGATAGGTTGTTCATGCTGCTCAGCGTGTCTGGATGCTCCGCGCCAAGCACCCTCTTTCTCGTCTCCATCACTTGCACCTCCAGCTCTTCGGCCTCCTTCCATCGGCCTTGAT